AACCCCTTAAACTTCTTCTACTCTCTTAAGTAGCTTATTATTCTAAGATTAGAGTTAGGTTAAATAAGGAGCCCGGCCTTTAAGGTAATTATAGAAGTTATTAGATTAGCCTTTAACTTATAATTAATAAGCGCTATTATATTTAGAGACCTTAACTAGACCCTAAACTTTAAGCTCTTAATTACTAAGACTTAAGAGTCTTCTAATATCTCCTCTACTCCTACTAACTTTATTAATACTAAGTTAGCTTAATTACCCTTAACTTCCCCTTTAGTAGTCTAAGATAACTTCGCTATAGCTATATTTTTAAAAAGTAGTTTCTATAAGAGCTCGAAGTATATAAGTACTTCCTTACTAGTAATACTCTTTAGTTTATTATCTAGAACTTTATTTAATAGTATTAGAAGCTATACCCTTTACTTTAAGATATCTAAGTACTATTCTACTTTCTTAGTAACTCTTAGACTAACTTTCTTTAACTTCTTAGTCTACTTCTTATCTATCTCTATTTCTTTAATAATCTCTTCTTACTATACTTTCTTCTCTAATACTCCTTTAATTAGATCCTTCTATTTCTACTTTCTAAGTTATAGAACTTTTAGAGCTACTAAGTCCTTTTCTTTCTTAACTTACTCTTTTAATACCTTTCTTAGGTTTACTTACTTATTATCTTTTCTACTCTTTAGTTTTTCACTTCTAGCTCTTAATATTCCTATAGCTTCCTAATCTCTTTTATCTTCCTTAATATCCGACTTATCCTAAGTTACTACCCCTATTATTATTACTTTTATAGATTTAGCCTTATTTATAAGGTGCTATAGTACTTATATTAGCTATACTATTGAATTACTTTCTCTAACTTATCCTTCACTAGTTCCTTATATTAAGGTTCCTTTCTAACTAGCTTATATACCCTCTATTACTAGGACTCCCTTATATTACTCGACTAACTACCCCCCGCTACTTACGTGTTTATAATATATCTAGTTCTAATAGTTATATATAAGCTTCTTTTCTATATCTATTAAGAAGTCTAAGTAGTCCTTATAGAAATACTTATTTTCTAAATAATAGAAATATTAGTTCTAGCGATCCTTATAAGTACTTACTATATATACTCTAATTAGTAAGTTATTCGGACGCTAAGGTTAGCTTAAGTAAGTCTCTTATAGTAATCTAGATAGATTAACTCGACTACTAAGTTCTACTAGGTAAGCTCCTAACTAATTTCCCTTACTAAGTGAACTAAATCTTAATCTTCCTTTAAGTGCTTATAGAGCTTATAATACTCTTATAGCTAGCGCTAGCGCGTTAAATACCTAGGTTATCTCTTTTACTATTTCTATAGATATAGTCTTTAGGCTAATAATAAGGGGAACTAGCTAACTCTCTGCCTTAGAAGTAATAAGTACTTAGCTAAGCGAATCTACTAATTTACTAAGGCCCTTTTATTTTATATAACTATTGGAAAACTCCTAGATTATCTTATTAGATATATAAATCTTAGTAGCTATCTTAACTAAGTTATTAAACTTAATTATACCTAGCTTATTAATATTAACCTTATTCTTACGTATTACTTTCCTATAAACGTCCCCTAGTAGCTTATTTAAGAACTATACTCTTTAAGTATAATTTTCTAACTAGCTCCTTTTTACTAAGGTAGTTAATATTATAGTGAATTATTAAATAAACTACTTTATATTACTTTCTATAGTTCGTAGTTTTAACTTTAGAGCCTTAAGGAATAATTAGGAGTTTATCTATTAAAAAGTATCTTAATCCTTATACTCCTTTAAAAAAGAGACTACTAGCTCTTCCTAATTCTTACTTATTTACTCTAGTAGTGTCTTAATATACTAACTAATAATAAGATTATAATATCAGGGAAGCTTTTTAATTTAGTTTATATCTTTTAATTAGGTATTATTATATTAATCAGTGTATTATTCTAAGAACTCTATAATATTAGCTCTCTTAAAGTATAGCGCGCTTAATATACCCGGGGCCGGTATAACTGAAATATACTTAACTTCTGTTATCTTGGAATTTATAGTCCTTAATTCTTAATAGCTTTCCTCTTAGACTTAAATATATTCTATTATATTACTTTTCTCTATACTTAACGTTCTTTAGTTCTTAGGATCTCTTAGAAATATAGTTATATTAAGGAATTCGGTAAATAATTTAAACTTTTAGTACTTACTTATAAGGTATAGTATACTTAATATTACTAGAGTTAAAAGTACTAGAGTTACTAGTAGGAGTATAGTAATTATACTCCTTATAACTTCTAGACTTAGCTCCTTTAACTACTCCGACCTTTCTAACTCCTTTTCCTCGTATCTCTTTTTTGCCTTATTTCAGGCCCTTTTTTTATATTAGACTCGCTTTCTTTTTATATTTATTTATTCCCTACTTATTTTCCTTATATAAACTTTCTCTATTACTATAGTAATTTTATCTTCTAAGCTCCGCGTGATAACTTTCCTTTCTATATTTCCTTAGCTCTCTCTACTTATATTCTACTATTTTCTAATATCCTGCCTACTAAATAAGGGTTCCTAGAGCCCCTTTTTTTTAGCTGCTTCTTATATATCTATTTATCTCTGTAATAAAGATACTAAGTGATAAAATTCTAACTCCTACTTTTACTACTAGCTTAGCTATATCTTAATTACTCCTTTACCTTACTTCTAGTTCCTTATATAAGTTACTAATATAAAGGAGTAAGGTAATACTATTAAAGTGTATAGTAAGTAGGGACATAGAGGACTACTAATTAAATAGGTAGTAAGAGTAAGAGAAAGAAGATAATATATTTATTACGCGTTATCACGCCTACTTATACGATCCATAGAATAAGCTAACTATCTTCCGACCCGGAACTATACTACCCTACTATAATACTATTCTACCTTATAAGTACTACTCGCTGTTATAGCTAAAAGAGACCTAGAGATTAAGTATATTAATATTAACACTACCTTCCTAAATATATACTTAAAAGAAGATATATATATAATAATTCCGAATAATAAGATACCGGAGATATAGAATAAGCTTTACTTAGAGCTAAACAGAAAGAAAGATATATATCTAAAGCTCTTATACTCTCTCTATAGCTTAAAATAAGCACCTAGAGAATAGTAGCTCCTTATTAAAGATAAGATAGAAAATCTAAGTCTAAAAGTATTAGAGGCTAACCCTAATCTCTTTATCTTTAAGAATAGAGCGTATATATTAATCTTTATTAATAATATACTAATTATAAGTAACTTTACTAACTACGAATATCTTAAGAAATAACTCTTAAAGACCTAAAAAGGTAAAGACCTTAGAGCTATTAATATGTTTATAAGCTTATAAGTTAAGAGAGATAGGAAGAATAAGACTCTACGGATTTATTAAACAGCTTATACTTAAAAGCTACTAGAAAGGTTTAAAATAACTATAGCTAAAAGTAATACCTTACCTATAACTACTAGAATAATACTAAGAGAGTCAGCTAAAGATAAAAGTATTATACTAGCCTCCCCTAAAGAGATCTTACTATTTCAATAGATTATCAGCTCTCTAATATACTTCTCGAACCTTATACGACCTAATATTACTTATATAATAAGCCAGCTAGCGTAATATATATCAAATCCCCTTAAATCTTACCTCTAAGATATAAAACCTCTCTTTCGATATCTATAGTATATAGAAGGTAACGGAATAATATTTAAAATAAGAATAGAATATAAGAGGAAGCTAGATAATAATATATTCGATATTTAAACTAATACTATATAAGAGACAGAATATAATAGGAAATTATTCTAAGGATAAATAATAAGGTTCTATAAGAGTCTAATCTCTTAAGCTACTAATAAGTAAAGGTCTATAGCTCTCTCTAGCTTAGATTCTAAGATAATAACTACTAGCGATAGCTCTAGAAAAGTAGCCTAGTTACTTAAGCTATAGAAAGACCTCGATATAAAGCTATCCTGAATTCTTATACTATATTTTAATAACACTAGAGTCGAATCTCTCTTAAAAGAATAGAAATTCTACCTAAAGGCGAAGTATATTAATATCTACTAGTTCTATATTCGAAATAATATAGTTTTATATAATAAGTTAATAGTAAAACATGTTCTAAGTAATAATAATATAACAGATACTCTTATAAAAGCTTTACTTTCAGAATTATTTAAATAATATAAGATATATATAAAGTTACCTAGTAATAACTAATTCTCTAATAATAACTCTAAGATTAATAATAGTTAGCTAATTAATAGTAGACCTATATAAATTAAGGCTATTTCTAGTAGTAGAACTTATAAAAATAAAATATTCTTCACGGAAAATCAGTCCTTTAATAAATACCTTCCTTAATAATAATATACAACTACGAATCGAGTAAAATAATAATATATAACTACTATACTTAATAGTTAAGATAAATCTTATTCCGTAGTTAAAGGAAGAAAGAAAGGAAATAAAACTAAAAGAGAACAACTTTTATATACCCTAGAGGCTAAAGAGAAAGCTAATAAGAAATAAATCTTAGTAACTATAAAAAGAAAGTACGAGATAGCTATAAATAAAAGTAAATAAGAGTAATAAGAGTAAGAGATTATTAATAAAGAAGCGATTTAGGTATACTCTTATACTATTTTATATACCTTAATACTATAAAGTTACTAAACTCCTAGGAAAATAAGAGACATAAGTACTATATATATACTAGTATATTACGAGAGTTAATAAAGCATAATCAAGGCTCTTTATATAATATAAATTATTAACGATACTTTAGTAATACTCTAGCGTTACTTCAGGAATATTTAGCGCTATACTGCTTTAGAAAGCTCTATTTACTACAGATATAAAGAATAGGGGGGCTATTAGAAATATAGGGATTATAAGTATAAACTTAGTACTATAGGCCGTACTACTAAGTACACTACCCCTTTATATAGGAGATTCTCTCTCTCTGTAATAGCTCCTTATGCAACTGCAATTTTAACAGGTAGGACATACCCCGGTGGAGCCAAATTTACATTCTCCAATGCCAGTTCAAATGCTGTTTTGCCTTTGCTGTCTCTTTCAGTAAGAGACAAGCCTCCCTCAAGGAGTTTCAGGATTACACCGTTGCCTCTTTTAGAAGGCTGCTGCTTACAAGCGTAGTGGAGAGGCGAACGACGCTGCGTGCTTGTTGATGATATGTCGCACTTCTTTGATATAAGATACTCGGAAACATCGTACAGCTGATTTTCAATACTGGTCATGAGCGCAGATTGGCCGGCAGCGTTTTTATGATCAATGTCGACGCCAAACTGCTCAACAATCAACTTCGCCAATCCCAAAACCCCAAACTTGAAATACAGAGAACCGTGGTTTGAGGGATAGGAACCCGAGACTGGTGCCAATGAGACTGCTACCTGTAGTACCGAATCTCCCTTTGATGTAGCAGCGTTAATATCAGCTCCAGCAGCCAATAAGACGTCCAATTTTTGTTGTGCTTTTTCTTCTGTGTTGGAGGATTCGACGACAATATGTACAGCGTAGAGGCCATCCTGACGTCTCGAAGTATGATCTGCGCCATGTTCCAACAGCGCACTTAACGCTACTAGTGATCCTGTCGACGCAGCGGCATGATGTATCGCGAATGATCCATCCCCAATAGGATCGTTGACGCCAATGCCTTTCTCGAGTAGGAGTTCAAGAACAGTTGTACTGTCTCTGGAAATTGCAGGGAACAGGCAGCTCTGCCTCTTCCACAAAAGGCCGTTTAACTCTTCCGTACTGGCATTCCTGATCAGGAGAAGTGCGACCGCATCACATCCTCTCTCCAGGGCACACCACACCGGAGACGGAACGAAGTTCCCATTCTCACACAGTTTCCGCGAATCTGAAACTGCAGCGACGAGTGCTCCCAGAACTCCAACGCTATCAGGGTTACCATATCGAGCGGCAAGGTGCAGTGGTGAAAGCCCTTCTTTATTTGCGATGGTTGGATCAGCGTCATGTTGTAACAGGAGCCGAACAAGCTTGAATCCATTGGAATCCTCTGACGACTCGATAATGCATGCTTGTTGCAAAGGCGTATTGCCCAGCTCGTCTTGATGTGTTGTCATTCCTTTATTCTGCAATAACAACTCAACGACGTTGAGGTGATGAAACCTTGACGCCAACTGCAAGGCCATCTGTCTCGCAGCGTCGACAGTTCCATCTGCCGAAGCTTCATTGAGAGCAGAAAGGGCGATAATTGAGTGTTTGACTTGATCAAGCTGCCCGTTGGATGCCGCGATTCTAAGCTTAGATTCCTCATTGCGCTTCGTGTCTGCTGTGACAGGGCCGATAAACTGGGAAACAGAGCTTGGCCCAGTCTCGTTTGCGGGCCCATTGTAAACATATTCCCTGAGCAGCAATAATTCTCCCTTAGCGTCTTCATTGACATTGCCCTCTGTGGCTCCTTTAAGCAAAGCGAACGCGGGCTCCTTTTCGCTGTACCTGGCGCAGTCCAATGCTGCCTTCACAGCAGCAATCGTAATTCGGGCTCCGTGCTCAAGTAGCACTGCGACTAGATTTGGTAGAAATGAATCTGAGTGGAATACAGCCTCTAGAGAGGATAGATTTCTAGCAGATGTTTGAGATCGGTTGATCTGGGTACCTCCTTCAAGCAGCGATTTGATTGTGCTAATTCGACGTTGTAGATGCCATTGCTCACCGGAAGCTGACCTTGCCATACCAGGATAAATTTCACTAAATCTTGCAGCTATGGCGGTTAAAGTGCCGAACGGGCATAAGGCAAATAGGAGAGGACATCCAAGCTGGCTTGCGCGATTTGCGTCGCAGTCTTGCTGTAACAGCCAGTCCACAATGTTGTTGAATCCGAGATGTGCAGCCCAATGAAGAGTTGTTACATCCGGGTACTCAGTTGCTTTCCCATACATCTTTGGATATCCCTCCAACAGGCTGGGAGCGTAATACTTGATCCACCAAATGAAGTTATTTGACTTGACGGGACGAAATAGCTGCTGCATTAGATGCTGGATATGATTGTTCTCACGATTTTTATATGCGTGAGATGGCCAGTTCCGGCATGAGTATAGATAAGCGTCATGTACGTCTTTTGAAGCAGTCCATACGTCTGTCCGTCCGGATGGGGTGGTAGCGAACTCCTCAAAGTTGAGGATGAGGAGACATGTCTTTGCCAGAAGATAATCATCCCTTGCAACTTGAACCTGATAGTCTGCAACCAACGGTTGCTTCTCGGGATTGATGCTAAGCAGAAACTCTTTCACGGTGAAGTGCGCGAGCTCGATAATATCAGAGCTTTCGGACCTTCGCCTGATCAAGCTGCTGCATCACCTCATGACGTCGACAATTGAAGTCATCGCGCCAGGGTTTAAAGCTTTATCGCCATCCTTGATCGAAAGAACGGCGAGTAACAGATCTGCAGTGACAGGTTCTCTGGCACAAACAAGCCACTGTAATGTCCGCTTGACTAGTTCTTGATTTGACTTAAGCTTTACTCGCCCAAGAATACGCTCATACGCAGCCGGCAGGTCAGGTGGTAGCTGCTAAAGAGCTGCTCTCCTGTCGTCGTCGTTGTTGAGCTCGCAAAGATAGTCCATCTGACATGCCACCCAACGAAACCTTGGAACATGAGATTCAAATTCAACGCAGAGGAGGTAGTAACTCACATGCCATGAGCTCCAGTGATGAGCGTTTTTATGATGTGCTCCTTCAATTCCGGATCCCGTATGCGCAGTTCCTGACGTGAAGTCCTGGTTTCGATTTCAGCAGCGACATAAAGGCGTAGATCGCCGCTTTGAGCAGCAATGGAAACATTGGCATATTCGAGAAGTTGGCTGCGGATGTCGACCTCATCACGACTCGCAAAGAGAGTTTTCATCTTTCCGGTAGATGTAAGACTTCGCAGAATTTCAATGGTGTCGGTTCGTTTCGTCTCAATCTCATCGAGCCCATCAATGATGATCATGGTAGATTTGAAGTGCAGCGCCATGTCCTTCAGCAAATTACAGAGCTCCAAAGGGGTGACTTCCTGCGGAGGGTTTCCTTTGACGTTATGAGCTTCGTAAAAGCTCTCCAGGTCGTGGAGACAATGGTCATCTTGTAGAGCAAATTGTTTGACGAGAGATCCAAGTATCGTTGAGGACACATGAGTCTCGGGCTTCTTGTAGTCGCAAAAGAAGAATGCCATTCCTTGCGTCTTGCTTAGCGTTGAAAAGTTTAAAATGTGACTGATCCTCTACATACCAATATTCTCTCCTGTTTTGGCTTTGATGGTCTGTACTTCTTGGATGATGGTTGCCCTAAATGTAAGAGGTTAGCCGAACTCGGCGCCGGTGATGGTTGCTGAGCTCACATTAAAACCGTCTTGCCAGCGCCAGCTACAAGATGTATTAGAGATTGGTCCACCTAGTCAAGGAGCTTACGATACGTACGAATACCATAGAGCCACAGCTTTCCATGGTCAGCAGAAAGCCAAGACTTGAACTCGGCTCCGTCGAGGAACCAACCACCAGTTCCTGCCTGTCGAAGTCGAACATTTGCCGACTGGTACTGGTTGTAATCGACCGCATTCAACGAATTGATGATATCCTGTCGTCTTTTACCTGGTGGATTCAAAGTTAAAGAATGTTTCAAAGTATGAAGGATAACCTACTCAAGAAAGTCTCATTCATTCTTGTGCGCTGAAGCTGCAATTCGTTGTCAATTTGAGCGAGACCGGACTGAATAGCATCCTGCGAAGCCAAAGCATTCAACAAGGCAGACCTGGCTCAAAATAATCAGCAAATAACACGGCAGGTTTTACGGGGTGCAAACGCACATTTCATCGACTGCAAGCGCAAGACTGAGAGAGGTCTTCTGCCTTTCCACCTCCGCCAAGAGATTCTTAGTTTCGGCTTTTGAAAGCGGCCACAGCACTCTCTGTCGAGCTCTATCCATGGACTTGTTCTTCTTGGCGGCTATATGCTCGAGCTGGGCTTCGATCTTACGAAGCACATTGTCACAGTTGTTGATATGATGGATTCGGGTTGTATGTTGCGGGGATGTTTGCTCTAGCTCTAGTCGAATTGCAACCTTCTGAAGACTATGCGAAGTGCCGAATAGAAGATTGACCTCATGAAAAAGGTTCTTGACTGTTTCGTCACTTTGCTTGAATTCGGACAGGTATTTGAATCCGTTCGTCACGATGCCATTGGTGATCATGATCAAGCCAGCAATACTGGCTGATATGGATAGTGGATCCATGATGACCGACTCAATTCTCAAACCTCTCGGCGAAAGGAGGCAGCAAATCCAGCAAAGATTTTAACTCCAGATGTAAGTTTGTGAAGAGTTAAGAAATTGAAAAGGTTCAGGATTTACTGCGCCAAATAGTAAGGCTGCGAGGGTTGGGTCTGCTGGACAGAGTGAGGCTGTACAAAAAACACCTCTGCGCGTCTCTGAACGCCGCCACCACACGATTGATCTGCACCACTAAAAGACGAACAAATAAGACATACTCTTGTGACACGATAAGGTGAAAACCGAGGCTGATTGAAGCGGGTGGTAGCGCTGTATAGCCACAGGAGGTGTGACAGGGCGTTCTTATTATTTGACATCGAGGGAATCTGAGGCTCTCACGAGCGATTCTTGATGAAGCGCAATATTGACCAGACTCAAGATACTCACAATACTTCAGAATCTTACTTGTTTTCGGATTATGGTGTCTAGGAACGCACGGAAACGGCAGTTTGCTATGGCTGATTCAGTCGAACAACTCCACTCAAAGCTGCAGTTGTAAGGCTGCGGGTTGTTAAGGCTTTGTGTGTACCTTTGTTAATCGGTGCAAATCTTACCAATGTTCCATTCCCCAAATAATCAGCGCTGGGACTCGCCGTACTCGAGTAGAGCACACGTCTTTGCAAGCTCTCACGTTCTGGCTCATTATTGAAACCGGGCCCTGGTTGGGATCTCGAGCGCAAAGATCCCTCTGCTGGTTGTGAGCCCACTAGGCTATTGCTACACTGGGCTCCCGAAGCAGGCTCAAAAGTCAGGCGTTTTCATGCAATGATAACACGCTGCCAAATGTCGTCACTTTCTTGGAACGTTGTTATTAATTGGGTGTGTTTCGGAGGTGCAGATGGCTGAGCCGAGCCGCTATTGATATTCAGCAGTGGCTAACCTTGGGTAAAATATGACAAGGACGTGCCTCGCTGTGAGCCTCACCTGTTTTATTTCTCGAGCAAGGAATCAGAGAAGATGTTGGATTCGCTAGACAGCGAAGCTGTCCAACAAGCCTTGGACAAGCATATTGTTGCCTTGGCTGAGCCTTGAAACTACGTCAGTATCCCAGTTTCGCGGGACGAGCCAACGAAGTACCAAAGCCAGGGGGCAAAAGAAGCAATACGAAATGATGCCCATTTTATCCACGGAGGCGGCCTCGACCAGCCCATGGTGTGCTCTAATTTACCATGTTCTTTGTGTATCGTAGCCTTTCATCACCGAATACCATCAATTACTCACAAATTGTCTTGAAAAGTCGAGGATGCCAATTGGAAAGGCTTTATGTAGCTATCGACATTTTTAATTTGTTCTCCATCAACCTTTGTCAAGAGAAGCAAGCTCCTAGGCGTTTTCAGCTGAGGATAAGTATCTTCAACTTTGTTGTTTTATTACTCGCTTCGACTGCCAAGACTTGCTTGGAGACCTACAATTGCCTAGATTGATGACCAATACGATCACTGCTCCTTAAATGTTGATCAATTCTTGAAACTAAGACAGGGAGAAAAATGAGTTTCAAGTCAAGTTGATTACAGGCTTGAGGTATGATGCCCACTTAACTTGAGCACAGCGTTATTTCAGCAAGTTCCAGATCAACACAGCAAGCAAGAGAAAAATAAGAGCACAGAGCGGCACAATGTACAGATCAATCGACCGGTTCTATTAATGGTAAGTTATGTACAACCGACAACGAAAAGCCTGTGCATGAATTTTTTTGGTATCCGCAAGGACGATAATGTACAGCCGTCATAGAGCAAAGCGAAAGCACAGCACACTAAAGCAGACTCACAGCTCGCAATCTCGCATGTCATAACCTCCCAAGAAAAAGACCACTCTGTAACGCCAGATACCATGTATCCTTTCAAACATCCGTCCGTCCGTCCATTGATCATTCAAGCCACGCGAAGGAAGCTATCGAGTGAATCCATGAGAGTCATTCGTGGAGGGGATACAGGAGGAGGACTGTGATGAAAAGTGAAACAATGTAAAGCAAGAGACCAACACAAAAGCAAAAGGACCATCTAGTAGGGTATCTAGCGCCGCAAAGTCATTTGCTCATCTGTGTGTAACCATTTTTGCAAGTCTGTCCGTGATTTTGGCCGTCGTGAAGAACCCCAAGAAAGAATTTGCTTGCCTGCCCAACCCTTGGAAATGCTAGCTCTTTCATGCAAACAAGAAGTAGGAGAATCGTGACAATGGGAACGCGTATGTAGCCGTCTGTGCATCTTCATCGGTTCTGTCGAATGATAGATGCGAAGGGCGAGAGAACGTATGTACTGAATCGGGATAAAGATCATTCGAAGACCTCTGAGTTGTCCTCATGGTCGGACGAGGTTTCGACGGATTCGGCGATCTGTGCTGTAGCGCGAAGGTAGGTCTCGAAGGGCGTAAGAGTTCCCAGTGCACGACGAGCATGAGCTGAAATAAGTTGCAGACCATACACGTACGAGGCATTGACCCATCCAAAGCTATCAAGCATTAGTCATGTTTTCTTTCACGGGACAGATGGAAGCGACTTACCCCTCCTTGGCTACACCCTTGAAATCCAATCCCTGATTACCATACTCGGCATCAACTCGATGCGGGTCGGTAACTCTGGTAACATCATACTTTTCAACAACAACACCATTGTAGTCGACAAAAGCCTTTGTCATCATGAGCAGCCACTTGTATGCCAGGCGCTGAGCGTCCTCCTCGTATCCGTACCGGATGAGACCGCCCCATGCAAGCATCTGCTGAGGTGCCCAACCATAGGGATAATCCCATTGTCTGTTGGGACGGTCCAGACCGATGACTCCGCGTGATCTCTCCGTACCTGAGGCTAAACCACCGGCCTCCTCAAGGAGTGGAAGAGCACCATTAACAAGTCGAGCGGCCTGAGCGGGAGAAGCAACTCCAGACCAAAGAGCCCATAGCATAGTAGCACTCTCGTAGGTACATTGTTCCTTCTTAACGGTATCATAATCGAAGAACATCCCCTTCTCCTCGTTCCAGAGGTATTTATCGATAGCAACCTTGCGCATTCTAGCACGTCTCTCCCAGAATGAAGAGGTCATGACATCTCCTGCCTTGATACTTCCGTGTGCGAACTCTGCAGGGATCACCAGAGCATCGTTGCAATAGAGACGAATAAACAGCGAAATGTCCTTTTCGTACTTCAAGAGGAGGCAGTTGAGGTCAATCGTAGCCAGGTTAGCACAGCAATTCTCCAAGCGGTATGATGTATCATGACCGGACTCTCGAACAGCACGATCGTGCATGAAGTAACGATCCAATTCAGGTTCCTTTATGGAACCGCTATTGTATCCCTTTACGAACTCCTCCATGGACAAGTTATGCTTCTTTGCATAAGGCTCGAGGATATGGGTAAAGTGAGATGCTTCCGTCTCTGGCGGAACACCCATTCCTTCTGGTCGATAACGAGACAGGCCAGTTCGCTTGTCAAGGCGTGGAGCTGCGACCCAGACCGACTCGTATTCCTTAATCGCGGCAAGAATAGCGAGCTTGAGAAATTCTTCAGCACCATCTTCATGTTTGATCTTATCGAAAACACGGAGTGCCATATCAGTAAGGAAAGGAGGTTGAGATCGGCTCAAATAGTAGGACCGTGTGGCATTCAGAATCTTTCCGTAATGCTTGATGCAGAAGACAAAATTGGTCACCATGCTCTTGGCAAGATGGACCTTCTCACTCGCAATGAGACCCAAAGACTCCATGTAGGAATCCCAGCCATAGAGCTCATTGAATCGGCCACCAGGAACAACGAATGGGACACCCTTTAGGACAGTCTTGCCAGACTTCTCGTCAAACTTCGGCTCCATAGCAACTGCTAGAAGTCCGGGCTTGTCATTGAGGTCTCGCACATACTGTGGAGTGATCTTTTCTGGCAGCGAGCAGACATCCAGGCGAATTTCGGGCCTTTCTTTTGCGACCTGGCAGTAGTATTCATATTGCTCGGGTGCTCCGTGTGGTACATAGATTCTTGGTCGTGGGTCATCTGTCCAGTCCTTAGGATCTCTCCCAGCCTTCTCAATGACAGATCCGTCAATGACCCGAGTCAAGTTGTCCCAGAATTCGTTGGTGATTAATCGGGAGAGTCGATTGACCGGGTTTTCATTGATTCGAGACTCGTCAAGGAAGATGTAAGTCTGGCCATTCTCCTTGGCAAGGTATAGCTCTTGGAGGAGGTTCGATAGAACATAGTTTCCCCTGACTTCTCTCATCTTGTATCCATTCGAAGCTGCTGTTCCCAGAGAAATAACCTAATGCAAAATATCAGCCAATACTCGTAGAACCAGAGCCTAGAATGCTGACCTTTGGTCCATTGTCTTCGATTGTGATCTGGAAATTGCCATTGGTGGCCTCTTGCTCTTCGAGGTTCCTTATGGTTCGCTCAACGTGGAGGTGGAATCTATTAGGTAGCAGAGTAGTCTCATCTGAAGGGACTGTTAGTAACTGGATTCTGTCATTGTGACCCCTCTTTCACTCTCGTACCGTGGCTTCCTCGTCGGATGGGTAGCTTCAGACTAGCTCGGTCAATTGCCTTTGTAGGGCTCTGGTTCTGTACCGTGTCAGGATTCCTATTGTGTAGCACAGCAATTAGAACATACTGTAGAGTAGGTGCGTGTGCGGAAGTGGTTATGCTGCTTGTGGTGGGCATCTGGACCATAGTATATGTGCGATGCAGAGTATACATCAATCTCGTTCTCAACTGCGACTGCAGCTGAGTTGGCAGCTCGTGCCTTCACAGGAGACGACATGCCGGTTGTTGTCGTCAAGCAGGTACGGGTATTCGAAAGGCGTATTTGTAGTTTAGAGGGTGTTGAGCCGTAAGGTCGAACCACTGCGACCGGTGATGAAAGGGAGGGAAGAGGTTGGAAGTTGGAATGCTCGCTCGCAGAAAGCTGGTACAATAATATTTAGAAAAGGAAAGACGAGCGAGGAGACAGGAGGGAGGATCTGTTTCAGCGAAGTATAGAAGCTTCGCCTGGGTGATCTTCTTCAAGGTGGTTGGTGAGGTGGATTGGAGAAGGAGAGGAAGAGAAGATGCCCTTTGAGAGATGGCAGCCGAGAAATTGGGTCTTTATCGGAACGCTAAGGCGACGCTGGTGACGCTGTTGAGCTCTTCGATAAGAGTACTGTAATCTTAGTGGGGTATTGTGTAGCGTATGGGGCAGGGCACGGTGGAAAGCTGACAGGCTCGAATAAATATGTCCCGGTACCGACGAATAGAAAACGGTCTTCAATCCACAGCAAAGACCGTTTCTTTGAACACTGGTCAGGCTTTGTATCTGCCAGAAACACTCAATGCCTAGCGGTAATTCGGTCTCGTTCACGATGTTCGGTTCGGCGAAATTTGTTATCCTTTAGTTTTTCAGACCGCTGCGTCCCCTAAGCTTTTAGCGGCCACCCTTCAGTGCCTCCACGACGTCGGACGCTGGCCAGGGGAACCAGAGCCAGCCAATAATGGATCAACTGAGCCGTGGGACTTGCATGCTCAAGACGGCTTGATCAGTCGCGTGCATGAAGCTGCATAAGCCTCCGTATTTGGCGAGTTGGGGGTCCTGGCATCTGGGCTATCTTGAGGAGACGGCTTGCCTTCCGGCCATCTTGACACCTTTGGAGGACGAGATGGACTCCCCCCACCAGCGCCTCCCGAGTCATCAGCATATCAGTCAGCTCCAAACCGATCACACGATGCATCAAGCGTTGACCACAGGGAGAAAGTAGGGGGGGGTTGAGATCTGCTCTACTTCTGCAACCACTGTTGAGGATCTTGCGAGGATCTTCACCGCTGCGAGTCGGCATTGAGCCCACCCCCCATCGAGATTCGGCACATATATGACAGATAGAGATGAGCTGGATAGCTTCGATCCATGATTCAGGAATGCTGGTTTCAGTCTAGCAAACCAGCGAACGGCGGAACAGAAAGCTAGTCGGATGATCCGGACCTAGAGAGCAGCAAATGGGGGAACACTCGCTCGGAGCCCCGCGGATTACACCAATAAAGAGTCGACGCCTCTTCTCATCTTAAATTGATCACCTGCATCTTAGAAGCTCCCCTCGAAGCGAGTTGATGCAGCCTCGCGTGGGGTGTTGCTCGAGAGCTGATTTTGGAACGGGATAGCTCTTCGAGGCACTACAGTAAGCGCTTGCTGAAGAAGCATCATCTCCAGATTCCAGATGTTATATGACCCTGGAAACAAGAATAATTAGTGGTGGCGATAGAAAGGTCCATGATGTTCTTTGCGTGTTCTTAGTGCCTTCGAAAGTATAAGGTTCGGCGATGTCCAGCTGGAGCCGTTTCGGACAATCATTGAAACAGGATCTAGTCATGAACTTTCCTGCCAAACGTCAGGAACGGGTAGGTCTCTTGCCCTCATCCCAGTCAATCAATAATCTTACTGAACTAAAGCAGGCCAACGACAACTACGGGGATGATTCTTTGGGGTTCCTGTATCATGAAAATTCGTTCTCCATGGGAGAAGAATCAGCCACTCGGCTTGCCGCCACCAACGCCACCATAATGTATCTGCACTGAAGAACAAAATCGACCAAAGAGCTTGCTCTGTACCTAACCTGATTCGGTTCAGTGGCAGTACAAGTATAAATGGGGAAGCATAGTTGCGATTGAAGCTCTAGATAACTTTTATAGCCGACTGGCTGGGTATAGGCAATGTGCTTCCAGCAGCAATTCACTCCCTCATGCTTACGTCGGAGCATTTGACCACAAATTGAGCTCATCCATAAGAGTTTGGATTGGAAATATTCAAGTGCACAACTGCAAGCGTAGATGTGTACTAGCTCGAAATTTGAGCGTGTCCTTGACTTCACCTGCGGCAAACTCGAAATCGCTCGTATGGTTCTGTTTACAATTCGGGAAACAGTTGATTCCGAGCCATGTAGCTCCAGTGTCGAGATCTGGGATCCTGAGAACATGTTGGATAGGTTCATTGGTATCTATGTCAATGTCAAGCCCATTGCCTCGTGGTTTCGATTTTCGACTGGCTTTGTAACCTGGTTGTTGGCAAGGACGCGCACAGATGGCTGTTGAAGCCGGACTGGTAGCCATGAAAGTTCTTGCATAACCAGCGTTATTTATCAAAATGACTTGCGAGACGTGGGCTGTCTCCTTCTGTCTCTTGCTGTGTTCGTCTGTCTTTATTGTCTTCTGCAGTCCGTTGAGGTGGCTTGTTCTTCTGCTGGCGACTGCCAAAACTGTCCCCTTGCATACTGTCCTCTTTATCTTGGCATCGTTGAATGCAATTTATATCTTCCTGTGTTTTATGGCTAAGTGATCGATCTGTCGGTGACTGACGATGGCGGCCATGTCTTGCGCTTTGCCTCGGTCGTCCTTGAGGCTTTGAGGGTCATGAAAGGGGACTCCAGAAAAGGAGAGATCGTTAGCCTACAAGTCCTTTGCGCAATTGCCTTCCGCACCTTGTCTAACGAAAGTCCTTTCTTGCGAGTCTTTGCGATGGGCGTTGTCGTCCATCACCGGCCTATCGGCTCACTTGCTATGCAGCCCAGCCTTGTCATCCTTAATTAAACCAGTTTTCCCAGGCGTGAGTAGATGGAAGCGCTAGCCCGAGCACGAAAAGACAAGTTTTGGGGCGTTTGAACAATAAACGGTAATGGGAACGGACTGGCCTGGTCAACGCCAGCAAGGGTCATGAGTCTGCTATGGCAATGCCGTATCTGGAGCTCTCAGACGCCTGGGGAGAGAAGCTCTATGCCTGGCAGAGCTAAGAGGATGCATATTCCCTGTGCCTTGAGAGTTCGTGCGGAGAAGACCTTGCTTGCCATGAATACGAGAGAACAGTACCATTTAGGAGGAGCAGCGACGCTCTGCAATGGGTGGTCCAGGAGCCAGACAGTAAGAGGAGGGAATACGCACTAATAGGATTTGCTAGATTCTCTCGCCACTGCTTTGATAAAGTGGCTATCGGACCAGCTCCTACCGGTGTTTGTTCACCCCGCGGCGGGGTATACTCATTGATAATGGCGAGAACGATCCGCAAAACAGTGATATAAGGTCCTGCGAATTTCGATATTTCTTCAATCAGGATTGCAGATGGCAAGGCTATGGACAGAAGGGAGTCCTGGAGGACAGTTGGCAATTGGTGTTGTAGTTGCGGATTGTGAGAAGTGGAAGCAGGGGCATGGTCTCGGGACTTGTAGGTACACGCCAGTGCATTCTGATACTCGAAGAGTCCCATGTGATATACACATTCGAAGAGGGGCAGCAGGTGCTATATGAAAGAGAGAAAGAAAGAAAGATATTATCGAAAGTCAGAGTTGCGTTTCAAGTCTACTGTTCTCCAGCCTAGGCGGAATATTTGGACTTTTGTGGTACCTTAATGGCTCACTTCGAAGCATGTTCCGTCAGGGTTAGAACGTATTGTGAGCTTCTCAAAGCATGTCAATGAACAGCAGGAGATGCTTAGAAGCACAAGAAAGTTCGAAAATGTCTCACAAAGTGCCTATGATGTCTACATTGCACATATGGTCTAAGGATCTGCCGCAGAAATCATTTCATCAATACCCAATTGACAAGGTTCTTTGCTTGAAAATCTCCCATGAGGCCCCTGTTTGCTGCAAGCCATTCACAGCGGTGTTGACCCAGGTTCTAAAGAGATTTTTCAGGTTACCAAGAGTGTCCAGGAGCGGAAAAAATTAACAAGAAATAGCAGGTATTTTTCACTTTCGAAGCACATGCTTTGTTGGTGGCAGAACTGCAGTGTGATCAGTATCTTCAGTGAAACTTAGTTATGACAACACAAGGTTCACGATCAGTAGCAAACGACCAACAGGTCTTACACTAAAAACAGGTCTTCTGATATATTTTGATATCAAGTCAAAGCAGGATGCTTGCGGCCTCAAGGAGCCAGTGTCCCAAATGCGAGAGAGATTTCTCTTGGCACAATCCCTTTGATCTTAGTATAGGCTCAACGCTTTCTGGTACTAATAAAGACAACAATCAGGTGCTGGCTTCTTTATTGACACAAGAAGTAGCTATCGACTAACCGGTTCTAAGGCTGAGCCAAGAATAGCCAACTGTGCTATTCTCAGCCTTGAAGAGATACAATCCTCAAACAGCAGTCGAGGTTTACATGTAATAATGAAATGCTTTTCTTTATTGCCATCTATTTTCCTGAAGTCGTCTAAGAACAGAACCTCAAAGTTGGGCAGGGATCCCAGAGCCGAGGAAGCTGAAGCCCCTGCAAGCGCTGAAGCCACCCCAATGTCCCGACGCGAAAACGAAACTCAACTTCAACGACAGGTCATCCACTTTTGATCCTCCAAGCCGGGATATCTTTCCGCCCCAATTGTTCCACTGCAGGTACCCATAACTCAGAATAGCATGATGCCCATGCTTCCGGATAAATCCTCAGTGAGGCCATGTGCGTTGCCTATCAGCCGCCCTGTCAAGCTTTGGCACCCAATCGCAACCCCCACTCGGGAGATGAGCCGCATCAATATATATCAATTTCGGCTCTTCAGGATCGAGCAGAGGCGGTTCTCGAGACTAAATGTGCCTTCGCGGTACTTCCACATCTCTGGACATTGCTCCAGATAGCCCTATACTCGAGAATATCGAGACGATCACAGCGCCATACTGTCTTTGGCGACCACTGAGTCGCCGCTTCGTCCTCACTACGCCAATCGATTTGTTGATAAAAGCGCTTCTGGGCCACTCTCAAGAGTCCATCTTTTGGTCTGTGCAAGTGCCGCGTCTGGCCCAAACGCCAGTTCCCACATTCAGCAGCTACCCGGGTCCACAGGAGCATCGTGCCATTAGACCAGAACGCACCTCTGGACAAATTCGTGATGGGAGGGCTCATTTTCACTACTGACGTGTTGATTCTGCATTGAGAGAATATAGGTATGGCTTCTGGAGCAGTCCCTGTCAGGTCGGCACCCACCGACACATCAACTCTTCAGATATTGGAAGCATTCCTCGAGGGGTCCATCTACGCACTCACTCATGTGGTGTAACAAGGGCTAATTATCCCTCCAAGGAATTCCTAGCACCATATCAACTTGCACCGCTCGTGCTCTAGCCTCATCTCTAGCGTATGCAGCAAATGTCGTGGAAGACTCCATCCGAGAAGATACCGACCTCAAACTGCCATGGCTGGATATTCTGGCGCGCCACAAGTCCATCCTCAACGCTAATCACCGATTCTGTTCAAGCTTTGAAGGACTGCGAATTTCTATGGTCGTGGAGCGAGGCCTTCAGAGATTGAGATACTGCTAGCGGGTCCAACACTGTCTACCATGTCCAATCTACTATGTCGAGGTAAGTCCACTATCGAGTTGAACGTTTCCTGATCTCCTTGTACTTTCTATATGAGGTAATAGGGTATTCTAGAAACATGAGCTAAAGGTGGACATCATCCCTTCTCTTTTCTTAGGAAACCCCCCAGAATGTATCTGGGAACTCATAGGACCAGGGCCTTGAGAATGACGAAAAGCTCAGCAATATGTAGTGAATGGGACTAATCTAGCGTGATCCAAAGTTGCCAAGCCGTCATATTTATTTTGTGGATTCGCCCATGCCTAACTAGGTATTCGTTGATTCCGCCACGAAAGATGCGTGGGTGATCGGGAGCGGGAACTAGCATTGGCCTCGCGCACCCCGCCTGTCCTACCCGCGTCATGACTCCACTTTACATGATCGAGTAACTGCAGGAATCTCAGTGTTGGGCGTTGAAAGACATTGAAGACTCATAAACGATTGCATACAAACGCTCGCAAGATATGCTGACTAGTTCTCCGCAGTCTTGATATCAAGTCTCGTCAGTATAGGTTGGTCAAGAGCCCCTGCCCAGATAGGTAGGGGCCAATCTGATATCACGAATGTGGGTCAGACCTGCAAGCTGCAGAGCCTCTAGACTCCTACTCATTCAGACCGATAGTGTTGGCTAGATCTAGGTCTACATGCAGTGCTACCCTTCAATGGCAGCCCAGCACGGAACAGTTTTCTGGCTTTATGCATGCAAGTTTATCTATAGCACCTTCAAAGCAATGCAGCGGTCTGCCCCTGCCAGTGGGTGAGGAGTGGGGGGTTTCGCTACCCGTCTCGAATCTACTGACTTCGTCTGCCACTACAATGGCGGAGGCCATGGTTTTGATTGCTGACGTATCTCTTATACCTTTGATCACGCACACAGACCCTTTTGTCACCTCCCAGCTTTCCTTCACACTCTCATTGCTTCTGTGCTGTCCTGAGTTACTCTCGTTGATACACCAAGCTCAACTGTTATTCTCCTTCGTATACCTCCATGTACGACCGCAGACCGGAATTATGATGCAGAGGGCGATTGGATATTTTCTCGTAAAGAAAGGTGATGGCACAATTCCCCAAGGAGCGACCCTAACAGGGAGCGGTAGAAAGGTCCAACTGACGAAAGAAAAATGGCGAAATTACTTCTTCGACGGGGACTTTCGAAACGAGTCCCGAGAGACTCTTACTGAAATTAACGGCAGCGTCACAGCTAGTTGGCTATACCACAACCAATGTATGAAGAATTTGACGGAAGAGCAATCATTCGAAGGGGCTCTATACAAGAGAGACAGGGAGAACTACACATTCGCCCCTGAAGGGTTGGACGATTCTGTATTCTTCCGGGAGATGACGAGGATGAACGTGAAAGTAAGTCATCTCACCACCAGTCTCAAAGTACGCGCTGACATGATGATTCAGTGCGCCATAACCTACAATACATTCTTCATTCAGTTCATTCTGGACACAATGATTGACAAAGCAATCAGCAACGACTTCGTCCCACTTGGAGGAGGTCAGCGCATTCAGCTCCTTCCTTCCCTCAAGTACCTACGCGAATGCAAGAAAAATCAGTTGGCCGCTTTCGTCATGGATGAAAAACTGTTGGTTCTTTGGGATGATGATCCGAAGGAGATATTCAAGCGGGGGTTCGATATCGAGGCCAAAATTGTACTAAATATCTGGGGGCCGTGGGATGGGTGGTCGAAGGAACAGTGGAAAATCGCCGCTAAAGAGCTTGGGGTATCTGAAGGAACGCTTTCTCCTGCTGAGATTGAGGATGCAAGGATGGAAAAGAAGCGAAAAACGCTTCTTATCAATCCCATCATCGTTGGTCTTACTCTGACCTTGCTCTTCAGCGCACTGGGGCTGGGTGCCAGGGGTCTAGCACAGGAGATCGCAGTCGATGGCGATTATCGGCGTCTGATACTTCTCCTCGCCGTTCCAGCTCAAATCTTCGTCTCTCTCTTTTTCATGCAGATTGTTATCACCAACATTGCTCAGGTGCTCGGCCCAGTCAATCAGCTCAAGAAGAACTCAAAATTCTATTCCGGAAATGCACCACCCCGAGTTGAACACGATGATACGCTCCCACACGTCACTATCCAAATGCCTGTTTACAAAGAAGGTTTGATCGCGGTCATCATGCCGACTGTTTTGTCCCTCAAAGCCGCGATGGCAACCTACGAGATGCAGGGCGGATCCTCCAACATCTTCATCAACGACGACGGCATGCAGCTTCTTCCCGAAGCAGAAGCCCAGGCTCGACGTAACTTCTACCAGGAACACAACATTGGCTGGGTAGCTCGACCTCCTCACAATCCCAACCCAGGGAAGAACGAAAAGGATAACGGCCAGAGGAAATTTGTTCGTAAAGGAAAGTTTAAAAAAGCATCCAATATGAACTACGCTTTGATGATCAGCAACAAAATTGAGGACAAGCTGCTCAAGATTGGACGTCACCAAACCTGGGCTCCAGAGGAAGAGCAAGAAGCCTACGACTGCTGTCTAGCGGAGGTTCTGGCTGAGGAAGAGGGCCGTGCCTGGGCGGAAGGCAACATCCGCGTGGGCGACTACATCCTGCTGATTGACTCGGACACTCGAGTACCACAGGACTGTTTGCTTGATGCAGCTACCGAGATGGAGCAATCGCCTGAGGTCGGGATCTTACAGTACTCCTCAGGGGTAATGCAGGTAACCGACACTTTCTTCGAGAATGGGTAAGTACAACACCCCCTCTTTTCGCTTACTTCCCATTCTCCTTCTACGTTTCTCGTGCCACCTCATCACTGACACCACCGGTTCAGTATCACGTTCTTCACGAACCTCATCTATACCGCAATTTGCTTTACCGTTGCCAACGGCGACGTCGCACCCTTCGTCGGCCACAATGCAATTCTCCGTTGGTCTGCACTACAACAAGTCGTGTACAAAGATGAAGACGGCTACGAGAAATTCTGGTCCGAGTCCCACGTTTCAGAGGACTTCGATATGTCCCTCCGCTTGCAAGTTGAAGGCTACATCATCCGTCTTGGAGCATACACTGGTGATGGTTTCAAAGAAGGAGTCTCACTCACAGTCTACGACGAGCTGAATCGCTGGGAGAAATACGCATACGGATGCAACGAGCTGCTGTTTCACCCTTTCCGACTCTGGATTACCCGTGGACCGTTCACGCCTCTCTTTCAGAAGTTTCTCATGTCAAATATTCGATTCACGTCAAAAATTACTATCCTGTCGTACATCGGAACTTATTATGCCATCGGCGCGTCTTGGATTCTGACAGTAGCGAATTATTTTTTGATCGGCTGGTTCAATGGCCATCTGGACAAATACTACCTTGACTCGTTTAGAGTCTTCTTCTCACTCATACTTGTCTTCAGCGCTCTTGGCAATGTATCTCTTGCCATCTTACGCTACAGACTTGGGAGAGGTGATCTCCTCGCGGGTCGTAAGTTCAACCCCACCTGTGACAAATCCTTCCCCACTCAATTTCCACTCAGCTGACATCTTATCTTTCCTTCCCAGTCTTCGAAAACTTCAAATGGCTCCTCCTAATGACCATTTTCCTCGGCGGCATCTCCCTCCACGTCTCCCAATCCCTCCTCTCCCACTTCTTCGAAATCGACATGACCTGGGGCGCCACCGCCAAGGAAGTCGAGACCGTCGATTTCTTCGAAGAACTACCACGACTTTTCAAGCGCTTCAAGATAACGTTCATCTTCTGCTTTGGAAGTGCGATTGGTATGGTGGTTTGTGCCAAATACGTGCCGTGGCAGTGGCAGATCAGGGATTTCGTTCCGATTTTCCCACTGTGCTCGGTGGTTGTTAGTCATGCTTTGTTGCCGATTGCGTTGAATCCTGCGTTGATGACTTTTACTTGGTAGAGAAGATGGATCTTACATATATGAATTGTTTAGTGCATCAGATAATACCGTTTGAAGGATGATGTACTATTTGGCTTTGGGAATTTTCGTTGCATATGGTATTATAGCGTTCATGTACAAGCGGATACCATGAGGCGCTCATTCTCAGATCGAGCAGGCCTGCGTAAACTGAATTTTGAGATATTTAAGGATGACACTTGATAGACAAGCTGGTTTTCAGATGATAGAATCCTACGAAATAGTAATGCAATGTACAAGATGCCGCAGCCGCTCTGTCTCCTTCCCGGATCTCGTGGACAGTGGGCACCTCTCTGTCTCAGACTAGTCAGTCTTTTCCAGAAGTGCTAAATGACTTCAGAACGCTCAGTACTCGCTCAAGTCCCTAGCGGATGCCTCAACTCCTTACGTGCTCTTCAGCCATATCCACTTGGCATTCCTTCATCACACCTTCCGTCACTTTTGCAGCCAGTTCGAACCCGCTTGCACGCTATTAGGTCTAGAAAACTGATTGCATCAGCGTGGAAAATCTGAACAAGTATATTATCTACCGAAGTGGAGATCCCACGTTTAAAATGCCGTCTGTGGCTACAATTTAACGATGTCCATGGTGGGAATCTCCGAAAATCAAAGTGGGGATTGAGGTTAAAGCCTACGGAGAACTCCCAGAAGTCGAGATTGTGGGTGTGTGGAAGGGATGACGAAAGTTCTAGTGTTCTTATTCTTGGTTTGGTACTGTGGCAACTTGGGTCGGGCTAGGCTGGTCTAGGCAAGTGTAAGATGTGAACGATGGAGACGCCGAATTTAGGTGATCGATACTTGGTAGGGCTTTCCTAAGCAGCACCCAAGCGCTAACACTGGAGCTTTTGAATACGCCAAGCTGTTCGTTGCGTATATTTGAAGTGTAGCTGGATCTTCTTGAATATGACCATGGCGGATGGTAAGACTTGTTTACCTCGCTAGGAGGTCAAGGGGCTCGCTTAGCAGGATACAGTAGTGATTGTGGGGTCGCTAAGGTAAAGTGGGGACGACCAGCAGCGGGTCTAAACTTATGTTATCAGATAATAATACTAATCGATGGACGAACATGCTATTTCGTCCTCATTCATGTAGTAAGCCAACTCTCCAAATCCATCCTGATCGTGCAAACTCTGTCCATTTCCAAGCCATTTGAACGAATTACTGCTTCTCGACACAATGTCGAAATGTTCATGACCAATATTATCCAACACATCTTTGAAGTGTAGAATCGAGCCAGCATAAGTACCAGTTACAATTCCACTTTCCTTTCCATTTTTGTACCAGGATCGGCATCGGTTCCCCCATACAGTTCGCTTGAGGAACTCCTGTGAGTAAGCATTGAAGTCAGCCACAGACTTGGCTTTCGGCGCGACGGACTTGATATCTTGTTCGGCGATTTTCTTGGCCCATCGGAGGATGTAGTCGCTTGTCCAGGATACTTGAGTCAGAATCGAACCATGTGAGATGACTGCATTGGGTCCATTGTACATGAAATAGTTCGGCATCGAGTCGACTTGAACTGAGAAGAATGCATCGGGGTTGACTTCCCATCGCTTGTCCAGTGTTGCTCCGTCGAGTCCCACCAATTTCCAAAGGGGGATGAACGACGTATCAAAACCTGTTGCGCAGACAATCATGTCGAATTCTTCTTCCTTCCCATCTTCTGTGAGAATTCCCTTCTCTGTGATAGTTTCGATAGGTGACCAATTTATAGAGCTGTTGTCTTGCTGCACAGCTTCAAGGTAGCCATCAGCGGGAGAGAGGCGGCGGCATCCAGGGTGGAACCCGGGGATCATCTTCGCTGCCAACTCGGGGTTGTTTCTGAGAATTTCTAGTGTTTACTCTTTGCAAGCAGCCTCCAATCCCTGTTGAAATGGGTGACCAACGTACATCCCGAAGAAAAACCCATTGACGCTTCACAAATCATGAGCAGAGCGCTTGTCAAGGATGAGTCTGATGACAAGATGAACGAAAAGTCGGCAATACTTACGATACTTCAAGCTCTTTGCGAAGCTTGTACAGCGTTTTAGGATTCTCTCTGAATTCCCTCTTCTCTTCCTCGGAATACTTGAAGTTCTTCCCGTCCCTGGCCTTGTCCGCACAGAAGTTAACAGAGATCCACGTAGGACCACGACAGTAATTGACCATCTTCGAAACTTTAGGTTGCATTGCTGGAACAATTTGAAGACCAGATGAGCCGTTGCCAATTACTGCCACTCTTTTGCCTTCCCACTCATATGTGTCGTCCCTGTCATCAAGTGTCAGATATCAACACCCCTGGAAAATTACTAGCGAGCTTTAATTTACCAGCTGGCACTGTGTACTATTTTACCCTTGAAATTCTTAAGACCTGTGATTCGGGGCCATTTCCACTTACTAGAAACCTAGTCAGCATAGGATCAGGTGAACGAGAATACGAAAGGGCTAACTTCAAAAATCCAGTTCCGTTAACAAGTATATCCGCCTCATCTTCTACGACTTCACCCTCCCTTTCAACCTTGATTCGCCACTTTCCAGATTCTTGATCCCAGATTGTCTCGAGAACTTTTGAGTTGAAGTTGACATTCTTAGTCAAGTTGTATTTATCTGCAGTGCGTTTGATGTACGCATGAATCTCAGGTGCTGGAGAATAGAACATCGACCAATCTGGATTTGGCTCAAACAAGAACGTGTACGCATCTTTGTGGCGATTAGCATGAAATTTAATAGATACATAGCTAACTGACGGGATGGAATGTCACAAGCTGCTCCGGGATACTTGTTTTCGTACCTATTCGGAAAATGACACCAAAGTCAGTGACCATAAAAGTCTTAATCCAAAATGGAGATAAGATGGACAGTCAGGAGGAACCATAAGTTTAATGTGCAGAGTAAGTGACGTGCTCAAATCTCAAGCTCACCATGTACCACCGATATCGGGATTCTTCTCATAGATCGTGAAGTCGATCACATCTTCCAATTTTTGCTCGTGTTGTATCTTATGCGCAAGAGTCAATCCCGAGTACCCTGCCCCAATACATACGATTCTCAGCTTCCGGCGTGTCAATATTGGCTGCTCCAAGAGCCAACTGGGACAACTTTCCCCACTCGGAATATATTTCTCTTCTTTTCCCATTATGAATTCTCAGGATAGTCTCTGGTAAATTTGTACCAATACGAACAAGGACGGTCAGCCGCGCAATAGGAGTAAGAAAGGGGAAAGAGGGATACATACATGACCTCGTTCCCTTGGATTCAATGCGGGGTAGCTCTGTTATCTTGATATTGCTGTTGGATGTTGTTAACTTACTCTGGTATTGGCTGCCATTGGACATATAAACAGGGTGTCCGGATGTTACTCGGAAAAGTGCGTAGATTCAGCCGATGCTTTCTAGGAGAATGGTTGGTGGAGCTGCTTGAGCATATCTGTGAGTCTAGAGCCCTGCCAGCATGCCATTACCTCGGACTTTTACCTCATAATGAGCAGATGTTGCATTGCCAACCTGCAGAACCAAGACCATTTTACCAACAAAACTTACCAGGCAGCCAGGTTCTCAACATCTCATGCATGACTTAAGCGAACGTTGGCAATTGCCCCATACCTGTCACGCTTTTGTAGCGACGGTGGTTTCTTTCAGAATTGTATGAAATATCGATTGATAAGAGCTTTAAGTACAGCGAAGTTGACTGCCTGTTGGACTTGCTCCAAAATGATGTCTGCGCCTCTGTGACTTGTTTGACTTGTCTCGTCAAAACCCCTGTTGATTCCCTAACCCTGCATGTATGCTTTGCGTGCCGAACCGTTGTCGCCAAGTGGCACAGGGGACGCAATCAATAAACAGGCACTTGCCTTTGCCTTCTCACACAGAGAATCAAACTCTCAGCAGGAAAGCCCGATAACAGAATTTGGTTGTTGCAAATGAGTCACGCTACCTTCACGCAACAAGCTTCTCGTTGAGACCAGTTCCAAGCTCGTAGTGAGTAATTATTCGCGCCATTCAGTGTTTTGAGAAACCTCAGGAGGGACATGGGTCGTGAAGCACTGTAGTAGTGCAAGCGGAAGCTCCTATCTGTTCCCCGGCACGCCAATTGTTGGTGGAGAGTGGAGACCAATCATAGCTTCAGATGAATGTTTCTGGAGAGGCGATTCGCTATAAGCTGTTCGTAAATAATAGGGAATCTAGGGAATTTAGGGAAACGCTCCAATTGGGTATCTTAAGTTCTCCTTTTGCCCGCAGGATGACAGGTCGGAAAATCGGTGTGGATGCTGGAATTTTCCATATTTGCGAGATGGAATGCAAGATACCAGGTAGCGAGCAGAATCGACTGATGAAGAAGCTCAGGGCGTGTTGGATCTTGGTCGGTCCAATGATGAGTGGTGCGCATTTCCCGAATATCCTACATTGTTGGTGTCTCGAGGTCGGTTGGGATCTTCATTGAAACTGTCTGCACTTGACCCTTACCAAGTCACATTTTGGCATAAAATGGGCTGATGTTGGAAAACATGCAGATTGGAGAAATGCAACAATGCTTCTTGATGATTGTCCATATAAGTGTCTGTGACCTGTGACAATGATTTTATAATAAGCAAGATGTGATGGATCCCATCTCTTGGTTTCTTGTCATTTCAGATTTCGACAAGTCAGCAAGCAGAATGTCGAATAGCGGAGTCTTTGGCCCGACTCCAGAAGGTGTCGACCTTTTGGAGACCCAAAACGCGGCTATCTCAGGTGCAGTTATCAGCCTTATGGTCATTGCCACGATTTTTGTGCTTCTCCGTGTAATAGCCAGGACCATGCAGAAAGGCATTACTTTGGCTGTTGATGACTATTGTATTGCTGTCGGACTTGTACGTCTAGCTTGATGGGTTCTTTTGCTTGGTGGTCTTGCTGATGCTATAAAGCTGTTCGCCCATGGAACAGCCATATGTTCCCTTGTCAGTGAGTGACCTCCAAAAGCGAAGGACTTTTAGGCGACTGTCTCGTTGAAGAGCTCATACTTTCCAGGTCTTCCACATGGAGGAGGAAAACATTTATGGGCGATAGACGCTACACAATTCACAGTGATTTGGAAGGTACCACAGGATGTGCATGTTTTGCCATCTCCTGCTAATTTTTCAACAGATCTTGTTCGCATATGTCATGATATATGCTCTTGCAGTCAGCTTCACCAAACTTTCAATTGTCCTGTTCTATCGTCGAATTTTTGGAATGAACTTGGGTCTTTGGCTCTGCACCTTCCTGGTCGTGGCATACTGCGTGACTGTAATAGTCACAATCTTGGTATCCTGTCAGCCACTTGAGTATTTCTGGGTCAGTTTCAGCACTTTCCATGAGAGGCTTTCAACTGACTGCTGAGGAATAGACTCAATACACGACCCCAGGCGCCACAGGTCACTGCATCAATGTTTCGTTATTCTTCTTTGCCAACGGCATCTGGGTATGCTAGTAATGATCTAAATCAAAATCACATTTCTAATTTGTATGTAAGGCTATGCTGGTTGACGTGTGCATACTGGTTGTCCCAGTACCTGTGAGTGAGTACACCGCTCCCCAATTTATCCCCACAGCACGCTGACCATGTGCCATAGTTTTGAAGCTGCAGATGCCAAAGAGTCAAAAGATGGCTGTGATGCTTATCCTACTACTCGGCAGTTTGTGAGTAGGCGTGTGAGCACGAACAAATATCTCTGCTAACAATATGTTGTGCAGTGTATGCATCGCATCCATTATTCGAATCCTTACTATCCATGTCGTCATAACATCAGATGATCTTACTTGGGCCATGGGCCAACTTTTCATCTGGTCATGCTGTGAGCCTTACATAGGCATAGTATGTGCTTGCCTACCAACGCTCGCACCATTTTTCCGCCGGTGGTGGGCAACACTCGTGACAAAGAGTAGCGGCTCATCGAACAAGTTCCCTTCCGACGACATAAGCCCTTCGGATTACAAAGAAGCCAAAAGAAGAAATGATCTCGCAGAGAGCGTCAGTGGAGATGGTAAGAGAGATTGGATTTTGTTTCAAGGTCCGATCAAAGTCAGGGACGACGATCAAATAGAATTGACGACGAATGTGACTGGACCTGGAAGTATGAAGAGATACGAGAGCGATGATGCATCAGACTTGAACACGACTCATGATATACGTGTGCAGAAAGATGTAACTTGGACGTCAGCGCATCTTGAAGACGCTTAGGTTCAAAAAACTCTCGTCAGACCACATCAACAGTGACTTCAGTGGATTGCAGCTAGGAACTGATTTCCTCTTACCGTGAGAATGCCTATATCCTTAAAGACGATGTTCGTTCTAACCAGGAACAAGGTTTTACGTCCTACTAATCTATTGTTCATCCTTCGACTTGCACTGCAGGCAGCCCAACAAGATGCACGAGTACCGGTCTTAGTCGGGCAATTCATGTAATGGTGATCCATAAAATCTCATAGTCAAGTTGTACATGGTGGGGAATAATATTCTCTCACAAGACAAGTCCGCCGCATGTTGAGTCAAGGCGGGTAGTCGATCGTCGCAACCCGACCAGCTTGACCGGCTTTTTACTTCACAAACCCAGAGCGCCGAAAAGGCGAACGAAAGAGACAAGGATTGCCCCTATGAGCCGCCTGACAACGGTCGTCACAAGTTTTGACACCAATCAGCCAGTAAAGGACAGCCTCGGCCAGGTTACACGTATAGTACGACATTCAATCCTTTGGAGGTACGAGGTCGCGTCTTGAGGGCCAGATATTGGCACAGTGACATCTCGCTCGCCCAAACTTTCATATCTGATGCCAGGCAGAAGAGACAGCTTCTCTATCAAGCACATCAATCCTTACCCGTTTGGGTTTGAAAGTGAGTAAACATTTTATGTCAACAAGGCGTAGCAAGTGGAGGGGACAATTTCACAAGGTAGAACACGAAGGGAGCAAGTCGAATGCAACTCGAACCAACCCCACGCTTTGGCTCACCGACGTGTCATACTTAATGATAAGATTAGGGAGTAATCAAGGTGATTTGTCTGAGGTGTAACCATGCCATCAGGATGATCGGGTAATGTTCTGTGGCTGAAAGACACAATACAACGTATTGCCAATCAGCGAAAAGAAAATTATGGCGACAAAGTGCACCATCCGAAGCAAAGAAAGACCGTGACGCTGTTCAACATGGAGATCGAAGCTGTGATTTGTGTCATTGGTCTCTGCAGAAGGTCTGGAGCCGGCATTGAGCTGTCCCGTCCGAGCTGCATTCGACTGAGTACATTTCGAGCATCAACCTCCGTATGAAGATCTATCGTCAGAGGCCGGGCTGAAAAATTTGGACATCCTTCTTGCAGAAATAGGATACACAGGGTCCTCAACGTTACACTGAGACTTGCTGTTATCAAGGCTGTGGGTGGGCCAGATGACGGTGCTTGTACGATCCAACAAACCAACATCTTAGGTATCCTTGTCAAGACAGATCCCGGGGACCCGGTACTCGAGACCACAACTGTCACTTGCGACGCTAGTCATTGATAGATTCTGGGATTTGTCGCTGCCCTTAATCTCACTGGCGATGTGGGCTGGCAAGTTGTTGATGCTACCTACACATTCAGATCAACCTTCTAGAAACGTCACATCAAGATGACTCGCACTTTTGGGCGAATCACCGTCCAGTGATGCTGTTCAGGACATACGATCCTCCAAAGTTCAGGCAGGCCAGCGTTGCTCTTCGAGAATCGAGATGCAGTGCGCCGCGACCGCATTGTCAATTTGACCGTCGTGCATGACCCTGAACGTATCATACTTGTGCCAGCGCCTCAGTTGAGCATCTTGCATGAATCTTAGTTAAATCGTAGAGCTACATCTATTGGTGCAGCCGCCGGAGCCCAGCTTATCCGCCCAAATCTAGTGGAAGAGATTTTGAGTAACGCACATGTGCTTGAAGCTCGGATGTGGAAACCTCACCTTTTGTGTCAATACCAGATTGGCTCGTGCTATCGGCGCGATTCACACGGTGAAGAGGTATGCAGGAGTTGCCATTTTGATGATGCTGGCCGGTGGACTCTGGCCGATCAAGTCTTGAAAAGTCGACTGCTTTCTCACAGGCTGAGCTGTCTAGACTTCCGGGCCATGGCAGATTTAGAGGACGTCGTATGCCGGGAGTTTGTCTTGCGAACTCACACCCCCTCCCAGAACCACGACAGCGGAAAATCTCTTGTTAGAATGCTGTCATTAATTATCTTGGCGTTATTCAAAAAAAAAAAATTGAGGAAGACAACGCCATGATACTTTCCAAAGCGGTGGTACAGATAAGAGCGCAGCACATTGGGCCAAGTTGGTGGTCAAAAGAGAATAGCATCTCTTAAAACCTTACACGAACTTGGCGTGCAGGATCAGCACAACTAGAATCTTGAAGATTCATTGACTTGGGCAAATCAAAGTGACCTTATTTTGTGGCTGTTACTTGGAATGTGGACGGCGGTTTGGGCGCACATGGCGGACCGAATCATGTGTGGGTCAGGGCATGCAAGAAATTCTTGCAAAATAATTCTAGTCCTTCCCAAGACAGCGGTCTCGGGTGTAAAGTTCCCTTTTGGTAAGGTGGATGGGTAGTATCTGTCATGTCTTATATCTGCTTTTTCAAGAATTTCTGGTCAGGTTGCTGCTGGAGATTAGTCAAGCAAGCGATTAAAGCGCAAGATACAGGCATTTTCGTCGTCATGACTTGGCATTTAGCTGGATGTGAGAATACTTACTGGGAATATACTTAAGTTATCACCTCCAGTTGGTCGAAGAAATTCGCTTCGAGTCAAAGTTGTGTTCTTCGCCCCTAGCTCGAACTTGAATTATCTGTAGACTTTCAATCCGCAAAATGCTACCCATTCTTCCCTTACAAGTTCAGCTAACTAAAATTCCGATAATGATGGTGGCTGGCACTTTAATCAGTTTGACACTCTGCTTTAATCGGCATCTTCGTATGAAAGTTTCGCAATGCTGGCATTGGTTTAACAAAATGGATTCCAGGTTGAAGTTCCACCCTGTACTGCCTTTGCCGAATTTCGATATTTCGAAGACGACTCCCCGTGCGTACAGGCCATGGAAGGCAGGAAGGTATAACATGACTATGGGCATTCGTAAAATGCCGGAGGAAGACTGGTTGTATGTGATGCAAGCCAAGATCGGTCGAAATTCAATATCTTGAAGAGCTACCATGAAATGATGCTGACTGATTGTGTAATAGACTCATCGATAATCTCTACAAGAAGGAACAGGAGGCGAGAATTAGTCTCCTCCAAAACAACTACGAAAGCGTACTTCAATGTCTGCCTCCAGCCACAGAAGCATGCAAAGAAGCCCTCGAGTGCATAGTCAGCTTCCTGATACAACGTTACCCATCACAATTCTGGATGCTTAAAAGCAAGCATGGCTATGTCTACAACGCAATAACATCGAAGACGTTCCGATTTGTTGAGCCTTACGACCAACACCCACTTGCCATAGCTGCACAGTTAGCGATGGAAGATATCAACATACTCATGCCAGGTACTGGAGATACCGCAAATGAGCATTTCTTGTTAGTGAGCTCAATGCATGGCAGCGAACAGAAATAGTGACAAGAAGTCCAGACAAGCAAGCTGCTCATTTGCTCCAGCAGGATGGTACATCCAAGAACGTATTGGATGGCCGTTATGGAAGATACACGGACCAGTACCACTGTGGGACTTGAAGCTGAGAAAGGCGATGGAAAGGTAAATCCACCCCTTCAGACAGAAAGTGTCTAACTTTTGTAAGATTCTTCCTGGGCATAAAGGTGTCAAATCCAGTACAGCGAAACAATTACTTTGTGCAAACAAATGATACCGTGTTTCAACAAGAACCATTTGCAGCTTCGATCGAATGTCCTCCAAAAATCGAAGACATCCGAATCAGACATGAACGTCAGACACTACGAAGACTTCCTCGCACGGGTGCTGTAATGTTCTTGGTGCGAACATACATGGAGCCTATCACTGAACTCTCGAAAGATTTGGACAGCTTGTACGCGCTGCGCTCAGCAATAAATGCCTGGCCGGCTGAAATGGCTAAGTACAAAGCGAGACACGTTTGGCACGAGCCATTTGAGAAGTGGTGCGAGGAGGTGCTTGGAGACTACGTTCCCAGTCACGAAGAGAAGAAATTATGAGGATCAGTGTAGAAATCGTCGTTGGCACAGTGGGATTTATGTATCTGAGGCGCAATATCTTTGGTGCGGAATCGAAACTGCGACCTGCACCCAGCGATGCCAATCAATGTTCGTGTTTACTGTTTACGAGGAAGAAGCTATCGCTTAAGGCTCCGGAATCGACTTAGTCCCAAACTCGCCTGAATTGACATATCATCACGTGTCTAGAAATAGAGTTCTTGACCTGCGCAAGCTCCCGTAGTAGTGGCTTCGACTTGCATCCAACTTCATCAACACCCAGAAAGTCAATCTTCAACCCGTAGCATGCAGATCATGAACTTTAAATTGATTGCCTGACAGTTTCTGTCAGACACCTGTTCATTTGTCAAAATACCCTGTTTCCGGTACCGCCAACGCGGTTCTGCCGCGAGCAACAAAACGCGGAGCAGCGCTTTTGATCATTTGTGATAAGAGACAGCTCAACAGCGCCCAATTGTGATCGATTCTCGGTGAGCATGCGTGTGCTGCTTGGTTACACGGCTATCGGTGCACTCTCATTCGATCAGCAAGGTCTGGACCAGCATAAGACCCCTCATCCTCGTCCAAATCGAGGAGATGCAGACGAGACCCTCCCAATGTGCTTCCTCCAATATCTGTTTGCTTTTCCTTTCCCCTCTTCTCCTCAATTACTCATCATCTGCTTTCCATGGGAGGGTATTTGATTTTCGCTGTCTGATTTGCGTGCTTACTGTTGTTGCATTCCGCTTTTTCTCTAACATTCCGACACGTACCTCCCAGCTCTTGCCTCTCATTATAATTATTTCCATTTCCAGGTTGCGATGGAGCCTCATAGTATGATCAGATACGGGCCTCCTGTGAGCCAAGTTCTAGCCCCGAGAAGAGCTATCAGTCGTTCCCGGACGGGTTGTGGAACATGCAGACTTCGAAAGAAAAAATGCGACGAAGCCGCCGGAACTGAATGTAAGCACATCTTGGCAGACTCAAACGTCGTGATAATCTCTCATTCTACATATAAACACTTTCCTTGAATTATTTTTGATATTTCTCAAGGCAACAATTGTCGAAAGGGGAATCTGAAATGTTCTGGCTACCCCGCAAGAACCGACTGGAATGGAGGACGGCAGCGGAGAAGGTCGGCAAAGCAGCGCCCGCCGGACCAAGCTGGGGTCAATCAGACCAGCAGTGCCTTGCCCGAAGCAAATATGAAGGACCCTTCCCAAGAGGATGTTGATTTTGGGTATTTTGTTCACTCATCGCCACCCCTGGCGGATGTCGAATCATCCGACCATGGGATGATGGTCAACATCGACCGCAATTATGTCGGTACAGATTACTTCTATCCTCAGTTTGGGGAAGATTTTGCCATGCCAGAGGACATGTCGCGATTCATCGAGATGGAACCACAGTGCTCACTACCGTTCGAACTCTCCCACGTCATTATTGGTGTTGACACGCCACTACATAGAAAGCTTTTCGACCATTTCCGTGGGACAACATCACGGGTGCTAACGACCTCCAATGGAATTGCGAACCCGTTTAATTCGATTGTTTTGCCTCTGGCTGTCCGTGACGAAACTATGATGAAATTACTTCTCAGTCTCGCGGGATCGCAGCTGCTGAAGCGGTACCCAGCAGAATCGGAACGGAGCCTGGAGCAGGAAACGACCCGTCTTCATCATGAAGCACAACGAGAACAATTTAAACGAGCCCGAGTCTTGGAAGAAAGATATCCACAGCATCCATATGAGTATAAAGACCGTGATCTTGAGGTCATCTTTACAACTCATCTCCTACTTTGCCTTTACGAGATCTGTCAGGGAAGTAGTGACGGTTCTGGTAATATCAATTTATCATCAGCGGGCAGAACCATCACGCTTGCTTCGACACCATCTCAAGATATAGTTGGACCACTGCCGCCGCGCTGCCATCTCAGGGCGAAAATCCATCCTTTTCTGCTGCAGTTCTATTATTACCATGTTTTCCTAGCCTCAGTCACTGTGCCGTCTGCACCCATCGTCGTGCCACAGTACGATCAGATTACAGATCTCATCGGGCAAGACACGTATCTTGTCGGTGTGCAGGACGGTCTCATCGACTTCATCGCTCGCATATCTGCTCTCCGCAGCAGTGTTGACGGCCACGGAGGCGAACTCGATGGACCTACCATTGAGACAGCCTTGAAGATTTTCGCGGAATTGGAGGCGTGGCACCCAAAAGCCACATCCTCCAGACCCGAATGGCTAGTGGCAAGTTTCTACCAAATGGCACTATATATCTGGCTCTTTTCGATTCTCAATCCAGATCACAGGGATCACGAGAAAGTCCAATTCAATGTCACACGCATTGTGACGGGCATGTGTGAGATTCCTGTAGGCGACGGCGTGATGGCTTGTATGCTGTTTCCACTATTCGTTGCAGGGTCTGCGGCTCTAAAGCAGGAGGATCGCAACCTAGTCATCACTCACTTCGCTACATTGAAGAGGTGGAGTGCACTGGGCAATATCGATGTAGCTCTCAAGGTTGTGCAGAGGATGTGGGAGCACCAGAACGCTGGGATGCAGAGCAGTTGGAACTGGGTGAAGCAATTGGAGGGGTCAAAAACGAGTCTCTTAGTGACCTAACAAAATCATTATAACGACTGTAAGCATTTCGTATCGGATCTTTTCGCTTTCGAAGTTTGATTACATATTTGGCTGGGATTGGTTCGGCTGGCAATCTGACAATAAAACTGTATGTTCTAAAAGGATGGTGGTGCTCATGTTATATGCACTTGAGCAAGGGAGCTCTGGCTGGGTCTTCTACGACTAAGGGTCTCGACTCTAGTCTGTATGAATTGGGTCTGTTTGGCGTTTTAATGTCTGAGCACCAATTACTGGTTGCTATGAATCTCACAACGAGAAACGTGTACGTGTGGGACAAACAATGATATCTGTTTTTGCACTTCACCAGGTCCGACAAAGTTCCATCCCCTCCTTCTACCTTCTACCTGCTACCACATCCAAGACCAAACTCGTCACACCCTTCACACTTCTTCTCTCCTCGCCGGCGGCCTCCACATAACAACATGGTCATCCTCACCAAACCCCTCCCCACCCTCATACTCCCACAACCTCAACTTCATCGTTTCAAACTCCACAAATCCAAATCGCTTGTACAAACCCAAGCCTTCTTTCGAAGCAGCCAATACGCACTGCAAATTCAGTCTGTCGACTTCTTCCAGGCCGCGAGAGAGGATTTGCTGGCCTATTCCGCGACGCTGGTGTGTAGGCGAGACGACCAAAGTGGTGAGTTCTATATGCGTTTAGACTCAGAACGCGAAAGGGTAAACTGGTCAGGGAGACACTCACTAGCATAGTCTCTTCCTTTCGTACTTCTCAGCATATGCTCATCAGCAACGAGAAACACATCCTCGCAAAACTTGACGTTCGCACCAATACCCCATCCGTTCCCCGTATCCTGCTCGTCTTCCTCTTCATACTCGTCTCGTTTCTGTTTCTCTTTTCCTCCACTCTGTGCACTTTCTTTTTCTGTCGTCTCCCCTCCATCAGATTTCATCTCATCCCCTGCTTTCCGATTCTCCTCCGCTTCTCTCCCAGTAACGAACCTCCACTGCGCAGCACCAGCAATTTCCTTATTCTCATTCCCATCTTCTTTCCTATCCTCACCCATAACAGCCATAACAACCACACATCTCTCGCCCTCCTTCTCAGGCTGTTTCGCTAACCCTTTTGCTCGCAATTCAATATTAGCGGGCGAGTCACGTTCCGGACCGAAAGCTACGATTGTGAATGGGTCATCGTAGAAGACGTGGTTTTCCAGGGCAGAGATCTGTGAGTAGTGTTGAGGTGTAGTTGCGGTAATGAGGGTTATTGGGAGGGGTGACGACATTGTAAGAGGTTGGTGTTTGGGCTTGGTTTTGTTGATATTTGTTTGTGAAATATAACAGGCAATTGAGTGCTTGGTGGCTCCCAGTAGTACGTGCTCGATTCGGCGTTCACTGAAAAGATTATGATGAAAGGTTGTGGTCGAAGAAATTTACAATGCAGAGAAGAATTTGTGCACTTCTATATATACGCCTCTCACCAAGACCTCATAAGCCGTTTTTGCATCGTTGCAACGTTGGTGTTGAAAGTCAATTGATAGCTGCAATATCTTGGTGGTGGCTTAGCGACGTTCATTGCCGGTCGTGAGAAGCTGCCGCCGCGTGAGTCATTACCGGACTTGTGCTCTATGCAACGTTGAAATTAAGGGAAGCCACAATTGGGAAGGTGGTTCGGCTAAGCATCTGGCAATGTAAATAAACGATAGATTTCGATGGAGAGGTATTGGACCAGAGTGCTGGAGATGCACACTGCTTTGGCTAGGCGACGCCTGTTCTTCACTTCACGATGACCACCAGCATAGAACATAACTGAGTCCGGGTGTATTTCTCTGATATTGCAAGAAAAGAAAATTTGCAATAGATAGCAAATAGCTCTTCAAATATGGGTATCTTAGTCATCTCTTTCATCTCAAAACCTTCCAATCAACGCCAACGCCCCATTTCACTCCCTCAACGACTATCTCCCAGACGGGGCCCTTAATCCCCACCATCTTTCCGACCTCAACGGCGCTTCCCTTCTGAAGACCCGTCCCTGCTCCTTCTCCAGCAAGTATAACCTTTACCTCTCCCACCGTATCCACCATCTCTCCAACCTCTCCATAGACATCAACATCAACGGTATGAATCTGCCGTCCTCTAACCATCGTCATGCCCTCCTTTGACCCCCCGCTAACCTCATCAACCATAATCTTTACGAGCCACTCCTCGTCCCTTCTCTTCCCTCTCATGTCTGGAATTGCTCCTTCCAGATTCATAAGCCAGTCTCTAACTTCGGCAGCTAGGCCGCCGGGGATATATTTCTGGCCTTTTCTGTGTGGAGAGAATTGGTCGGGTAGAGGATCGGATTGGGCTTGCGCGGCTGAGGAGGGGTCTGGTGGACGAAAACGAGGAGGTTTGAGGAATGGTGTGGGTAGTGGATTTTGTGTGGATAAAGAGTGAGAGTCGTGGTGTGTGGATTGTGGTGCTGGAGTTGAGAGGAGGAAGCGTGGAGCTGTAGTGGAGATTGGTCGGCGCGGAGCTGGTGGTGAAGATAAAATGGGAAGAGAAGAGGAGGTGTCCTCAGTATTATCGTTCTCGTCCAACAGCATCTCTTCTTGATCCTCATATTGTTCCTCCTCCCACGTCTGCGAAGACGTAGAAAAACGCCGACGTTTAGGGCTAGGTTCTTCGAGTTTATAATCATCTTCTAGTTCCCCAGACTGGTACCCCTCATAGTCTATCTCCTGCTCCTCCGTCTCAATGGAATCGTGGACTTCTTGCAGTCCGTCATCGGACGAGAGCTCAATGGCATCGTGATTCTTCAACTTCCTGCTCGCAGGCGTCACAAACCGCGCCGTGGATGGCGTGAATCGCGGCGGAGGAAGGGTTTGTGACGCTGTAGGTCGAGGAGTAGAGGAGAATGTAAAACGTGGTGTTGAATTAAATTGAGTGCTTGGACGCGGGGTGTGTTCTTGCGCCAGTGGGGTACTGCGAACCGGTGGACGTTCTTTCTTGATCACGAATCGATGTGGTGAAGGCGTCTGGTATGGAATAGTCAGAGTAGATCCATGATACGTTCAAGTGTGGACTTACCACCGGCGGAGGAGGAGGCATGTTGGAAGCTTCATGTTGCGAGGCTGACGATGGTGGAGTGAGTTTGTTGACAGGGATCGCAGAGCGGCGTTGCGTCTCTGCAATCGCATCGCTTTCTGTCACTCTCACGTTCGCTTCACTCAAAATCAATAAACATCAATGAGCACCAAAGGTCGATGTATCACTTAATTAGCACCGCTTAATACATGGGATATGACGAGTCAGTGCTCGATGAGCGTGCTGAATCCACGAGATGGTATTTGCCATGATCGAGAGGTCTCAACGACACCCCACAAGCGGCATGACGTCTTGCACGGTGGTGCATGACGATCCCCCTCCAAACATTTTCTCAAGCTAGAGTGGGAAACCCCAAGTCGTGTTGATTTTGCTGTCATTTGCTTCCTCTCAGATATCCCTTTTGTGATTTTGATTTTCCTGGTTCATTTGTTTAATTATTCCGTATCTCCGATATTTCGTTGCGACTGTCAAGTTCCTCCTAGACTTCTAGAGAATATATTGCGTTGTGCATCACTTGGCCAGGATGCCAAATCCTCCTTCGACGATGGGAGGAAACTCCCCGATCTTCCCAATATTTACCAAGAAGCATGAAGTTGTCATCTTCTCCAGTACAGCAATTGCCTTGTATGGCTACGATCAGGGCAAGTAGCCTCCTCTTCTTATCTTCTCCAGTCATTTTCTAACTTTCAAAGGCATGATGTCGCTGATCAACACCAACCGCTCCTACCTGAAGACAATGCAAATATCAGAAGAATCTCCAATAGTCGGTATCATAGTGTCAGTCTACTACCTAGGGTGCACAGTAGGTGCCATAATTGCTTCCTGGCTCGGCGATAAAAAGGGTCGAAAGCCCTCCATTTTCATATGTCTCGCAACTACCGCCTTGGGCAACATTCTCATGTTCATCTCCGGTTTCTCACTCGATGGAAGCTCTCCCTGGAATGGTGGAGCAATAGCCTGCATGCTGGCCGGACGTGTAATCATGGGATTGGGAGTTGGCGGAATCGACGCTGTTATTCCAGTCTACAGCAGCGAGCTCTCTTCAGATGGAGCCAGAGGAAAAGCCCTGGCGCAGGAATTTCAGATGAATATTTTTGGATTGTTGTTAGCGTATGGAATCAACATGGCTGTGACCTATGGGCTCGGCAAAGACAGTCAATGGGCATGGCGTGTCCCAATCGTTGCGATGCAGGTCTTCCCGATCTTGCTGATGTCGTTCATTAGTCGACTGCCTGAATCACCTCGCTGGTTCATATCTAAAGAGCGAACAGACGATGCGAAGAAGGCTTTACAGAGTATCTATAGCAAGCAAGACGCTAAATCCAAATTCGAAGAGATACAAGAAGCCAACGAGAACGAAAGCGACGAGAAGGTCGGATATAAAGACATGCTGCTACCAGGCGGATCTCAGTTTCATCCCAGCATGGTTACAGTCATGGGTCAGGTCAACCAAGCTCTCACAGGTTATGGAGCTGTGTCCGTCTACGGTCCTCAGATCTTCGAACTCCTCGGCTTCAGCACAACAAAAGCCGAAATCCTCACTCTCGGAAACTACGTCTCATATTTCTTCATGATGACCTTCGCGTGGCTAACAATCGACGTCTACGGCCGGCGAAAGCTCATGGTCTGGGGCTCAATCGGCCTCTCGCTCTCCTTCATCATCCTCACCATCTTTGGCGGTCTAGCAGAGACCTCACTCCCTGACCTTGCCGTCGAAATCCCTGGCAGTATAACACTCTTCGTTGCAACTGCCATCTTCGGCATTGGATGGCTCGCCACCGTCTGGCTTATCCCGACGGAAATATACCCTAGCACAGCACGCGCTCAAGGCTCTGCTATCTCGGTGATAGTTTGGGGATTGGCGAATTTTGCTATCACGTTGTTGACGCCGATTGGGTTCAATAACCTGAAGTATTGGCTATTCTTGGTGTTTGCGGGGACGAATGCATTTGCTGGCTGGTGGACGTGGAGATACACGCCTGAGAGTGGAGGGAGGAGCTTTGAGGAGAATCAGGAGTTCTTTGATAGTGCGAGGGAAGAGGGAAGCTGGGTTGTGGGGAAGGTTGATGGAGGGAAATTTAGAGGGATGGAGGGGACGAAGGAAGGTGGTGGTGAAGACGGGGAGAGAGCGCCGCTATTGAGAGGTGGTAGATAGGGGAGTGAGTTAGTAGAGGTATGAAGTTAAGAACTAATCATGGGCTCGCTTAAGATAGAGATATATCAACGATCATCTCTCATAAGATGGGTTGTACTCACATAATATCCCTTGATTATTGCGGGCACGGAAACTTCATCAATGATTGAAAAGAGTGAGAATGATCGTATCCAGCTTTCATTTGTTCTACCTAAACAACCCCAGCCTGCAGTACCGACAGGATCAGCACAGTTGACAACTACACGTATACAGCACCATGCTCCATACCGTCCCCAAATGATTGACTCCCAGCTCCACAACTCCATATAATATTCAACCAATATCTAGCAGCCTCATGATTGGCACTAACATAACGTAGATAAACAAACTTCGGCTCTGGTTTTGTACTCGCTACAGTGACTGGAGAATCACAAATATATCTGAGAAGGAAGCTGTTTGGCGCCAACAGGCAATACATCCCAAAAAAAGATCGAAGCTTTGCATATCTCATCACAAGCTCGCCTCTGCCTCAGCACGATTCAATGCCATATTATTCTGGTACATATGAAGTCTGTTGAAGTCTGGTACACGAGACTCGTCAAGATCCAGGAATCCTTGTACTGAAGCAGGTGTCAATGGACTTCCAGAGACAACCTAAGCCATAGCTGCGAACACTGATATTGACTTGTTCTAGCTGGTTAATGAAGTAAAGTTCGAGGGTAAAGGACCGATAAAACAGTAGCTATAGAAAGAAACAAGAAGTCGCCATGCATTTTATATCTTGAAGTTGCGAGGTATGAGACTTAAGTCTGACATATTGCGAACACACACTGCATGGACAGACGCCGGACCATGCTTGATTGAAGATTGTCTATTCGAGACATTTTTGTACATGTTTCTACACTTTACTCAAACACCTCGCCCGCTTATGCCATCTTTACACAAAGAAATGCCTCGGGTTTCGAGGTACTCGTACAGTCCATTTCGTCCAACCAAGTCTTGATGCAAGCCTCGTCCCTCGAGTTACAAATCAAGGCTGTTTCATCACGGTTCTCCTGAGCCTCTCCAGCTTCGCTTTCTCGTACGCACTTTTCTCCCATATAGCCCGCGATCCTGAGTCCTACTCTCCCTTCAGAGCCAGCTCGATTCTCTTATCACGGTCTTCCCTTGCCTTCCTCCTTCGTGGACCCCATTGCGACTTCACAGCCTCTAGCTGTTCCGCCACAGCCTTCTTCCTCTCCGCATCACCGGCCGCACCGCACCCATCCAAGCAAATACTGATAAAATGATGCGAGCAGTTGAACTTCCGCGACAGCTTATTGTTGGTCCATTCCTCCGGATCTTGCCTCTTCAACCGCAGAATCTCAGCAATATCCTTGTCGCTCAAGTGATGATGTGGAAACCTCCGCGTCTTTTGTACGGGTGGTGGGAGTGTTGATGGAGAAGTCTGGAATCGGGATGCTGTAGCTGCGAGGAGCTGTCTCCGCTTGTCTTCTTTTGGGAGGAATTTCAGCGGCGTGTGCAGGACTGAGGGCGCGGAGGAGGGCGGATTGAAGATTATATGGTCCTGTTTAATGCTGTCGTGTGGGAGGAAGGATGAGTCTGGCTTGACGTTGAGGCGCTGCTTCGACCGTCGATATGAGGATTGCTGGCGTCGTGAGGAGGCATTGAGGGAGAGCAGACATTGGTTTCTGCCGGAGAGAAGATCGAGGACTGGCCTCCTGACTAGCCGCGAATCCATTATTGCTGGAGTGTTGAGAGATATAGAGCTCTGGATCGAAGTATATGGAGTCGACTCGTTCGAGCTTTCACCAATGGCTTCAAGTCTAATTTTTGGAGAGAGGCTGATGACTAAGGATTTTTCAGGGGAGGTCGGCGGAAGAGTAGCCGACGCCGATGCGACATGTCAGTGGCTGTTCAAAGTCATGAGATCCTCCCAAGGCCATAGCCGTCTGCAGCCCAGCAGGGAACGGGAAGGGGAAGGGGAAACTTGACAATAATGCCTTGATCCTACACTGCTTTTTTGGTAATAGGAGAGCTCAGCTCAGCTCACAAGTCACCAGCTCCTCCCTCCCTCTTTCTCTTCTGCCAGCAGCTGCAATCAATAGCCGCAAACTATGTATTGAAGCTCTCCCACTCTCTGAGATTGAGCTTCATGCCACTATCGCTCAGAAGAAACGTCAGCTGAACGCGTAAGTACAACCAGCGAGCGAGCGGGTGGGCAGGGGAGAAGGTTCGAGATTGAGGTGCATGAATGCTGCAAGCCTGCATATATTTCATCTACATAGCCTTAACTGGCCGGAATTCTAGCCATATATACTTGAGCAGTCTGCCACCACAAAAGCCAATCTACTCCGTCACACCCGATCTTCAAAATGAGCGCTTCCGAGTCCAGCACCTTACAGCCCAATACTCCTGTTCCTGCAATCGAAACTCCGACGAATGCGCCCAAAGTCCCTGTTCTTGGTGAGGGGTTCCAGGAAACTCCAAAGGATGCAGTCCCAAAGACTGCAGATAGCAGTGATGCGGAACAGGAGGCTATAGAGACTACGGGCGAAGAAGCGAAGACTGGAAAGCGACGATTGTTCGGGTTTGGGAAGAAGAAGGGGGATGAGAAGACTAAAGTGAAGGATAAGGGAGAAACAGCAGCGTCTGCAGCCACAATCCATGCGACGACAAATATTGTACAACCCATTGCGAGGAGACCTCCAATTCAGAATACTTCTCCTCCGCGATCCAATCCGAACCATCCTTACCAATTGCCAGCTTCACCTCACAGAAACCTTTTCTCCTCCTCGCCGAGAGTGGTGTCACCTGCGGGGTCACAGATATTCGAGCGCGATGTTCAGGAGAGCACTCTCCCTGTCCCCAATTCCCCAGCAATACCTTCACACATTCAGACGGAGAATCACATTCCACCAGTTTTGGATGCATCCTCGGAGGCAATTACAAACAGTACAATTGATCCAGATACGGTTGAAATAGTGATGCATTCATCCCATCAGCCAGCAGCCATGAACGTGACAGGGGTGGGGAACTTGGAACCAACAGCAGCATATGGAACATGGGCAGACGATCTGGTTGCCCACCCAGACAAGGACGACGCTGCCTCTAACTATGGAGCTTTGGATAGCACAGATGTTCGTAGACTCTCATTCATATCATTTTCCGATATCGTACAGTCAGAACATGCAGAGCACGCAGGCAGCAGGGACTCGATTTACGTGGCGGGGTTGAGCTCTTTGTCATCAGGCCACAACAGATCACCATCTCCAATCCGGTCTCCAGTCTCATCACAAGGCTTCAGCGCCTCTCCTCCAACAAGCAAATCAGCATCGGTAAAAGGCGTCGATATGTCACCAAAAGGGAGACCTCTAGGCAGTCCAATCTCCACACATGCTCCTGTGACGACCGGGGAATTGACGATAGAGACCATGACCCAGGCCTTGAGACGGACAGGGAGCGGAGATCTAAGTGGCGTGCGGAGTCAGCCTCTGAGTCCATCGAGTCCAGACGGCCTGTCTGACAGATCTTTCAAGTAATGAAGAAAATAGAAGTAGGGATTGTGTTTGGGGGGTGGGGGGGATGGGATCGGAGCATATCTTTAAGGTGCTTTTACTTCTTGGGATGCAATATATCCAGTGTGCTTTTGGGGTTTGGCTAGATTTGACTTGCCAGGTATTTGGGATGACAACAGGAATGGGTTGGGTTGGATGACCTGTTTGGCTTGCTAGGTTTTTGAGTTATTGCTATAGGTGTATTTGGCGTCGGTCTTTTTATTTTCTGCTTTTCACCTTCTTGATTCTGCTTCATGATGGATGGCCAATGAAGTTCAAACGCAATGATGGCGGTACGGAATGAATGGCATCACAATATTATACACCCACTGAATAGTGGACTTGTCCAAAATCTCTCGTCTTTTCCAGATTGTGCTACCAAATTGACATTTCCTTTCAATAGCGTCTTCCCAATGTATGAAGATACGAGAAGTACTCTCCCCAGGTCACATTTTGATCTCAATTCTTCAGCCACCGTTTCTGAAGTCAGGATGTCAACTGTCATCGAATATCGATTCGGGATATCTTTCACGGCACAAAACCCCATACCAAGCAACACAGCTGGAAACCCCGTGTCATACCATGCAGCCAGATAATGGAACCAACGAAACGAAGACGGCAGAAGTCCCTTGAAAAGAATCTTCAGATGAAGAAAACAATACAGGATCCATATCGAGCCCTGCAAATCTCTTACAGCCAATACGGTCATCTGGGCTGGAGTTATTTTTATTACATTGTGGGGGATTATCGGAAATGATACGACCCTACCGGCAAATTGCGAGATTTGGGGAGGATCGTGGATCAGCAGATCAAAGTTGTGGAGTATTTGCTTGGTGGCGGTAGGCTTGGCTTGCGGAGGGTATGATAATACACCAAAAAATTTCCAGATTTATTTTATGTTTGGGGTTGGTGTTGAATGCTGAATGAAGTGAAGCCTCGTTGTCATCGTTTCGAGCCGGACCAGGTTTTAGACTTGAACGGTACGGTCCTGTGCCGTAACACACATAGTTGACTGACTATTGGTGTCGATCAAAGCCATTGAATCAAACCCGAGGAAACATCCCTCAAGGAATGGCGTTCCTGAAGTAGATTTCCAATATATTTTCCCATTACCTTACTTTCTAAAGTCTGGCCACACTAGATGCACGACATTACATGAAATTCCAAGGCATTTTCAAAATCGAGAAGAAACGAAACGAAACGAAGCGACACGAAACGAAACGAATCAGTTTAAATTACTCTCCCTTCGGAGCAATTGTCATCTGAAGGAGAGGCACGGAATAATAGTGGCGTTGATATAGATGTCTGAGCGCACTTTAGACACGGTGATGGTGGACTTTTTAGAATTGAGACCCGCTGCAGCCGACTCCGTCTGATCCATGGATTTGGCACTGGCTGACTGGCATGGCATGGCATCACCTGGCTCGGCTTGAACTGAAATAATGATTTGATGGGACGGGCACGGCGACGCTTAGAAAAGAAGGTTCAAGTTCAGGCGCATGAACCAAGCTGAACCCGCCCGCCCGCGACAATTACGTTGCCGAACGCCAGCACTTAACCTTCGACGCTTCGACTCACTCGTCAAGTGTTTTGATCTCGTCCAATCTACATCCGACTTCAGCTATTGTTGCTTCGCAGGTGGCTAATACTGTACGTCTGGTGTGCGGACGACTTGCCCTGAACGGAAAGGAAACCCGTCCCGCTACGTACAGACTTTCTGGAAGCTTTGACTGCCCGCTCTGCTCAAGCTCAGGCTTGGGCTTAACCACGCACGACCCGGACGTTTGACCGCGGCACTGATCTGAACTGGTACAAGGCCAGCTATGATGAAGAAGAGTCGAATAGGGAATCTGGCACTGGGACGACTTGTGGCGCAAAGGACTGACTCGGTGGCTGCAGAGGGAACTGATAATCCATCGACCCCGCGTTGAAAGCTTCAACTTGCGCCGACGACTGGGCAAGTCGCAATACTTACCAAAGGCTCCGGCCGACCCGGTATATACGAATCTGTTTCACGATTAGATGCCATACACCCAATTCGAAACAAAGAACACACCTGGAATCGAAAATACATAGCTGGAAGTGGGTTGCCTGAATTCTGCCCTCCTCGAAGGTTGGGTGGGAAGGGCGTGGCATGAGAGAGCATAGATGAGAAGCAATCGTCCGATGAGTATCCTTCCACCAGGGATGGACGGTAGGCCATACAATGCACCGCATGGGAAAGATGGAGCTCTGCAGGACTGGCAGCGAAATGCCACGGAGACATTGGCTAGGAGTCTGGATAGACCAAGTGAGCCGAACACAACACAACGAGCGCGGTCTGCCGTCCATACTATACGACCGGTGACACCAGAGCGTCATGATGGCGATGATGGGGCTTCTGTGTCGGTTGGCTCAGTGCAAACGTCGCCAAGCTCAATACCTGGAGGGGAGAGGCGGAGGCAGGGACTTGTCTTCCAAGACTCGTATAGTACGGATTCTCTGGAAGGAGGAGGTGGTGGAGGAGGAGGAGCTCGCTCTGGTCCTCCAGTGAGCTTTCACTCTCGACCTCGTAATAGGACTATCAATGAGCCTCCTCACTATCCTCACCAGAGATCTGGCTCCAACACTGTTTCGAAAAGCCGGCATCGTATCGGCTCAGTGCATTCAACAGCATCCTCGTCGTTCCACGATGTACCACCTCAGCCCGATGTTTCCAACTCGCTTGGGTTCCCTTCTATTTCTACGCGGCCCACGCCATTGCAAAAATCGAATTCAGTAAAAGGTGGCCGGCGCCTTATGAAGAAATCTTCACGGCCAACTTCTCCACTTCCAAATATGGGCGATGTCCCTTCTGTCGACTCTTTACCTTTCCCCGTAACCACTGGAGATGCCAACAAAATTCTAATGCTAATGAAGACTTTGTGTGGGCGTATGAGAGGAGAGGTCGAGTATAAAGCCGTTGAAAATGGGTCTTGGTACGCAGGGATCTGCTACATTGACGAGACCAAGGGATCCTTGATGTACGAAGGTGATGATAGAGGTCCTTTTCATCTGACCGTAATATCAGATCTCCGGGGTTGTCGAGTAAAGCCCATAAACTCGCCAGAAAGACCAATGAGATGTCTTGAGCTGTCGAATAGAGCTTTAGGTATAGAAATACATCTCATGCCAATGGTCAAGAAAGAATTCGACCTTTGGCTAGCTGCTCTCCTATGTTGGCAACAGATCCGGACAACAACACTGCCTGCAAGCCCACCCAGGTCTTCCGCACCTTCTATTTCGGAGAGGAGGCCTTCGGTCGCTCCAAGACGCGACTCGACTTTCAGTACTACTCAAAAAGGCGGAAATATTATCAAGGTTGCGAAACTCTTGTTATGGGACAAAGGGGCTCCCTCGTCTCCCACTGCCATTGTGCGCCGTCCCTCGACTCGTGACTTGCGATCTTCGAGTCGGTCAGGTTGGCGGAAAGTGTCTTGTATCCTTCAAGACAATGGGGAATTCAAGCTATTGACTGAGAACGATATCACACTTCTGTCGGTGATCCAGCTCTCACAACTGTCACGATGTGCGATTCAGCGGCTGGACAGATCCGTTCTTGATGAGGAGTACTGCATTGCAATATTTCCACAATACACACCAGGGTCTACTCAACTATCTATATTTCGACCTGTCTACATTGCTTTGGAGTCACGATTGACCCATGAAGTATGGTTTTGTTTACTACGAGCCTTCACCATTCCGGAGATATATGGCCCTCAGACCGCTAATGCTGAGGATGACGATGACCTGGGCATGGATCCATTACTTCCCTCCACGAACGACATGTTTAGGATGGAGAAATCTGTTAGTCTTCGCATCATAGAAGCGAAGGTTCGAAGGCCAGTATCCAGAAACGACGGCCATTCGGTTGGCAAGTCCATCAAGGCGGTGGATGACCCGTCCTTTGGAGATTATTTTGTTGAAGTCATTCTGGACGGAGAAGTTCGTGCCCGTACGAAGACAAGAAATGATACCAGAAACCCCTTTTGGAGGGAGGACTGCGAGTTTTTAGATCTCCCTGCACACCTCCCAAGTCTCTCGGTTGTGTTGAAGCAATTAGATCACCCGATGGGCGCAACGCATGGGTTTCTCTCATCGTCGAGTGTGCATGTACCAGGTCCGGCCGTGGATTTAATATGCGGAACTGTGGAAATACCACTCGATAAGCTGGACCGAGTAAAGGACAATGAAGCATGGTGGCCAATATTGGATGACCAGCAGGACCCTGTCGGAGAAATATTCTTGAGGGTACGGCATGATGAGTTGGTTGTCCTGCTTGCCAAAGACTACCAACCGATATCCGAACTCCTTCACAACTTTGGTAGCGGACTGACGGTGCAGATTGCACAAGTCGTACCTACAAGCTTGAGAACTCTTGCTGAGATACTGATGAATATCTTTCAAGTTTCTGGACATGCGTCAGAATGGCTCTCGGCTTTGGTCGAGGATGAAATTGATGGTCTTGGCAAGGAACCGCCGAACCGACGTCTCAGATGGAGCAGAAGAATTGGATCGAATGAGTCTTACACATCTGTAAGCGACAGGGCAGAGACAGTCAGAGATATGGGAAAGTCGTTACAAGGAGAGGCCAACCTGCTCTTTCGTGGAAACTCGCTTCTAACTCAAGCTTTGGACTTTCACATGAGACGGCTCGGCAAAGAATACCTAGAAGATGTGCTTTCCGCCAAAATCACGGAGATCAATACCTTAAATCCAGATTGCGAGGTCGATCCGTCTCGGATATCGAATGGCGACGACCTCGACAAGAATTGGAAACTGTTGACAAGCTTGACAACCGATGTTTGGGAAAGTATTGCTAGCTCGGCTAAGCGATGCCCGCCAGAAATTCGACAGGTTCTCAAATATGTTCGAGCCGTTACCGAGGATCGATATGGTGACTTCCTACGCACCGTCTCGTACACCAGTGTTTCTGGTTTCCTGTTTCTACGGTTCTTTTGTCCAGCACTACTGAATCCGAAGCTGTTCGGATTGTTACGAGATCATCCTCAACCAAAAGCTCAGCGGACGCTCACATTGATCGCCAAAAGTTTACAAGCTTTAGCCAATCTCTCGCATTTTGGACAAAAGGAGAGCTGGATGGAACCCATGAACCAGTTTCTAGCCAGGCACCGGCAAGGAGTCAAAGACTTTCTTGATGCCGTCTGCGATATACCCGCAGAACGCAACAGCTATGCCCTTCCAGCTTCGTACTCTACGCCAATTACTATTCTCGCCCGTTTACCGCCCACATCAAGAGAAGGTTTCCCATCATTACCATATCTCATAGACCATGCTCGCAACTTCGCCTCCCTAGTCAAGCTCTGGTTAGACGCTGTGACACATTATCCCACGCCTCAAGGACTCGACGGTGACCTCCTAGAATTCCACGAGATTTGTCTTAGCCTCCAGCGCCGCACCGATGACTGTCTCCTCAAAGCCGAACAGGCAGACCGCAGCGCTGACCAACTCTCCCTTCAGTGGGAAGACATCGTGGAAACACTGCACAGCTCCACCATCAACGAAGTTACGTATCCAAGGCCAGTGCACGATCTAGACGTAGCATCAGGAACCAGAACTGGATCCTCAAGCACGAACCACAGCCCTCTATGGACTGACTACTCGACTTCCATAACAGGTGGAACTGGCCCGACAGGTAGTCAACATAGCCATACCCCAAGTCAAAGTCACAGCCACTCGCAGAGCCGCACGCCCGCTCAACGTCGTCCTTCTGGATCAGCTGGTAGCGAAGCGGGTAGTCGGGAAAAGAAAGACCGGCAGAGTTTCTGGGATGCGACGTTTGGGAAGGAGCATCATCACCACCAAGGTAAGCATGGGAAATCTCATGATCCAACGCTCGATGGTAGCCAAGCTAGTCCGCCTAGTAGGGGCCAGAGCAGGAATGGAAATGGTGGCTCCAGCTCCGCTGCAGGTGGCAGTACAAGTGGGAGTGGGAAGCCTTCAAGAAATTTCCTGAGTGGGTTAAGGAGGAAGGGGAAGGGTGAGGGGAGTACTGCTGGTGCTGGAAATTCGACAGGTCACCCGAACGGGAATGGGAATAGCAATACGCAACTTGTAGGGTCAGTGGAGAGTACGGCTAGTTTTGGGATGGAGTGGAAGGATGGCGGGATGATCTGAGAGCCGTCGTATCTCTCGTGGCATTCCCTGCTCAAAAGACGAGCGGAGAGAACACGGGAGAAAAGAACGAGGCGTGGAACTTATCTACGAGTAACGAATCTCTGATGCAGCTCATGCATGCATGCATGCATGCAATTCTGGCAGTTTCTGTTTTGCTTTTTTTCTTGGGGGGGAATTAGAAACGGGATGGGCGGGCTTATACATCTGTCTATCTGCACGAACATATATACATAGCGAGTGAGCACTGGTTACGCATACGGATTCGGATTCGGACTCGGATCTTTACGAGGGTTGGTTTTGAAGAGAGGAGGGGGGTATACCAAGTGTGTGCACGTTTTCTTGTTTATTCTTCTTCTCATTCTTATTCTTGTCTTTATGTTGCGATTCAGCGTGCATGGAACGGTGGTTGGCTGGTTAGGTGGGTGGTATATGTCAATGAAATCAGAAATATAAAGTAGCTTGGAGCAGTGTGCATTGCATTGGAAGGGGATTATGAATACAATAAATACACTTTACTCACTTGGCCAGAATCCCGTGCACTTCATATCATAGGATTTTTTTGCGAAAGCTCACGAGTAATGAGTGGAGAGATGGTTTGAAGCACTTGGTAGATGGTGTGTTGGGATGGAATGGCATTATCTAGTAAGCTGAACTATCGATTACTGCATGTAAGCTCAAAAAGCAAATATAGCAAGGAGAAAGCCTCGAAAAGGAAGAAACGAAACGCCTCTGCTCCTCCTTAGTTTTTTCTTTTGCCATTTTCGCGAGCGCCGAGGGAAATGCTTTAGTTCTTGTTTTTCTTCTTTTTGCTTCAATTCGAATTGAAGGAAAGCTCCCGTTCACCGTCCACCGCCCATCTTTCATCAGCCATTCATGCATTCATCATCCAACCCCGTCAGTCATTCGAGTCGTAAATCATCCCGTTCCATTCATTTATTCATTCCCTGTCCAACTCACCACGCAGGTCGTGAAGACGGCATGTGATGTGATGTGGCTGGGAGAATAATGGGACACAGGTTCATCTTCAAGAAGCTCATGAGAAGAACTTGCTATACGCAGCCTTCTCCTTCTTCGCACGCTCCGCAGCAGCCTTCTTCACGGCCGCCAACTCCTTCGCAATCGCAGCATCACCGGGAACAAGCTCATTCGCCTCGGTCAAATCCTTCAAGGCAGCCTCCTCATCCTTGAGCCCAATCTCGGCAACAGCACGACGGTACAGAGCCTTCGCCTTATCCGTGTCGGAAATTCCAGCAACGTCCAATGCGGCGGATGCGGATCTCAGTCCCTCGGCGTAGTCCTTAGTCTTGTTGGAGAGGAGAGCAGAATTGGAGTTCAGAGTGAAGCGGAGAGCGTCCAGGGCGGCCTTTGTCTCGGGAGGCTCCTTCTCGAGATCGGGATCCTCGTTCAGGTAGCGCAGACCCTTCTGGTACTTGTCAAGTCCAACACTCAAATTTCCGGCCTTGAAAGCTGTGTTTCCGAAGCCCTTGAGAGCGGTAGCAGCTTCGAGGATGTAGGTAGCGCTCTTCTCGCCGGCTTGGTCTTCGGGGAAGTCTTCGTAAGGGTCGCCGGTGGAGTCGGGGGCTTTGGTGTCTGCTGCTTCGGCCTCGGCGCCGGTGAGCTCGCCACAGGAGATGATGGTTACTTCCTTGGTGGGCTTGTCGCCAGGTTGGGTGGGGAGGTTCTCGATCTTGCGGATGATGGATTTGCCGTTTAGGACTTCGCCGAATACGACGTGCTTGCCGTCGAGGTGGGGGGTTGGGACGGTGGTGACGAAGAATTGGGATCCATTGGTGCCTGTGGTGGAGGGGTTTTGTTAGCTATGTACTTTATGTTTAGAGTACTGAGCCCCATTTCTGAAAAGTAGCTCGAGAACTGTGTGGCAGCTAGGTTTGGAAGCTGTGTAGAACTCGTGTTGGAGCTTTTAACGACAGAAATGATATGGATTGAAGTGAACAGAAACAAGAAAAGAACGTACCAGGACCAGCATTGGCCATAGAGAGTAAGAATGGCTTCTCGTGCTTCAGCTCAAAGTTCTCATCCTCGAACTTGGTGCCATAGATCGACTCTCCACCCGTTCCATTGCCAGCTGTGAAGTCTCCTCCTTGGATCATGAACTGCTTGATCACACGATGGAAGGTCGAGCCCTCGTACGAGAGAAGCTTGCCAGCTTTGCCTTCACCCTTCTCGCCGGTGCAGAGAGCGCGGAAGTTCTCAGCAGTCTTGGGGACAATGTCGTTGTAGAGCTCGAAAGTAACTCTGCCTTCACGCTTCTTGCCTATGCTGATGTCGAAATACACGCGGCTGCGCTTTGCGGGTGTGGTGTCTGCCATGTTGGGTAGGTCTGTTTGTGTGAAGTTTGATTGAGTGAGTGAGTGTATTTTGGTGGTTTTGTGACTCTGGAAAGAATGTGGTTCGTAGGTTCTGAAAGTTGAGGGACGCTGTCAAACAAAATCCTCAGCCTCGTTCTAGTACGTTCGAAATGGCGGGACGGTGGGAGCAAGCAAGCTGAACAGAACAGGGATCAGATTGGACGATCTTTGTCTTTTGGCGGGTGGATGTCGGCCACGTGAATTGAACCGTGCGCTTGTGCTGGAAGGAAGCTTAAGAAAAAGTCTTGAGAAAGCTTCAGGGACGAATAATTTAATCTACCAAAGTATGGTAACTCGTTGGAAGCAATCGGTTATTACAATTGGCTGAGCTCAGAAAACAGAAAAGCGGCAACGAGTGTTGTCACGTGGTGTATTTCCTCATCTGGCGATACTACCATTGGTTCGTATGAAGACATAAGAGTACCCAGGAGTGACTTGATTGAATCGGGGGGAGTTTTGCAAGAGTGTTGCTATTGTCTTTTACATTTGCAACACAGCAAACCGTCTCGAAAACTTCCCAGTCATGACGAACTCAATAGCTAGGTAGCCACTAGGTATGCTGGCGAATATGCCAATCCGTGGGATGAGGCGCTATTTCGTCTGGCAAAATTGATAGATCTGCATATGCTGGCCATGATATCATCTGTGCAGTCGGAGAACCTGTTGCATTCGTTCTTGAATGGAAATAACGAACACTCTTCTCTTCAACAAGAATAGAAGTCTCAAGTATCTTTCACAAACTTTATCAAGAGAGTACTTAAAATTCTACTTCCTCACAATACCTGCCCGTGAAGTAATCGTGCAGTACAGCAATACACTCATGGAGGAAGAGCTCACTCAGCCCAGACCCGACACGACTCATGTATTGGGCAATGTTCTAGCCTCATGTCTGCAAGAACTGGCTTGTCCTCGTCTCCTTTCATTCCCGTGCTTCTAGATCTTGATAATTTATTTCGAGCCGCTAGGTCCAACTGACATTTCTAGTGTCACCTGTAACCTGTCAATATCTTAGTGTCTTTTGAAAACTGAAGCATATACATACTGGGCCATCATTTACCAATGCTACTTCCTGCATGATGTGAGTAGGAGGGTACAGCGAAGAGCTGTGTAAAGACATACCATCATGGCCTGGAAAACACCATCCTTGACTCTCTCTGCCTTGTATCCCTGCTGGACTTTCGAGAAGAAAACTTGGTAAAGCTCTTTAGCTTGTTCTCCCCCTAAGGCTCCATGGAAATCTGGTTTTGATCCCTTCTTGGTTGATGCCAAGAGCGTGAATTGCGATACTAGGAGAGTGTGAGTACCAAAATCCAGATATCGGATGCTGGTGCTACGAACCACACAGAACATCCCCGCTGATGTCCTGAACATTGTGCTTCCACTATGACAGTCAGATACTTCTTTATGGAGCTGAAGGTGGAATTTCACACTCTTCCACCAGCTTCATCATCCCACAACCTCATCTTCAGTATCTTGGAGGCCAAGTTCTCTGCATCTTTCTCAGTGTCGCCGGGAGCTACAGCGGCGAAGACCAGAACCCCCTTCCCTATGGAAGAAACGACTTGCTTGTCAACCGTCACTGAGGCCGAAAGGACGCGTTGCAATATAGCTATTCAGGAGTTAGTGGAATTGGTATCCATCGTAGACTGTGGGGGCCGCTGCCTTTCATAATGGCTGAACTGTCAATATCTTGATTTTAGGAAAAAGATATGATAGGTAAAAGGAGCTTTGAAGCTTTGGGTCAGACTTCTTCTCGAGCCCTAAATCCTTCTAAAGCGCAAGAAGAGGTATAGCTAGCTGAGTGTGAGTCGCGGTGCAGAAAATCATTGGCCGGGAACTGGGATGAAGGCAAAACTTCTACAAGAGCCAGTGGAGGTCTTCAATGCAGCGTAGGAAATTTGAAACTTGTGAATGACAGTCTGGGTATTGTGTATCTATAATCGAAGTTGAACCGCATGCAGTGTAACGACTATCGGAATCTACTCCACAGAAATTGAATCCAAAATAAGTAAATTCATACTTATATCAATGAAAGTTGTTGTTCTGCCTTGTTACTTCCCCCACATTAAGCTGCAGGTGTCGGCCCCCTAGCGTGTCCTAGGCGAACGGGCCAATTCAGTACGATAGATCCATGCAATCACCGACCAACATCTTCAACCTCAATCACGCAAAGCCGCCAGACACATCCATCACACTGATCTCCACAACCTCCGCCCAGGTCTCCGCGATACTCCTACTCTCACTCTCACCTCACGAGGCGCGCTCCACATCACATCTCAATTTGCGCATGGGGTCAGATAGTTTGAAGCTAGATCCTTGGACTTCACTGCACCTGCCCAACCCAACTACATCAACACCACGTTTTGCGCCCCTCTCTGACACAAGATGGCGGCACGAAAGCTCCAGCAGGAGATCGATAAATGCTTCAAGAAGGTCGACGAAGGCGTGGCAGAATTCGATGCGATCTACGAGAAGATCGAGCAATCAGGAAATGCCGCCCAGAAGGACAAGCTGGAGGACAACCTCAAACGAGAGATCAAGAAGCTGCAGAGGCTTCGCGACCAGATCAAGACATGGGCCGCAGGGAACGAGATCAAGGACAAAGCTCCTCTGCTGGATAAGCGGAAATTGATCGAGACTGTACGTTCTTACTGATCCTGTAGCCGCTAGGTAGAACCAGCTGACCCCCGTACAGAAGATGGAGAATTTCAAGGCCGTGGAAAAAGCAATGAAGACCAAGGCATATTCAAAAGAAGGCTTGTCTGCGGCAGCGAAACTGGATCCCAAAGAACTGGCAAAGTCTGAAGCTTGCGATTTCTTAAGCCAGTCGGTGGACGAACTAGAGCGCCAAATAGAGACCCTGGAAGCAGAGGCTGAATCGATACAGGCAACATTGAAGAAGGGTAAAGGGCATTCGTCGAAAGCGGAGAGAATTGCCACGATCGAGGCGATCACAGAAAAACATAAATGGCATCAGGGGAGGCTAGAACTGATAAAGCGGTCGTTAGAGAACGGCGGGGTGGAAACCAAGGAAGTCAATGACTTGGAGGACAGTATAAAGTACTATCTCACCGACGGCATGACTGATGATTACATGGATGATGAGACCATGTACGATGACCTAAATCTGCAAGAGGACGAGGAGAACTACGGTATGAACAATGATAATGACCGTGTATCGTCGCAAGACACGCAGTCGATACAGGACGAGACACCGGAACCTGAGGCGAGGGCGAATGTACCGAGTGGAAAGTCAAAATCTGTACCAGAGCCTGCTGTTGCTGCAGCAAGACGACCGTCAACACAGATAAAGAGCCCCCTACCGGCACTGGCCACATTACATACGCCTTCGGCAGTCTCTAATGGCACGAATAATCATATGAAACCTGCGGCAGTTCCGACAAGAGCACCTGGAGAGACATTAAAATATGCTTCAGCAGCGGCAGCGGCAGCAGCGAGTGATAAGATGGGAATTGCTCCATTACCTCCGCCTCCCGAAGCCCTTCCTGCGCCGAGTACGTCGTCGAATCATCCACCATTACCCTCACATCGAAGACCAAGTGTTACGGCGTCTCCCACAGCAGTGTTCTCTCAACCCACCAGCGTTCATCAAACACCGGTGACGAAGCCCAGTGTGCCAGCCACTTCCCAGGTATCGGATACACCTACAAGCGCGAAATCGCCAGCACTAAGCTCATCGAGTATTCCTGCGACTTCACGACCAGCTCTGGAGCAACAGGATAGCAGGCCTGGGGCATCACGAGCCTCGTCTGGCAAAGCCCCAGCAGTGCCAGAGACCTCTGCTAGCTCAAAAGGTAAGCATAAATTTGGTTTGAACCAGTCTCTCAAGCTGATGTCCCAAGCTCCTGCTCAACATACCAACGGTATCACAAACGGCACCAAGAGTGCCCCAATCGAGGATCAGGATGAGTCAATCTTCCATTTGCCGTCAGGACTGGAAGACTTATTACAGTCATTTGAAGGGAATGCACGCCGGTCTACCCTCCCACCGTCCCAATCATCTCAAAGGATGCTTTCGGCGTCTCTCAACAATTTCCCAGAAACCATGGACGGACTGCCTCCGAGAAACTACAAGCCAAAGAATCCGATCAGAACCCCGTCGTACTATCCTCAAGAGCTGAATTCATGCTTTGATGATGCTCGCTTGTACTCCCGTATTGATCCAGATACACTATTCTATGTCTTTTACTATAAGCAAGAGACGTATCAACAATATCTTGCCGCCAAAGCACTGAAGGATCAAAGTTGGCGCTTCCATAAGCAGTATCAAACATGGTTCCAGAGACATGAAGAGCCAAAGACAATCACAGAGGAGTTTGAGCAGGGAACATATCGTTTCTTTGACTATGAGAGCACGTGGTACGTTATCCTTTTGATACTCTGATTTCGCGTTTTTTCTATTCCCCAAGCTCTTCTTCTAAAGTCCGAGATTTGTTTGGTGCTTTACACAGTCTACACACCTTGCGCAGTTCTCCCGTTGGATTACAGAAACACGAACATTGCCCTTTCTATTGTGGGTTTTGCTGACACTCTCGCCCTCTCTAGGATGAACCGTAGGAAAGCAGACTTTAAATTTGCGTACAAATTTTTGGAGGACGATGTATGAGTTATATGAAGTAGCGTCAGAATAATCTCTGCCGGAACGGAAGGCGCATGGATTTTGCTCTGACCGCGGTTGGTCTGGCTGGGATATACGAAGTTTGCCGTCCTAATTAGCAAACAGTGTGCTCGTCTGACACAAGACATTTTTGGTGTCCTCACTCTATTGTTCGTTCCTCGAATTGAGCTGTGGGACTCCGTATTGTGATACTGATACTTGTATGATTCTTTTGCCCAATGGAAAGAGAGCAAACAAGCAGTGGTTGTGTTGTCTGTCATGCCCCACGTTTTCGTTGGAAGAATCCCTCCCAAGTGAGATGTGACTATTCAAACCCATTGGCTCCCTCATCTCGCTGAACGGAAAGTTGCTGTCCGAAGTACGCAGTTCTGTCCATTTGACTCGCAACTCGATGTCGATTCATTGGCAAACAAAATCGAGGGCGGAAGAAGAGTTCAATACACGACAAATGGATCGGCCTCGCTTGCGTTTTTGAGGCGACAGTAAGTCTGTTTCCTGTGGATAAAATGCATGTGGGAACAGCCTGCAGTTGGAGAAGCCTGCAGGACCAAAGAAAGCGTTGGGCAGCAACGCAGAACACTGCATCTCCAACCTGAGAACTTTTTGGTGGGAAGTTGACTGGTGGTTCGCATGGCAGGTATTAGCAAGAGGGGCAAGGCAGAGAGTTATGTATAAGAGAGAAACTGCTTCCCATGCTCACCGGTTTTTGGGCAGCAGATCTTGTCCTTTTAAGCAGGCCTGTTCTGGTTGCCTCGATGGAACCAGAACGGTGTTCCTGGACTCTTCTTCCTTCTTTTTATCCCAATCCGAGAGACATTCGGAGACTATCTCACCCACACCACCTTCCCATCACCTATGCCCTCGAAGTTGCTGCTGCCCTGGGCCTGCCTCGGCCCTGCCCTGCCCTGCCCAAGATCCAGCCCAGCCCAAGAACTGGCCCGCGGGACCCTTTTAGCGGGCCGCTTGTGAATTGACCAGTCGCGACTTCGCGCGCTTCTCTGCCAACACTGCAAAACTTCAACACTTCTCAGAATGATACAAACATTCTGGCGACAAACACTTACTTACTTCATAAATCTTGTGCAATGGGATAGATGCTTACAATTCTGACAGGCAAGAAGAAGTTTACTTGGAGGCTCACTACACGGTGGGTACAGAAGCATGCCACAACATCACTTGTCTCGTCGGGGATGACCTCCGAAATCCCCCAGCCTTCTCATGCCACCTCACCATCCATTGCGGGCGTTGGAGGAAGCGTTGAGCGATCAAGACACCTCCTCAACCAGGGAGCAATGGGGCGCTACACGGCAAAAGGGGTACGAGCATTCCACATACGATTACCCTTATTTATCATGATCACAAGCACAAAAGCAAAAGCAAAATGCTGCTGGCGCTTGTTGAGCTTCGACGGAGCGGGCAAGGCAAAAAGAGGGCGAACGATCCTAGCAATCCTAGCTGGTTGCCTAACTTCATCACCTTCCACCTCAGAACATGGCAAGTAAATGGCGCGCCACCAGCCTCCAGCCTCGAATCTCAATTGAATGGTTCTAGTGGGTACAGCGCATCTTGCATGCGCTGCTGCACATTGCCATTCCTCGACAGAACTTGAGATGGGCCGATGACAGTCAGCTGGGGCCCAGCTTGGGCGAAGATATAGAAGTCATCATCTCCTTGACCTTGCACGTCGAGCTTCACTTTTCACGTTGAAGCTTCTTGTCCGCCTCTTTTTAGGGCGGTTTGCCCCAGAGTTCTGGCGAACGACGAGAGAAGTAGTGGAGAACAGGTCGCCCGGCAATGTGTTGTTGTGAGTGTCCATTCTTCACCGGCTGCCAGTGCCCTCGTCCAAATCACACGCGGCAGCAGCCCATCCAACCCTTCACCGCGATGAAAATCTGCCTTTTACTCTGCCTTATTGCAAGCGAACTTTGGGGCACGATTCCCTTGGGCCAAGTCCAGGAAAATGGCACGCCTCAGCAAGGCTGTTGTCAGCCGGTCAGTCTGTCGGCACGCTTATTCTCAGAACGCGGCTCTAAAGACGCAAGGCTCTGAGCAAGAATACTGGGCCCACATTTTGGGCTCCCCCGCTCAAAATACCCTATCCTGCTTACCAATGGATCTGGCGAGTTAGAGGTCATTGATGCTCTGTCTTGCTATGTGTCATTGGTACATTTCGGTGAATCGGTTTGGCATAGCCTCCGGGCTGCTGCAGAGTTGGAGCTCTGAGATGTGTGTTCGATGCTCGACATTGGACGAACAAGGGGTGCACTGTGGCTTTGCATACATGTTAATTCATGTTTTGATAACATGGGTGTTCCCGTCCTCAATCGATTCCCTCTTCCCCGATTCGAAGCATGTTTCGCCTTGTCAGATCGTTGGATGTCAGGCATTTAGACCTTGTTACTGCCCATTGAGGCACGTGAAACACAGCGTGTAGATTGAGAAGGTGAAGCTGCATGTCGTGGCCGCGGTTGTATTAAGACTGGAGGCTACGCTCTTTCGTCCAGCACGACTTCAGAGGCATTCCAGCAAAAGTGTCGTGGTTTGATTCTCTCTCCTGCTTTATATTTCGGTGGCGATTATAATTTTTCCTCATCTGTTTCTTCATCTCCATCAAATTTCTATTATCACAGTAAGCATCACAGTTCTTTAGTCATGCTCCCATTCCTAGTACCTGAGCCTGATGTCCTTGCCGCAGAGTGAGCTGGCCTCCCCTGACTTTATTCTACCTCCTCGAGCCGGATCTACAGTACCGCTCAGCTCAAGCTCAAGATGGAACCACAGCCCAATTTCTTGCGGCATGACACCTTTTTCGGGCAAGGCTCATTCGAGAACTTCTCAGTAAACCAAGACCAACTCGGAGGCTTGGATATGAACCGTCATCTTAGTAGCCAAAGCAACAACACGGCAACTTCAGGCACTTCTGTCTGTACAGACCTTACCGAGTACTCGACGCACAGCTGGGACCCTATGACCGATTCGGAATTGGAACCGGAACTCAAATACGAAAATATGTACGACTACACATCATCCATGGGGTACACCAAGGAGGATCAATTTGGTGGAAATGGTGAGCCATCTCCACTGACTGAGCAGGCCAACAAATTCGAACATATGTCACTGGAATACCAGCATTCCTCTAGTCGCATTTTTCCTGACATTCAGCGAAGCAATGCGCTCTCGATTCCACGAGACTACAACCAATCCTTCAGCAGACGATCCATTACCCCCGAGAAACTTGATTCCTATGGCATGAATAACCAGCGTTCGCAACCAACGGCCCGAACAAGTGGCTATGGCAGTAGCCTGAGTGTTTATCGACCAGCCCCCGTCCCATCGAACAGTCATAATGGCTATGCAAGCTCCCAGTCAGGAGATGGACCTACACCGAGTAGCCTGGGATGGAAACCCGAAACTGACCTCGTCAAGAAGTACGATCTCGTTCTTATCAACAAAAACAATATCTATCTCGAAATCAACAAGGATTCGGAGGTCACCCGGGAAACTCCCGCCCGAGTCTACCTTGAACCTGTCTTGTAAGTCCTGCCTTCTCTCCATCACCTTACCACGATTACTAGACACTCTCTAACTCGGCTCTTCTCCAGATCGTCCCAGAAAGGAGAAGCTCACTGCCCTTGGCCCGGCAAATGTGACCGACGAGGAGAGCCTTTCGGACGCCAAGCTGACCTCGAGCGTCACCTAAAGAACGTTCACGGCTCACCTGCGCGTCGCGACAAATACTGCTGTCCATATAATCCCTGTCTTAACGGCCGCCATCTCAAAAAGAATTCCTTTACGCGCAAAGACCACCTCCGCGACCATGTACGCGATTTCCACCAAGAAGACATTGGAGCAGCCAAGGGCGAGAAGAACGCTCGTACTAAGGAGGAGAAGAGGCAGTGGCAGAAGGAACAGGAAAAGTGGATTGCGTCGCGGAAGATAACGGCGACTCATTGGACGTGCGCGAAGTGTGTTGTGAGAATGAGCGTCGAGGAGCATGGGTGGCATTGTATGGAATGTAACCAGGCGTGTGAGCAGGAGAGGATGGAGATGAGGTTGAGGTTGACGCCACCAAGAGAGGAGGCGCAGGCTGAGTTGCAAAATAGCCGTGGGCTGGTGAGGGAGGATCAAGAGCAGCAAGAAGGCTATCTGCAGTGCCAGACGTGCTCAGGAATTGAGTGGGTGGACAACGGGTATGGCGCGTGGGATCCGTGTCCATTGTGCAACTACCAGGAAACGCGAATCGGAGCGCACTGTTTCCAGTAGCGAGTTCAATCTGGAAGCGAGAGAGAAAGTAGGATGGGAGATAGCTACATGGCAACTTGACATTTTTTCTCGGAGTTGGAGTAGGGAGGTGGACCGCATCGGGGGCGTCACGATATACAGGTGGTGGGTGAGGGATGCTTGTTTTTTTTTTTCCTCTTCTTGATATCTGCAACTGTTGGCTATTGTTTTGTCCCTTTCAGCTTTCATGCAATATTGACGATACGATGTCCGCGCTATGGGAATTTGGAATTGTTCTGGGAAACTGTTGGATGGGATACACGGAATGGAACGGATATTGGGCAAGACGGAAAAATGGGAGAAGCTACAAGCGTTGCATTTCTTCCTGTTTCCCTTCTCACTTGTCGTTGTCACTTGGCGTTACTTGCTATGAGTTTCTTCCTTTGGTCCAGTTTCTGCGTCTGCTTCTCTTGTTCAGGCGTTCATCACGGCGTATCACGGAGTCAGGTCGGTTATGTTACAATACGGTCTTCCTGGTCACGAGTTTGGTCTTGGTTATTATTGGTTGGATCGGTTGATGGGATCGGAGTAGAATGGCATGGCATTCTTGGAGTATACACAAGTCGAGCATTTTATGATGATGGAACTACGGAACATCGATGGGCATTGGGTACGCGAATTGCACTTTTCATATTCAGGGATCCTCATTCTCTTGGGCCTGGATTGGATGTGATGGCAGGATATGAGTAGGATTAGTATAGTTGTGTATTTCTTTCAGGGCGGCATTGTCAAATCCATGATTTTCTCCCACCCTTCTCGGCTCTTCGGCTACGATGTTTTGGATGGTGTCGCTAAACCTCAACATGACATTGTGACTTGAAACACTGACAACCAAGTAAAACAAACCGAGCTTCAGGTTCTCTCAAACAAGGAAGATCTCTTTCCACCAGTTTTCCCTCCTCTTTTGCGCTTCATATTGAGGCAGGAAAAGGGTGATAGACTCACGTGATTGTTCTTCATCAACACCTCCAGGTGGATCGCACCGGTTACTAGCGGCCATGACAGTGTGGAGAGAGCTCCGTTTATCGGGGGAAGCTTGAGAGCTTGAAAAGTGCAATGGATCTGTGACTACAGAACTAATTTTTCCATTGTCGCTCAGCTTTCAAAAACTTCAAAAATATTCATATCTCGACATCTGGCTCCATTCCAAGACCGTCCCTCATCTTAGTTGCCGCCATTGACTGCCGGCTAAAGAAAGCCATCCATCCATCGGCCATTCTCTTGAATACTTATCCCCGGCCGGCCCTCCCCCACACTTCATGCTCGGGAAGCACAGCGAGCGCAAACGCCAATCTTTGACTTCGACGGACGGCAAATCGAGTTCCTATCACAAACTTACTTACATCCACACAGCACACTAACTGACTAAAGCACGACCGACCGAGTAACCGCAGACCGCTCCCGATTTTTTCCCTCCGTCCTCCCTCCCTACATCATGAATGCCTCAAGGACCTCCCTCTCTCGCAGCCTCTGCAGCCTCTCTCGCTCCTCACGAAACCCTCACTTCTCGGCAGCAACAGCATCCCCCGCACTCTATACACCCGCACGCTTTGGATCCGCCTTTGTGCAAACGCGCAACATGGCCAGCTTCAAGAAGATCAAGGTCAAGAACCCAGTGGTGGAGCTGGACGGCGACGAGATGACCCGTATCATCTGGAAGGACATCAAGGACAAGTTCATCCACCCGTACCTGGACATCGACCTGAAGTACTACGATCTGGGCCTGGAATACAGAGACGAGACGAATGACCAGGTTACGATTGACTCGGCGGAGGCGATCAAGAAGTACTCCGTAGGAGTCAAATGCGCAACTATCACGCCCGACGAGGCAAGAGTCAAGGAGTTCAACCTTAAACAGAGTAGGTTTTTCCTCACATGTGCTTCGATGTTAGCTTTGGGTTTTGTGTTTAAGACAGTGCGCTGGCAGAAGGAATAAGGACGAGCAAGGCTAATGCAAGACATAATAATAGTGTGGCTATCTCCCAATGGCACGATCCGCAACGCGCTGGGCGGAACAGTCTTCAGAGAACCCATCGTCATCCCACGTATCCCCCGCCTCGTGCCTGGCTGGAAGAAGCCCATTATCATCGGTCGCCACGCCTTTGGCGACCAATACCGTGCCAAGGACCTCGTCGTGAAGGGCAATGGAACACTCAAAATGGTCTTCACTCCGGAGGGAGGCAAGCCCGAGGAAGTCGAAGTCTACGAATTCAAGAATGGCGGTGGAGTTGCGCAGACACAATATAACACCGACGAGAGCATTGCTGGGTTCGCACACGCCAGTTTTAAGCTTGCTATCGCAAAGGGCTTGCCTCTGTATATGAGCACCAAGAACACCATCCTGAAGAAGTATGATGGCAGGTTCAAGGATATCTTTGAGGAGATCTACGAGACGACATACAAGAAGGAGTTTGAGGCCAAGAAGATCTGGTACGAGCACAGACTTATTGACGATATGGTTGCCCAGATGATGAAGAGCTCAGGAGGTTACATTATGGCTTTGAAGAGTATGTTGTTTTGTTCTCGCTTCCATGTTTACCTTCCCCACCAGGACATGACATCTCTTCTCCACAACCTGGCCACAGCTAACATCCAACAGACTACGACGGTGACGTCCAATCCGACATCGTCGCCCAAGGCTTCGGCTCCCTCGGCCTCATGACCAGCGTGCTCATCACCCCCGACGGTAAAACATTCGAATCCGAAGCCGCGCACGGCACCGTCACCCGCCACTACCGCGAGCACCAAAAGGGCAACGAGACATCCACCAACCCCATCGCCTCTATCTTCGCCTGGACTCGCGGTCTCGTCCAGCGCGGAACTCTGGACGAGACGCCAGAGGTCGTGGCGTTTGCGGAGAGTCTGGAGAAGGCGTGTATCGATACCGTTGATATCGATGGTATTATGACGAAGGATTTGGCGTTGGCGTGTGGAAAGACGGGGAGAGAGGATTATGTTACTACGACCGAGTATATGAATGCGGTTGAGAGGAGGATGAAGAGCCTGTTGAAGCAGAAGTTGTAGATGGTGCTTTCGCTTCTGCATGCTTGGTTCGCTTTTGAAAGCGGGGAGAGAAGGTGCCAAATGGGGGGAGAAATAACTGCTTATTTGCATGCGAAAGATCTCTTTCTTAGCTTCTTAGCCCGGCATTTGAGGGTGGGACATGGGCGTCTTGCTCTCGTAGATAAGGAGGATGATGCAGCGAGGAGAAGGATGAGTCTTGTACACCCGAGCGAGCATTTTGCATGGACATACATGGACAAAGAGAGTTGCATAAGAACATATCAGTTGCATTTGTATATAGAACACCTGCATTGAAGACCATTCGATTTACCTAAGAAGCACTCAAGTTCTACCTCATGCCGTTCATTTGTGACCGGTTCATTGAAAAGGTTCGAATAATGTAATCCTACAAGTCTCATCTATTCTCAAAGCAACGCTCACGATTTGCAGCTGTTTCCCATTAATGATACAAAGCAAGTCCGACCTGACCCCATCCAAAGCACAAGTCGCCGCTCATTAGCAGCCATAAATGAAGTGGTCCAAACGCCTTGCAGGATCCCGGCGTAAAGCCTTATTGCTCCCATCCCAAACGCCAGTTCATAGTACATTGCATTAGGCAGACACTTCAAATAGGACCGAAGGGATGAGCATTCGGATCCGGAGTCGGCAATTTAGCCTTCCCTCTTCCCTTGCCCTTCTTCACAGGCGGCGTAGGAGCCTCCCCATCAACAGGTTTCGGCTTCCTATTATACGGTCTCTTCTTCCTCACGCCGTCCTCAGTAGCCTTGACTGCCTTCGATGGGTGGTATCCACCTGAGTTGTCATCATCGTCACGCTTCCGCTTGCCTTTGGTCGTGGTTCCTCCGCCCAAAGCGAAATCATAGCCTTGGCCATCTTCCTCGACGATCTCAAGGGAGTCGGGTTTACTGGGTGCGGGGATGCTGGCTCGCTTTCCTGCTCCACGGAGGGCGCCGGGCTTGCCATTGGATTTCTCGCTGCCTTCTCCGTCTTGAAGGAAGATGTGTGGCTGGTTGCGACGGAGCCAGTTGTATGGGCTGTGGTAGTTGCCGAAGGCGAGGTCTTGGTGGGATGCTGATGGTGAGGGAGGGGGAAGGGTTGGGACGGTACCGAGTTGAGCATCGATGTCGTAGATGTAGTCGTCTAGTTGGTCTGCTGTGAGGTATCCGAGGGGTGCGGGATGACCTTCACTAGTTTTCAGAAGGTCGAGTGAATCTTCCGGAACTCCTGGGTGGCCGAACTTCATGTGTGGTACGTTCTTCAGGAGTGTTGCGAGGGACTTGGGGGGTTTGGAGGCATTATTAAGGGTTATGTCCCGCTCTTTGACAAGGACTTGGATCTCATTGTAGAGTGCAATGCCTTCTGGTGTTTGTAATTCAGCAGCGTTCGCGAGCTCTTCTTCTGTGATGAGGGGTGGGATTTCGGATAGGATGCCTTCTTCTGGCGTAAGATCGATGCGTTTGTCAACTGGAATTTGGGCAGAGTTGTTGACGTCGAGGAGGAGATCCATGATTTGACTGTGACATGTTAGCTAGATGTTTATCTCCCCGTGTTTGAGTCCTTACTCGTTCTCCTGCGCAAGGCGCTTGGCTGTCTTGAGAGCACGCTGCTCTTCGAGGTATAGATCATTGCTCCGGCGCATAGCTTCATCGAACTTGATCTTCATCTTGCGGAACTTCTTTCTAAAGCATAGCACGTCAGCTCAGGTTCAGCATCTGGTTGAGCCTCCTGCTAAGAGCAGACTGTGGGAGCTGGTATGTGCTCCCAAGGAGCTCTCGTTGGGGCATGCGCGTACTTGAAAGATTTGTATGTGGGCTTCGAGTCTGCTGGATTTTGCCCCGTGGCAGCTCCATCATCACCCATAATCGTGTCCTGGTCCACAACCAAGGTCTCGTCTTTGTTGGCGTCCATGGTTTCCGCGTTATTTGTATTGTTTTAGATTGGAAGAAAGTTGGGGTTAATCATGGTAGGTAATCACAACGTCGGTTGGACTGCGCTAGTGATAGATGGCTAATATGGCGGGAGTTGCGCGGCTCCTGTCTTGCCGCGAAACTCGAACTCCACCCCGTCATGAAGCCATTCCAACCTTGATAATGCTGCTTTAAGGCTGCTTTGTGCCCCGTTATGGCAGCGACGACCAGGGCCGACAGATCTATGCTTGAAGCGGCTAAAACCGGAAATATGACGGGCCGAGAATCTTTATCGAGTTTATCGGAAGAAATAATTTCGAGCTGGATGTTGGGTTTTAGGCTTGACTAAGGACGATCTCTATATCAAATCTCACACTCCGCCACGATACCTGCCATTTTCTGGACTACAGGACAGTAGAAGTAATATCTACTAAAGCGAAAAGGTTCTCCGCTTGTTCTTGGGACAATCAATTGCATCAACTCACAATTCTTCACAGCGGGGAATTTGTCTCTTCCACCAGAATTACACCACCTTCTCACAACAATGCCTTCCGCCGAGAAGGTCTCCACGAAAGTGGCAAAAGTCTCTTCGTCGAAACCCAAGAAAGAGAAATCCAGCAAGAAGAGAAAAGCCGAAGCTCTTGCAGAACCAACCCCACCGCATGCACTTTCACCACCAGAGCCTGCAATTGCTGAATCGAAGGAAGATTCGCCTGTACCAGAAGCCACGGACGATAGCCCCGAAGAATCTCCAGCTAAGAAGCGCAAGGCAAACGAAGATGCAGATGAAATTGAGGTCGATATTACTGCTCCCCAGCCGCCATCTAAGAAAGAGCTTCGTCGCCTGAAGAAGGGAAAGCCCATTCCAGCAGCAAAAGTAGAGCCTCCTTCCGAAGTTGAAGAAAAGAAGCCCAAGGTCGAGGTGGAGAAAAGATCTGAGCATGGTGTATGGATTGGCAATATGCCGTTCTTTGTGTCCAAAGACGATCTGCGAACATTCTTGGTTGAACAATCCGATTTGACCGAGGAGGACATCACAAGAATCCACATGCCAGGACCAAATGACAAGAAGTCAGCCAACAAAGTCGAGGAGAAGAAGTACGGGAAGACGGTCCACAACAAGGGATTCGCATATGTCGATTTCTCTACAGCACAAGGCGTAACGCATGCCGTTGAGTTGTCTGAGCAGCTTCTATCTGGTCGACGGGTTCTCATTAAGGATAACAAGTCATTTGAGGGTCGACCTGAGAAGACGAAGGAGGAGACAAGAAAGGAAGGCAAACCACCGAGTACAAGAGTTTTCCTCGGCAACTTGAGCTTTGATACCACGGAGGATTCGCTCAAGGAGCATTTCGAGAAGTGCGGAGCTATTGCCAGCGTCAAGGTTGCAACATTCGAGGACACAGGAAAGTGCAAGGGTTACGCATGGATTGTATTCGAGGAGCTGGAATCAGCCGAGAGCGCAGTCCGGGGTTTTGTGAGGATCGAAGAAGAAGATTCGCAGGCATCAGAGTCGGAGAGCGATGACGGGTCAGATTCAGAGGGGGAGCGAAAAGCGAAGCCCAAGAAGACCAAAATGAGAAAGTGGTGGGTGAACAGAATCAAAGGACGACCTCTACGAATGGAGTTTGCCGAGGATGCCCAAGTAAGATATAAGAAGAGATATGGCAAGGATGGCTCGAAACAGAGAGCTGCTGGAGGCGCGCCAGGGGCCTCTGAGGCTTCGGGAGAGGAAGCAAAGTCCGGTCCAGTTATTGCTAAGACTGTTGAGTACCGCCAAGCCTATGCTCCTCGATTAACTGGTGGTATTGTGGAGAGTAAGGGTCAGAAGGTCAAGTTCTGAGTTTAGCGATATTTGTGAAGAAATGGAGTAATGATTATCATGTACCGTTCTTCATGAGCTTCTCTTTTCTATTATTCACCTTGATGCACTACCTCGAAACTGGTGCCATCTATCCACCAAAAGACGAATGTCATGAAGAGTCGTTGGACATCTCCAACACCACAAGCCAATCATCCTTGAAGCTCCCGGCGTACTGTACGAATGTACCGGAAATCGCTAGGTCCGGTTATCGCTTTGCTTTGGCGCTTACTTGTAACATGTCGAGCAAGAATTGTTACTTCTTTTTGACATCATGGACGACCGTTTGATCTTGGTTGCTTGTTTGCCTGTTTGCCAAGGCAAGTATCGCAATGTCACTATGAAACGTTCAAGTGATCTTACCGGGCTTTGTTAGACTCTTTCAACTTCCACGAATAGAGAAAATCCTCTCCCGAATCACATGGAAACGTACTAGTTGAGAATGCACATAAAAGGCCAGTCGCCCCATAAGTAGGAATGTCAACCAGTGCAGCACAATTGAGTCGCTAGAACCATCTGATATTGCCTTTACCACCACCGCTAAGAATTGCTGTAAAAGGTATACCTACAACACGCCACTGCATATGCTGTACTAAGTATGGATTCTGTAGGAAGAACCAAGTCAAGTGTAGCGTCCACCCAAAAGTTGTCTAGTACAAACAGGATAGCAATGGATACCCTCAAAATTGTAAGAGCTGTGATCGCGAAAACACTGAAGGGAAGAGCGACAAAAATAGCAGCAACACGAGGCGTAGCGGACACGACAGCGAACGCTGAGCATCTCTGGGACACAGATGCTTCAAGAAGCTTCCCGGTTGGAGGCTCCGTGGATGTAAGTGCTATCAATGACGTGGAGGAGGTGACGCTACTGGCTCGAGGAGGATACAACTCCATCTGGCTAGTGAAGCTTGATAAGAAGATCAAAATAAGCGACCCCATTGGCTCTAGAGAAGTCTGAGACACCTATGAACTTAAGCAATGAAACTTTTCCCCAGTTCTTGTGTTGTTGTTATGGTGCAGAATAATCACTAACTATGTACATTTAGAGCTCGCAAGCTACTGGCAGCAACAGCAACTCGGCACCAGTATTGCACGACCTAGTCGACAAGTATATTCTTCGCCTTCCGTGCTCGGACAGTCTACTTCCAAACCAGATAACCAATGAAGTTGCATTTAAGCGATTCGTTGCCTCAACGATCTCTCACATTCCAGTTTCCCAAGTCTACTCCTTCAATGCAACAGACTCACCGGAAACATCCTACATCGTCGAGGAATTCATTGACGGCAAAGCCCTCAGCTCTCTATGGATGACCTTCACAACCACCCAAAAAGAAACCATTGCCCGCAGCCTCGCCACCATAGTTGTCGACCTCACAGAAGTCCGATTCTCCAAGATCGGTGGCCTGGATCATGTGAGGTTTGTCTCTGCGCCACCAGTCGAAGGCTCTAAACTGTTCAAAGGTCGTGGGAAGTTCCATAAGAATGAATGCTATCCTATCGGTCCATATTCTTCCACCAAGGAGTACATGCTGGCTTGTTATGACAAGGAGATTTTCTACTATAGCAACGCTGACAGAGACGACATTGATGAGAGTCTCTTTGAGGATATTTCAGTTGCAGACTTCGTTGCACAGTTACAAGAGAGACGAGCAGCTCTCGCAGAGAAATCTATTGCGGATGAGCCGTTCGTGCTTATCCACGGTGACTTACATGGTCGGAATATACTGATGAAAGGTGACCAGATAGCCTCTGTTTTGGATTGGGACTTCGCGGGATCGTATCCTCTGAGTGAGACGTTGTCTGATGGTGGGATAGATGTAGTGGATGCTAATAGCGAAGAACTCGAGGAAGAGAATTGCTTCTGGGATCGCAAGATTAGGGAGTATATTCGGGAGCTGGTGGAGGGAAGGGCATGGAGCGAGGGAGATACAGCATTGCTTCTGGGAGGTGGGGATCCGGCATTGGGGAGAGGCAAGGATGGAATTAATTTCCTTAGTCGGAAAGGCGTCCCAGCCACGCAGAGTGTAATGAGGTTTTGCCAGTCCGTCTTGTAACATTTGTGCGACACAAATTCGCATGTGTTACTTCCCAACGATATAGAAGTATACCGTAGATATCTTGAAGTATCCAATGAGACATTTAGCCATCAAATTATCTGTAAAGTCAAAACTATCCACTTAATCATAACACACTTCCATGACCACCGGTTCAACGAACCAGCGTTCAATAAGAAGGTAAATAAACTTCTCCATCGGGCTTAGCGAGCTTAGCATGATTCTTGCTTGACCCCTCCATCTGACACCGGAAACAACTTCAACTCACAACCACTTGGCATCATAACTCAATACGCAATACAAGAGTTTAGATAATTCAACCTAAATCAGTTCTCGATATAACATTGTATCTGTCACTGCCTCACCGCGAAGTATAAGCTAGGTCATTGGACCTTCACCTTCTCAGACGCCATGACTCTCCCCAAGACAGAGTAAGTGGCTTCACCCGAGAGGGTGTACCTTGCGCAAAAAGGCTGGATCTTATTCTTTTAACTCGATTCACGTAGCTAACAATCATCCCATGTTTTCTGCAATCCGTGCCTGTATATTCGACATGGACGGCCTCCTGCTCAACACAGCAAGTATCCCGTATTTAGTCGAGATCCGACTCTCTCCGTACAAACAGACACACATACACACACATACACACACATACACACGCACAATATGCTAAAATCGCTCATCTCCCAGGAAGACATCATCACAACCTCCACCAACCTCGTCCTCCAAAAACACAACCGCCCACCCCTCACTCCATCCCTCCGCGTCCAACTCACAGGAATCCCCAACTCCACAAACAGCGACCTCTTCCACGCCTGGGCGCAACTCCCCATCCCCCGCGCGCAATACGCCTCCGAACAATCAGCAGAAACTCACCGCACTTTCCCATCCTGCAAACCCCTGCCCGGCGCAGCCAAGCTTCTTCAAAACCTCAGTACCGCGCGTAGTAGTCTGACTGGTGAGAAGATCGAGCTGGCGCTTGCGTCTAGTACTAAGAGGGCGACCTTTGAATTGAAGACCCGGAGGGAAGAGATTAAAGAATTACTGGGCGTCTTTGAGGATGAGAGGAGGATTCTTGGTGATGATGAGAGAGTGAAGAAGGGAAGAGGGAAGCCGGCGCCGGATATTTATCGAGTTGCTTTGGAGGCAGTGAATTCCTCAATATCGAAGAATGCCGAGGAAGAAGGAGAGGAACGAAAGAAGCCTATCATGCCTAATGAATCTTTGGTCTTTGAGGATAGCATTGTTGGTGTTGAGGCAGGACGGAGAGCTGGGATGAGGGTTGTGTGGGTGCCGCATGTTGAGTTGGTGGATGGGTATCGGGGGATGTGGGGGGAGATTTTGGCGGGTAGGACAGGCATGGTGAGGATCAGTGATGAGGAGCAGTTGGGTGAGGTTGGAGATGGGTGGGCGGAGACTTTTGGGAGCTTGGAGGAGTTTGATTATCGGAAGTATTGTCTTGAGATAGCTGCTTGATGGCAATATTACAAGTCAAAGTCAAACTTATCAGAAATTTCACATCTCACAATATGCCTGCTTGGATTTCACATCGTACGTCGCACCTCACAATCCCAGAGAAGCCCAGAATTTCATAGAAAGAGTCATATTTCATAGCAGTCTGCTTACTCGCGTGCTCACTCACTACCACTATTTCACTCCACCCCCTAACACACCTGCGTACCTCACCACCGTAAAGCAAATCAAAACGAGCAAACCCCGCAGCAGAAAGAGTACCCATGCGCGCATGACCACAAGAGTGGAGAAGAGATATCCCGTTGATCCGTGCATCCAAGGGGAAGACGTATTTATATGAAGTTTTGTGTCTGTTCGTTTGTTTTGTTCTTTGTTGGTATTGGTATGATTGATTGATTGCATATATGCGGGCACACCGAAATGCGAGAACACGCTTTTCGACTTCGTTTCCTTTGCAGGAAGAGAGGTTGGTGAGTTCCCGCCAACTCCAGAAGCCGAAACATGCATGCCTCCATCCATTTATCGTAATAGACGAATTGGCCAAGTAAAGAGAGAGCGCATACCCGTCGAAGTAACATACATGCAAGAAACCCGGAAAGCAGAGTGTGGAAACATGTAAAACCAGCGCGAAAATAATCATCCGAAAACCCCTTTGCTCCACCCATATCCGCTATCCAGAGCTGTTTGTGTCAATCTTGCGCCGTCGCACCATATTCCCTCATACATCCTCCCATGCTTATCAAAAAGCAAATTTACTTCTTGAGAAGCTTGGACTGCTCAGCGATCATCTCCTCATCGCTGGCGTCCAAGATATCGTACTCATCATCAGTGAGGAAGCCATCCTCGGTCTCATCGTCATCGATGGACTCATCAACGAATTCCTCGAACTCGTCTACCTCATCTTGAGCAGCGCTAGATGCAGCGGGAGCAGCAGGTGCCGGCTCGTGGATGCTGGAAGCTGGAGACTCCTTCTCCAGTTTGGGGAAGATCATCTGGCTACCTTCGGCTTCAACCTTGGTATCAGCAGGCTTTGGTTCCTCCTTAATTACTGGCTCTGGGATCTGAACGTTGACGTCACACCACAGTCGGTGGCCGAACTTGTCTCCATCAGGGCCAGTCAGGCGCCAGTAGGAGATAGAGTTACCGGCACGGCTTGGGGTTCTCATCAAAACGGTGAAACCAGCTTCTTGACCTGGGGCAACCTCAGTGTAGCAAGTAGTGCTCTCAGCAGCGGACACAAGCTCGTGAACACTGGCTGGATGCTCAGGATCAACGGCACACATATTGTCGCCTCCAACAAACTTAACAGTACATCCAGCGGGCCAGGATGTATTACCGCCGTTGCGAAGATACCAGGTTTGCTCGAAGACAGTATTCGGTGGCATGATGGTACCATCAGCAATGACATCACGAACGAAGTAAGCAATAAGATCCTCCTTCAAAGCAGCTGCAGGGAGTTCTTTGGCCTCCTCCTTCTTGACCTCTGGGACCTTCTCGGCCTTGACTGGGGTCTCCTCGACCTTCACTGGCTCAGATGGCTTGAGCTCAGCAACGGTCTGGACCTGAGTAGCAGCGTTAGATGATTGAGCAGGTGTGGTCTCAGTAGATTTCGACGTGCTGGAGCGCCCACGGCGGTCACCCATGACTGGCATACGCTGACCATCCTCATGATCACCAAGAGTTGTGACACTGACGTTTCGTACAGGAGTCTTGAACTTGATGAGAGGATGAGTTCGATTGTGGCGGTTCGATGGGCTGGCCTCGCAGTTCGCACAGAAGTCGGTGTCATGGCAGACAGCGCACTTGTATCGGTCGCCCCTGATGAATGATTGTCCATTGCCGGAGTTGCAAAGCGGGCCATCACAGTAGATGCCGTGGTGGCGAGCACGAGTAGCAAATGATCTTGACATGGCGGAGATATCATTAAGAGGCTCGTAGATTGGAACAAATCGGTGGCCGGGGTGGATGAAGCTAGCATTCGGGTGGCATGCAGAGCAGAAGTCCCAATCTGGGCAGTCAAGGCACTTGTGGCGAACGCCGTAAATATACTTGTCACAGCCATCACAGATAGCATTGTGACCAGTGTTTCGGCCAGGAGCAAGAAGAGTATTAGCAACCAAGTCAAGAGTAGTATCCTCAACAGCTGGCTCAAAAGCATGCTTGGGGTGATGTCCATGCTCCAAGCTGACATGGCAGGGAATGCACAAGTCGTAGTCGGGGCAAGAAGTGCAAGTAACGAAGTTCTCCTCTGAGAGTTCTGCGGAGTTTTGTTAGCTTTGCTACACATTCATAAACGGAATATAGACTATACCATTAATGCAAGAGTTGCAAGTACGGGTAGCAATTGGCTCCTCAGAGACAACACAAGTTTCTTTCTTCTCTCCAAGGCTGGACTTTGGTGCAATTGTCTCAGTAGTGCTGTTGATAACTCGTCCATTCTTGACGAAACGCTTGATCATCCAGTGATCATCGCCACTGCAGGTAACACCATTGTCGACACAAGCTTGGCAGAGATCGAAGTCACCATCATCGCAAGTGCTGCAGTGATAGTGTGCATTGGAGGTTGTGACCTGGCAGTTGTTGCAGTAGACCGAGTAGATACTGACGGTTCCTGGACTTGGGGAAGCTGGTACGATAGGAACGCAGGGACTCGTTGTACGGTCGCTGGCCAAATTGGACAGGCCAGCAAGCTCAGCAAACCACTTATCACGGGCAGCAGTTCCACGGGTGACCGGGATCTCGCTGCTCGAGCAAGTGTTCATTCTGGGAGCCTCCTTATGATGGAGCATATTGGCTGTATCTTTATTGAACTGACTGCAGCAGGTAGAGCTACTTGATGGCTGGGCGAAAGATTTGAAGGTGGACTTCGAATGTTCGTTGCTGGCGATCAAGAGCTCCTCGAATCCTTTCTGGATCTCAGCAACGCTTCCTGGATAGACGGTCTTCTCCGGATAGCTGACAGACGATTCTGTTGCAGGAGCTGGAGTCGCCTCTGGAGTTGGCTCAATCTGGGCAGGCTCCTCCTCAACTGGGCTGACTGGATTTGGCTCCTCGTCCTCGACAGTAGCAGGTTTAGGGGTGACAAGCTCCTTTTCCTTGATAGTGACCTTGAGACGAAGCTTTAGCTTGGCCTTTGCAGCGCGGTAGAGTTGCTTGTAGACGGAGGTATTGTTTGGGTCGAGGACAATGAATGCAGCGGCGCTATCGGAGTAACGTTCGAAGATAGCCTCGACGGAAGGAGGGATTGCGAGGAGGAAGCGGAGCTATAGGGAAACAAACATGTCAGCCTCTATTCACCATGTACAACCATGAAGCATCGTGAGGGAGAGTTGATTGTCATCAGGCTATGCTGGGGACGCTTGTGGAACCACAACATACCTTATCCGGAAGAGTGCTGGGTACTAGATCACGGAGTGGGAGCTTGAATCGACGGTTGGTGCCCTCGATATTGATCTTCAAGGTGACCAGAGTATCTGCGGTTGTAGGCGTAGTCGACGCCATGACTGCGGTGGGTATGAGGCTGTACTGTGTCAGCTTGGAGGTCAAGCGGTGACGTGCAACAAGCGTCTCAGGTGAGGTGGGGAAGACGAACTGTATGCTCGCAGCTGTTGAAATCTTGGGAAGTATCAAAGTGGCAGTGCAAGAAGTAACCGTTATGGGTATTCTTGCAAGCAGAGTAGAGTTGAGGTTGGATGAAGGAGGAGGAGGAGGAGGAAGGATGGAGAGCGGTCGAGGAGGTGAGGGTGAGGGTGAGGGTGAGGGTGAGGGGAGGGGATCGAGGTGAGGAGGTGCAGGTGTTGCCTTGGGGGAGCCCGAGCTCACGGCTGTCTGTCGAGTGTCGATAAGGTAAGCTGTGCTGTTAGCGCCGCTCGCTTGCTTGATTGCGGTACGGAAGGTACAGTAGTCAGTAGGCCGCCCTGGATTACGACTGCAAGCTGAAGGCGATTTCCAGAAATACGTAGAAGGCGGGGCGGCGACGGTAAAAATCAGGACGCTCGGAGGTAAAATTCTTTTGTTTTGTAGGGGGTCATATGTAAAAGTAGAGGTGAAGGCAGAGGTCGATGTTGGTGGTTGCTGTGAGAAACGAGGAGAGGAGAGAGGATAGAGGATAGAGTTGCGGAGTCGTGATCGTGGGCTTGATAAAGCTCCAGCTTGCCTCATCGGCAAGACGGGCGAGACAAGGCGGGCGGCGAACTGGGTCGAGTCACGAGCGAGCCTTCGTCAATGAGACTTCCTGATTCACTCACGCATGCAGTGAGGAGTTGGTTGCTTTGTAGGTGAATGAGAAGCTGAAGGCTGTAGTTTCCTTCTTAGGGCATTTCTCCAACCATAGGAGTATCCTGGAATCACCTCGAGAGTACCTGAGTCAAGTAAATAGAAATAGAGCAAGCTATTCATCGTCTACAGGCGTTCTGAAAGTTACGCCGGAGCAGGAAGTCATGCGGATGGAATGAAATCCGAAACATTCAGAGCCTGAACAAAGAGGCCTTCAAAGCACTTACTTGGCATGTGACTATGGGCTTTAACATAAAAGTAGAGTCACTTGGACCCTCTGTCCAGTATATTATCTGTCCAAACCACACTGAAGTCATGGGTAACCCATAGAAAACTGCCTATTGACTTGCCGGAGCCTGCGTGCCTCCTCAGCCTCCTGCCTCCTGCCTCCTGCCTAGGCTTCCACGACATATGCATTTACGAACTATGAAAGAAGGCAACCAATCACAGACGTGTTCTGCAGTGGTACGGTTGATGGCCGCAGTCTGGAGCTGAGAGAACTGGTTTCAAGCATAAGGCTCTGTAGTACTTGTGGCCACTAATCGGTATGCTACCACAAACTTGAGAACGAGACACTCATGCACCATAGAAGGAAAGTCCGAAAGCCAAAAGTCCGCCACCCTTGACCCCGACTGACCGCCTGATTCTCGAAGGCAGAACAGCCTTGCGTCAGAACTGGAGGCAGCCTCCCGATATTCGGATAGCTTGGTATCGGGCAGTTGCATGTGCACACAGTGATTACTGCTCTTCCACCTGTCATGTTGTGATATCCTTATGGTATGTATCCATTTGATTGACAAGTGAGAAGATGATATATCCCCGGATATTGGGTGTTGTGCGAGGACCGGCTCAATTGCATTTCAGTGTCTCGCTATCAAGATATCAATGTCATCCACTGATTGTCTGATTTGCCTGCTACTGCGACTACTACTACTACTAACACTACTCTACTGGACCAATGCCGCGAAGGCTAATACGGTCGACGAATGCCTCCGAGGGGGACTCTCGTAAACAACAATGATGAAAGAGGCCATCATGCAACCAAACAAATACTAAGATGCAGCCAGCTGGAAAGTGTGTAGCTGGATACGCGACCAGTTGCCATCTGCTACTCGGTCTTCCCATCTCAAATGTGAAACTTGCCATGGGAAACAGAGAGATGTCCTAGACCCTTCTCGCAATGATGAACCGGAATACCATATCTTTTCACACACGAAGAATACTGCAATGAATGGAGAAAAGAGCAAAGACGCTTCCTATACCGCACAATGAAACCCCATCATGACCCTGACAAGATCGCTGAAACCATTAGAAAGAATAAAACAAATATTGTTGCACACCAGAATCTGTCCCATTACTGCGGGTAGTAGACGACACCTTGCTGTGGGGCTTGGGGATAGTAGAAGCCATCGGGGCTCGGGGTCATCATGCCACCCATTCCGACGACTCCGCCAACCTGCTGCATCGAATATGAGGGAGGGGCTTGGTAGGTGGGGAAAGTTGCAACAGCCGGGATTTGCGCAGCATCGTAGTAGTATACCATGCCGTTGACTTCTTGAGCCACTAGGTTGGTAGTATCAGGTTGTTGATTAGGTTGAGAGAAAGGAGCTTGCTGCTGTGGTTGCGGTTGAACAAATTGCGGTGCAGCTCCTGGTTGGTTGTAGCTTGGCGGATAATAGTAACCTTGAGGTGCAGGCATGTAGGGTGCTGGAGAGTAGAAGTTCGGAGTTTGTTGTTGATATGGATTTGGCTGGAATGGCTGAGCGTGGATAGCACGTTCTGGGATCTGTGACAAAGGTGTCCCTGTAGAAGCCTGGCTAGGATATGATGGATTTCGCGAGTGAAGCATATTATCATGCTTATAGTTATTTCCGTTGACTTGGACTGGAACCTGCTGGTGGAAAGGCTGTTGATCTTGCTGCGGAGGATTGAAAGACAGTGTTGCGGGCGACTCGATGTCAGCAACTGACACAGCTTTCTGGGGTCGAGGTTGATGCATGGGAATAGGATTTGGTCGATTTTCACGGAAGGTAGGCTTTTGGGGAAGTGGGTATGTTTGTGGGCGGGTTAGATCATCGATAGACGTGGATGCTTGCAGGGAATCATTTCGAGGTGCATCGTTCGTGGGCTGGAGATGCTGAGGTTGGACTGACTGGCTTGCTGGTGGCAGTTTGACAACAGGGACCGGTCTTGACGGATCCATGGGCATCTGTTGTCGTGATGCAGTCGAACCAGTTGGCGATGCCAAACCATCTCTGTTGACTTCCCGGGCCAGCGAGGAGCGACGGCTCATAGCAACACTTGGAGAGTATGCACTTCCAAACATGCTACCGCCAAAGACGCTTGTGCGTCTTGAGTATCCACCGATAGATCCCATAGCCGACCTTCCCCTTCCACGTCCACCAAAGCCTTGTTGATTTGGTCTCATAGCACGAGGTATGAAGATGAAAGACCTGTCAACGGCTGGAAAAATATATCGCGGCGGATGATCGGGAAGGGAAATTCGGACTGGTTTGTCTCGTCGAAGTGGAGGACGATGATCTGGTAGACGAGTGTACTGCTTTACCGCAATTCCCGGGAATACGTGAGGCTTCTCCATATCCGACAGATATACACGTATCTGAACATTTCCAATATGTTTTGTCACGGACAATGCTCGATTCGGAGGCGCGGCCTTCGAGGTACTGATTGGAACGCGTGAAGGCATGCTGTGATAACTCGGCTGAAGGTTTCGAGGAGAGGGCTCGCTGATGACTTCGTGCATATCATGAGTCCAAGGTGCATCAGTAGGTTCGAAAGGCTGTTGCATTTGGCTGTTCAACATCAGTATCTGGCAGCCAGATACATGGAGTAAGTGATGACTTACTTAGACGGCGCAAATGGACCCCCGATACCCGGTCGACCTCTCCCTCTGCCTCTTCCGAAGGGCCGGAACCCATTTGCAGCAGGCCCTGAATGACGGTGATCATGCATGAAGAAGGCTCCCCTATTTGGTACAAATGCTGGATCCGCGTCCCTCTTCTTCTTGTATTCCTCATGTTCCCGTCGTCGACGTTCGTGTGGAAGCTCCTGCGGTCGATCCATTTGGGCATTGGAGTTGACCACAGCAGGAGAGGGTATTCGCATCTCCTCATCATCTCGAAGATCCTCATACTCCACTCCTTCCGCGGGCCCGTTGTGATCTGATATATTGAGACCATTTAGCATCATATCCATATCACTGGTGCCGTTGGTAAGCGGTTTCTTTGAGCTCTCCGCAATGCCGTTACTCGAGCTTCCCTTTCCATCTTTTGGCAATTTCTGGCCATTTCCATTGATCTTCGGCAACTCTGAGGAGTCAGCAGGAGCTACTCGTACTGTGCTGACCTCGTCTCCTTCGTGTGCGTCATCCTCATCACTTAGGATAGACCCCTCACTAGAGTCGTCGTCCAAGTCTCCGGCATCGAGTCCTCCTTCATCATCGCCCTCGTCCTCAACCCGTCGTCGACTTGCAGCTAAGTCCTTCCTCTGTCGGTGACCCATGATGAGGAAGTGTGCGGGCTGTCGTTCGAGATGCGACGGGTTGTCGGGCGGGCGTGGGCAATGGATGGGATGGGCAATGTTAGGTGACAGATCATACAGTAGTGGCGGTTCTGAACGATACGGTGGATATGTACCGCCCGCGGCAATAAAAGGTGCTGGCAACAATCTTATGTAGCGTGCAGAGAGATGAGAGCAGTCTGAATGAGGGCGATACCTGCACGCCGCTGAGCAAGGTTGAGGGACAAGTAGAAGGGATGAGGTTTGGTCTGGTCTGGTCTGATTCGGGTCTGGGAATTTTGGGCGGAGGCTGAATGATGAAAGCCTTGGGAGGCACTTGCTTCCGACAGGGATGCTGGTCAGTCTCCGAGCGCGCTAGGCCGCAAGCGAAGGGGAATCCTGGGGAAGGGGCACATCAACAACATCGCATTCGGGTTGTGGCATACTCCAAGTATGTTCGCGGTCATGAGCGTATTCGAGTCTGGTATAGATCACAACAGCTCATCTAAGCTTTCAATTCCTCATTTATCTCTGTTATTGTGCATTTTGGCAACATTCTGTGCTGTCCGTATTTCCTAAAGCAGCCCTTTACACGACACGTCAGCATGCTCATGGTAGCTTCCCCAGCTCTATGGAGCCTGCAGACCGTACCTATCACCACTACAATAGGTCAATCAGTAAGGGTGCTCTCCATGGATTGCTTGGCACCGGATACATGCTATTGAACCCGAGTGGATACAGAGAGGAATAAACTAGAGCCGATGACAATGTCTCCACTTATATCTTTCGTCACAGAGTTCAAATTTTGGAATGCCAAAACTATTGATACAAGTATATTAGTGGAACTTGACGGCTTGCAAATGGCGAAAGTCCAACTCTTATCTTTACCTTCTTTGGTCCTGATTTTTCCATGATTCGGAATTTCAGGAGTTTACTGCTGTTGCAGTCAATCATACTCACCTGTCCGTAAGCTCTTTGAGTACCAGCAAGTCGGTTCTGGGGAGCCGTGTTGTGGTGAGTTGTTTACGTCTCCCAAGTTGACGAAATTTTAGACAATAATCTCTGCAAATCTCTTATATAGCTTGAATTATGTTACGGTACATGTTACTTTGTGATGGTTTCTACAACACAGATACTTTGAAAATTATGTGACGTTTGCTAATGCTATGCTGAAGTACGTCTCATAGGACCTCGACTATTTCTCTCTATCAGATGTTGTTTGAGGCCGTTTGGTTCTTCATAGAACTATACGATACACCCTAGGTGTATGAGCAATGCTAAATATAAACAATTTGAACAAAGCAGTACCACCTCACTGACAATCCCCTTTGCCGTGGCGGCGACGAAATCGTTACGTCCATGGCCTTCAATTATTGAAATAGAAACATCAGCCACCATTCTGCGAGTCAAGTTTTACATCTGTTCTTTCATGTGACCAGATAACATGTGTGGCAGCCATCCTCTGTTGTTACTTGAACCGGCACAGAGCTCCCTATCTTTACGACTAACTTCCAAACAGAACCACCAACTTCGGGATAGTGACTGGCATCCGGAAGGAAGTAAGCTCACCAAAATCCACGACGAAGATCCAATAATCCATAAAGATATTGATATTGAAATTGAAATGCTTTCAGACGTATGAGAGATCTGCACGTGCGAACGTGTTTGGGAGGAAAGATTTTGGCGCATGGCATAACATCGGTTGAGAATACCTAAGTGATATACAGTAAACAAGAAAATGATAATTGAGAGTCTCCAGACTTCTAACGGTCTCTTTGTTAGGTATCGAGTAGACAAGTGATTTTTTTGAGTTTATACTCTATTCATTCAATGGTAGAGACACATTGCAGCACTCAAGAAATATCGGAGATATGAACTAGCGAGTGGTGAATGTGGTCAACTCCACAGTTTCACAGTTTCACAGCTTCACGTCTTCATTTAATAAATTCGACCTGACATCCAGTAAGCTGTAATTCACACCAAGACCAACTGGCTTCATGAGTCACTACATTCAAGCAAGGAGCGAAGGGTAGACATGAGGCGTTGACCGGTCACACCTCAATACTCCTCATAATTTTCTTCTGTCGGAGCGATGTGGGTGGCAGTCGCAGTAGTAAGGAGCCATCGCTCAAAAAGAGTCTCAACTCTCACCTCAGTGGACCAAAACTGGCTAGCGCAACAATAAACCAACGGTAAAATCTTTTGGTTCTGGGTTTATGTTTTGAAAGGGTCTCGCAAACTGCAAAATTACTGGAGTGAATGGAGGATTGGGCCGAATCCAAGAAAGCTGAGCTCACACAACTTAGTATTATACGCCGCTAAGCCGTGTCCTATGGGCTCTGTGCACTCTGATTCTTGTGCTGGTACTGCACCTTCAAGAAGAAGATCTGTGATAAATTTTTCCAAGGATAGCAGCAAGTTACTCCCTCAAATAGCCGAGGATTGGTGAACCCAGACTTTTAAAAGTCATTTGCTCTTAAAACAACGTGATACCGGATATACCCTCTCTACTGAAGCAAGCAGAAATCCATGAATGCTATGTCTAACACTGGGATCTTGGCAAAATTGAAGAACATCCTGATAGTTCGCTGGTTCCTGCTTGGCATTCGTAATTGAGGAAACAGTAACGCGTTCAGTGGCGGATTGACAACTCCAGGGCACTATTGAGCCACTATTGCGCTGGGCTCTCGACTTCTATTCGATAAAGCCCGCATTATTACACTGTACGAGTTCCGATCACTTTGATTTTCTCATCTGAAGTTGAGATTTGATCGCGCGATTATGCTGTAGAAGTGTTCGTGTCTAAGATGATATCTTCCTGGTCAGACCAGGATTTATTGACATTGCCCCACACTTCCATTGTTTAAGCGAGATGGTGCAAAGTCTCGGCAATAAGGTAATATATTTGACTCGAGAGGGCACATATTGACCTTGTATGTAGCAATACATGCAAAATGTGCTCGGAGGCTTCTGAAGCTATTAATTTATGGGAAGATCAGATGTAAGTGACACGACTTTATACCCCTCTTTCTGGTGATGATGGAGTCTTAAACAAGCGAATCAAAATCAGGCGGCGAATAGACTCTCAGTTCATATACAGTTCGATGGTTCAGACTTGAATTTCATCGTGTTTCGTAACATGATATGGAGTGGTGCTATGCTGATCTCCACACAATGATGGAAGCTCCTCCGTTGTCTCTACTAGCCTCGCGACGAACCTTCACATCGTAAAATTCATAAAGACCTTGGTCCATGTCTCCATTCCACAGCATTTAACGAAAATCGTTGTTTACTTGGTTCATATCTTTAAGTAGAATAAACTTCAGAGCCTGCTCCAGCCCTTGGTACATACGGCTACTTTCATCTCGTTTAATTCCTCCAAAGTGACACCAACATGACACGATGTATCCACTCAATCCTGATGAAGGGCTAACCTCATGCGCGGAACTCTTTATCTCGTAGGGCGAAGCAAATAAGTCCAAATTCTGCAACCAACTTTTGGAGGATAAATAGTGCACGGAATATTTTCAAGTACCGGCTAACTGCCGCCAGTATCGTTTCAACCTCGGATATACCGCAACATGAAATGCTTCCTGATTTAGGAATCCACATTCAGACAGCAAATCAGGCTTCGAAACTGCCTTGGACAACCCAACTTTTATCAAGATCGAAATGCATCGTGGATCCATTGATGAATGGACGATTTGAAGTGAGCATTGAACGTGGGTAGTTTAGACATACATGGAAACGCTTGATACTCTCCGGAATGATTACTCGATCACCGGAAGCTGAGAGTGTCGATAATTCGTTGACAGAGTAGGTGGAGAAGCCCGACTCGTTGCATAATCTATGGACTACTTGAGCATACTTTGACTTCGAGATCCCACCAGCTAGTGTTGGAAGCGAAGTAGACTCTGAGCCGCGCATTTTCGTTGCAATCTCAAATTATGTTGATGAAGAGAACTTCTCTGCAGTCCTCGGAAAGATTAGTGATAAATAGCTTTATAGATATCGCGGCTTATTACTTCCAAACACATCAGCTAGGACAACTTCAGTGAAGAAACGCTGGACGTTCAAGCTAAACCGCCTGACAGCAGGCGCTTGCAGGGATGTTGCAGGACCTCGGCATTGGGGAAGCTGCCTACCCCACGATTTTTGTCAATAGGGCGTGAACTCAAACTGGACATCAACATTAAGCTTCCTCCCCGTTGCTGCTCACTTTTTTTATACTCTTTTCATCGCTTAAGATCGAGTTGTATTTGTAAGGAAAGAAATTTAATAAGTAGTTTCACAGTATGTCGCCATCTGAAGAGATCATCTTGTATCATTACACGTTCTCGCCATATGCTAGACGGTGAGTTTGTAGCTTTCTTCTCTTATACATTTTATCACGACCTTGCCTCTGGTTTTTGTATACTGGATGAAGCTGACAGTCAACAGTATAGTATGGTACCTCAACCTCCGCAACATCCCCTACACACAATGCGTACGTCCTTCCCCTTCTCTTACCATAACCCCACTCCTAACAGCACCCAGCTCCAACCCCCCATCCTCCCTCGTCCCACCACGAAATCAATCGGGACCTCCTACCGACGGATCCCCATCCTCTCAATCGGCAAAGACATCTACCTCGACACACGGCTCATCCTCCTCAAACTCAACACTCTCTTCCCGCCCTCCCCCTCTCTCCCCTCCCTCTCCAACACGTCTTTCAACAGAGGGCTAGAAAAGCTCTTCGAGTTCTGGACCGTGCAGGACCTGTTCGGGAGAGCGGCGGCGCTGATCCCGAATGATATGCCGTTGTTGAAGGACGAGAGGTTTAGGAGGGATAGAGAGGATTATGTCGGTGTGAAGGGGGGGTATGATTTGGGGGTTAGGGAGAGGGCGAGGGGGGAGGCGTTGGTGGAGGTTAGAGGCGCATTTGAGTTTTTGGAGAGTACGATTTTGGAGGATGGGAGGGAGTGGGTTTTGGGGAGTGGGGGGGGGCCGGGGATGGCGGATATTGAGGGTTTGTTCTTTCATTTGCTCTTGCTTTTGACCTCAGTCTTTTCGTGCTCGTTAGCTTCCTCGGCTTGATGATCTGCTTTGGACTTGGATTGAACAAAGCTAATATTCTACAGCTATCTGGCCCTTCCACTGGCTCACTACACTTAAAGGTGCTCTTCCCCCGGACCTCATCCCACCTACCCAATTCCCTAAAGTCTTTGCCTGGATCTCTCGCTTCGACGCTGCGACCCGTGCTGCTGCTAAGAAATCTGGTAAGCCAAAGACAATCAAGGGAGACGAAGCTGTCACTATCACTCGGAAGGCTGGGTTTGTGGAGGAGAGTATCGGGGTTGATGAGAGCGATCCGAGTGGGTTGAAGTCTGGGGACTTGGTTGAGGTGTGGCCCACGGATTCGGGGAGTAAGCACAGAGATCAGGGGAGGCTGGTGGGGTTGAATTGGAGGGAAGTGGTTGTTGAGACGGAGAACGGAGAGGTGGAGGGTGTGAGGGTTCATGCGCCGAGGCATGGTTTTAGGGTTAGGAGGGTTGACGGGGTTAAGTTGTGAGTGACGGCAATTGGTTGGTGGTGAAGGGGGACAAGTTGTATTATGAAGGTATGATTGATGAAGAGGGTGGTGAGAAGCGTGAGCAGGCCATCTATAGTGTAAATACAGTAGCGAGTAGCTACGCTCAATATCCACGGCCAGTATCAGAGCACAGTCATGTCACAGTCAATATCATGAAGTACTTCGTGTAAGCCAAAGTCAGGAATCTTGCCACATAAAATCCAAGACGGTAATGAGAAGGCTGTTAGGGCAGCCAACAACACCTCTGTAGCGGCTAGAAACTTGCCTATTATATATATATATATATATATGAGAATCTGGCCCTTTTCGAAGAACTTATGGACACCGCTGATGATCGTCCCTTTCAAATGTGTATGAGCTGTTGTTGCAATCACCGCTGAAAAGTGTAAACAGTCTCGGAAGCAAGTTCCGAAGAGAAAAGCATAGCTTTATTTCATGTCCGTTTAGCAAATAGATCACAAAGACACAGATTAACTTCTCAGATATAAGATCCATGATGTTAAAATCATTATCCTCTAAGCGAGGAGACAAACAAAGGAGGTGGACCCAGCTGTGGTTCACATGACTGCATTGACAGAAAGAGGCCCTCCAACACGCACCCTCCCAGGGATGGTGGACCGACGCTAGAATCCCCACACAATCCCAACGGCAAAACAGCACATGGCCGGCTCTTCTCGGAAATCTTTCTTCAGCGAGTGTAACAAAGAAGTGAGCCATCTCACGCCATCTCACGCGACTCTGAAGTCAAAGCCAAACCAAATCAGTGGAGCAGAGAGGGGATGAACCCTACTCTGCAAGGTGGACTGACGATTGCGTGTACTTGTGAAGGTCGACTTGATACATGAAATGCGATACCATCCGGAGGTACCTGTCGTCAATTTCACTGGATGTCAACAGTCAACAGTCAATGCTCGGTTATTCACCCTCAATGTGGGACAAGATAGGAAGGCGAGAAAGAGAATGAGGCGAATTACTTGTATATGCATTTCTAATCGAGGAAGACCTCCGAGTCCCATTCGGGAATGGCGTCATGCTTAGAGTCCAAATTCTCACCCATGATTGGCTCTCCCAGCCCGAGCACAGACAATCTCGCTTTTACCGCTAAGCTCAATTGCGCCGACTGGGCTTTAAAGTGCAGCCGCTCCCACTTCGCAGTTCCTGTGACGACATTCTCTGCGTCATCCTCAGAATTCTACGGCTGTACCTCACGACCATCGACCACCAGAAGTACCACGACAAAGGCAGAGCCGCATTTCATCCCAAGCCCGCATCCATAGGAGGCAGTTCTAGACAGACACAGTCCAGTCCAGGTCTTTCGCTACCAGAGAAGGGGAACTGGACTGCTGCATTGCCAGAGGGGACCGCTGCGCTCTTTGTACCCGTCGCAGGAAGGGAAGGAAAAAAAAGCGAATACGTCACCAAAATTCGCATCCATTCTCGAGGGCGACAGGAAACCCAACCTTCGAGGATTCTCCGCACAATAGATTCGAGGCCCATTGCATCGAACGTCATATCATACACACCACCGACCCCTGCATCGCCATCTCCATCTGCTATCTAATTTGACCTCACCGTCGCCCTCGTAGCGCTGTCCCTGCCGTCGTGAAGCGGAAGAAGATTCTTGTCAGGGGCTGCTGTCGCGCGTTGCCACTCCCTCCCTCACTTCACCGCCGCCCACCCAACGCCTCGACTTCATCGCGGATTAATGCACTGTCGTTCTTGCATCGCACATCTTCATCCTACCTTTATAATTGCGATAACAGATCGCTGCACTGCGGTTTGTAGCGCAATTTAGAGTGTCGAAGTCGCCAAAGTGGTTTGTAAGTTGTTGCGGTCGCAAAACCAGTGGCTGGTCCCGCCTCGTCTCGTCTGGCTTCCCCGTCCATAATTAACGAGTCTCCCAGTGCGCCGCCGCTGCTGCCCTCGCCCTCGCCTGCCCTGCGTCATAACCTCCAACGTCATCGACCTCGAAAGCTTCACACTCACCCTCACACTCATACTCACGCACCCACGGCCACGGCCACTCAAGTCCCTCCCTCGCACGAGTCTATCCAGTCTCCCGCCCAGGAACCACAATCCAGTGCAGCCCTAGCTGTCTGCGGGTGCAGATCCAAAGCGTCATACCTGCTTGACTTGACTGAGATACTCGTCCCTCCTACCCTACCCTACCCCCCGCGCCTCGACTCGAAACTCAATAATGTCTCCTCCGAAGGAAACTGCAAAGAAGTCGACCTCGACGTCGCCTGTTCAATCTAATGTTGATGCTCCAAAAGTTAACGGTAAGTCACATCAGAGTCTCCCTTCTGCTGCACGACAATCATCACTATGCACAATATCCTTCGCGACAATTCTTCATAGATTATCATACTAATGTCTTCGTCGGCAGAGCCCAGTACTAAGCAAGAAGAACAATTGAAGAAGGAACCTGCGAATGCGGAGCCACTTGCTCCTCCCCCTCCTCGAGCTACAGAAGGCCCTGACTACTTCTCTGCAAAGCACCAGATCCTAAGCACCGAGTCCAATCCCTTCGAATACTCTTTCGCAGGCGGTGCAGCAGGCCCATTGACCGCTGGACTTGTAACACCTGGCGGAACAAAGCTTCCATCCGTGGCTGCTCTGACTTCACCGGCTTTAAATTTCTGGAGTTCCGCGACAGGTCTGCGCTCTGGACCTTTGAGTCCCGCTATGCTCACTGGTCCAACAAAAGACGACGATTACTTTGGCGACTCATATCTACATAGAGGTGGGCCACAACCGACGCAACGCGAATCTGATGTTAGAAGTGGCATGACCCCGAGTGAACGAACTGGCTTAACACCTGGCGGAGGTGGATCTATGTTCCCTGAACCAAGTCCAGGAGGATCGGCAATTTTCAACTCCCTCGCCAACGGTGGCGCAACTCCAGGGACACTGGACTTCCATCGCACTGCTATGAACATCAACGCTAGAAAGGCCAGTGAATCTGCTCATCTAGCAAAAATCACATCACAACCTCAAGACATCACTATGAATGGGATGGATGTCAAGCCACCACAGTTTAGACAGCAAGAGAACGAAACTAACGACGCCGCTAACGGCCTCTTCCTTTTGGCAAACGCCCATAACGGGCCACAGCCAACTAATCACTACGCTATTGCTCCTCAATCTATCGTTCACGCCCAGAACATGCAAATGGGTGGCCAGTCACAAGAAACGTCTCCTCATATGGGCCACCGTAATGGCGGTTCTATTAGTACCACTTCTGGTCGAGGAAACAGCGTTGGGTCCGAAGATGACCAATCAAGACCAAATACCCGAGGTAAGGGCAAGAGAAGTTCGACCCAAGATGGTCAAACTAATGGTCGGCGTAAAGCAAATGACCAACCCAAAGCACCCGCAAACAAGAAGGCTAAGGGAAACAACGGCATGAGCATGAGCATGGATCAACCTTCCGAGGATGAGGAACCAGACATGTCGAAGGATGAGTTCCATGCCAATGGCAAGAAGATGACTGACGAGGAGAAGCGAAAGAACTTCCTTGAGCGAAATAGGTTAGTAACCATGTAATTGTTGTTGATAAAACCTCTAACCTTGATAGGGTCGCTGCTCTCAAGTGCAGACAACGCAAGAAGCAATGGCTTGCGAACCTTCAACAGAAGGTAGAGATGTATTCTGTGGAGAATGATAGCCTCAACGCCACCGTCCAGCAATTGCGAGACGAGTTGGTCAACTTGAAGACTATCCTCCTCGCCCACAAGGATTGTCCAATTGCTCACGGACAAGCCATGGGCAACGGTACCATCCAACAGATTGTTGAAGGCAGCTATGGCAATCCTCACATGAACCCCTATGGTATGGCAATCAATCAACAGCACCAACAACAACAAATGATGGCCAGTCAAGGCTATCCTTCAAGACGGGAATCATAATTCTTTCCCACTTTTGGATGTACGATATGGGAACGAGTTATGTGGGTCAAAAATGCATCTGGTGCACAAAAGGGAAACCAAATCATAATGAGGAGTTTGGGTTACGACGTATTAACGGTCGTCCAACGAACTCATGCCCGGAGTTCCGGTTTTCCGTCATCATCTTAGTCTTCATCTTGGCCATGCACCGCTTCGCCACTACCAAATGCGCAGTCTTGAGAAGATATCGTCCTCGACGGCTTCCCGACAACTTTTGCACATACCGGCGTTCTGGAAAATGCCATCTTCCCAGGTACGCAACGAACTCTTTCCAGGAGCTTTGCACCACCTCGTCTGTAGAATAGTCATTCCTTCCTCATCATCTACGCGTTGCGTTTCTCGTCATTCTCAACGTACTTAGCTTGGCATTGGACTGGGTCTCCCAATATGTTTGTCTTCCTTGCCTTTACGCTCTCCTCACGAAAATCAAACCTCTCTTGCGTTTGCTTTGATTTTCCTTTTTCTGTACATACGTACATATATGGTAGTGGGACACACGTACACGCATGCTGTCCACAGCACCTGGCGCTTGGGGGAAATATGGAGGGTGGGATTTGCTTGACCCGACCGGTTTTTGGTCGGGGCTCTTTTTGGTCGTGGTTCCCGTTGCTGGTGTTGAAGGGTGCTTCAACTTTTGGCCTTTTGATTCTGAGTTGATTGAGTCATGAATGGTGTGATGTAGTGGGATGGAATGGGATGGGAAAGATCTGAGTCGAGAGGTGTAGTGAGTGCAAAGGAGATAGCTAGGCGAGGAGTGGTGACGGTGAACAATAGCGATGCATGACTTCGTCATATTCGAACAATGGATTTGGCTAAGCTGAGTTGAAATGTTCTTGACATGCTTCAGTGCATAGATGTCGTTAGCGTGCTTGTCATCGGTACACTAGTTTATAAGTTCTATGGTGCGGTGCGGTGCGGTGGGAGGAAAAGAGGAGAGCGAGATCAGAGAAGAGCTGAACGAAGTAACAACAATGAAGCGAGAATTGTGGAGTAGGAATATAAGAAAGGAGATCTTTAAGCAATCGATCGTGTCTTTACGTGTGTTTGGTGAGAAGAGTATGTGAATCTCATAAGTATGATTGCTTTTTGCCTTGGATATGAATAAGGAGAGGCATTGATCCAAGATAGCTAGCTGGATGTCTTGACGAGTCTGATTTCGAATGTGAACGTAAGTCTTGGATTCCCTATATCACATTCGGTATCTTCAAGGCTCAGGATCTTTCTAGTCATGGTAACGTGGTCGGTCCCTTCTACATCTTTTCATATTACAGGTAAAGAAGGACTTCAATGTACCCTATTCACTTTAAGGTTCTGCGGTATAGCGTGATAAGCTAGTTGTGAAGCAACGAATTAATGTTTCCATTTTTTGGACTGGGAAATATCAAGCTATCGGCAGTAGAAGTTGGTCGATCAATCATCGCCTGCGTGTAGAATTCATGGACTTTGCTTGATTGATCATCGCTCGAAGAACTTAGAAGAGCAGAATATTCCCCACGTTACTTTTTCAGCGACTCCCGACCATTTGGAGTGGGTGAGGCTCGCTTCCGATCTTTGGTAAACAAGAGGTCCACTTTTCACAGAGCAAGCAAGCTGACTTCATTTTAGGAACCGCTGTTGTACACTGACTCTTGGTTATCGAACCGCTTGCCTCGCAATGTAAACATCTACGATGCCTTGAATGCTGAAATACGAGTTGCATAATTTGCAGAGTTTGAGGTGGAGTTGTTGACTGACGTTAAGTTTGAGAGCACAAAGAACTTTTTACCTGTGCTTTTGCTACAGAGTCTTGCAACTCACCAATCCCGACAACCAGACTCTCGGTATGAGGGAAGCTTTCCACAGGGATTGTGATTCGTTGGGATTAGTGAGATTACTCGAGACCACCCAAATCAAGCGATAACTCTTCACAATTCTTCGAGGGTCCGGCACCCAGAGAGCGCGCCGCGCCCGAGGTTGTCAAACTGCGGGGTACAGTGGTAGCAGTGTCAAATCTGGTACTGCGGAGTAATAAACAGAATAAGCTCGCTTCTAAGATTTATGTAAATTCTGTTTTCAAATCTGAAGCTGTAGGCGAGCTTAGCTGCCAGCCACTGCGGGGAAGGGGGACGATCACTGAACTACAGCAATTAGTGTCCCGGTTAGGAGGTAAGCACCACGCAGGTCGAGCTTATTTCCCGCGGCATATCGGTTGGTATTCTTGAATGCTGGACTGTTTTGCTACTCATCTCGATAACGGGAGATCCAGATTGAAGATCTAGAATCACGAAGTCGATCTAGGATGTAGAGATGTCTGCTATGTGATGGGCCGGACTGTGTGCCTTGCCCTAGTGGTACTGACCAGTGCAGATGACAGCCTGGGGGTGAGAATGCTAGTTCCTTTGCCCTCGACTGTAGCTCAAGTATAAAGAAGTGCAGATCCGCACTTTATTCATGCTTTTATTCATGCTATCCGTCTTCCCTAATCTTTAACTTGACGTGAAAGTTGCAATGGCAAAATCGAACCATACCCCGGATCTTGAGAGATCCAGCCAAGAGAAGAATGAAGTAGCTCTAGATGAGGGCGATGAATACCAAGAGCCCATTGCGTGGAACTTCACAAGAGTTGTTGCGGTTATTGCACTCTGCATTGCTTACGTTGGTATGTTCTATCAGATCCTTGACACATCCACGTTTGATATCTTGAGCAAAACCGTTCGCGTCAAATGACTGACTCAAAGAAATTTTCCAGGCTCTCAAGTCATTTTGTACTTCGTATCCAGTGGTTTGGTCTACATATCAGCAAGCATTCACACCAATGTAGGCAACTGGCTCCTGACCGCCAATACCTTAGTAGTGGCAGGCACATGCCCTTTCGTGGGTTACATGACTGATCTCCTCGGTATGCTCTGTGATCCATTCATGCTTCAACAAAGCAACTGACTGCCAATCCTCAAGGTCGAAGATGGCTTACCATCGCTGGCGCCGTGCTCTTAATGATATCAAGTGTGGTGATGGCAACTTCTCATTCTCTGGGATCGGCCATTACTTCCATGGCTCTAGGTGGTGTTGGAGCTGCAATCTGTGAGCTTACTGCTATCGCTGGGTAAGAAATCTTGCTATAATTCTTATCCCACATTGATCATTTGCTGATGTGGAGAGTACAGCGTTGCAGAAATCACACCTGTGAAATGGCGTGGCGTCACCCTCTCTCTGGTCACCTTCTCGATTCTGCCCTTCCTTCCTCAGCTCACATACATGGAATTGTTACAAATGCACTCTACCTGGAGATGGGCTTTTGGAATATGCGGGTATGTAAAGAATACTTACGTTGGCGTTGAAACAAGAACAAGACTGAAATATATCAACTTTTAGTCTGTGGAACTTTATCGGATTTCTCGGAATCGTTTTCTGCTATCATCCATCACCACGACATAACACTGACAACATGTCTTCGATGGATATCCTGAAACAAATCGACTATATGGGTGCCTTTTTGTCCTTTGGAGGGATCACCTTGCTGTTGGTCGGTCTTCAGGCGGGTGGCTACCAATATCCATGGAGGAGCGGCAAGGTCTTGGGTCCTCTAATTTCCGGCATCGTATTGATTCTCCTCTTTCCGCTTTGGGAGTGGAAAGGCACAAAGTCACCTATGGTTCCAGGGGCGATTTTCAAAGGACAAAACGTAGTGGCCATATCTTTGGTAGTTGTTTTCATTGGAGGTGAGAATCAGCTTGACTTCATACGAGTATTGCCGAGCTGACAGTGGTTTTAGGCATGAACTTCTACGCCGTTCTCGGTTTCTTCCCTGTGATGCTAACATCACTCTATAATACCTATCCACTTCAAGTTGGATATAGAGGAATTGGATATCCACTAGCCATTTTTGTCGGAGCCTGTGGTGTCAATACATTACTATCTTACACGAAAGGACATATCCGCCAGATGTTTGTCATCAGTGCTGTCATCATGAGTAAGTAACTATTCTATCCACCCTTGTCCTACCAGCAAAGTCCTGTTCTGATAATCAAAAACAGCTGCTTTCGGCGGCGCTCTCGCAGCATCCACACCGTTCAACCCAAATTTCGCAGTTGTAATGGCAACATTCTGTTCCCTAGGTATCGGTGCAATAATAGTCCCAGCTCTCACCGTCGCACTATACGCCTGTCCCGATCGCTACATTGGAACCACCGCGGCGCTCTCCCTCAGCTCTCGATTCCTCGGAGGATCTGTCGGAACAGCCATCTACTTTAACATCTTCAATACGAAAATCTCATCCAAACTCCCCACATATGTTGCAGAGGCGGCAGTTGGAGCCGGTCTCCCTGCTTCTAATGCGATGGACTTTCTGGGCGCTCTGCTGGGTCCCGGAGGTGGTCCTCCGGCTGCAGCGGCTGTACCTGGTGCTACGCAGCAGGTACTAGAAGCTGTGGGGCTGGCCAGCCGATGGGCTTTTGCGGACTCGTTGGCTTATGTTTGGTATACTACTATTGCCTTTGGTATGGTGTCAATCGTCTGTTGTGCTTTTCTGCCGAATATCCGACGATTTATGACGGACAGAGTCGCTGTGGTGAGTTTTCCTTCCTACAAATATACATTAATCTACTAACTGCTTCAATCTCAGAACCTCCACTGATAATGTATATATTGACATGGAAATATTGAGACACTTGGTCGGCAATGCACGTTGCCAATGGATGTTCCAACTTCCCCTGGTTTTGTCATCACCTCTTCATGGGTATGTTGCCAGTTGATACAGTGAGCATAAATCTATACATTTAGAGGGAAAGTATTTGTTTGTAATTCAACCCCGTAATGATCTTTCAGGTACATTGCGACAACAGCTAATGATCCCGAAGTCGCTACGTGTCGTGTGATTGCGGGGTTTAAGCGAGAAGTAAACAAACCCTTGGAGTATCCGAGAAATGCTTGAGAATTTTCCGACAAGTATCTGAGATACATCCTCTCCTTAGCTTTTTAGTTCAGGGATTTTGCAACATAACTGAGTGTTCTTGTTCCAAGACTCTCTATTCATTGAGAATAAATTTTCGATGCGAAAACATTAATGAATCGATCATAAATCCCCAGTGGGGGCAATGACAAAAAGCGAAGATGTTTGGAACGCAGATTTTGTGGTGAGTCTAAAAGGACGAAAGACAAAATTGAAAACGCATAAAATAGATTACAAATCAGCTCAAATGATGAAGCATGTCAGGCGAACGGCACGGCAAGCGGAAATAAGCCCTGATATTTATGCAATAGGACGAGCGAATAGGTTTATCATAGAGAAGAACACGAATATCATGATCGTGATACAAATAATACAACACCAAAGGACTTTTTTCGTAGTGACTAAGAGGCAATGCCGAGATATTGTATACTTCGACTTATCACAGCCGGAATCTCGCTTCACCCTTTCTCTGACGCCGGGCACTACTAATTGTCAAAGGCGTGCTGATCTGCTGATCTCAGGCTTGAGGCATTGCCACGCCCGAAATTTTTGCTTGTTCGCGAGACTCGCGCCAACATGCCGTGGAATGAAAATAATCGCCAGCGCATACATAAGTCGGAAGTGTGCATGCAGAGGCTCGGGCGGTGCTACAGTATTTTCCGCTTTTGCCGGCCCTGGTATGCATGTTCCATCCTGTGCAAGCCTCGCCAAGCGTCTTAGGAAATAGCTTCTTCGATGCATACTGTATGCAAGGTTTAAATGCTTCGTTTCCATATCTGCACACCATGTCCACAGGAAGGAAACCAACAATCCCTTGACTTCGGAGACACTTGCCTATTATAGCTGTCTGAATCGCTGTTGCGTATTCTTTGGCCGCTGCGGAAACGAAATATTGTACTTGCATATACTACTGTATATGCGAGTGAATAGACATACATTCACCATTAAAAGGGACCTATTCTGGTCCAGGTCCGTTTTTGCACGCAGATTGGAACAGTCTTTCCATTAGAGCCCGCACCGCGGCTAAAAGCAATCGGCCGGGTAAATCGATGCGGTCGGAGATGGAGATTAAGTGATGTAAGGCTTGCACTTCCCATCTTCTGAGGAATACCTTGAGCTTTGTGTCAATAGCTCCTACGTCAATTTCCTACGTTTGCAGCACTAAAATATGCCACTACTTTTGCAGGACGTCGATTTCCAAGATGGCGTGACCATTGCCGATATTTACATCAGCGCTTTCTACGACGACCCGTTCAACAAGACGTTGTTTCCCGGCGTATCATTCGATCAGCAAGTCGCTGGCGTGATTTCACGCTGGCCGGGTAACTACGGTGCGGTTTCAGCTCACTACAAAAAAGTGGTTGATAGCGAGTCTGGAAAGATTATAAGCTATTCTAAATGGTCATTCGCATTCACGAATGCGGGGGATGTTCTGCGACAACCTGGAAGCAAGTGATTTCCACACCCTAATTTTGAGTAAGTCCATTATTGACATCTTAGCAAGATGTACCAGCGGGTGTCGAGATCAGGCCACCTTCAACGCCTGAAGGGCTGAATGACCCGTTTGCGATAGAGTTCACGGAAAAGCTTGATGAAGTGCGGGAACATATTTTAGGGAATTGTCCGCAACTACGTAGGTAGATCCGCTTTCCCTCAGAAACATCATCTGACCATTCATAAGATCTGAAGATGATGGGGACTCGCCCCTCGCACCAGCGACACGGTGTTGCAAGTTTGCAGCTTGCGTGGGCCGTCCAAATTGCTGACAAGAACGGACTGGCTTGCTGGTGGAAGCGTCTCCTGTTTCCGTGTCCGTATATCAGAAGTTTGGATTCGAGGTCAAGGGTCATGTGGACTCGATCCTGGATGATTCTTGTGGTGGAGGGACTTACAGGTATACTTGCATGTTGCGGCCGGCGAATAAATCATCCTGAGGTTGGAATGGAAGGCTTATAAGAATGAAACTCTACCCGTGAATAGCAGTCGAACTTTTTCGCAGTATTACAATTTCACTTGTATTGAGCATAGACGTTGAGTGTGCTTTATTGTCTGGATTCGTTTATGGATGGTCATGCTCGAATGCTCCATGAGGTAGGCAGCGTAATATTACCACGTGCCTTGATAGCGTATTCCTCCACACTCTTCCACGCGCGACACTTACGCTCTACTATGAAATCTGGAAATGGAAAGTCGCGACCCTTCATCCAGAAGTAGGTATGAACCCCAACATCACCTGTGCACATGATGAGCTGCCTCAGATAGTCTATGCAGTGATCTTCATTCAGATGTGTTAGCTAATCGAGAAGAGCTATGTTGCTGCAAACCAAACATACCAACGTGATTCCGTAGCACCCCGTCAGAGTCAGTGAACTCCATTGGTAAACGTGCTGGATCTCGATAGTAGTCCTCATAAGTATATTGTCGGATGAAATTGAGGCAGTGCAGCTAGATTTAGATCATCAGCGATGACTCCGGGAGGGTGGGCTTGTGTTGATATACTTGATGATAGACTTCCAGATTTCCTAGATAACCACCGCCTTGATCATCGGGGAGAGTGACATAGGTGCTGTTCTTGTGCAGTTTCTCCGTCATGGCATCCTGTGAAATTCAGATATAGCCGCCTAGTTATGGGTCAGAACTGTTTCTTTCATTTCTTTGATCGAACTGTACTGACTTCTAATCAACTTATTCCATTCGTCATCAAGTGGAGCATCTGGCTGCCCCTTGAAGGGAGATGTGTCGTAGAAGCCATCGAAATAATGATTCTCGAACGAGATATGTTTCAACGCCGGTGCTATTGATATATATCAGTGACATTCTTATATGGAATCATGTACCTACAATACGCTGAGAGCTGAATTACACATTGCTGATCGCCACAGTCGGAGCTTCTGAACGACGCGAGAAACACGACGAGGCTCAGAAGCCCAAACAAACACATGCACAGCAACTTTCCACCACCTGAGTACAGACTTAAACATCGACGGAGCTTCGAGGGGGAGCCCTGCATTGTCTTCCTCGATGGAAGAAGATAACTTAAGAGCCTGGTACGAGAATTGCATGATGGTTCCTTGTTGGACAATTTGACGTGTCTTCGAGTAGAGGTTGAAGCTGTCTGCGTGGAAAGTAAGAAGGGACACGAGAGGACCTAGGTATGGAGAGAAGCTTCCCTGGTCGGATAAAGGTATGGTATACCCGAGACCGAATTCAGAACCAACATTGGAGACGTACTTGCACAGACACGCCGTTGCAGATTTACCGGTGGCACACCTATGTATAACAGGTTCCGCTGGATATGGCTGAGTTGTCGGCAACGTCCACAGTTTGATGGCAATTACTTCAGCGGGGTAAAGCATCCCGGATTCTCTTGCTTGCAACGCATCATTAGTGGAACTGACCTTCAAAGCTGCATCGCAGGGTGTGTACTTGCAGGCAGCAGATGCACGGGTATATGTCCAAGAACGGCTGGAATGTCCTCCTAGCGTGATAGCAACTTTCGTTGATCTGATATCAAATTGGGAGTCGTCTGCGTGTACCACACTTAGGTAGACGTTGGTTTTGGGACTGGGGATATGGCAAGATTTTGGGCCCTTCCATTGCATACTTTGTTTAAATACCGTAGAATATCCCATTATTTCGTTCAACTTCCACAGCCTTCACTATCCAGTTCAGGTCAATATTAGTAGCTAAACACAATACCTCAAACCTTTCACATCCAGAAATCCTCATGAAGTTCAACACTATCACCTCCGTCCTCCTCGGTCTTGCCACTGATATATGCCAAGTCTCGCTTATCCAGGAGAAAACAACGGAGCGCCTTTCGCCTTTCGAAGATGGCATTATACAAGCTCCTGCTGTCCCTGAGATGCAAAGTTTCAAATACTCTTGAACAGCATGGAATCCTACAAGGATTATGAATACGATCGCAACGATACCGCAGATACCTAGTTCAAGAAGGTGCAGGAAAGTGTATCGAACCTATCCTTCAACCTCGCAATTCACGACGTCGCAACACCATTGTCAGTGCCTCCTTCTACTGCTCTTGCAAGCAACTCGCACTTTTCATTAGAGTTTAATGCTATACGGTATCATGGTACTATATTTATAGCTACGGGAAGTAATCTTCTGGGCATGACTTCAGACAAGGCACCTTGTTGAATACATACTGTTTCCCAAGCGGCCGCGAATTTTATATCTGTACAGCGAGCAATAACAATAAACATGTTTGTAAAATTCTATGTGTGCTTTATGTTATTGAGTTGGCCATTTCGTAGCGTCTGTCAATGCATTCGTGGATCAATTTGGAAGAGTACTAGGTAGGTTTAAAGTCTCAGTACTGAGACTTCCCAGAAAATATGCGTACAGCATGGCTTATACCATGCTCTGTAATAATGAACACACATCATTTGTTAGATCAACCTCACAGAATCGATTGTGAACTTAAATTTCACACTCTAGTAACCATTCGCACAGCTTGAATGGGGATGGCGAGAGGAGTGCAGAGAATGGTAGCGGTATGTATTCGGTAGCCCCTGGATATTGACAATCACTGTCTCTGAGTATTCATCTGCGTCTAGAGCCCGTGGTATAAGTATCTCGGAACACTGAAATATATCTTGAAGAATAGAGCTATGCCTTCAGCAAAAATGGGTTCGGGAATTGTCCAGCGAGGAAATTGCTGGTCCAGGCAGTGTTGCTGCTGAAGAATCAGAGTACCGAAATAAAGCTTAATTTGGGCTTGGTGAGAAGAGATTTTTGTTCAAGTAAGAGATCGTCGATAGGAAAGGAAGATTGTCGTTCGTTGTTGTGAAGCGCAATTTTACGCTCAATAACCAGACGGCATGGAAATTCGGCACCAGGAGCTGGGTTAGACCCCGTCCAAATGGATTCGTGAGTTTGATGAAATGGAAGTTTGACATATCAACAAACCGTCGGAATATGAAGAATAAGAAAAGTATATCCTGCAGATACGACGAGGAAGTGGTGTGAGTCCCACAACAATTCATTCACCGAGTTGGGTTCTGGGTGCCATTCCTCCTCTATTTTTTGGTTCCAAGCTTCATGAATACATGACTGTACAAGGAGCTAGAGGAGAGATCTGTGAAGAGTCAAAGGTGAAATAGAGGATTGAGGAATGAGACAGCACAGATGTATAGAAATTCAGAGTGTTGGTAATGGGATCTCTGGGCTGAGGGGCGATAATTCGATTGTTTCCCTGTGAGGAAATAAACTTATTTCAGTTCTGAATATCCCTTTAAAAACACTGCAGTCACTCTCCTTCGCTTTTTTGAGGCACTTAATTTAAGTCCTGAGCTTTAAGCTCCCATCTGTGCAATTCTAGCCCCCCCCCCCCAATTTAGCATCGCCTGAGAGATTGGATGTACCCCAACTCCAACCCAGCTCAATAACAACGCACCGCAACCATCACATATTCAATGAACCAGGATCAAAGCCAAAAAAGGAGGTAAATAAAGCCATCGACGTTTTCGGAAATGTGAAGTCGCCATCGTACGACACCCAACTGCCTGCAACGCGAACTACATACCAGAACAGCATGCAAGGGATTGAGGCCTAAGTGCAACGATACACAACTCACGGGACACACATCACTGCCGATTTATTGAGGGAAGCTGCATCCACAAGCGGCAGGACAGCACACGAGCGAGCGCCATCTTGATTCAACTCTAGTCCTCTCGGCCCCTGATCACCACGGGAGGGATCAGGCTACCGGCAGACTTTCAAACTTCCGAAAGGTTAAAAAAACACAGGCAGGCTTGGAGCCTGCGGCCTTGTTTGATTTCTGTCGAATATGCCGAGCCCTGCAACGTGGACTCGCCGGGATGGTGCGGGAGATCGGATGTCTGGGGATTGCGGGGACGAAAGGAGAAGGCGGAGCGGGAGAAAGACAGATATATTCCAGGATACACTGGAATGCGGAGAATGAAAGGGGTTTTGTTACTGTATAGTTTTCACTTGAAAGGCAGAGCATATAGTTGCAGCAGCACCGGCACAGAAACCTGGCCCATCGGTGCTTGATTAAATCAATCCGACCGCTGAATGGCTGGTTGGTCCAATGTTTCGTAGTTTACCAGGAGTCGCATCTCAAGACGCCTCGCGCCCTCGGTGTGAATCGACGACGGCGTTGAGAAATCGCCGAAACTTTGCGGTCGCTGCAGGGAAGTGAAGCGCCGAACTTGAGTTGAAAGCAACAGGAACGAAAATAACTTTTCAAAAAGCTGGGGTGCAGGAGGCCATTCATGCGGTTAGTGACCTTCCTGCATACCTTAGGATACCAGGAAAGGACCAGTTTCGGGAATGAGGTCAGCACGAACATGCGTGTAAATCGTATGTTCCTTACAAATGGATTGAGAATGTGAGGATATCTGTGTCCAAGCCCCCGGAATCCCGATCTGATTGCCGTATTAAAAGAAATGATGAAGTGGCTGGCCACATCTTCGTGGCCCACGGACAACACGGTGGAAGTGAGGGCAGCCAGCCGAATAGCCAGTAATATATCCTTGAAACTGTTTATGGCTACCAACACTCAGGCATGTATCGCAAACGGGGTGTTGCTTTTCGAAAGAGCACATAACCTGTTTTCGATTGTACCGAAATTCCTCTTGAGTTATTATAGTGTTGTCATCGTTATGGAACTTCCGGATCGAATGGGACGAGGTACTTAGCTTTGCCTTCTTACTGCTTCTGCTTTTGCCGCACCGGTTCGGCTCGCTTGGGCTTTGTCAGAGCGGAATGAACAGGAGCGAAGGGGTAAAGTACAAGATGGCATGACATGAGCTAAGGTTGCAGTCCATAATCTTATGATACTCGTTCTCAGAGTCGTATGAGTGGTTGATGGCGAGCGTATCAGTGGTCGGCATACTTTGTACGTATTCGTTTGGGTTTAAGATTCGGCCGCAGCAGGATACCAGCCGCTCTAGTTTCTGATTTGAGACGCTGCGCTGCGGTCTTGTTTCTGGCTTTTTGATGAGTCGTGTAAGTTGTCGCAAATATCATAGGATGGGATGTCAGTAGTCCAGGTGAGACGTGCCTTGGCGAAAACGAGAAAAGGGGTTTAGACTCTACTGGAAGTTTAGTTGACCTTCCCCTTTTGTGCCCAATGTAGAAGTGTAAAACAGAGCAAACCCAGCACGCCCTTGGATTTCAGTGGCTGCAATCGAAATCCGATTAATTGCTTGCAAGGGGGTAGGGTTGGATGAGAAGTACAGTAAGATACTCGAGTAGGCTAAGATGATCTGCCTTCTCCTTCCCAGCTGAGCTGTCTGTCACTCATCCTCCTCCCTTGACTCCCGTCTTCTTAACCTCCACATTCCTCTATCAACCAAGTGCTGACATGCCTCCACACCCCCACGCCGGCCCGTAAGCCTCAGAAATCCCCAGACCAACCCCCACAGTCTTACTTCCAAGGAATAGAAGAGACATTGCGAAGCTTTGAAAATTCCGGCCAATCTCCCAGGTGCATTATTTCGCCAGCAGCCAGCTGTTCATCCATGCCTGACGACAGACGACAGACGAGACGAGATGCCGAAGCACCCCACGAATAAGGAAAAGGGGTAAGCATCGACAATACAGTAAGACTCAAAGTCGTCGGCCTTCCTTGCACCGACAGTCAATTAGTCTAGGCCGGCTACAGCACACGTCGCCCGTAATAATGCTGCCATAACACACCACAAAGCGGTGATGTGCTGATGCCCTCTTCCTACTTGCTGCACCGTTCCTCACCGCTCCCCCTCTTCCTCCGTCAAACCTGCCTACCTGCTTCCCTCGCTGCACGTCTGCAGCCTCATATCCTATCGTCTTCTGTCCCATGCCATCCCATCGCTGGAAATCTGACCGATGGCGAGCATGCCATGCACTTTCGTGAGGTGGCATCACATTCCTCTCTCAACACCAACCGCGAGCGAAGCCTGAGTGTGCTTTGATGCGGATTTGCATGGCTGGCGGGTAGAGTACAGGTGTTTAACAAGGGTGTCGATTGACCCCAGACCCTGGTTGTCTCTTCCCCATGCCCTAAATTCAAACCCCACGGAGTTCTCAGGTGGTGCAAAGGCTAGACCCAGATCGGACTGTCTGTGGACAATAATTACCCAGCCAAAAGTTAGGAACGTCGTCCATGAGTCCCGAATGCAGGGTAAACAGACGGACAGAAGAATTTAGGGTTGGATTGCTGAATTCCCTAGCCTTGCATTGCATTCCACGTTCTGTTTCCCCCAGCTCGGGTGCCCCAGCTCACATAAGGCATGCAGCATAATCGTAACAACAAACGGTGCCTTGATTCCGACTCGATATTTCCCTCAAGTAACTTTTGGCTTGGACTGGCTTTGGCCTAGACTCACTTCTCTAACCAAACCATACCAACATCTCGGACCTCGCCCCAAAGCATTAAGGTAGCTAAAGCCGGGGAAGCCAACCGGTGGGAAGTCCGGGGCAGACGGGAGGCTGGCCTGTCTCGTCACCCCGGCTCTGGAAGTTTTGGAAGTTTTGGAAGCGTGGAGCGAGATTACAGCGTATGACAGGCCCCGTAAAAGGAACATTCCAGGACCCATCGCCTGCCCAACGGACTGGACTGGTGGAGCTATTACTGGGATGTGAGCGCCGGGTTCAGGGATACATGCAGGGTGATATGGTGCGAGGCCGAGGCGGCGGCGGTCCGGATGTCTTACTTTCTTTTTGGGTTATGATTATTATTTTATTTCATTTTTGTGGGTGGGAGGATGGGTTATGGGCTGGGAAAGAAGGGATGATGAGATGGTCCGTTGGCATGGGTCTTGCAAGATAAAGTTGATCGACGCCCCCGACGGCATTCCTCCTTCTTTTCTTTTTCTTCTTGGTTTGCTTGCATCAAAGACGATCATCCGCTGTCTCCAATTCAAGACGAATACAAAAGACTACATCCTGCTCCTTCGTTTGACAATAAATCCTCTCAAATCAGCCTCCTCCAACAACACCGTTTTCGTGAGAGTCATTGACACTCGGAGATTACATTCTGTGCTTGGTCACCAATCCTACTGCAGCTTCTCTGACTGTTCGGTGAGTAACTGAATTCAGCCCTGCGTATCTGCGATGCAACACATCCGCATCCAACACCGACTAACAGCCTCTTCAGCTCAACCTACCGAAAACCAACTCCATAAATCGCTATTCTCCAGGTAGTCAACTCATTATCCAAGAATCGCAACTCTGGTCAAATCTTCCACGAAAAGTCACAGACAATCAAAATGCCTTCCCAAACCCCCACGCCACTTACAACCCCCATTCCACGTCGGCGCTCTCCGCTCCTTACCAACACCTCTTTCGGTCAACAAGATATCAGCCTGTGCCTCACCAGCACACTGAACACGAAAGCTCAATCCCCATATACATTTGTCATGCGGGACAACGAGAACGATTACGCACCACCCGCTCCACCCCCACCAAGTCCTGTCAACTACCCTTCTGAGAGCTGGAGCACCGCCTGCTCTATCCGAAGATAGGCTGGCGCTGTGAGGAAGTCTGGAAAAGGGGCTAGGAGCAGTGTATACGTATCGAGCGAGACGGCGGGAGAGACGGGGACTGCTGGATTCCAATGTGATCGGTCCCGTGTGGATAAAGGGTCGCTTCTCGCGACCCCTATTCTCGTTCTCGGCTAGCTGGACTGGACAGCGTATAAGAGGAGGGTCCGAATCGATCTCGACGACGGTATCAACATTACAGGGTACAGCCGTCGCTCACGCACGCATGGGGTCACGGAGTTCAAAAAGGGATTTGCTTTTTCTTCATAATTCCCATTTCTTCATAATTCCCATTTCTTTTTCTACATTAGCTAGCCTATTCTTCTTTTTGGGGTCTGCTATTTCATTTGTCATGGAGGTGATCACGAGTAGATACCATGGGGTGTCTTGATCAACTGTATTTTACTGCGTATTTGAGTTCTTTGCCCTGATTGGGGTCGCTGGGATTTTGACAGTGCTAGTGTTTGCTGGAGCGAGGCATGGTTGAGCAAGCGAGCGAGCGAGGTGTTTGTAAAGACTGGAGTCAGTTATGTGTCCGTCTTATCCATCTATGAGCGTTTCAAATTCAATAATAATCAGACACAAACATTTTGCCACAGGTACTTGTGAGACTGATAAAATTATCATTATGTATTGTGTACCCGTCTTTTAGGGCGTATAGCATCAAGTTGCTTCCAAATTCAACGGCTTACGTTTGGCACATTGTCTTCCCTACGAGTTCTATATCGGTCAATAATAATAGCAGGCACTACACTACCCGATCCGTATTAAAGCCAATTCTTTTACCATTTCCCATCATTTCCCTATGCCGCATTCAGTGGTTTCTCAGCACCGCATTCAGTAAAATCTTTTGTGTTTCACTTCCCTGTCGTCCCCTCCATACTCTCAATCCGAATCTCAATATCGACCCCAACCATTCTAATCATCATCCCACGGTTACACTTAGGCCTATCCACCTACTTCCCTCCCCAATTGCGCCCCATCATCCAAAACCCTCGTACAACCTCGGCACAAAGGAAGTCCTTTAATACCCCTATCTATCACCCTAATCCCACGCTCCATCTGCCTCCCAGATACTGCAGACCCTCCGGTTAAATCCCACTATCTCAGCCCTAGCGCACGACACGCTGTCAGGGCAGCACTTTCCGCATCCTGGGGTTGCACAACTTTATCTGCCCGTATTGCGTGAGCTTCGGCGTGGGGGTTTACAAATTCGCTGCTCGGTTATGGAGGTGACGGTGGGGGGCCGCTGGATGACGAGCTTCCACGATGACTTTGGTTGATTTGGAGGGGTGATGACTCTGCATCTATTGCGTTTGGGGCGAAGAGCAGTGAGTCAGAGGCAGAGCAGATTGTTGAGAATCTTGTCTAACGTTACATTTACGCTGATTCTGTTGGCCTAGCTTGCGTTTGAGGCTGTTGATGCTTACATTGATTACAGTGCTTTCAAGAACTGCCCTCAAAGACTGTGTTATTGGGACAATAATTAACCAGGGGAGACATAACCCAAGTGGGAAGCCACGTCGTTTACCCTGTCCCAAGAGACTCAACTGTAGTAGCCTATTTCTTGGGTGATTTTGCCATGCTCCCTTTCAACAGAATGAGCAAATAGGCTAAGGTACTTGACAAACTTCTGCATGCCTCACAAGGAAAAGGTGAAATAACCTATACAGCTGTTCCATCGAAATCACTTTTAAAGAAGTCAAGATCAGCTTCTCAAGTTTTCAGACAAGTCGTGGTGCCCCCATATCACGCCTTATCTTCAGACCAAACTCATCCGAACAAAATACAAACCTCGCTTGGGCAAAGGAGAACTCTAGCACACCACCCACAATCCTATGCAGAAACCAAATTTTGTCCCTCTGTAACAACCAATACTCGAATTTGGGCCACCAATCCATTTAAACCAGGCTGTCGGCACTTCGAGGTCTCAATTAAACCAAAACATAAGTAACAATTACAGAACAATGCAACGGTCGGATACCAAGGCATCCGCTGCGGTTCCTGCTGCGATCAACTCGAGTCCGAGCATTGCCTTCCAAAGGGGCGGGAAACACGCTTCTCAATGGCGGCGAGAGGAAAGACATCCCTCATTATCTATTTATAGGGACCTAAAGCCCCCGGCTAAAGTGAAGTTGAGGGTTTCTCTTGCAAGTTCGGCAAAATCAACAATTTAGGGAATCAAAACAACAAAAAAATCAGCAATGTGGGATCGCGACTCACGGGGACGAGAAAATTCGGAAACAGAAAACGATAAAATAGAGTTGGTGTATAGTAGGTTCCGCTTCATATTCTCTGAAGAGGTTCCGACGTCTTGAGTACGTTGATTTTTTTGGCTTTTGTTTTCAAGGATCATTTAGCAGCACGTCTTGAAAAGCCTGCGTGATTGAAGTACCGCAGGTCTTCGGTTTTTTTCACCAGTTATCTCCCTTGTCTCTTTTTATTCGAGATAGCCATGTATGTCCCCGACTACTTGCTGTCATCTGTAAAGCATTGCGAGGTAGGAACAGGCACTACTTGCTAGCGGATCATTATAACCTTAACTTTGGGACCTATCTATAAATCACTAAAGCTAACCACAACCTGGTCCTATACATCTATCACGATGTGTATTCACTCCTCTACACTCTTAATTCCTCAATTTTCCTTTGGTATATCCCATGTTTCCCAGCTACAACTCCACCAATACATCCACAAACGCATCATCCCAACATGCCTTCCACCATCCCTCCTCTTCTCAAACAACCAAAAATAATACTCTTCGACCTCGACAGCACCCTCTTTTCCCATACCCATTCCCTTATCTGCGCCCTAACAGCCATCCAAACCACCCACCCCCTCCTCTCCACCATCCCCCTCCTTCACCTCCGAAAAACCTACAACGCCTCCCTCCAAACAACCTACAACCAGTACCTCACCCACCAAATCACATTCCCAGAAACCCACGCTCTGAAAATTAAACTCTTCTACAACGCTTTAGACCTTCCCGCTCCATCCTCGGAACAAGTTCAAGAATTCAGGGATGTGTACAAGGAGGCATATCGTGTTAATCGTGTCGCTACCGACGGGAGTTGGGATGTCTTGAAGAGGTTGAGAAAGATGGGATGGAAAGTAGGGATAGTGACGAATGGACAGGCTGAGGAGCAAGAGGAGAAGGCGCGGGTTATTGGTGTGAGGGAGTTGGTGGATTGTTTGATTACGTCGGAGGAGGTGGGGGTTTGTAAGCCTGATAGGAGGATTTTTGAGAGGGCAGTTGAGATAATAGGTGGTAGTAGTGGTATGAGAGACGGTGATGAGGGAGTGGAAGAAGAGGCAGAAGTGTGGATGGTGGGTGATGATGTTGAGGCTGATGTCAAGGGGGCATTGGGGGTTGGATTCAAAGCAGTATTGTACGAGGATGGGGTGGAGAAGGGGAGCAAGATGGTGGATGGAAAGCAAGTCGACATTATCGGGAGGATGCATGAGCTCCTTGAACTTCTTGGTCTCACTTGAGACAATTTAGGCAGCTCTGTCCCATCAAGTCATCAGGAAAAAGTAGTCTCGTTCAATGTCACGCTATCAGAGAGTGTAAGAATTTAGAAGTATGTAACGATTCGCTGCCTATCTAGCCTAGCGAGTCTTATACTGTTGTTGACGTATCTGCGCCCTAGTAATCCCGTCTCCAATCCTTCCTTCCCAGCGCAATGTAGCCAGGCAAAAGAGAGCCGGCCATCAAAACAAAAGAAAATTGACTCTTCATATCCATGCATGCGCCAATGACCTTGCTATGATATCCCTCCGAATGCATGCGAGTGATGAGAAATCCCATCATGCCAGTTTTCCAGTACACGGCGAAGTTCCCTCCAACACCATGAACCGGGGACCGAGAACTGCTCCCTGTTGCACAAAATGCCAAGAACCCAGACCAAAACCACAAACTCTCCTCCGTAAACGCCTTGTGCCATGTCGATATGTTGTCCAAAAATATGCCTGCCGGGTAGTGTATGTATTGTTTTATGTGAATGTATGTACCATGTATCTCAACCTCGTGAGGGAGATACATTAAGAAGTGTTGGTGAGAAGCGAAGAGTTGAATGCATTATACAAAAATGGGAAGTAACGCCGGCCTATTGTGGTCACGTAAAGGTAGGAGGTGATCTCAACTACAGCTCGCGGTAATCACTAGGTCTAGCTCTACGTTGGCGACCATTATGACGATGTGGGTTGACCGGTTTGCGAAAGTATGCATTGTCCTCTTCATTGGGTAGCGGTTCTGAAAAGATGGTTTTTTGCTGATTTGGAAATTGGCCAGCTTGTACAGCGGCTCCGTTAGCGACTGCAGGACCATTGTTTCCTCCGATACCAGGACCGGCTCCATTAGCTTGGGTTCCATTACCCATATGACCAGCGCCGTTCATCATGCCTATATTGCCCATGTTGTTACCCATGTTGTTGCCCATGTTAGGGTAGCCACCACCATACATGTTTGGAAACCCACCGAACCCATTCATGCCATTCATACCGTTCATGCCGTTCATGCCGTTCATGCCATTCATGCCATTCATGTTCATCATGGGGTTCATCATCATAGGATTCTGCATACCCATACCATAGCTATTCATCATGTTTGGCATGCCGTTATAGAAGTTTGGTGGCATGAAGGGCATGTTGGGGAAGCCATTCATTCCGTTCATCATCTGTTGTTGTTGTTGTTGCTGCTGCTGCATGGCTTGCTTCTGTGCTTCCTGTTGCTGCATTGCTTTCGGTCCTTTGGGAATCTTTGGATTTTCCAGTAGCTCGTCGGCTGGGCGTTTCTTAGAGTTTTCAGACTTTACAGGTGCCGGATTAAGGCTGAGGGTAGAGGTCGATGTTGGTGGTGACTTCGACTTGTCTTTGGTACTGGGATTGGGACTTGGTGACTTTGACTTTGTCTTGGCTTCGGGTTCGGCTTCGAGTTTCACGCTTGGACTCTTTGAGCGTTGTTTCTCGACTTTGGCGGCGCTGTTTTTCTCTTCCAAGTAGACCTTAATCTTTGCAGATGTCTCGGTATCAGGCTTAAGATCATCAATCAACACTCCTTCAGTCTGGCAGCCAGGACAAGTGAAGTCGCTCTCGATGAGCGCATTAGTAATACATTCATTGCAGAATGTCTTCTCACAACACGGCGTCTTCATTGGGTCTATGAATATTCTCTTGTCGATCGAACACTCCAATCCCCTATCCTGCAACTCCTTGTCTCCTAACGCAGCAGCCTTTTGCGCGGCAGCAGATGACTTGGTCTTCGCCTGAAATTGTTCCCATGATGCCTTATCTGGCTCTGCAATGACAAATTGGCCCTCCGCGTTTACCATGATACCAGAAGGTGGCTTCGCATCCTCCCCATCACCAGTTAACACCGGCTTGTCGACCGTCTTCAAAAACGATCTTGGGATACCGGTAGTACGCTTGATCCGGGGTTTGTTCTCGTAATTAGGGTCGTCGTTCGTAGGACACTCCTTAATCCAATGCCCCTTTTCGCCACAACGGTAGCAGACATATCCTGGAGGTGGCTCGTTCTCGGAGGTCTTCTTATGGGTATTGTGATGGAAAACTTTGGTTTGTCTAAATAATGTTAACTTGAGCTTAGCAATGATGGCGTGGCAAACTTACTTTCCCATTTCCTGTAATTGATCGTTCCACTGCTCGCTCTGAGCCTGGAACATGGCCGCCATCCGCTGCTCTTCGGTCATGGAGGCGTTGTTCATCTGGGCAATAGCATTGCTTGTTGTGCTTGACTTGGTAGATTGCTTTCCTTGTTCCTTGCGAGATGAGTTCTTCGCATTTACGGGCATTTTACCTGTCACGTATCTTGCGGCTCTTCCAGCCCCTTTCTTCGCAGCGGGAGCTCGGCGCGCAGTAACCAATGTGGAACGGGGGATTATTGCAGTATCGTCATCGTACTCTACTTTTCATTAGCATCCTGATGAGGTAAATGCGTGCGGGAGACCTACTTTCTTTGGCGTCTTCATCGAATATGTCCAAGTCGAAGTCTGTACCATCACCTAAACGGCTGGTGATAATAATTTCACGCTTGAGCTCAAAGACCGAGATACCAGTACCATCGAACTTGATCTGCTGGGGTTCTTTTTGGGACTTGAACTTGAAAAACACTGAGGACGACATCGTGTCAAGTCGAGAGGTAAGTCGAACTGGTGAATGTGTTTCGGAGACGAGACTGTAGAAGAAGCAGAAAAGCTACTTCGATGCACTTAAGGGACGCAAGAAAGTGCTCAGCTATCGAAAGGGGAGTGAAGGGGGAACAAATGATTGATTGCGACCGATGCAGAGATCAGTCTTCTTCTTCTTCTTTTTCCGTTCAAGAGAACGAGTTCAAATCAAATCTGATTGCAATCACTGGAGATAACCCTGGTGACACGACAAGCTCTGAGAGAAAGAAAAAGATGTACAGGATCGCAGAGCAGTAGTACTGCGTGTGCAATGAGAATGATGATCTGAGATTGTTGGTTCCTCCACCACAAAGCAAAAGACTGAACCACCGCAGCCCTGAGTTCACTATCCACCAGCGTATGTTCCCCTCCAGTTCCTAGACGCAACGAGAGACCGCAGATATAGAAGCGCTCGATTCCGATGCTGGGCGCTGATTCAAGTCGATGGAAATGGAAATGGTATGTCGCGAAGTCGTTGCGAGAGTTTGTCAGGGAGAGGAAGCGGAGGCGACGGAAGACTCTTTGACGTGACAAATTGACGCTAGTGGAAGCCTAAGCTTAGTCCATGACTGGCATAGCCTCTGAAATGACAAAGGCCGAGACTCTCACGTGAGCATCCCCTGAATCACAACCGAGGGAATGACAGCACCAAAACAAAGAGGAACTTGGAAGTCTGGTTACGATTGTTGGATTGGAACGCAGATCTCGTGCACCAGGTACACTACGTACGGCACATACACCGAGCTCGATCTAACTTCTCTGCTTTCTCCCCGGTAGTTGGTCCACAAATTAAAGGACAGCCTTTGTGGTACATCTGTCGAGATATACAAATGGTTTCCGTTACTGAAATTGTGTTGGGAAATGAAACGGTAGGAAGCTTTAATATACATACATACATTCCAAAGGTCATCGCATATACGTAACCTACTCACACATTTCAGAGTCATATCCCTTCTTCGATATTGCCCTCTTTGCTCTTTTAACTGTCCCATTATTTCAAAGAAGCATTCATGCGCCAAGTTCGGCGCATGCGGGTTGTAATGACTGCTCTATCTCATATTTCTTCTCCTTCTTGAAATTGAGACACAGGCGATGACTGTCACCTAAATGGTTCTCCAAAGTAAATTACAGCGGCAGGATTGGCAATCATTTCAGGCTTCCAATCCTCTTCATCCAACTGCGAGAATGATATAGGCCTGCTCAGGACAGCCCCCTTCAGAAACGCTCAGCTCTTGCCTTGTGAACCAAGAAACCGATGCTGGGCATAAAATTGTTTCCGTATCCCTGCGTAGCTTAGTATTGAACCACTCTCTCCTTTTCTCGTCACTGTCGCTCTCATCCTGATATTGCAGGAAAACTAGTATGCCAAAATCCACATGAAGGCTCCATATGTTATCTTCCAAGGTTGTTCACGCAATTACATCAAGCAGATAGGTGACCGGACGCCAATCTAGGTTCAGTGGCCAATGTCGTAACTTTTGCGTACCGTCAGTTAAGAAATTGGGAATAAAAATGGATCTGTGATCAAGGCATGGAGTTGGCTTGCCTTTTCTTTCTGCTGTGCCGAAGCTGCAGTGCTGAGTTGTAGTCATGAGGCAATAATCTATTATCTATCCGAGACCGTCGCACTTGTGAGGAATTAGACGATGAGCCCAAAGTGTCATGCAAAGCAGAAATTCAAAAGGTTCAAAATACCACTGTCAGCCCCGGAAAGCTTGTTATTGCCTCGCCGCCACAGGTAGCCAGAGCCAGAGTTGAATTCTCGATGTTTGTATTGCTTCCCGGCAAAGTCGACGCCAGATCCAATTGTCTGTCCGTTTCCAGATCGATGTATCCATAGAGTAGATATCAAGAGCTAGGAGAAAGCTGACATACAATATCAATTGCAATTTGATGCTTGCCTCATCGCCGCTGGAAAACCTTTGGATAATACCTCATCGGTTGATGCTTGTTCCTTTTTTGCCTAGTGACTCTGAGGAAATTCTAGTTGCCCTCTTTTCCAAACCTGCAGAGTGTCAACATCAACCAAAGGAAGCAAGGATACTTGAGACGCAACGCACACCTCGTCATCTATCGTCGCTGTTTGGATCGTTATTATGCCATACGAACAGTCAGATACAGGTCTTGGTACCTTGAGACCACCGAGACGGAGGTGGGTTGCCGAACAGGGATTGGGTTTTTATGGGTACAATTTCTTTCTTTTTGACTGGATGTCCCAGTCGCCTCAAGTTAGGTTCGTGTTATTTTCTCGTCGTTGTTTTGGTGTTCTGTGGAGAAGTGGGTAGCAAGTGCACTGCCGAAGGGAAATGAGAGATTCTGTTGTCGCGGATGGGCTTAAGGAATAGTGCGCGAGGCTTATGTTACATCATGTTGGAGGATTTGACGGAAAAGACACTTCTAACGACCCTGAAGGGATGAGAGCACAACTCTTCAGAACCAGGGGGTGATATCTTAGCTGGCTCTGGAGCTGTCTACAATGGAGAAATTGACGATATCTTTGGATAAAATGCACAAAACAGAAGCCAGGATAGAGTGACAATGCGTCTCATCACGACTGAAAAGGAAAGCAACAAAGGTTACATGCTTAGAAGCAGTGTGAAGGCTCAGGTATATGTGCAAGATACCACCAATTGATTCGATTCTCAAAATAAATGCAATGCGGCTATCAGTTGGAGACTCCGTACATACAGAAGGGCTCCGAAAGCAGATCACAAGTGCCACGAACCCAGGCTATGCTTTTACAGCTTTTGCAGACCATGCTTGACCCAATGTTTCCCAAATTCCAGAACGCCATTCCATGCCCCTTGACGGTTGAGCAAATCAGACCTCCATTCCCAAGTACAGCCATTTGTCAGAAGTAACATCGAAATCATTCGCCCACATGTCCAGAGAAATGAGTTCAAATCCGACCCAGCGAAGACTTTTGAGGAATGCTTTTCGGTCGACTTCGGGAACATCTCGGTCCAGGCAGATTACTACTTGATTGACGGCGAAGACTGCTTCAGCAAGTTCGATCAATGCCATGAGGCTGTTTAAGTTAGCAAAATGATTTTGGCAAATCAAGAGAGTTGTCCTTACCCTTGTTTCAGGTCCCTTCCAACGACAGCTGAGTCGAAGAATGCAAACAAGGATTTCTTGTCTCCATCTCCTGCTACGAAGCCCCGGAAGGCACATCCCCCAGAGTAATCCCAGATCTCAACCCAAGCATCAGGTGCCTGGGTTGGTCGTTTAACGAAGTAATCGTTATGCACATCCACACTTTCGTCAGGAGGTGAATGTGCGTTCGCACCAATCATGACGGAGACATTATTCGTTGCCTTTCCCGCGTCACCCAGGAATACAACTTTCATGGTCTCACAGAAGAGCCTCTCACACTCTTCCCTGATATGGTACGCTGCCCCCTCTTTACGGCTTTTCCTCTTGCCATCGGTATCGCGCTTTCGGTTTGAATTGTTCTTCGAGATGAGCGCGAGCTCGTTGGCTGAAGTCAAGGCCGCAAGAGGGGGACTTGACGGAGGTGATGGAATCCCTGATGAACCGACCTCAGGGATACCACTTTGCCCCTATATGTCTGTTAGCATGTGTGTGACTCGTTGCCATTGTGATGTCGACGACGTACCGCCGGCGCCGGTAGTGGAGTAATGGAAGCCTGCGAGACGGGCAGAGCTGTCTACGGCATAAGCCGAGGCGAGAACGTTCATCTGAACATTCTCGCCATGTCGATTACTTGAACTATGATTTTGTTTTGAGGGAGACATTGCGATCGATGTTTGCCACGGTTGCGATGGAAGTGGGTTTGTTCGGTGGAGAGATCGGTGTGCAGGCTTGCGGGATCTTCAAGGGAATGCTGGATGCAGTAGTGGATGAGGCTTTTGATGGATACGTTCGAAGACTCGAAGGCTCGATGATTTGTGGTGCGTTGGTGTGTTGATCAGCGGTGAAGAGAGGTACTGCAGGAGTTCTTTATGGAGAGATTCTAGGATACCTTGGATGTCCCCGTTCCCCGCTTGGTGTGGTTCACGTGGTGGGTTTAACCAATTAAACCTTAGCACGTTTTGCAGTTTGATATGCGAAGGGGGCTGGCTAGGCTTGGGGTGTGGTTCTTCACTCTTCTCATTGATCCATACTCTATTATTGCATGACATATACAGTCCAGCGATTAGGTGTGACCGGATGTCTTCTCCTGGTTATACATCATGTTTTTCATGTATCGGCTTGAGCTGGCTGAATTGTTTGCATAGGCCCCAGACCAGGAAGAGAATTTGAGTACACGGCTCTGGGCTTCGCTAACCTCGGAGCCTCGTTAGTCTCACCATTTTTCACAGATAATGAACTGGCAAGTTTTTGGCCTGTGCTGTCAAGTTTCACTGTTTATACATAGATACCTTAAGTAAGTGTATACTGTGGTAGGCCCGTCATGGACAAAGAGAGCATACCTCGCTACTTCATGGCGGCAGTTTGCTGACAATTGTCACATGGCGCATGATCAGCGCCGGCAAACGCGGAGAAGCCTCCATCACTTCACGACCTTCATGAAAATGCCAAAATCGTAAGCCTGGTTTATGAAGTGAGGTAAGTGCTGGTGGTCTAAGAACAGGAAGGAAATAATCGTTAAATAAGAAGTGATATCTACTTCACTGAGGAAGCCTCCTGGAGAAATGAAATACGGGGGTTCTTATCTTATCGATGCCGAGAACAGAGGCGCGAGACATTTATTGACTGCCGATCTGAGCGAGGCTCGGAGCTCACTTGTCAGCCAACGCACCGACGTGACCTCCTCCTCCTGCCCACAACCTTTCCACTGATGTGACTCCTCCTTTGTGAAAAGGCTGACACGCCTGTCTTCTATATTGCTATACAGCATGTCTGGAATGAAGTTGACTGCAACTGATACTACCACTGCTACATGAACGAGAATATATGAGTGCATGATTATGGTAAGACATCTGGAGGGGTAACCCCGCCAGACCGACTATCTCCTTTGTCTACCTATGTTACCACGATACACCATTAAAGAGAAGAGGGAACAGAAGCTAATATACTTCTCTTAAGCTATCTCTCCAACTGTCCTCCGTCCAGAAATACACCTTCACGAAACAAATGTCTCCTCCGGACAGCCGGCCCCCCTTCCCAACCTACCTCCTCCCCAGCTTCAACTTTCCCTTCCGCCGCCGACAATCCTCCACAACATCCACCGCCTCATTCTCGACCTCTCCCCCAAGTCTAAGCTATAGTCCAGCCTCATCCGCAAACACATCTCCCAGCTCGTCCCCACCAACCACCCACCTCCTCCCGAATGAGATCCTCCATTCCGCCCTTCAAAATATACCTAAGAATAAGAAATTACCAGCCCACCCTCGCGAAAGAGAAGTCCGTCTACACCGTGCCCAGCCCAATACCTTGAAATGCGTTTCCTGCTCTAGTGATATCGCGTTCGCGGATCAGATCGTCAGTAAGGGCTTCACCGGGCGTCACGGACGCGCATATCTCGTCTCCGTGCCTACCCAACCAAGAAAGAACACGGAGAAAGAGAAGAACGCTGTCATGTTACCGAATACGAAAATCGGCAGGTCAGTCAATAGAGAGTTATTGACTGGGCAACATGTCGTGGCGGATGTGAGTTGTGTTATATGTAGTGCGGTCCTGGGCTGGAAATACCTGGATGCGAAAGAGCCGGCGCAGAAATATAAGATTGGAAAGTACATATTAGAGATGAAGAGGGTTGTGCTGGCGGTTGGATGGGAGGATGGAGTTGAGGATGGGGAGGAGGTGGGGATTGCGGTTGGTGGTGCTGGTCGGCCAGAGGAGGAAGAGGAGGACGATGTTGTGGTCGTTTTCGATAGCGAGGATGAGGATGAGTGCGAGGATTTATTTGCGGGCACTTGGGATCCAGAGGTGGTGGCTAAGAGGCGGGGGAAGAGGAGCTGGTCAAGGAAGAAGAACAGTGTCGAGGTTTGAGGTTACGACAGGCGCCAACAATCAGCAAGAGCACTGGGCTGAAGGGTGGAGGTAATATTAATAGGGGCCTACAAGTCTGCCAGTAAGCAAGACTTCAGTAACTTGACATCGAGAGTTGGTATAGGCATGGAGCAAGGGAACTCTCATCACGGACAAGTAATTTGGTATTTCATGATCATGAATTGGAGGCGCGGGCGTTATTTGCTTTACTATGCCGGCATGTCTCACGCCGGCATGTCTCACGCCGGCATGTCTCACGGCTTAGAACCCTCAAACCTGGTACCACAAGTATCATAGCTAAATTTGTTTTGCTTTACTTCTGGCGTTAATATACCCCTCTCAAATAGCATGGCCGTACATTAATGCAATAGACATCTCTTATATTCAAGTTTCGATTTGTCAAGTATATGATTCTTCGAGTCTCTCGTAGATCCTTCTATGTATCAACTCATGATTCATTGCAGCTCTTTGTGGTGAGAAGAAATCACCTCTGTACTGAACTAAAATACAGCTTCTAAAGCTTCAAGATCGAGATCGCTTTACAAACCGCACGCCGAGGACGCTTAGAGTATGTACACCATAGTATACAACGAGATCACAAACCTCCACTACATTCTCCCAGTGCCTGTTGCACACTTCCCGATATATGGAATCCCTTCCCAATACCTATCCATTCCTATGTCAGTCTGCTCACTCCTATTCATGAGATTTCGCATTCAGGTTTCTCTGCTTTCTCCCTGCTGCGTAAATACTGTGATGAAGCCCTTTTCTCCAAAGAATGCGTGTCGTCCTTGAGCTACTTCCGACGAAGCCATACAACTTTAACTTAGAATTCAGCTATAATTCTACTCTAACCCGTTTTTGTAACACTTCGTTTCAACTTCAGTAATTCTTGCAGATTATCGTTATTTGGTCGTTGCAACTAGCGCACCTGCCCGTAACAGAGCTCGCTTAAGCCCCATATTTACATTAAAACATCAACAAAACAACATGCTAAAAAGAAAACCACCTGGTCACCACGCACCCAGATCGCCTCCCCATCGAAAAAAATCCCATGCAACAAAGAATAATGTAAGAAATCGGAACATCAACTAGCCAAAGACAGCGAAACTCAACGGAAGCCCACACTCGGATGCGTGTGAGGTTCCGTCTACAATCCCAACTGAATAGGTTTTACCGACTCGATTCCGTCGGTAGTTGGTGTTCGTATGCGAGGCTGGACGAGAAGAGAAACCGATTTGACCTGAACCACCCGGGTGGCCACCCTCGGTTTATGTTTTGGCTGTGCTTATTTAGTTTTATACAGAGGTTGGCAGCTTGGCGAGGATGGAGTGTTGGAAGCGAGGGAGTTTTTAAAAGTGCTCACGGACAGGCGGATTCGGAGCAATTATATATAAGTGGAGAGCCACTGGAGAGGAGTCTAGCTGGACGACTGACGGGCGAGTTATTGATCTTGATAACAAATTTCGCGCTGAGCGTTTGCTTACTGTCTTGCAGCAGCGAGAGTCGCTGCTTTCCATTCCCCTTTTCTCTTTTTAGGAGCGCTTGAAGTCATGCTGGAGATGGGACTTGCCAGAATGAATGCTGTGACTATAGAACAATGAGAGTTACACCTGATCAAATGTTTCGAGGAAATGTCCAGGAGTATTCTACATCACTAAATTTGCTCCGATTACAACTGATTACAATTATTACAGTGCTGGTCGATTTTAATCATCGGCCCACTATTGTCTTCCCCGTCGGTATCACCACAAACGATACTCAAACTGACCACAATATCTCACCCTATGTCGACATCGAAGCTAACACAAAAAGAGTCTCTCAACCTCAGTCGGAGTAATTCCAGCAAAGAAACCCCTCCAAACCCAACCTGACGCGATTGACCATCCGCCTTAACATCTTCGTCCCAATCCAAGGCTCCCAAAGTTCCCCAGCACGACTACAAAATAAACAAGACCGTCAAGGCGCCGCCATCCAAAGTTTCTCCTACGCCACACACATTCTACGGAAAGAGTCATGCTGTCTCCCAATATACACGCCGGTACGCCACACCCACATCTCGACATGTTGGCTTGCGGCGCAAGTATTTGCCAAGGCATGATGAATATGCGGCCCCGCTCCCTGTGAGGAAGGTGGAGAAACATGGGGGTCTTATCAAGATGCATATAGAATGGGGAGATTAGATAAGCTTGCTTGCCATGTAACATATCTCGGGCAACGTTTCTTGGGGTGGTTTTCATGTGGTCGTATTTGTGAGTGGCGAGGGTTATTTCCGGTACGGGAGGAATTGGCCGCCGTCTACTGAGTCCAGATCGGTCTGAGACTTGAGTATTCTGAATAGACTATGACATTAGATTCGGGTCACATGCGTCTGGTTCTGTAATTTGGTTCTACCGTCATGTATTCGGTTGTATGTACTGCGAACTGAGCAGACGTCTCCTTATTTCTACTTGTTAGGCTATCTCCTTCTCTTCAACTTCTTCGTCTTATCACCTCCATTATACGATAGACCCCAGCCAAGATCTATCCCCAGAGAATATTGAATCTATGAATACCAACCTTCTTCTTCGCAGGCGGCTCCGGGTTGGCATTCGCGATATCAATGTAGTGCTGAATCGGGATCTCGCTGAGCGGAATGATCGAAGTCTTCTTGATGAACTTGTAGCTAAAGTACAGGATAAGGAAGATCGGGATGTTGATGTAAGACGACACGAACGTCTCTGTATTCCAGTGGCCGTGAACGAAAGTGACATAGCCTCCCGTGAGTAGCAAGACAGTGAAAGAGATTAGGGAGAACCAAGCGGCGTAAGGCTGGAATGGCCCCTTCCACGGGAGGTTCTCTCGAGGAATTCCTTGCTTCTTGCAGCCGTAGTAGAAGCGCAAGTAGACGGTGCAGATGGTCATCCATCCGACGAGGGCAGCGACGGAGACCAGATCTTGAAGCCAACCGAAAGCTACCGAGGCGCCTTTCGATAGTGTCATGAATCCGAGGCACATAAATATGGAGATGCAACCCACAGCAAGATATGGTATTCCCATTCGGTTGGTCCTGAGGAAAATCTTAGGCGCGTGGCCTTCCCTTGCCATCCCGTAGAGAGTTCTAGAGCCTCCTAGAAGTCCAGTGTTACCTGCTGACCAGGCTGAGGTAAGAACGACAGCGTTGATGATAGATGGCACGACTTTGATTCCAGATCTTGTAGCTGCAATGACGAATGGGGACTGCGCAGCGTTCCCTGTGCTTTTGAGAAGGTTTTCATCATTGGAAGGAACAAGAAGTCCAACCATGAAGATCGAAAGCACTAAAGCTACATTCAGCAAGGATTTCATGTCCAGAAACGAGTTTACTCACTGTAAAACACTACGACTCTGAAGAATATTCTCTTGGCGGCGATTGGAATGTTTCTTCTAGGGGACTTGGTCTCAGCTGCTGCCATGGAGATGTTCTCGATTCCCCTATCCTTGCAGTTAGCAATCATATTCAAGGAAGGTAGCAGCTTACTGAACTTACGAGTAGGCGTATACAGCATTTGAGAAGGTGGTCCAGAATCCCATGAAGTGACCAAGAGAGCCTTGGTACCCAAGGTATTCAACGAATGGGCCTGGGTTGTGCCAGTATTGGAAGCCATATGTGTGGCCATCTGGGCCGCCTCCACAAACGATGACGAGTGCCATGAGGTTCAAACCAACGATCAACATAATTTTCAGGCTAGCGAATGTAAATTCCATCTCCCCATAGACTCGGATGAATAGCAGATTGGCAACTACGAGTAGGAGTCCAAACACGGTGATCCACACAGCCGAGTTGATCGTGGACCAGAATTGAACGATAACAGCTGCAGCAACTAACTCTGCTGGAAGAGATATCATGCTGTTGTAAATCGAGTTCCATCCTTGTGCAAATGAGAGCGCAGGATCAACAAAGTGCTCAGCATGTCGGATAATGGCACCACTAAGCGGGAGTAGAGCACTGGTTGTGGGACCTCCTGTCAGAGACTTTCGACAAAGACGTAGATGCAAAAACTAACCTCATCTCTGCTATCGACATGACGACGCCTACGACCAAGACCCCAACGAACGAGTATCCCATGCTATTTGTGGTCAGAATCCGATGACTTTCGTGTCTGACAAGAAACTTACAAAGCTCCTAGAGGACCGCCTCGAGCAATTGCTTTGCCAGAGCCCAAGAACAGACCCTGATATCGTTAGTGTCATGCTTTATTGGAGATAGAATCAGCCTACTGTGCCGATAGTGCCAGCCAGAGCAATCATCTGAATATGACGCTGATGAAGCCCGCGCCTGGAAGCTCTTGTCAGAAATGAGTCTTGGAAGAAAACAGAGCAGAGTTTCACCTGAGTTCTCGCGTCTCTTCGAACCCTTCAACTCGGTCCTCTTCAAGAGCTCCATCAGAGTAGACTGTGGTAGCATGGCCATACGCTGTCTTGTTATCCGAATGACCGGCTTTTTCTGGGTCTGACGAGACTGGTGAGTCGGACATGATGCAACTGTGTAGAAGGATAGACACAGTGAAGTAAAGTACCGGTGAGAAGTACTCCTCAATATATATTGTTGAGCTCCTCTATCTTATCTGTGGCCCACTGGAGTACATACTTACCCATCGATGCTGATCTGTCGCCATGATAAGAGAACCAGTGATTAGGGGGCACAAGTACTCACAATCGAGTTGCAGACCCAACGGATCGTGAGGATCTTTGAGACATTGCATGTTGGTACGACATCAACGAGGGCCAAGGTATGAGGGCTGCCCGAGCCTGCAGTCTTGTACCTCGTGTCCCTCACGTGAAGCAGCGTCTCGACCAGACCTAGGCAATTGTCGGGTAGTGACATCGAAGATCGGTGTGGTGCTCCCAGGATGAACTGAATGCAGCTTCCAACATGCAGTTTCCCGAGTGGGCTTTTCTATTGACGCTCCTTGCATGAAGGTCTCAACCTCCTTCCTTCTTGGTGCCATGGCCCGGTGCGGAATTACAAAGCTTGACTTGAGCTTGTATAGTATCAAGACCTCCACGAGATACAGTACCTAGACTTGGCCGCGTATCTTTCGCTAACCAACAAATGTGGTGCGGCAGGCTTTCAGCAACAGCGTGTTGGTTGTACCAACGGTCTTGCCCATGCCGTGGAAGAAGGCACGCATCTCGGGGGCAAAAGCAATGCTAGCGAGCGACGTATTCCTTATCTCGAGATATCTACCACACCTCCATAAATACGGCCAAAAGCGGATGTAATTTGATGATCGAGCGATAGGCCATGGCATGGGGCAATCACTGCACTTGATGATAAAGCTGGGGTACTGTATCACCCGGCCACCAATGATCGCGGAACCGGGAGCTGTCGCGTCGAACCAATGCGAGGACGCAAGTCTTCGATGGAGACACGGATCAAATGACTTTTGACACAGGGCAGAGAATATATTTATACCTACTTATGGGTTTAGCACCATGGCTTAATTCGTTTCTCTGACTCTGACACTGGTCTTGCAGTGATTGCACGAAGCTTGAAAGGGCACGTGGCAAGCCTTCATCGAGGCGTGTCAATGGAAGGGTCGCAGGCTAGTCCATTTCAGGTCCGGCACTCCTCTGCTCAGTCCATGGCCGCGTGAAGGTTATTTGGGACATTCGGTTGCCGAGCGCTTCGACTTCACATCTTCTGTCTCGAATTTTCTCGAGTTTTCGAAATATGGAGCTTACGGTACATTTACATTGCACCGAAGCCAGTATCTACAGAAATCGACACGACCAGTATGTACAAACGTCGCAATCATATATACAGCATCTGCGAGTCGCCTCGCTCGTGACGGCTCGCGCTCCTGCCTGTCAAAAGGCATGACATTTCATCTCTCTACAAGCACTGCGAATAGTAGTCACTTGAGAATGTACACTTCGTCCCTTCAACACATGTACCGGAACCTCCCCAATTTAGCCCGCCACACTGACCCCACTTCGCAATTGTACCAGCAGGGGCCGGAGCACTGGAAGTGGTAGACACAGGCGCCGGTTTGGTCGAGGTTGACAGTGTGGTAGGCTTGGCAGTTGACGAAGATACACCAGATGCAGGCTTAGAAGTCGATGATGAGGTAGAGGGTTTAGCGGAGGAGCTCACGACAACACCACCAGGTCCCGCAACAGACGTGGTCAGAGAACCGCTCTCAATGTAAACACCACTGAAGTAGAAATCCTCATTCGTATCTGCTTGGCCTGAAACAGGGAGCTCTAGAACACCAAGATGCCAGTCTGCACCGTTCGAAGAGGTCGAGGCGCTAACAGCGGCGACAGTGAGAGTGAGGGGGTTGGACCCGGTTGAGTGCCAAAAAGCAACGGTATTGGCAGAGAAATCCTTCGCTTTGTTAGTATATTTTACTGAGACGTACTTCAGTCGGAATCTCACAATCTCATAGGCAACATTGTGCCAAACTCCAGCATCCCAGTTCACGCTCCACTTGCTTTGCCCTCCAACGAACCATTGCAGTGCCGGGTTAGAGTTGCCAGCTGCTCCAGAAATCCATCCAGACTTCATCTCTGTGAAATGAGACTCGAAGAAGTTGATCTGGTGCTCGCGGTAAATGCTTGGCGCATTTGTAGCTGACCGCATCATCGAAAAATGGTACCAAACCTTCCCTGAAGCAATGGCAGCGGTGGTTTGAGGAATTAACTCTGTCCTCCTCATCGTCTGTCCGTTCCAAAAGGATGTGCTATCCAATGTGAATTTCGCCCCTTGGGTACTGCCGGAATCGGCAGGATTCTTGTAGGAAGGAGAGAGGTTTATATAAGAAGTAACCGCCGACGGCCCATGCTGGACTCTGTTAGTATAAAGCAGTGCAGCTGACACAATGAGGTATCTTACGATGTAGTATTGGTAAGGGCCAACTTGGTTGCTCCATGACCAATTGTTAAGATCCGTGCTGGAAGAGAAGGTATTGAAACGACCGTCCCATAAAATGGCACTGGAAGCTGACCCAACAAGGACAGCGAGAGCAACAGAGAAATGCATCTTTGGAAAAAAGTACTCTGATTGGACCTCAAAATGGGAACAGACGATCAAACCAAACCGATAAGTGCTGTATGTCTAGACACTGGTTGGGACGGGACATGGAAGAATATAAACACTTTCCGAAGATACCCAATTCCAGCTCTCACCAGGTCATATGAACAAGATCGTCTCATTCTTTGACGTGCAAGGAGTTCAAATAAGGCAGCCCGGGCCGTGAGGTAACTGTACTTCAATTCAAATCGATTCGATGATAATAATTCCAGCTCTTTTACCCGCGACAAGCTTTCTCTTCTTCGGAGCAAGCATTCCGACCCTTCAACCAAGAACGCTAGGAAAACATTCAAAACACACCATGCATACCTTGCATCACACCAACTGCAATAAGGTTTCTCCACGTCTTCCCCAGATTCCTGGAATAGAAATACGCCTCAGCCACGGGTCTCTCAATCTCAATCTCTGTGACCGAAACTTTCACGTCACGTTCTCCATTCGGAGCGGCCCGTTTTGCCGCCGTCCATTCGACTAGACATTTATCAAGTCACAATATCTGTTGTGGAGAACGTCTTAATATGTATGCCGGTAAATATCAAGATCGCTTGCCCCCCAGCTCAACGTTCTGTGGATGGTTCAGGAACACCTGCTACCATGCCCTAGCGGTTCGCTTCCACATCTATCCAGTCCACCTTGAGTTTTCGACTCTCGCGCTCAACATCCTTTCTCGGAAAGCGGAACCTCGCGATAACTCAGAATCACGCTTCACAGAAAATTCCCCGAATGAGCATTCCATGTTGCTTGAGAACAACTGGACTAGCATTTGTTGCTAGCCGAGCTCCTAAGAATTCCGTACGAAACAAACTCAGTGCTAATTAACGGGAGCAACTGTGATTCTTGGCAGCTCCAAATAGAAACTGTCCAATCCATCTTCAATGCCCAATTCCTCTCTATTCGTACCGGCAACCAGTCTCATTGGGAAAGCAACGGGAACCTTCCAAGGCTCCGTGCTTGTCATCTCAGCCTTCAACGCAACGTCTGGACGCGGCTTGTCCCACCCAAGCTGTGACATGCACAGTTCAGTGATACTATTCGCGAGGTCAATGTTTTGTGTGCTTGCTGCTGTCCAAGTTTGTTCCATCTCTGCCCACTTTTGTCTAGGTGTCGCTGTCGAGGGTACAAGTACTTCGGGCAGAAGTATGAATTGAGCAATGCCAGGGAGATCGGGGACCTCATTTGAGCCAGCACATAACTTCGACATGTCGGTTGCATTAAAGGGAGGTATTTTTGCAAATGCAAGTATTGGTTCCGGTGCAGACAAGGTGACAGCCATAGGGAGCTGAACGGTTCCTTTCTCGGCAGTCAGACGATCAGGAGCATGTTTCGGATCTGCCCAAAGAGTGAGAGGCATCTCTTTGACGATGAATGTGGCTTTGAAATTCTCCACGGTCTCCCCTTTTGGATCAACGTCTTGGATGGCGACACACATTTTGGAGGTTATGCCATCCGGAGGGGAACTTGCTGAGACACCCATGGGTAGAGATGACAACTTCGCTGGAGCCGTTCCTGGATCAATTTTCTGCATGAGAGATGTATCTTGGTCCAGAATAAGCACTGTCGTTCCGTCGGCTTGACGTTGGGCACTTTCTTCGGTTTCCAGGTACGCTTCCGTCAAGGCGAAGACTGAAGATACACGAAATTGAAAGTTTCCTCCCTTGACAAACCATTTGGCACCAGCACCTGCATCATCTGGATTTGACTGGCCCTCCTTGTCCACGGATGGCATTGGAAATGCGCCAGATTCGAGACTGAGTTTAAGCTGTACCACAAGGCCTTCTGCTGGCGAGCTATTCGGTGACTCGTCAGGTGGCCCGCTCTTCTCACACAGAAGGTAGAACTCTTCAAGAGAGATTGGAGGCGGTTCTTCGACCCTCTTTCCGAAATCAAATGAGAATGAGAAGAACCAGAAGTCAACACTATTTGCCGTAAGCATGAGTCTTCAAGTCATCGGATATTGCGGAGACTTACTATGCACTGCCACCAAATTCCGGTCCTTCAATTTCAAGTCTCGCACCAATGCAGATACGAATTTTGACGGTGCAGAATAGCAACGGAATCCTGCACTCGACGCCAACTTCTACTCCCATGGAGACCCAATAATGCAAGGGTGAAAACTGGACCATGGCTAATATTGCGTAAGTAAACAGTCGAGATCAGAGAAGGCCAGACGTACCATCAAATGCAGCATCTAGCCAAGCGAATACTGGTCCAATGTGCAGCTCGCATCTTATCAGTGCTCCAGTCATGATTGCTTTAGGAGTAATTGCAAAGTAGCATTCTCCACGGATCGAAATAATACTGATGTTGAAGTCCAATCCAAGCCTGGCGGCTTTTGGATAGTGTGTTGGAACCTGGAAAGCGCGGTGGTAGCCTCCAACGGTAAATACCCAGTCGCCTGCATGTGGGCTTCGCCCGAAGAAAGAATAAAGTGCCAACCCACCCTTCAATCTACAATATGGAACGAACACGAAAGATGAAGGGGCAAGAGCAGCTTCCACTTTGAAGCAGTCCTCGGCAAAATTCAGCTCGGCCATCATCACTACCTCAATGTAGAACAATTTCGCCGTCGCTGAGATATCATCTGGAGGATACGAAATCGTTAAGTCGCCAAAAATTCTGAAGACAGGACCAGCGCCACCAAACTGTACCAGAGCAACCGCAGTTGCTGATATCAAGTTGAAGGAGCTTATGGTAAAGCCAAACGCGAACCACAGCTCATCGTTTTTCAGCTGGACCCAAGGATTCTCGCCCCCAGACATCTTTTCTAGGATCGCCATTGGATGATTTCCAGCACCTTCTGATGCACCGTTACTGATAAGTGGGAAGTCAAAGAGTTCTTCTACTGCCGGTGACCGCACGATGGAATTATAGCCGAAGCCTATCCGCAAGCCTCGCAAAATTGCAAATTGGAAATCGATGATGGGTCCGTCCAATTTCGCAAAAATGAACACACTCTTGAACTGGACTCCACGTTCTTCAACTTGTGCATACTCACCGACAGCAACGAACGTGTAAGGTGGAATTGCGATAGCTGGGAGGTAATTAGTTGGGCATGCACGGACGGGCGTATCTCAAAACTCACCTATACCACCGCGATACGCTTCAATTTTCTGGTCACCTCTTTGGATGATATCATGGTAAAAACAGCCAGATATCAGGATCGGCGGGTTATCGAAACTCACTTCCATGCCGTGCAATTGGAAGTCGATCAGGTCTGTCAACGAGCTATCGCCTAGAGCGGAGAGGTCATTGAGCTTCAGTTTGGATATGTTCAGTCCGATCCCGAAGCCAATTAAAGAGAACGACATTGGCCCAAGCTTCAAGGTTGCATCCACAAAGATGTATACGTGATTGTTCTTGTATTGGAGCGACAATCCACTCACGTCAAGAATTCCAAGCTGCTTCGTCATGGAGCCTTTGGCAGGAGGCTTCTCCTGGGCGTTTGTGGCTGGTTGATCTGGGGGCGACGGTGACTCTTGGCCTGGAGGAGCAGGCGAGCCTTGAGCGACATCTGGTTCAAACACATGATCCAGGATCGCCTCATTGTCAACGACAACAATAAAGTGATGTCCTTGGACCAGTACTGTGGGATCGCCTGGGGCATCTTTGTCCGCGGCATCTCGAGTTGCAGGTTTGAAAAAGAGTCTATGATCTGGCGACTCGGTTTCCAACTTCTCGTTCAGAAGGGCGACTTCGTTGCGACTAAAACCACCCTCAGGGATCCACATATACTGTAGCTTAGACCACGGCTGTGGGAGTTCTTTCACCACAGGTAAGCCACTCAACAGCGGAAGTTTGCCCACGCTTACGCGTAAGAGTCGCTTGGTCTCACTGCCAGGGAACGATAGCTGTTCGAATGAAAACTCGATAGAAGACAGAGACACATTGAGGAGGAATACAATTCCTTCATCCAGAGTATTACTGTTGCTCGCTTTCTTTGTTGCCTTTCCTGTGTGGAGGCTAATGAGATGACCATTGTCGCTTCCCGCGGGTGGCTGGACCTCGATGTCGCGGACAAATGGCGGAAGACTTTTGGAAGCGTCGCTCACAATAGAATCAGCAATCATACCAATCGTGGCACCAGCGCTCCCGGCATCTAAGTATGCATCGAATATCCACGTCGGTTCATCATCTTGAGTAATTTCTGTTCCATCGAGGACCTTCAGATTTTTGTTCAGCTCTGAATCTTGGTCCTTGGCCTGATTAGCAGCTGTTTTACCAGTCCGTATGGCATCCGAAGATGCATACTGGTAGAATATTCTCAGCTTCAGTTCCCCAAAACCAATCGTTCCTGAGAATAAGAAGCTGGTAGCAGCTGGAGAGTCCGCGGTACTCGCTTCGTCCCAAGTGTATAGAACTTCAAGAGCATCCAGGCTGAGCTTCCCAATTACATCAAAGATCCCTTCCTTGAATTTGGGATTTATGAACTCGGCAATTGCACCAAGTTGAATGTACTGTACGCTACCTCCTAGAGCCCATGAAGTCGTACCATTGCCGCCCGTTGAGGACGTGAAATTAAGATCCATGGTGCCTGATTCAAATCGACCGGAGACCGAGTCCAGCTCGAAGGTGGTATTCAAACTCAGAGTCTCAACGCTGTCATCCTCTGTGTCTGAAGATGCACCTTGACGAAAGTATTCCAGGGTCATTCCACTCCAGTCAAATGGAAATGGAACCTTACCGGAAGTATTCTGTGCGGTACTGTCTGATACAAGTGAACCAGAAAAGCTCATCTCATATGGCGCCCCATCTGAGCCTTTTCTATACGTGATGAAGGCGCTGTCAAGCCTTGTAGGAACGAATTTAGGAAGTGCACTAAATGGACCAGCAGTTCTTAGGTCAGGCGGATCGGGTAGTGTCAGCCACTTGCCGCGGGGAAGATCTTCAAGTTCATCAAAGTTCGTGTTGAGTCGGTCCTGGTAAGTAGATTTCAATAGCAGCTGTCCCGAGAAAGTTTCGGACGATGTATCGTAAGTAAGGCCAATAGGGAGCGGATGACCAGGAATGCCAAGCTCGACGAACATCCCAATAATAAACGATCCAGGATTGTCGAAATCAGAGCGGCCTGGAGGCTTGATTGAAACTTTCCACAGCTCGAATCCGTTGAAAATACCGGCCTGAGAGGGGTCGATGGCGCCTTCTGTGAGGCCACCGCCGAGAATGTTAGCAAGATCTCCCCAACTACCCCCAAGGTTACCAATTGGTCTGCTTATTGTTGCTGACAAGGAGCCGCCTGTGCGAGACTTCAGGTTTATCAAGAATCCTGAGACCGGGAGGACGACCATAACCTCAAACAATGACCCAATTGAGAATGTATTTCCATCCCGAGTAATGAATGCCCTGTGCTTCAAACGAAGTAATGGGGGATTACTGGCTGAAAATCGAAGCTTTGATTCCTCTACAAAAAACCCAGTTGTGTCTTGAAGGGAGTTCTGAATCGAGCTGAGGTCAACATCGCCACCTGTTGACGGTTTCCAGGTAAGAGCAGTTGAGATCTAACGCTCTTTCGTCAGTAAAGCTTATCAGCAAAGTGAAAATAAGAAGCGGACCTCAAGTGTATTAACATCCAATGCCCGAATCCAGCATGCATTCTTCAGACCGTCTTCGTCGACAACACTCAAGCGGCGTGAGACCCCACCCACTTCGCTACTAAGTACCGAGACGACTGTTGCAACAGGGTCCTTGAGGTTGGATGTATCAATAGCAAATGCTGATACTAGATCTGCAGCAAGAACGTTGTTGCTAGCAGCTCCAGGGCCCTGGAGCCCGAGCACAATCGAATCTTCAATATTGCCGGCTCTGGGGACTTCAAATGCCCTCTGTACGCTGTCCGTTGTGAAGACACAGCCGAAAAATCGTGAGCTTGAGCAGGAAACATTGTCTCCGGACGTGACCCTGGGCTGGCCAGCGTCGATTAGGTTCTCAGTAGTTATGGCATGGTTGATAAAGCCTTGCCAGTCAGGATGAATTCCGCTGCCGTCTGCACTCAGAATCCGAAGTTCTGAATCCCCAGCTGCCATTGTTCGCACTTCAGTCACCTGAAGATGGTGCTCAATCGGTACATTATCTGCTGTGTGCTCAGGTGTCGTCAAATGTGCTTCTGGTGTGGTGACGAGCTCTTCGGGAGCAGTTTCTAATGAATGAACAAGCGCTGGCGTATTTTCTGAGGTTACAGTATGACTTCTGAAATCGTTTCCATTTGGCTGTGAGGTCGATCCAGAAGTCGATTCTTCTATCGGCGCTTTCGACACATCATGCGTCGCGGCTGACTGAACCCCACCAAGCTCATCACTAGCTTTCTCGGGTGGTTTCCTACGAAACTTCTTAATCACTGCACTAAATGCATGATATCTGTCGACAATTCGTCGTCGAAGACGCCTGTCGGACTCCATGTCGAACAGAGAGCAGTATTAAATATCTTTGCTCTCCTGCAATTCGTACAGACAATACCGCCCTTCTAATCGATCAAAGTTCGCGGATTTTGTCGTGAGCAGACTGGATACATGCGGATGTTCAAAAACAGATAGTTGATCTCACCAAGTTCTCCTCGGTCCTCTCCAGCTTTCCATTATGGTGGTTAGGGTGTCGCGTATAACTTGATGCAGCAGGGATGCGATGTTGTCTCACGCTCCCAAACAGTGTGGCTTGTGAATGATTCAGCTCTTCAAAATTGGCGGAGCCTTCCGTGTGGAAGTCATTTCCCACGAAGTCAAGTCCGCTTGCATGCATATGCCCAGAACGCCTTGAAGTGTGCTTGCATTCCAGCTGATATTTAATTTTCAGCTGCGGGGATGAGTCCTTTCTCGCTAAAGTGAGTTTTCGGACAATATCCAGCCCATCGCCAAGCGATGTTTTGATTCGCCTGGCGTGTTTAGTGGTGTGCTGGCCATGATCACCAATGAGCCCCTAACGAATCCTCAACCTAGCTCTCATCTTTCCCATTACTCTGAAGCAAATTTATCAATAACACTGATCACGATAGCTACAGTATTTCTCACTATGGCATCAAAGATTCTTTCCATCGTCGGCTCGACCCTACCTTTGGTCTTCGGCATCCTCTCCTTGTCTTTTGTCGCAGTATCATTTACTTCTCGAGACTGGGTGCGGCAAGAATACTTTCCACCACAGCTCCAGCCCTTAGACTGGAAAGATCCCCTTTTCACGCTTTACCGAAGTCCATTCGTCGTATGTGGTGCAAGTCCTTCCAGGAACGGGTCCGAGATCTTGAGATACGACATCAATTGCTCTAGATTCGCTGTATCCGGCCGCGGAAAGACTGCTTGCCAGACACCAAACGAGACTGACGCCTATTCTTCGATCACAGGCGACTGGCGCATGTGCCAACAGATTCATCTGTCTGGCAACCTCGTTCTGGCTGCTTTGGTGTTCGTTTCAGTAGCGTTGGCAACGCTGATCGGTCTCTCGATTGTATTCATTCCAAGAGCCGTTAGAGGGGGACAAGTCTTCGGAACTCCCTCGGATGTGGAGGACTCGATGGAAGGTTCCTCTCGTAGACCTCAAAAGGCAACAGCAGCTCAGACATCTGTAACAACTTCAACTCAGCAACCGATTCAGTCACTCGCTATTATCATAGCAACCTACGCCCTACTGGTTGCTCTCTCGGTCACCGCTATGTGTACTTTTCTCTCGCAGTTCTACGGTATTCTTGGTTTGATTCAGAGCCAGCCAGACAATGGATTATGGGCATCATTGAGCCTAGGAGCGGTGCAGGACCAGCAAACTGGAGATCTTCATCATGCGCCATGGATACAGGGCAACGTTCTTACGATATACATGTCTTTAGCCTGGTTGTTCAGTGCTTTGGCTGCCGGTGCCATTGGTGGGAGTTGGCTTTCAAATTTTAACACCAGGACTTAGATTACGCGTCACGTTTCTCATTGTCACTGCTTCCCTGTTTGAAATAATTGAATTGATTACTGTTCAGACCAAAACCCCTGTCTACTTGAATCCTCTGTTCAATTGTGACGATCCACACTGTAGATCCGACTAAAGCAAACTAAGCACCTGGGGACGGAGTCGAAACATCACTGTGCAGAAGGGGTCTTGCGAGTTGCAAGTATCCCTCCACCATTGTATATGGTGGCGGATCTTTGCGGATTGCTGTATCCTCCTGATTGACGTCCATCTCGTTGAATCGTGTATCGTGATGATCTCCGGAGATCGGGCCGGGCACGTCGTATGGCTGTAACCATCGCCAGAGACCATGTTTTCCAGACACGGGAAGTCGTATGGCCGGCATCGGCGGTGACTGAGTTGTGTCTCCTTGAGGTGCGGCCCAAGTTTCTGGGTCCAGCTTTCTAGATTCATCATATGTTGTCGGCACATCACTGGATACGAGGCAGGGTCCAAGGCGAAAGAATGCGGTCATGCGTGTCATAGCTTGCTGAATGGTCCATGGTGGAAGCGAGAGGCTTGTGATTGGCAATATCGGGCTATACGTATGAACCGGTGTATATGGATCGATGAGCATAGTCTTGATAATGTATTGGGCCGTTTTTGCTTGTCTGTATGATTGATAAACCCGATCAGTACCTGCTATCTTCAGCGTGACTGGATCCAGGTAGTGTGGAGATAGACGAATGAAGTTGCGAGGTGATGCCATTTCAAAGTCAGAATTCTCTGGATCAGGGGCATAAGAATAGACCTTATTCCAGTTTGTACGGCCATCTGTTGTATTGTCTGTGTCAAACCACCCCACCACGCCGTCAAAAGGTCGCTCGGCGTCTCCCAGCTTGACGGGGAACTGATATGAACTAAGCTCCTGCTGCTCATTCAAGGGAAATTTTCCCAGTGTATTTTGAGCTTTCAACGCTGGTGTAGCGAGCTCCAATGAGAAACCAGCATTGACTAATGCCAATGGCTTTCCAACTAGCGCATTTGCATATCCGGAATACTCAGATGGGGCATATGGCATCGTTCGAATAGCCCCATTGATCATGTGGAAGAAAGACTTCAAGAAATTTCCATTATCCCGCTTATCAATCATTTTAGCGATCAACTCATCAAGCTGAGAAGCAACAGTCTGTTGGCTCGCTCCAGGCGGATCAAATGGCAACCATTTCGAACCAAGTACCGCATTTTCTGGGCCACCGACGCGAACCTCGCGATAAAAGCGACCATCTGGTCGAAAAAATTGGAGCCCAAGATCTTGATAGTTGACAACAATCCATCCAAAGATTGGAGATTCTGGCTTATCATTCTCGGTCTCATGCCAAAAGGGGAACCCCGTACTTTCTGATTTGTTGACAAAAGTGGCGTTTAAGCGAGAATTCTGGTTGATCGCTGGTGTCAACTGCATGAACCGACTCATGGGCCAGGTACCGTGGTCTGGGGCTTGTACCTCAGGGTATATTGTGTTCAGTTGGTTGTTGACGATGTCGGGTATGAGAAAGTCGCTGAGGCACGGGTGGACGCATTCTGGGACCTCTGGGGGGACCCTGAGTTTCCGTTTTGGGGCGGGTAATGCAACACCTTGACCAAACTTATCGATAATATTCAGCTAAAAGTAGTCAGCTATGAATTAACCGCTGTAGTGAATTTCATTCACCTTAGTGATGATGAGTTGCCCATGAGTCACCGACTTGAAAGGTGGCATGGGGTATTCTGAAGCTGGAAAGTCCTGCAAATTGCCATAGGGGGTCATGTCACTAGACAATTTAGCACATTCCGAGGCGTAGAGCATGTTGTTGTTACCTCATGGAGTCAATCAACTTTAAGACATTTTCCGCAAAGCCTATGTCAGGCTGTGCGGCTGGGATCAGAGGTATGTTTGTCTTGCCTGGCTTGTTTATCGTAGGTTTGACATGAGTGCCGATAACTTGAGTTGTGAGATGTTCCTGGAGTCCAGAAAGTGGACAAGACATAAACTGAAGCATCTCGAGACCCCGCATTAGTTCTGCCTGAGAGTCTGGGTCCTTAAATGGAGAGCTAGGATCACTGTCGATGACTGCTTTGACAGCGGCTTTCAAAGAGAAGACAGGCTGAGGCAAGATCAGTGTTCTACCACTAATCCACCGACGGTCACGCTGATTCTGCGGATCCTGAGATAAGACTTCGGACACACCATACCGAAGGTGAGAAGTTGGAAGCCCTACGGGGCTTGGATGTACTCCTACCGTCCATTTCGAGCGGTCAATGTGATAGTAAAGCGCTTCCCACTCAAGAAATAGCGGCTCGAAAGGATTTTCAGTTCCCCAGAACTGAAACCCTCTCCGAGGAGACTGCATTACTGAGTCTCTTGTCTGAGCTCTGCACTCTCCAAGAATCTTTAGGGCTGTTGTTCGTATTGCAGCCGGAAATGGACTGGCGATGCCTTGAAAGATCTCCTGTTCTAGACTGGATTCGCTTGTTGGTGTCAAGATACTGTCAACCCTGACGGGGAGTACATCCAAGAAGTCCTTTGGCCAACCCGACTCTAGGCCGGCTATGCACACTGTCGGCTCCTTACGCATATAGAACGGGTCCTCGGTCACTCTCTTGAAAGATGGGTTCTGATTTCCTTGCTCGAGGTCGGCTGTCAAGCCAGAAGTGGAGTTCTCCAGGTTTCGTATCTGACCGGCAAGATCATCAACTTTGGCACGAAACTTGTCTTGCGTAGTGTTCAAGATATTTGTTTTGTCGCTAACGTACTTCCACCATTCACAAAACAATTCGTGCCTTAACTGAACGAGTTTTCTATCCAGAGCGTCAAAACGAGCCTGTTTCTCGTTTAAATCTAGCAGAGTCGCGAATTGTTCCGGACTTGGTGACTTTGGAGGTTTTCCTGGCTCAGACGTCTCGGCGAAATTCCACTGATATCCCGAAGAGATCGATTTTCCGTACAACGCGTCATATGTATTGATGTCCTGCGCTTTCGCTCGCTCATCGAACGAATCATTCGCTGCATACAGCAAGTCGGACATGGTCAGCACCATTTCAGCAACTTCGTCGGCGGTGTCGTCTCCAAAGATTGCATCCACTTCGGAGCTACCTTTATGAGCCCGGAGAAATGTGATGATCCCATCCAGAGGTGTGACTCCAGCTGATAGTGGCTCCATTGTGAAGCTGGGGCCGAATTTATCGGCCACCCTTTTAGCCTTACTGGGAGGTTTAGATCCCCATTTGAATGGAACTCCGTACACCGCTCCATGGATGACTGATCGAGCTGTCCCACTGACTTCCAGTAGAGAGTTTATTCGTGATTTCTCATCTTCAGAGGCATCTTGAGGAACTGCGAGAGAGAGGCTGAGACCTTCCAGTGTTGTTTTGAACTTCGTCGGTTCCGAGGGCTCCATCACATCACTTTTGGCAAGAGCGTTCCAGCCGATGACAAAATAATCCGCCTTTGCTTCCAGAAGATACTTCGCTGAGCCATCCTGTGCCTGGTACTTGAAACTATCTATGATAGAAAAGACGCTTCCATTGTGTGGCGTATAGTCTGGGAACATAGGATTCGACGAGCTCAGAACCGTCAAGTCCATGAAATGTTCATCATTCTCGACACCTCGCTCTTCCTCTCTCCATCTAGGACCCGGGTTTGACCATCCAGAGTACTCATTTCGCTTGCCAATACAAATCTCAGCTTGTCGCTCCAGTACTTTTCTCCAATCTGGATCGCTTGGATCTGTGTTGCCTCGCATAAAGTTGCTTACTTCGACCTCGATATCAACAGTTTCGTCGATATCCTGAATTCTTCGAACTCTATTACTTTCCACAATCCATGATTGGAATTCTGGCAGGACCGTGCCATCGTCGCTCCGCTGGCTTGTCAACCTTCGTACGACGAGCCATCGATTTGGAACCGTGGGGAACTGGGGTGTTGATAAATCATCTTCCTCTTGATCAGGACGAGCCCCCGGTGAATTTCGACTCTCAGTTGTCTTGCGGGCCGCTCTATAACACCTTGGAAGGCTCCAGTGGAGATACACGCCCATTCGGTTGCGACGATAGGGTGGAGGATCGGCGTCATGAAGGGCAGCTCCAATATCCGTCAGACGTGCATTTGTTTTCGCAGGTGAGGTGAGATGAAAATCAACGTGATCCACCAAGTCATGCTGCATAAGAGCTTCATCAAGCCGGAGTCCCATATAATTTGGTTGTGTCAAGAGACCAATACGATCAGGGCCATCGCTCTCAGCACACTCTGGCGTGAGAACAAAGGCCGAAACATGGATTGGGATTGCAACGTTCTCCATCATAGCAAAACTGCAACGGAATTGTACGCTCAAAATCCCATGTTGAGAATCTTCTCAAAGGCAGCAGTTGACGTTTGCCGATACACTGAAGTCACCACTGTTGGACTGACTGGCCAAGACCTCTCCAAGCCCTCAGCAGGAAACCGCTGCATGTGTTCGGAAGTGGGCAACGATAGCTGAAACATTAATGTTCAGCTGAAGTGAGAGTTGGTGGCACAAACTGTGCCATGAATATGTGGCTGCAGCAGCTAGGCAGCTGACGAGGGGGAAGCTGAAGCCACCGTGCATGAGAAAACACCTGGGGCATAAGCGAGCACTTGTGAGAACTTGGCAGGACTGATTGCTGGATGCGATGCCAGACAATCCGCACTTCTGAGGTGAAGCAGACATGGTGTTTCCAGTCGGAGTTCTTGAGAGGTCTTGAAGTTTTCTCGCTTTTACCATTCCCGGGATACACAGTGGCAGTAATCTGTCTCCGTCGACACTCACCTCATCATGGTCGCCCAAACGACTCGTGGGAATCCGGATGGTCCTCGGTTCTTGACGCAGAGAAATCTCGAGCGACGGATTCGCGGTATATCTGGCGATAATGAATCCACACTTCCCAAGGGTTTCATGCAACTTTTCTCATATTATAAGCCAAGTTTGACAGCTGGAAACTACTGTATCATCGCCGAGCAGTTTATATCTTCAAGCAAAGGACAACAAAATGAACAAAGCCTCCGAATATGTAACCGAAAGGGAACGGCGAGCTTGCCAGATAACCAACCCTCCGAGAAACAGATCCTCGAAGTGATGGCACCGCAGTTCAGCCTGGACCCCAAATTGGTCAACAGCTTTTATCCACCAGAGGGTCATCAGGATGAGGGGCGTATTTTACCTCACATTGTAATCAACGATCCTCATTTCCCGTGGGAACGAGATGCGGACAGTGAATTTGGCGGAGGAAACGATGATCCGCTGGACAAGGCACGACTGAGAGATCCGGATGTCAATGCGGCAGGCAAAACCTTAGACGGACAAGGCAACCTAACTGAGGACCGCGAAAAGATGAGGTATCGGTCCATTATTCCATGGGTTCGCCTGCTCGTGTTTGATGTTGAAGAGTTGAAACTAGACTCTGCTCAGGAAGCACGGGCTCTTGGCGTTCCTGACTTTGTGGCTCTGGACAGTCCCAAGGCCGATATCAAACGCCAGCCTGCTAATGGGGCCTTCTCCATGTTAGCAAAGGATTACTTTGCAATCCCAGAGACCAATCGGCTCCCAATTTACCAGTCAGATCCTGCCGGTTTGGAGGAGGTCAAGACTGGCAGACGGTCAAAGGAAACAACTCAAGTCATATATCCGAAGAAGGATCTTTTCTACCAACTATGCCACGATGTTGAATCAAACAAGTACCTTGCCCATGTTCGCAATGTAAACACCATTGGATGCCCAGATGCAGGGGTTGAGGAGGAAGGCCTCTTCAGTATTGTAATTTCGGCTCGTACAGGTGCCCTCAAGAATCCAACTCCAACCACTCAGGTTGTGCACCTGATTTCGCTTGAAAGCATTCATTCTACCATCAAGATACAAGGGTGGGATTCAACTCAGGGACCACCCGGTGCACAGAAAGAGGAACGTATTGGTCTGATATCACTTTTCTCATGGACATATACTGCTCTCCCACCCAATCCAATCAATTTCATCGATACAATGATGGCAATTGTTGGGAATGAGAATGGGCCGAGTGCCGTTGACCAAGTTCCTCCTCTTCAATCCAAACAAGGAAACAGGCAGATGTTACGATCTAATGATGGACTGATCGATGCTCTTGACAACGAGCTGGATCCAGGGGAAAAGTCACAAAGCAAGCTACTGGCTTCACGACTGAGGCATGGCTATACTATTTCCCGCTGGCGGTGCGAGACTGGCGAAGTTACAGCAGCATTTACTCGTGGTCCACTTGTGCCTGTCAAGCCGGCTCGTTCTCCAAGCCCGGATTGGCCAACTGGCTCCAATACGTCGAAGAACTATCAAATACTCGATAAGACGACGGGATTGATGGATCTTTCCTACTCTTCTGCTTGGAATATGGGTAAAACGCTAGCAATATCAGACACATCATTCAGTGCCGCCTTGCTGCGTTTCCGAAGCCAAATTCATAATGGTGCCGCTTCAATTGCCCGTGCTCAGTTCAACGGGTTACTTTCGCGCTCCGATGCTCTCAAAAAAGTACTTGATGGAGTAATATCCATTCGATCACGCCTCGGGGATCATGTAGCCCCTCCTCGCAGGGTTATTCCAGTTGGCAACCGACATCTCACCACAGCTCTCGACAACATACAACTTGCTGCTGCGATGTCTAAAGCTGTCCTCAATGAGGTTACGATGGCATCACAAGCTGGCAATGAAGTCTTCAACGAGTTCAATGTTACTGGCGAAAACAATACAGACTGGTCGATTATTCTGAAGTGGATAACGGATCGGCTCTACCTAAACAACATCCCAGCACACATTCTGTTTCCAGATCCTACCTTCATTCCAGAGGAGTCTATACGGTTCTTCTACATCGACGACACTTGGATGGACTGCTTGATTGATGGAGCTCTGAGTGTGGGGAATCATGTTGAGAAGAATGATGATATGGTCAAGACTGCCATAAAGCAACTCTACAACGTCTATTTGTCAACAACAGTGCCAAACACATCGATCAAACCACAGATTCCACACTACGGATTTGTTCTCCGCAGCCAGATAGTCAAAGTCATGCCAGACCTTAGAATCACAGTGCGTAATTATCCTGTCTGTATACACTGTCCCCTGCTAACATGGTTCGGCAGGTAAATTGGAACACCATTGACGACAACGATCAGCGCGCTCCCGTATGTCAGTGGATACGCCCCGATGATCATACACTGCTTTGTCTGCTTGATCGACCACCTGAAGAATTGGCCAAGTTCGATTCTGCGCATCCCGATCGCTCTGGAATTGTATTATCACAACCCCCGCATCAACAGCGCTTCAGTTTCGGGCACGCCTACGATCCAGTGGCAAACAAGTTTGGATTTAGACTGCGCCATTTGTACACCACCAAAGATGACGTGCCATCAGGAGAGTGGAAAGTCCTGGAATCGCTCGAACCTGGAATAGAGGCTGCAAAGCAAATCGATGATAATACTAGGGTACTCAAAGTTGGTGAACTTGCAAAAACAATCAATCGAGGAATTCAGCAGGAAATAGGTGCAGATTCACAGAATCCTAGCTCGGGGTATGTGGACTTCGTCCCCAACTCTGCCGAGTTGGCACTGGAGCTCAACGATCCAGCTTACTACTTCATCATATATCCGAGATTAGATGCTCAAAGTACGAACAAAAGCCAGAGACTTAGGAAAATTTGGGCTGCACCAGTTCAACCCAGAGTTCCCGATCCAGAGCCGACACAACCACCGGGCACCTCTCCTCCCATAGGACCTCCATTACAGCCTCCGCTTGCTGATGGACCGATACCAATAATTCCTGTTCGTCCAGATGTTCCTGGACAAGCTGGCAAAGTCATCGTGGTGGATCATCCTGTCATGCCATCGGACAGAGATACTGGCAACGTTCCCATTAACATGATGCCGAAGAAATGCTTTACTATGGATGTCTTTGTTGACTACAGAGGCCTACGACTACGTGAGAATGGAGCCTACGACCAAGGAGATTATATCCCCACCCAGAGCAAATATCTGGCTGGTATGTCTCCCACAAATTTGAGTGCATGCCTGCATATTTCAGCTAACATCATTAAGATCTCATATTCTCCATTAGAAAAGGAATCAATCGCACAGACCCCAGAAACAACCAAATGCTGCGCGAAATCGTGATTCACATTCCCAATACGCCGGATCCAAACGAATCTACAAAGACGGATGCCCTTATCACGAAAGATTGGAAAGGTCGAGCCCGACTTCTCAGCAATCAGCGTTTCGTTACTTTCGTTAGCCGGACACCTAAATATCTGGAGATCCGACTCATTCCACGCAGTGCGGAAATAAACCCGGTGATCAAAATGAATGACAACAAGACGAGGGAAATTAGCTTTGTGTTGACGGAAGTCAATGTACCGAGAACCGCTGTGAAGAAGTTCTTCACGATCAAAGGCGAAAGGCAAAATTTGGAGTTTGGATTCGCTCGGATCGACCTGTGGGAGAGGTACCAATTAGATCCAAGTGGATTACAGGTTGTCAGTATCACTGATCCGAGGAAGTACTTTGTCATCAAGAAGGAAGTGGAAGACTGAGAATTTATTCAAGCCTGATGTCTTTCTACAGTGCAACCCCCTGGCTCCCACGTAAAAGACGGCGCGGGCCGAGGCGGTACACCTGCAAGTAGTACGAATCTAACGCTGCCTCACGTATTCAGGAGACTTCACCATACTTGTTATGTCGAGTCCCGCCAAACTTATTACTATCTACATAGCAACCGTGAGGTTGAATGATAGCAACGCAAAGGCGGCTGCCGAGGACTTATCACACTCTTCACGTTGAAGCCGGGGCTTACACTGTAATTGCATGGCCAATTGACGAGTGGGTTGACCGTCTAATTTTGATAGATCCCCAAAATATACTGCACCCGAGACAGAGGTGGCCCAGCATTGACACGTGCAGCTTTGTATCCGTCTACTATTAAGGCAGGGGACATCACAAACTTGACACAATTTCTTGCCGGAACCCTGCCATAGGGCTGAATATTGCCAACTCAATATCTCCGAAAACCTGCAGATGCGCAAGCCCCTCCAAGCCCACACAACGGCACATTCCATTGCATGAGCCACCGAACTTTCAGCTCCTACGCCTTGCCTTCTCGGAAGTAATGCCCAGCACTTGGCGAAGACGAGCTGAATAACAATATCGTGGCTACCCTGGTTCTTTGTCACAAGATTGGCATCGACAGTTTAGGAGATCGCGCCCTTGTTGTCTTGCCAATGGTCGACGTTGAGCTCACCTTCTCCTCAAGTCGCTGAACACACTCGTTTCATCTCATCACTCGCTATCGTTGCTTACATCCTGATGCTCTGAGGTGACCACTATGGAAATGCAGCAATTGCTTCTTGTTTTACTTGTTTGTATCTCATGTAGTTTTGCGAGTCCCGTCCAAAGACCTCTCGTATCCGGCGAGGAGTTAGACTGGGCAGCAGCAGACTGCTCATCAAGTGTCAGTGCGAATGGAATCGGCAATAACACAATTTGCATCCAAAAAGTCTGGGATCCGGTGATTGACGCAGACATCAATGGAGCTCCTGTTAGCAACCAATTTTGCGGTTATATGATTCCTGCCGGGGCTGGCAAAAGCCCAGTTAAGCTCTTCTTCTGGGTGGTGATGAGCGAGACTGACCCAACGAAAGACCCTGTCGTTCTATGTACGTCTCGTGGAGTAACTGAATTTACTATTCCATATGTATCGAAATTTTCCTACAACATCTTGACCTGGATCTGGCACTGACTCGCTCATCAGGGATGAATGGAGGGCCAGGATCCTCATCTCTTTATGGTCTGTTCAATCAATGGGGACCAAGAATAATCAACAGAGCTCGAACAGATGCTATTGAATTTATAGCAAATCCGTCCCGGATGACTGAAAAATTAACTTGGGTATTCCTTGAGCAACCATCGGGGGTAGGCTATTCTAGGGGAAGAGCGAATGTAAAAGACAGCAAGACTGCAGCAATAGACATCTCAACATTCATTAGCACTCTGTTCCTTCCATCCACTGTATTCAAGTACCATGGAGCCCAGATTTCCTTCCAAGGACGGGACTTCCATATCGCTGGAGAGAGCTATGCAGGGCATTGGATCCCCGCAGTTGGAAGTTACATGGTCAAGAAAAAGAAACTTGCCAATATCTCTCTCAAGTCATTCATGATCGGTAATCCATGGACCGATGCAGCATTGGCAGGCGACGCCACGTTTAAGTTGTTCTGTGGTCCTGTACCGCTCGTCACTCTCCCAGGGGCAGATCCTGCAGATATACGGAGTAATTGTTCTCAGATGCCGCAATGGATCAGCGACTGCCAAAAGGCAATCGCAGAGTGCAGGCGACCGGACAGAAAGAAGCCTTGTTCATATTACGGGGCGTGTCAAGATGCTTGGAGCGAGACATGGGCAGCTAAGTTCGGCAGGAATATTTACGATGCAGCTGAAACTCAAGCTAGTCTTGAGGCAAGCAACAAATTCTTGAAGGACAAATGGACGCCTTTCATGAATGAACCCACCCGTAAGGATAGATTCCTTGTTCCTCGAAGCTACACCTGGAACATGAACAATCGAGAAATGATGATACGATTCGATCAATCCGGAGACCAAACTAAAAGCTTCATTCCAGAAATCCAGGATATCCTGAATGCAGGGTTTGATTTCTTGTTGTACGCTGTAAGTAGACCGTGGAAAAGCAAGTAAACTTGTGTTCTTCCTAACTTGAGATAGGGCGATCAAGATCTCGTATGCCCCTTCACATTGGTGAAGGATACAGCTTTGAACACCGTGTGGACCGAAGCTGATCCAGATCCAGCACTTGTTACCAAGACAGCGAAATTCCGGAAATGTGCTGGTCGTCCGGAGACAACATATAAGAAATTGAGTAGCCCAACTTCACCTGGATATGCAAGTTATGTACGAGCTGGGCGCTTCTCTTATGCCAGAGTCTCCGGTGCTGGACACATGGTGAATGAGAAGAAGGGGCCAGAGGCCAAACACATGCTTGAGAATTGGATACTCAATCGGGCTATGTTCCAGGAATGTGATCCTGGGCCATAAATTATCATTGATAGTCTGTCATCCAACTCTAATCTGTCAATTAGCAATGTACTGAAGACCAGAAGAGACATGAACTGTCAGGAATTTGAAATGGGGGGTTCTCAAGAAGAGAGCTATTATGTACACTAGTCTAACCGCCATTATTCAATGATGACTACTGGGAGCTACTCAGCTTCTATAAGATCTCTTTATGGTATATACTAAGCTCATGTTGATCTGTTTGCCCGGTTTCCGATGCTGCTTGGGCTTGTTGACTTTCAACGCGTTCTCCTCGCTTAACCCCCCTGTTCCAAGACTGCCCCACAATTATACGTTTTTATCATCAATTCCAGGGTACCACCATTTTCTAAGCAGCTTCTGCCCATTGCCTCCTGTAATAAGCTCACTCTTAGTACACATATATACAAGCGAAAGCGATACTCACTTAGAAATTAACCCTATGGCTATGTCTCCAAAATGTTGATAAATTATCTAGCCCTATTAAACAGGGGTTGCCAGAAAAGTAAACAACAAGAGCTCCAAGTCCGCACATCGACCCCAAGTTCAACAAGTACGCAAGCTCTATCCATACACTACTCGCCGACATTCAAAATCATCTCCTGACACATCTGGCCTTCAATTCATGACATCCTACCTCCTCACGATCCATCAGCTCTAGGCCCTCGAAAAGTCAAACATCTCCTGACCTAACACGCACACCTCCATCAGTACGATACACATACATGTTGGGAACTCTACATAGAAGTACAATGGACGTTGAGACGCACATACTCACACTCACGCTCACCTCCCACGCTTAGTCACCACTCAATACCGCCAGGCACCCACTGAAGTACTGTAACACAACCCATCTGTATCCCTCCACCTCGGTCCGATTCCTCTGCTTCAAAATCGCTACAACCTGCAGTCTGCAACATGCACGGCTCCGTGGCATATACATAAACGTACACGCCGTCACGCACACATACACAGTAGCGCCGCCGCTGCAGAAGCAGATCCGGATGCGAATGCACGCCAGCGTCCGATCTACCGTCCTACCTGCCTTGACATTTTGCACCACACCACGACACCGTGAACCACGAGAAATGTCAATGGAAGCGTTGCGCCGCTATGTGGTACGATGCAATGCAGCCACTCCCGCGGTGTGCATTCGTTCAGAGTGTCAATTATTGAAAACAGTTGTTGTACACAGGTTGAGGAGAAACGAAGGGTAATTGGAAAGGGTAGGTCTAGCCTAGGAAAGATCCGTGGTGAAAGGGAGGTGTTGGAGATGAGAAGTACTTTTGTGGTTACAATGTATTCAAAAGTTAAAAATTGATGAGATCACATTAGCATTTTGTAGGCGGTGCGAATGAGAGAGGACTTTCAATCGAGGACGCCGGAGCGGCATCTCAAGGAATAATTACGAGCAGGTTTGAATGCGACCGGTATTCTTGATTCAAGTTCAATAATAGGCAAAGTAAAAATCTCAGTGGCCAAAAGCCAAAAGCAATTGATTGTGCAATATTAATACTGTGTAAGAGGCACCTTTAAAGGTGCTCAGGAAAGCATTGCAATTTGTCGTATCGCTTCACTTGCACCTCCCGTCCATCACACCACAAGACTTTTGATGTCAATTATGGACCTCCCCATACTTTGAAAGAATAACCAGAAGCGAAAGAGAAAACGATCAGAGAACCAAATGTCGTATCCTCCAGGGACCTTCTAGCAGGTGCAGTTTACCCTCCCGTCCTCACGTCCCAATGTAGTGAACGCCGCCCAATGAGTGACTGAGCTTTTGCTCGTTCCCCTTCCCAGCCCAAATTTCTTACGCCAATGCTTCCCAAAAACCCTCATGTGTCTCATCCATCCCGTCCATCCGTCCGTCCGTCTATCCATCCATGCCATTCCATGAGTCTGACTGTCGTGAAAATTCGTTGTGTAATTACAATATGAGACTGTTGCCCCAAAAGATGTGAATCTGGAGCAGAGCGAACAATCTCGTGGAAAAAATAGTGCGAGGGTATTAGGGAGAGGTAATAAGAGCCACCATCTAATGATCGTTGTCGTTGTGTCAAAAACCATCGCGGAAAATGTACAGTGAAAGGAAATCATCGCTACGGAGAATCTTTGCACTATTTAGCGTCTGCTTGTGAAGACATCGTGAGCCTCTTGGGTCTCAACGATACGTGTGCGTGGCAGGGAAGCTGGGATGCTCTGGTATTGAGTGCCGGGTTGTTGAGGATAGTACGTCGAGGGTTGGTACATCGATGTTGATGGGATCATGGACATGCTCTGATGTCTACCATGCGTCGGAACATGAGAGAAAGCTTGAGGCATCTCATTGTGTCGACCATCCTCTGGGCGACGGGAGAATTGTTGAGGCATAGCAAACCGACTGTCCTGGTTAATATCTGAATGACGGGACAAGTAACCCTGATCGTAGCTTGCATGGCTATAGTGACCTGATTGGGAGCCATATGCCGAGGAGATGGATGGAGAGTACTCGCGGCCATAGGAAAAGGCACCAATGTCAGATTGGGATCGTTGGTGGACAGGACGTCTCCCACCATGAACATTGTTCATCTCGAGATGAGCTGCCATTGACTGACCACCAGAGCGTTGAGGAGTGGGGGCTGGTAGTGGAGCCTGGCCATATCTCATATTTGTGTATCTATCCTCAACTCCATTCTCGCTGATGCCAGGGAAAGTAGGGCGGTGCGCCATCTGTCCAGGTCCACGTTGAAGTGGTCGCTCAGAAAGACGAGATCGAGGATAACCACCAAATGAGTACTCCTCAGTATCGCTCATGCCACCGTTTGCTCGACGCTTCTTTTGGACTGGCGACGAGCTATTGTGGTCGAGACTCCACATATCAGGGTGACTCATGCGGCGGATATGAGATTGACTATCAGATCTCATGGCAGCAATTCCAAGAGACTGAGCACGCTTGTGTCCTCCCCCAACAACAGTTCTCTTGGTGTAGCCTTTTGGGGATTTTGGCTCATCACTGTCAACAACAATGTTCGGGAGGATTTCGATGTCAGGAAAGCATGGCATGGTGTCGTCGAGGATTTGAGTGTGTAGCTGGTTGAATATTTGTAGGATCTCCTGAGTGCTGTATCCCTTTCCACATCGCTCGAGTAGCCAGTCTGGAACAGCAGTGGCAGGCAGGATGTTGCTACCGCGACCATTGACATCTGCACCATCTTCATCATCGCTGTTCTCAAAAGCAGTAATGTTTCGCTTTTTAGAGCCATTCATCTCGTCCAAACGCTTCTGCTCCCGCTTTCGTACGGCAAGGCCCCAGTCTTGGACGACACCTGGAAGACCTCGAGAAGCATTCTCAAGACTCCACTCGTGAACCCGTCGAATTTGTGTTTGAACAAGATCACACTGTAACTTGGCGTACTCCTTGGGATTGCGATAGCGACTACGCTGGTAGTGCTTGCGGCAGTAATGGACCCAAACACGGGCTGGGATTAGGCGAGTGCACATCTTGTTGCGGCCAAAGATATGCGAGATGGCCTTGCGGAGCTGTGAACCTGTATCACAGTTCGGGATGTACATGCACAATATCTGGTCTGAAGAAGGAATTTCGCCGTGGCTTTGTGGGGGAGTAGCAGGGGGAGCATAGCTGGGGATGGCGGTGGGAGATTGTCGGTCGGGATGAAGAGAGGACGGTGGGGTTGGCTCGCCCCGAGGGCCCAAAGATGATGTACTGGACATGGTGAAACCTGTCATGGAAGCTGGAAAGCTAGGTGCAGAAAGTGCTCGTTTGTGTGACTTGGTAACCAAGGATTGGTGATGGTGTTCAAGGGGTGCGCTGAGAAATTGCCTATGCCTGTTATAGTATTAGCAATCTGCTATCAAAATAAATCTCGTAAAAGAGCGAATTGGACACAACAAAACGCTACGATAAAAACATACAGAAAATCTGAAAATCTGATCACTGTGACGTCGGTATCAGATTCAACGCAGGATGTGGAAGAGCTGTGAAGCTGGGACCGAAGTCGGAAAGGTAAAACCACAGAAGATATTGAGTGGTGCGATGAAAAACAAAGACAGGCCCGCTACAATGATCTAAATAGACCTGTTCAAGCTGCTGCAGGCCAAAACAATCAACGAGGCCTCTGTGTCTTGTTCACGTTGTGTATATCGTACGTTCGAACTCTCGAACTCTCGAACTCTCGAACGTTGCCAAGGGCGCATTTTCTCTGCTGCCGAGGCGATGGGAGCAGAAGACGCTAGTGAGTACTAGCCCATTGCGGACTGTGAATAACCTCAAATTCGCGAGTAGGGGTAGGCTTTGTGAGTCACATGCCGGTGAATGGACAGATTGGGGAATTGGAGACTCAGACTCCGCACCACTTTGACTAAAAGACCAGAGAAGAGCTCCAAATTGTACAAAACAGTTCTAGACAATGAGACCCGGACACTGTTATTTTGCAAAACTGCGAATTCTCGTAGATGACGTCTTACTGCGCCTGGCACAGTACTCATGCTAGCTATAGCGTGAATCGCGGCGTTGTCAACGCGAATGGCAAGCAGGTATTCACAAGAATGACACTTTACAGTCTCCGGGCGTAGTAGCATCATCATCCACAAATGATAAGCTGGAACCCATATAAGTTTGGACCACCTTGTGCCCAAAGCTTGAAGGCATTTCAAACGACACAATCAATGCAGCCGAATGTATATGTAGGAAAAGTGAACAAATATACCTGGAACAATGCAAGCGCGCATGAAAGCAAACGAGTATCAGACACTAGAAAGACCAAGGGGAACTTACGACTGTAACCTCTCCATGCCATGTAGATCTCGGTCTCCTGTATCCAACCGCAGACTCGGCATCGCCGACGGTCGTTTTATTAGAATCGCATCGCTTGGTGAGCTGGGCCGTCGCCCTGAACCTAACTCGACTTTCTCGAGGTTCGAGGATATATCGTCCTTTGACGCGCCTTTCGATTCCATGGCAGATTGTCGAGCTTGTTGACCAGCTATCTCATTCTCGGCCACCAGGGCAAGTGCGTCGAGGGACTCGGTTGGCGAGATGCTTCCACCTTGCCCTGGGTAGACTGGTTGGATGCCGTCCATTTTCGAAGGATTACCAAGGTCGAGTGCTTGTGGTTTCTGGCCTGGGAGTGACGAGAAAGCTTCGGTAAGGCCATTTGAAGGATACGCACTTCCTACTGTCGAAAGAGACGAGAATCTTGAATGCGAAGCTGATTGTAGAGAGGATGTAAAAGATGAAAGACTAGAACGGCTGTCGGAGAATTTATGACGTGGAGAGGTTGGTGTACTCTGTGATTCACGGCGCTGAACCTCTTGAGTGTGAGGCGGTGTCGTTGGATTGGATATTGTGTTGATTGGAAGTGAGTAACCTCCAGCATCCCAGGGCGTCCTGTTGCGACTTGGGACCTTCGTTGGCGTCTCCCGCTTCTTTTCCTCAACATCCTTCTCGTCCTTCCTTTGCTGCTCAACAGCAAGGGAGTTTGCGTTCAGAAGTGATGTGACGTCCATCTTGTCGGCTTGATGAAAACTAAACTTTTCCTCCTATGTCTTCGCCAGCCACGATTATCTGCTCATGGGGAGACGTTGTCCGAGGTTGTTGCTTGACGTGTGATTTGATCGGATTCAGTGTCGAGGAGGATGGGCGATGGTAGCCGTCTGAATCAAGATATTAACCTTTCGAAGACCCCTCAAAAGCCGTCCGGTCCAAAAGAGGAGTGTCGAGGATATGTAGTTCTAATCTACGATGATCGGAGCAAGGTGTTTCAGATGTCTGGGAGATGAACAGATCTGATTGAAGAGTCCAGCTCTCGGTTCAGATAAACTTTGGTGTGTGGCTTTGACAGTAGAGCGTGATTCAAGCGTTGAATGTGCCTTGCGAGAAGTTAGAGGCTTGTGGCAGGATCGACGTCCGACAATGCATTGACCATCGGAAACGGTTGAAACAGTTTTGGGAAGCTTCAATGTATCGTATTATCGTCCAAACATTCAGCTTATGAAATGATAGAACGGATCTAGCAAGCCCGAGAGAAACAACACTGGGATCTATCTCTTCTTTCCGAGACGTGGAGGCTTTCGAGGCATTGACTTCGAGAGAAGTCCTCGTTAGGATATATCAGGCTGATACAATGCTATTGGACGAAGAGATCCAGCAGATGGCAACTATACTGGCTGTGCAATCTATTGCGAATTACTCTTTAAGGATAATGTCTCATGGAAACAAGGTCTTGCTGCTTCATACAACTAGTCGACGAATGACGATAGGGCCAAGTTGCTAGTCAAAGAAGAGAGGGAAAAGATAGGACGAAGGCAAGGGTCTGGCCTTCAAGCTACCTGGAAAATGTAAGGCTGGTTGTTCGGGTATGCAAGAGAAACCTGGCCACGTTTGTTGACGGCTAGTTAAAGAGAGACAGAAGCAGCGAAGAGACAACGGTGACCGGCGACCGACATGAGCATGAGGCACCACTGCAGACAGAGAGGAGGGAAGAAAAGCTGAAATCCGTTCCCATCGTCCAGCGAGCGAGAGGTTGAGTGTGGTGGCATAGTGCATTGATTATGCTGGACTCGGCGAGTGTTTGACGTTGAAAATTCCCCACACGGGTTGCGAGCATGACCCATGCTGACTTAATCCATCTTTGGAGCCTTGTCGATAGTGGTCAAGGGCCCTGGATCAAGCCATCGATGAATGATGAACCATTTATGGGTTTGTGTTCGGCAGACCCCTGCAAGTGGAGGTATGACCGTGTGGCCACCGCGTTTCGAGCGTAATCCTTACGAAGATCGGTCTAACGACGAGATTCTCGTCTGAACTGATGCTGAGGATCTACTCAGGGAACAGAGTTATGCTGAACCATCATTGATACACGCAACGGAATTCTGACACTCTTTTCTGGTTCTTGCTGCAGCAACATATTGAAGGCTTCGGAAAACTCGGGTACTGAGCACCCACCGACGTCAGACTATCCCACGCCTTTGGTTTCCCCCAAAGCTCGAGCTTCTTGTTTTAGGAACAAAATGTTTGATCCCAGGCGAAGGTGGACACCTGTGACACCAGCCATACAACGTCTGACCGTCGACACACGGACCGATGCAGGGAAAGGTCGGTAGTTGGGAGAGCTAGCAACCACGCCAACGAAGGATCTTTCGAGTTGCTGCAATTGCGTTGTTCTGCTTGTCCTGAGAAACATGCAGCCACGCGAATTCGGACTAGGTTCTGAGGAGCCTCGTATGCACTGAACTTTGCATCTGCATGAGGCTGCTATTCTTGAGATCGTGACGCTGCAGTACAACTCTGCCACTTCAACCGTCCTCCCTCTTTTGAATCAGTCAAAGTACCTGGGTACTTACTGACCAGACATAGGGGCCGACAATACCGCGTTCTCGCTGTTAGTAACCCCTCTCACGGTGACCCAGCCAGAATGCTTATGTCGTCCAGGCTGTACAATGATGCTGAACGAGAAAGGACAGGATAGGGCGGTACTCAGCTGCCAGCACATGCCTCTACCTGCCTTCCGCCCTCCGCCCTCCGCATCAGCTTCGGAGCATTCCCATCCCTCCATCGCGCTCCTCAGCCCACTGCTATTACTATTGCCCGGGATCAGTCGATGGCAGCTGCAACTGCTGCATCCCATCCCATCCGCTGAATCAGATGGTGCCGTCTGCAGAGGATGGATGCCGAACAGCAGCAGAAGAGCCACTACGAGCTGTGGTGGTACCGACAGACCAGTCAGAGGTGGATGTGTATGGATGTCGTGTGGAATCTGTGGATGCAGGCCCTGGTGGGCCCATGGGCAAAGCGTCTGAGGGTGCGCGATTGGCCCGACAAAGCAGAGCCAGAGCCAGAGCCCCGTGTTTCATGTTCTGCGCGGCCGTCTAAGTTAAGTCTAACGCCCAGACACCCAACGCGACGCAACACAACGCAAGCGAGACAACCCTTTCTCCTCGCTGGGATGCTGCACCGCCCAGTAGTAGTAGTAGTAAATTACCTACACAGTTGAAGCAATTCAGAGACTACTCTGTTGTTGGGACATTCTCCAGTGCCTTCCAGAGCCAGTCCGTTGTTTCAACCGATCTTTCGAGAAGGCAGCGCAGCGCAGCGCAGGCCGTGTGGCCAGACTCCGTACCGCATTTTTCCCCGTCCTTGATGCGAGCGTGGAGATCATTCATCCTTGGCGGGCCAAAAGCCGACAGAGATGCCATAATATTAATAAGGCATCACAGACAGCTCCATCTTGGTTGGTTGCGGACATGGCATGTGCATGTGCATGGCCATGGCGATGAGAGCAACAGGCATGGATGGGACAGGACAGGATGGGATGGGATGATGAGTATGAGCGTTGAGCGGATGGAAAGAGCGGCTCTCTCTGACGTGAGCCCTTTGCTCCATAACTGCTCAGCAGCCAACCGCAATTGCAAGATCCAATCGACCTTGAAGCAGATCTTCATGGCATGGTGTTTAGTGTGGCTGCATAGCTGCAGAGGCTAGGTCGTCAAACACGTCAGTGCATTCGTGAGCTAAACTTTCATCCGAAGTCTCAAACACCGACAGGATTGGGAGTGTGAGCAGGAGGGAGAGACAGGAGAGAGGCTGGAATGAATCTCAGAGGGTCGCTTACCGGGCAACTATGGTCACGTGAAGATACCCGAAACGACAACAGCCAGGGCACGCACCTCAGCAGCCAAAGAGAGTAGGCAAAGTGGACCATCCAGCCTGAAGAGGATGGGACCACAAATGATCTGCGACAGGAGTGGAGATAAAACGATATGCCGTCGGTGGAATGCGCCTCTGTAGACCCGCTTTGGATTCTTGAGGAGATCTGAAATCTAAAAATGGATGTTGCTCCGTGCAACAAATACACGGATACCAAGCTGGCTTCACTTTGGACTAACCTCCACTGCAGTCCTCTCTCGAGCTCCCTTCTCCAAACCACTTGTGTTCAGATGGCAGCGTCTATATGAAAGTGTGACATCTAAGAAACGAACCCCCAGTTTTGGCTGCCAGCTTCTGGAATAGCCAAAGGGGGATTGAGGTTTGAGCCTACGTTTTTACTCTTCATGAGCTCGTAAACAGGTTCTACGGGGTCCATTAGTTCAAACATTGAAGTGTCCTGAGTTCGGATGACGGGATGACAGCTTTGACAGGACTTGTCTGACATCGTGACATCTAAGAAACAGAACTACAGCTTTGACAATCATGTTTCCAAACACAAGATTTCTAGACCAAAGTCTGAACATCTATCCCTCATCCCAAATCCGTCTCAACTAACTCTACCCTTTCCACCGCATAACTGACAGCCACGGACCGTCAAGCAACCGAAACTTACTCAAGAAATGAATCCCTCTTAGGATCGAGGAACGTCCATCATCCGTTCTTCCCAAGCTCTCCAAGAACAAAACACAAGCCCAAATCATGATGCCGTCCCACGAATTTCAATCCAGAACTTGAAACCGTCTCAGCCTCTATCATCGCAATCCAAGAATGTAGAGAAGAACAAAGTCAACCCCTTCAGAAGCACCGACTCCCACCCTTCGCATCGATCTCCCCATCTGATACCCCTACACTTCAACGCCATTGCCGTATTGCCGATATACGGGTCTCTATTATCTCCATGAATCGTGCCCCCAGATTGACATTTCTCAAATCATGAGACGAGTTCAGGATTCCCTGCAACACATCAAACCGTCATCCTATCATAACGCGATCGATATATCTCCATTAAAGTTCGACAAGCTTTCTGTTCTGTGTGATCCGCGAGCCCCTGATCGCCCATCCGAGCCTGAACCTGTGTCTGAGCCAGGATTGAAAAACATAAAACAAATATCACACATGCATAGCCCGAACTTCCGAGTGACAGACGGCCTTGCGAGTGACAGATCGATCACCCGCCTGTCTCCATGCCGCTCTGGGTCCGGCTCCCGATGCGAAAGCAGCCTGAAGTTTACCCTGCTTGTTGGTCCAATGATTGATCAGCGCTGCCAGAAGCTTTAAGGTTGTGTTGGAGAATCCGAAGGACCGAATGAGGGGAGGTAAGTTCGGTTGGAAACGAAACAAAACCGTAACTTACTTTCTGTTGCCTTGAAGTTCTCGACATTATTCAGTCTTGCTGCCCAACGTCGTCCAATTTTCCAGACCTCATCCAATTTTCCATATACACCAAAGCCCAAGTCGATCCGACGTACTGCATATCCCACCACACCTTCTACCTGCTCTGAGTTCAGGTTCAGGTTCACCCATGCACAATACAAGAAAACTCTGTCTCCATAGACTTTCCCAAGTTGCCGCACCAAAACCCAACCTTCATCCAATGATCCAATCATCTCGACATGACATCAGGCGAGGCCGCGAAACTTCGACAGGCCCGATATACTTTCAAGACCTACGCGCCGTCTCTATTCGGGCCAAACAAGGCGAGCTCGATCATCCCACCTTTTCTACCTTCCATTTTTGGTTCTGCTTCTGAGGATATACCATGCACCACACCACAACAGCTCCCCATCCTCTCCACAACGACCAATCATGCCCCATACTGTAGCCAGAACCTAATACCTGAAACCACACCAGCCCTCCCTGGCGACTCCAGAATAAGCCATTGCAACCTTCCCAGAACATGCAGCTCAACTCTTCTCTTCCAATTTCAGCGATGCAATAATCCCAACTATCGTCGTCGATTAACTTCTCACTCCGTCTCAAGGATGCCCTCCCCGAGTATGTCTACCCCAAAGTCCGAGAGCGGCATACCAGACCAACTCATACCAGACCTACCAGAAACCCAAGATCGGGCCCAACGCACGTTCGGATACATTCAACTGTAGATGCAGACCTCTTGACTTGAAGTGCACAGGACTGGCACAGAATAACTTTCTTAGAGCAAGCAGAGTTTTCTCGCCATGGTCAAAAGGGAAAGTTGAAGCGATGACGATAGCGACGGTGACGGTGACGGTAGCTGGGTGGCTCGGAGTATCATCGGCCAGATGGGCCCATTGCCATTTGACATGTCTCCGAATCGAGACCCCATGCTGTAAAGGAAAGCCAGTAATCGTGACCAAAGAAGTAAAGCTTTGAAAGCAACCTTTTTCTCTTTTCCACAAACAGCACAAGGAAGCAAGGAAGCGGCAAAAGTTCGTCCAGTCCTTACATAGCATCCCCTTCTCGTGTATTTGTCACCAGGATATCCCCCAATTCTTCCCCACACCATCTCCTAACCTCCCCAGCCCGGCAAACTGTAAAGACTAGGCAATTCCCTCCCTGGATGCGTAGAGAAGTTTGGCTTCGAACTAACTTGAACAAACTAATGAAATAACTTTATGGGAACATGAAACGAACTATCCAACGAGATGATGAAACAAGCAGCCGAGCTCATCCAATTTAGTGATAGATCTCTGGGGAGTACGAAGTCACTGTTAGACCTGGTGAGAACGTTATCACGTCCACTTGCCACTGACCTCTCATGTACAAACGACACGTCCAAGAGCCTCGGATGCCTCCCGTACTGCAAAGACAAAACAAACCGCGTGAACAATGGAAATAAGCATAAGCTAAGCTCTACTTTGACTTACCTTCACATTACGAACACGAGCCCGGGGGGACTTTGGAGTCAAATCTATCAATTGCATTCTAAAAGGTACCGAGTACATGACCTCGTCCATGCAGGTCAAAGAACGCCTCCAAATTCATCAAAAAAACTCAAATTTCTTGCATAAAAGAGCAGAGGCGAAAGGAAGAAAATGCAAGACGCCTCGTGATACAATGTGATTCCATGTGCTGTGCCTGCCTCGCTCCCGCATAATTTCATTCTCTTTGCCAAGCAAGCAGGCAAAAAGGTCGGTATGAACGTCGTTCTACTCAAAATGTTCAATGACAAATTCTGTATTGATGCTTTGCCAAAATCTCATTTCTGAAATGATAAATCGATGTGTTCGTCGTAGCGAACCCATTTCGCTCGCAAGTGCGAGTGTCGGTCCATTGTGACCAGAACGAGGCAAAATGTGTCACAAGGGAAACAACAGCCATTCTGAGATCGTCGTAATGAGCCGGATTTCAGATCTCAATGTCGATACCGAAATCGATAGAGCCGATGATATCGTCGTCCATCAAAGGTCTGCTGAGAGATGGAATACCCTTCTTCTCGGCTTGAAGCTTCTGAAGTGCGGGAATTGGTGTTGAGGGCTTCTTGGCGGTGAGATTGGGTGTGCTAACAGATGGAGTGTTGGTGCCACTTCGTCCGCTGTCCTTGGCTCCTAAAGAGTCAGCGACATCATGCTTGAACTTAGCACGTGTCTTGAGACGTCTGGAGTGATCCTCAGCAACAACTTCTCCACGAGCAACAGCGGCCTCGATCTGCTTTGCGGCACGACGCTCATTGATCTGTGCCTGGCGAACCTCCTCAGCATTCTTGCGACGATTTTGTCTATTGAGAATAGCCAAGCGCTCTTGTTGACTCATTCCCGAGGCAGTAGTCGATTTCTTTGGCGATGGTTGCATGGATGTGCTATAAGCCAACTTGGGTCCGTCAAGTGCATCCAGTTCTTTGCGGAGATCTTCCTCCTTAGCGGTATCTCCACGAGCCTTGGCCTCCTTGATCAAGCCGTTTAAGCGATTTCTCTCGATTGGGATGAACTTCTGGACAAGAGCGCCTGACTTGGTCAACTTCTCTTGTAGCTCAGCCTCGGTCCAGGAGCGGTTGATAAGGTTGTTGATATCAACCATCTTTTGGTTCAACTTGGGCTTTGTTGGAAGAGGAACACCCTCATTCTGGCAAGTAATCTTGAAGCGGTTCCACTCGTTCTGAAGGAGAGTCAGTACTGCGCGCTTTGGACAAGAGAATCATCCACAAACCTCTGTGAAGCCAGAGTCGGAGCAGCTGATGAATGGCCAATTTCGTTCAGACTTGCCATGAGCAGCACGAACATACTGGGTGGTCTTGAAGTGCTTGCCAGTGGCCGACTCAATAGCATAAGGACGATCCTCCACGAAGCCTACACAGATTAGCAGCGAACTTAAGACTCAAAGTCACAGTTGATACGTACCCTTAACAATACCCATGCGGTAGATATTTTGTCCAGTCTCCTTGTCGGCACCAATGCTAATGCGAACGAAGCAGCCAGTGATAGCCTCATCGAAACCAGGGTAGAAGCAGACTTGCGCGAATCTGGTGCGACCAACTCTGACCTTTTGGATATCGGCAAGACCAGCTGGCTCAGCATCACGATAGTCTGGAGATTTGGACTTCCTGTTCTTTGACTTTCCGTCATCCCACTCAACCTCACTGTCTCCATCCGCATCCGCATCAGAGTAGTCGTCCCGAGCAGTGCTCCACCCTTTGTTGCGCTCCTTGTCTTCTTGTCTGCGACGCTGGCGATCATCTTTCTCGGCCCGCGCGCGCTTGAGACTATCAATTCCAGAGCTCGCTTCGCCGACTTTGCCTCCACCAAGCTTTGTTCGCTGACGCTGGGTCTTGCGAGGATCCTCTTGTAGTTCCGTGGCTCCGGCCTTGCGCTTCTTGTTCTGCTTATTTTCATTCTCTCGAGACTTGAGAAGTTGTCGCAGAGCTCTGTTCTGTCTGTCTCGTTCAATTTCTTGGGCTCGCTCAGCAAGGACCTGTTCACGTTCGATTTCGTTCATGTCCAAGATTCTGGCTTTATCCGAGGAATTGATGAATTTGCCCTCGAGAGGGTACCGCTCGCCATCGTCTTGAAAGGTAGGACCATCAGAATCAGAATCGGACTCGTCCATAGGAGCTGATCGCAGGGACTGGGGAGAAGAGTGGCCGGATGAACTTCGAGCAGTCAGCACAATATCGGGCATCAGGAGGCGGGGTACTCACGCTTCGCCTTCTTCCTCAGAGTCGTTAGATTTCCTGCCCATCTTCTTGCCTGTCTTTGTCGCGGATTTTCCTGGGCCTGGTCGATCTGGAGATCCTGAACTTGACTTGCCAGCATTTGCTGCTGGAGCGTTGTCTTCTTCGTCGGACGAGGCATCTCCTGCAAGAGCGAGGAGCTCATCATCGATATCGTCGATGTCCGACATTGTGTAAGCAGGTTGGCTGGTCACTGTGGATGCAGGAAGTTTTGTTGCGAAGAAAGCAGAAGCAATCGCTCAAAGATGTGTACAAAGCGCGTTCTCAAAGGTGTTGGTGTATTTTAGAAAAGAGTATTTGTGCAATAGAGTGTATATGAGAAGAATCGAGGAGATATCGAATTGGAAATAAGTGCGTGCAAAGATCCAATCACAATAGGAAGGATTTGCTCTTGTTGTTAACTTTTTGGCGGAGAGTTCACTCAGTCGTGAATTTCGAAGGTGACGATGCAGCTTGAAGGGGGCCGGAATAAAGTTAGTCCCCGCCAAGCCAAGACGCAACTAGTGCAGAACCATGACGCGAAGAGCCGCAAGAGTGGATTTCTATCTAACGCTCCCTCATTAGGAGATAATGTTTCTCACTTGATGATTGAGTGTACCCAAACAAATATCAAGTTCTACTTCTGTATCTAAACAAGCTTCATAATGTCTCTTTCATTCTTCACGAAGCGATCCGCAGTTTCTGCATCCCAACTCCCCATCTGCGATTTCCTTGTCCCACGCCTTCATCAACCAATCCTCACCAGAAACCAGATTCAAAGTCGCAACCTCTCCGTGGCTGCGCAGCGTAAGAATGATACTTCAAGCATCAGACAAGGCGAAGAAACACATTATGCGTCACAAGCAACGAAAATAAGAGCCGGTGCAGAGGCAGCCGCGAATCCAGCTCCTCGAGGGAAACCATTAACGCCGGCCCAAAGAGAATTTCTTGATAGTGCAGTTAGTTTCTCCTATGGACATTGAAGCTTAAATATTTATTGCAAATTTTAATTTATATATGACAGCTTCGTGTAAACCAAGCGGGGGAATTAGCAGCCTGTCTAATATACACGGCGCAAACACCCGTTGTAGTTGCCTCTCATCCACATCTACGACCTCTCATGAAACACATGTATGATCAAGAAGCTGGACATTTCAAGACCTTCAACGAACTCATCGCGAAGCATCGTGTACGGCCTACGGCCATGTATCCCTTCTGGACAGTCGCGGCTTCTGCGCTTGGATGGGGGACTGCTGTTCTGGGGCGGGAGGCAGCGATGGCGTGTACAGAGGCTGTGGAGACGGAGATTGGTTCTCACTACAATGAGCAAGTGAAGGTACTGCTGGAGATGGCAGATCAGATGGAGAAGTCTGGGGAGACAATTGGAGAAGATTTACAAGTATTGATTGGCAACATAAGGAGGATCCGAGATGAAGAGCTGGAGCATTTGGATCATGCAGTGGAGAATGATGCACAGAAGGCGGTTCCACATGAGCTGCTGACAGGATTGATCAGGGCAGGATGTCGTGGGGCAATCTGGGTCAGCGAGAGAGTATGATGGAAGTACATTAAGTTCAAGAAGCAACGCTTTGCTCCATGTAGAATGTACAAATACCCTGTACCATGCTATGCAAGTTTTCCCTGTGTTATACCAATCATACAAAATTACAAGGCTATCTGGCCGTTACAATATCTAATTACTGAAAGACTGTTAGAATGGGATTACGGAAGAAATATGGGCTGTGACTTACTAAATCTGTAGAGGCGCCACCTGATCTACTTGATACAGCCAGTTAGAGTTGAGCTCTTCTTTGACAAGCCAGTCGTATGGGAACATGACCAGGTGGCCTTGCACCAGACTGAGAAGTTCCTCAGCATCCACTCTGCTCAATAGATCATCACTACCAGAGAAACCTTTTCGGCTCCCTTTCGTAGTTCCACGGCGGCGCTTCTTTGTAGAACCATGATTGACCAATGTGCTCCCTCCAATGGTACTACTCCTTTCCTTGTCCCCAGATGTCGTTGAAGAGAATGTAGTTTTCCGATGTTGTTGTGTGTTCTTCTCAGAATCGATAGCAGGAGGGCTAAGCATTGTGGAGTCGAGCGAAGGGAAAGTCTCATCTCCAACTGGTTGGACTGGGGATGGTGCTTCATCTGACGCTCGGCCAGTTGCAGCTTTCTCATTCGTACCATCTAGCTGGCCATTGATATCTGCCTCAAGAGTAGCCGAAGCATTGTGTTGCTTTGTATTGCGTCTGTCAGCGTCATCAGCCCATTCAGCAACAGTCCCCAGGGGATGTTGGTTGTCATGTCCATGAATCTTCTCGGTAAGATGGCTGGCTGCATGAGAAATCACCCCATTACCACCCATCGAAGCTCCGGGTGGCCCACTCTTCCCTGGGGCTTCTTCCCCTTGTCTTTCGGTGCTCTTGGTATCACCTTGTGCCTCCGCAAATCGCTCGGCATATGCCATGTAATCTTGGTACTCGTGCCAATTTGAGACCTCGTTATCTGGCATGCACCTGAACACTTGTCTGAAGATCTTAGTGTTGTTTCCTCCAGCCCGAAGCCAGACATCGTAGTAGAAAGTGTCGTTAAGAGGATCTCGCATGCAGTCCTTGTCTATATTTACAGGTTGGATATCTGCCGTCAATGGATTGAATGGTTTCGGCATCGAGTTTCCTGCAGCATCGAAGTGTACCGGTGGGCCACCAATATCTGTGTCATCAAGTGCAGGAAGAGGTGGAAGTTGAGAGAGTTGACTAAGGCCCAACTGCTCTGTAGTCCTTCTTGGAAATCGTGGTATTGGCGGCAAGCCATCGTTTCCACCAGTGCTATCGTCATTGTCATGCTTATTGGCCAAAGATCGAGCGTGAGGTCTTGCAGGATGGTTCAAAGTGCCTTTGCCCTCCGAGGCAATATCAGTCATCAATACCTCACGGCCGCCCTCAACCAGTACCGAATCTCTTCCACGATCTAGGCCAGATTTCTTGGCCGTCTTCCAGTTATCGGGACTCTCGCCGTCAACTTCAGCTGCATGTTTGGCGTTGTTGGTGACTCGCTTGTCGGAGGTAACAGATTTGTAAGCTTCTGCTTGGAGGTTGGGGTTACCTTCTTGCTCCCAGTCGACGTCGTGATTGAAGCTGTGTAGACCTTCTTCATTGACAGCATCTGTAACGTGGTCCTCGTTTGGACGAGACGGCTTCGCCGCATCACTATCATTTTCTTGATAGATACCGTTCATGCGAGTCTCAAATTCTGCTTCTTCCCGATCCATTTCTGCTTTGCGATCTTCTTCCAATACAGCATCCACATCGAGACCCAGATGTTCCCGCATAAGTCGCATCCGTAACGTATGAGCAAAGCGCCCAACGAGGTATGGTTCCCCATCCATGGTCGACCAGAGCATGTCTGTGTCTCGAACGACAGCAGCACATTCAGAATCTCTCAGTCCTAGCATAGAACGTTCATTGATGTTGGCCGAACCTATTAAAGCAATTCGGTCATCAACAATGATGACTTTTGCGTGAATGTACAGCTGCTCAGTCACAAGCATTTGCTTAGGTCCAATCTTGCCCCAGGATCGAAGGCTGTGAAATGAGACATAATCTTCTGGGTCCATACCGGCAGCTCTAAGGCGTCCAAATATCGAGCTTTCCCCACGACAGATACTGCGGAACTGGCATTGCATTATCAACCGCACGCTTGTGCCTTCTGGTTGCTCTACAGTATTTTGAAACCCCGGCATAAGAGGGATGAGTATGATCGCACGCCAACTTTCGTTGTTCTGAAAGGCTCGGATCGCACGCTCAACAATTGCATCGCCAATCTTGTTGGTCATCTTGACACCCATGGTCTCGCAACTGGTAATGAAAAACTGGTTCTCCATATAGACAAAATGTTCCGATTCCTCGATCATTTTACAGTAAGCATTCATGATACTGTGCTCGACTTCGGTGATTCCAAGTGACCAATCGGCAGCTGACCGGAGAATTTGAACCTCACAAGTGCCTGTCAAACCGGAAGCTTCAAGTTGAGCTTCAGTGTAATCGGGGGGCGGCAGTAGGAATGGAGTCGGTCTTGTAGGCTTTCTTCCGCGAAGGATGTAGTTCCACCGTTGGATGAAATGGCGGGTAAGATCTCTTGCTGGCTGACCAACGACTTGCATCGAAATGTCATGCCACGGCATTCGAGGTGTCTTAGATCTGTCGTACATTTCTGCATAGGGTTCGTTCAACTGGTAGAAATCCTGCACTCGAGGGTTCGAGTAGTCTTTCCCAGGCCAAAGCTGACAGTGATCTGCATCTTTTGGAAGGTCTGACTGTTCAAATCCTGTAGGCTTGTCATCGACGACAGAGTGCTGAGGAGTGTCCCAACGGCCAAAGCAGAGATCAATACCACCAACAAAAGCAACCGAATGATCGACAATGCATATCTTCTCGTGATGTGCGAAGAAGAACTGGTTCTTCTTAAACTGGTTGGGTGATCGTTGTACAAAGACATTCTCATGCAAATCCAACATCGAGAACTTAGTGAACTCGGAGTCAATCGGAATGGCAGCTTCTACGTTTCTGTAGACAATAATAAAGACCTTGACACCTTCTTCGGCCTTCCGCTTCAACAGTCTATCAAGACGCCACTTCCCGCTGATTGCCGCAGGTCTTCGCATATACAGTTGAGGACTCAGCCACCAATCGTGGATATAGATGACATCTTTCGCCTGGTTGATAGCTCTGGAGACATTCCACATGTAGTCTCGGCCGTCAACAAGCCATTGAGCATATGTTCCAGTTCTCACAGGAGCAAAGCTTCCGAAGCGGTTTGGCTTGGCCCACGGAGTAGTGCTCAACATGTAAGTAATCGACTCTTCGAATTGCCTCAGCTGCCTTTCGTTCTTGGCTAGAAGCTTGATCTTTCGCTCGGAGTTCTGTAACTTGAGGCTGTGGTGTTGAGGATGCTTCGTTGCTGTCTCGGCTTTGTCCAGTAGTTCTTTACCACGCATCTCTGATAGCTTGCTGCGCTTTCTGATAATCTCAAACTTCGGATCTACCAAATACACATCGTAAATGTGCATGTTTTCTGGCGAATTGACACAAATAATATAGCTGTGTCTTACCAAGAACCATTTAGGGGAGTGGCGAGTAAATATCTTCTGAGGCGTGAGCAGTCTCCTCATGTCCAGGCCTTTCGCAGATTGAATGACCAAATAGCCTTCCTTGCCATGATAGCTTCCCTCAGCAGCCAGTCGCACTCCTAGTGCAGACAGCTCAAGGAAACGGCAAAGTCGGTTGCTGTCTGCTCTGAAGATGAGCCATCTGATCATTTCTTGCAGATATTGCTCCAATCTTCTCCGCTGCTTTTCGACGAATTGTCTCGACTGTTGAGCAGCAGCTAACTCATCATTCGCATTGGAGCCAAGATCTATCCCAATGAGACTAGTTTTACGGCGATTTCCAACAAGAGACGGTCGACGTTTCTTCTTCTTTCGTTCAGTCTCACTGTGCGTTGCTTCGCCTACAGTCTCATCTGCGGTAGGAGCATTTTCAGCTTCTTCCTCGGAGCTCTCGCCGAGGCCTCGTACGCCCCTGAAGTATGGGAAGGTAGATTTTGGAAAGCGGGGTTGCTTCGGTCGTGAATCGATGTCGCTTCGGAGTTGGATGTACTTGTCACTACTACCTTGAAGTTTATAGCGTAGATGCAAATTGGCAAAATCCCTGAGCGACCTGTGGATCACCCATTTCATACGATTCAATCCACTTCCATACTCAAGCTCAATCCGAAATACAAGATGCCGCTCTGTTTCGGATGGATCTTCAATTCCCGGTGTGCTATCAGAGATATGTAGCTTAAGTTGTTCGAGAAGTACTGGTATCCTCTTGTTGCCATGTTCATCACGTTGGATCATGCTAGCCAACATCAGTGCTGCTGGGGCACCTGCTCTTAACTCAGCCATGAGTTCTGCAGACTTTAGATAGTCAATCTTGTGTTCTTCCTTTTTCTGTCCTAGCAGCTTGAGCCCATGCTTCAACATCCGCCAGCGCTGGGCACCGAATGTAGTTGCTCGTTCGGCACCAAGGAAAGGCCGTCTGGGAGTTTGAACTTCTCCTTCGCTCTGGCCCCCTCCTCCGAGTCCAGTCATCCGCCGGAAGTTACTGGGTCTTCGTGTATGGCCAGGAGTACCGTCCATATCAGGGCCCGGCTGCTGCCCACCATAGCTGGGACCTCGACCACCACCAATCCATGAGCTACCTCGTCGCCAAGCACTCTGGCTATTGAGTCTATCTCGTCCTTCTCCTTCAGACAAATGCCCTCTTTGCTCAAACGATCCATCGGTGGCTCGGCGCGGGAGGAAAGGAATGCCACGATTGCTGCCGCCAGGAGAGTCTATCTGCCCCATATTCCTCGCTCTTGGTGTGTTTGGTGCGGTCTGACTTGCTGGATTCTCTTGCGGTCGTCGAAAACGACGCTTCCGCTTGGCTCGAACATTTGCATTCCCATTCCCCTCATCCGCTGTCTCCTCCGCATCAGCATCCGCATCACTGCCTTCTTCCTGTAATGTATGTGGAAACCTCGAGTTTCGCTCTATTGTTGGAGACAGCGGAGCGGATCCAGTGCCGTCTTCGAAAGAATTTGCCGTATTGCTCTGGTTCCTACTATGGGTCTGCAAGCTACCTGTCGATGCTAATGCCTTCAGCTTTGACATGAGAGACTGCCCACGCCTGTCCTTGCTTGGGGTTTCGCCATCCTCCCACGATTCTTGTCTGATATGTCCCGAATATTCCGCTGCAGGGTCATGCCTTTTGAATTGTACACTTCTTCGACCTGGCGGAGTAGATGTGCCGGCTCCTAATGCATTTGGGTCTCCCGGGAACGATCCGGTGTGCTTCAGAGCTGATTGTAAATGCGGTGAACCAGTCGCCCCGTCAAGCTGCCCATTTGGGAGGGTGGCTTCGTGAGGAATTCCTCCATTGATGTAGTCTATCGCCTCTGTAGAATGCTTGCTTGTGGTACCGTTTCCAGTCGGGGGGTTGAGTGTGATCTCGGGTGAGGCTTCCGATGTCCCTTCAGAGCTCAGCACAGTCCGCAGACCGGATTGTCGTACAGCTGCTGATCCGTTGGCAGTCGAAGTGTTCGAATTTACAGGGGATTCTGAGCGTGGGCTTCTTGTCATCGGCGAAACTGACTCCTCATTGCGTTGTGCCATGCTTCGATTCGAGATGCTTGGGCAACGTAGACTGTCCCCAGCTGCGACCTCGAGTCCGCTTTCCGCTTCAGCCTTGCACAACGTCACAACAAACTTCGTCCCAGCTGGACGTCTCGTCTTCTTATGATCCTAGGGAATGCTCGTGTGTCGTGCTCATGGCGTACCAAAAACTGGGACGACTGCCTCCTTTCTGCCCAGATTACTGCGAGTTGGCGGAGCTTGGCTAGGTCACCGGGTGCTGCACAGGACTCAGGAGAATGACGCGGGGGAGGAATGGTACAATAGCTGGAACGACTTCTGACCGCTAGGAGAACTTTCACAATATTTGTTTTTCTTGTTCGGCTTTTGTGTGTTTGAAGGATAACTGCGTTTAGTTTGAACTTTCCCGTGTTTCGAGCTGCCCTTGCTTGCATTGCAATGTACACTGTACAGTACTTGTATTAGACTGCACTGCACCGCAGTTAATTTCCCGCTTGCTGCATCAATCAGCACCCGGAAAGGCAAGGGCAATCTCATGACGTTGTGCCACTGCCTCGGAATGGGCCGATAGGACGATTGTTAGGTAGGGTGGTATCGTGCGCTCTGTACCTTGATATAAACAAGCTTTAATTCATCTACATTTTTTGATTATGGCAATTGCAAGTGGAAGTGCTGTTATTCTTTCTATCAAAAGGCTCGCTTGAAAGTCCAAAATAGATTCCCGGACTTTGGCCTTGAAATTGCTCCCAAAAAGCGTCTCACCAACACAACTACCCCTCACTACACAACATGGCCACCAACAATCCTCTTGCAGATATGGCCCCCTCAAAAAGATCCATTTCTTCGAAAACATTCTGTATAGCTGGTATCAACACCGATGTGTTCGGTCTAGACGAAGTCTCCCCAGCCACAAAATCGGTATCATGCCTCTGGCTGCTTCATCCTCGACTTCAAACGAAAGAGATCATGGCTAGTGTGGCAGACAGCTGTATTAATGACTGGAACCGACGGCCAGCATCTGAGAGAACTGTTGGTCTCATTGCTGTGGCATTTGATCAGAGAAACCATGGAGGTCGGAAAATCCATGCATTAGCGAACGAATCCTGTAAGTAATATGGGAGATCTTATGCTTGTCCAAGTGATTGGTCGACTTGGCCAGCTACATGTTTCATAAAGCATCTTAAAAAGTACAGTACTGAGCCAGACACCAGGGAGGGAAGGAAACCCTACTCACGCCCAAGACATGTACAGGTTCGTATACTGAATAAGTCTGAAAACGAGAACGCCGCTAACAAGCACCAGCATCTATCACGGTACAGCTGTGGATACGAGCCTCCTGATAGACCATCTAGGATCCTACATCTTCAATAATCCGAGTGATCCGTCTATCAATCAGCATTTGGTCATGGGCATTTCCTTAGGAGGTCATTCTGCTTGGCAAGTCCTTTTCAATGAGCCAAGAGTTAGTGCCGGGATCGTGATTATTGGATGTCCAGATTACATCAGTAAGTGTTTCGGTCTTCCATTTTGTATTTATTGTTTCCATTTCCTTTTCTGTTCCTATTTTACTTCCCGAAGTGGTACTTTACTTTCTCACTTGGAAAAGTGTCTTTGTTTCCAATCCAATCCGTACTTTGTTTGATGTTAAGTCATGAGAAAAGAACCTGGACAAGTGCCTTACTCGAACCAGTTATCTCTAATCAGGCACTCATGTTCTTGGCATGCCAATAATATTGATAGCATATCAAGCAGACATTGGAAGTTGCAACAAGCTACCACCACATACTCTAGTGCCTCGTCTCTCGCAACATCATTCCCCTTTCTCCATTCCCAACTTTACATTTCTCTACCAACTTACTTGCTAACAACCATTTCCCAGACCTAATGACCGACCGCGCCCGCCTCTCCAAACTCCCCACCTACACCTCATCCACACCCCCCGGCGCCACCTTCCTCGGCAGCCCCTCCTTCCCCTCCACCCTCCTCAACACCCTCCAAAAGTCCGACCCCCGCTCCATCCTCTTCTCCAGCACTCCCATCCCCTCACCAAGCTCACCCCTCTCCCAACCCCAAAAATCCCATCTAACCACTCTCCTATCCTCCCGTCTCGCTCATAAAAGCATCCTAGTCTGTTCAGGCAGTAGCGACAAGCTCGTACCATACGCCTGCTCTAAACCATTCTTGGATTTCTTAAAGGACGCTACGGATGAGGAGAGAGGGTGGTGGAGGGAGGGCGGGTGTAAGGTTGGTGATAGGGTGTATGAGGGTGTGGGACATGCGTTTAGTGAGGGGATGAGGAGGGATACCGTGGAGTTTTTGGGAGGGGTTTTGGAAGCAGAGGAGAGGAGAGGGAAGGAGAAAGAGGGAAGTTCGAGACTTTGATCAAGAGTTTGGATTTATCTTATGAAGCGCTGTAGTAACGCCTGTATATTCGTTTATGGACCGGCTTATTGCAACAACTCGTTTACTTTGCTTACATTGCCTCCCTGCGTAAGCTTGCTAGCTTCCTCATTCCAAACGCCTTCGAGAAACGTATATATCCCCTCGGTCCATATTTTTATTTCACTGAAACCTCAACATCTTTTGTGTACTCTCTTTTCATATAACCAAATGCAATAAATAAGCTAACTTAATATCCAGATCTTCTCATCACCCACGGTATCTGCATCATGAGATGAGCCCGAATCGGACTTTCAAATGTTCTGTGAGCTTTTCGCTTCTTAGGAGCTTGGAAATAGGTATCTACTATAAGACTTCCTTTGGTCCCGCCACAGTCCTGTTCATAATGAACTTCCATGTTCGCTCATCCCCTTTACTATTCTATGGGCAACCATCCGATAACCATCCCAAATCCAAACATAAACATGCCACATCCACACTATACTAGATGGATAAAGTAGGAAGGAGATAGCAAGGCAAGAATTCACATCCTGTCCGTCACAAGATATCATATCACATCGAATATCAAGTGAAACAAAAATAACACTCGAAAGCGTCAATTTTACCAAATCTCCGCTCGTATGCAATTAATGTACACCAGCCAGCTTGAGGCTAAGCGAAGTAGGTCATCACTCTCGTACTACCCTCCCTCATCCCTCTCCCATATTCTTCTATCGCAAGGAAGTGACCCAGGTAAGCAAGCAAGTATCCACCACCATAAAGAGCAAGACCAAGCCAGGTCTAGGTAGAAACTCAAGCTCAACTCCAAGATCCTTCGTCGCTTATCATGCACCACGTCCATCGATCTATACTGTACAATACGTTCAGATCTTTTTCTTGCCGTGTATCCACACGCTGTGTGAACAAGAACAAGATCCGCCGATGCTGTTGCTCAAAAGATAAAAAGTAAAGGCAATGTAATCCCCATACCACGCTCGCCGGATATGCTTTGCTTAGAGGAGGTTCTTAAAGTACAAAAAGGAGAAAGAAAATGTGCTGCAATGCAGGTCCAGGTGTCCTGGGTATCTTCCAAGATCTCAAACTCTCCTAACGCCGGCTAATGCAAAGTCGAACAAAGGAAAATAGTGTAGCAAGATGTCCTATAGAGATCAAGGATGTGCATGAATCTGTTGACATTGCTGGATTACGAAGAAGATCCTCAATCGTGAAGATATGTGCATTTCGCTCCCTTGGCACATTTTCCCTCGCGGTAGAATCTGCAAGGCTTCTTCTTGCCCTTGTATTCGCCATTCTCGTCGAAGGGTGAGTCGTCGTATGAGATCATTGTCTTCATATCGTATCCGCGCTTTGATTTGCCAGCTTGGGTCTCTTGGAAACGGTTGTTCTTCTGGTTATTGTTGTCATTTCCCCAATTCTGGTCACGTCTTGGTGGTTGAGGCTGATTTGCGTAGTTCAAACTCTGATCTTGACCACCATGGTTGGCCCAATTGTTATAGTCAAACTGTGGGTTTTGCACAGCTCTGTTGTCACCATTTTGGAAGGCGCTAAGATAGCTCTGGACTTGTTGCGCAACATCTGGAACTGGTACACTGGCAGGGTTATGTGGTTGCATTTGAGGAGGGAAAGCGGCTTGAGGCGGTATAGCCGGTTGTTGGTAGTGAGCGTTGGGGGCTGGATTTTGGAACTGGGCAGCCTGCAATTGGGCGATATTGCGTTCAATCTCTGCCTGGTGCTTCACAGCCATGTCCCTGTTGTAGCCCTCAATCCACTCGTTTTTCTGTGCAGAGTTTGTCATCCATCGTGGTGGTTCTGTGGCGGGATATGACAGACCAATCAGAGACGCAGTGAGACGTTGCAAACTTTCAAGAACTTGTTGCACAACCTGGTCATCCTTTGCGCCTGGGTTGTTGGGTTGCTGAGATGGTCCAGTTTGCCTTTGTGAGGCTGAAGAAGTTGCACCAGGAAGCAGATGACCTTTCTTCCATTGCTCTTCAGATTGTCGAATCAGAGCCTTCTGAGTAGCCTGCTCAGGACCGTATTGGCGGATCTCGTCGAGGCGTTCAACCAGCCAAGGCTCCGTTGGAGGTTGCAATAGGCGTTCGGTCTTCAAATCAGTGACTTCATCTGTCTGATGAGGCTCTCTAGCAGAAGGTGGGATATCGTTTGGATCGGTATAGACAACCATCAACTCAAGCTCTTCTCGATGTTGTTGAGTCTTCTGCTCAGGCGTAGAGACGGTGACATCGCCACCCCGAGTTGTATATGTTGGTCCAAATCGTGTTGACTTGTCCACGGAGGTGAAGTTGATCGGGACTGGTTCTTGGTATGGGAGATCGGCGTCCATTGGCTGGTAATCTTCGTCATCGTCCATCACCTCCAAGACACGTTGTTTATGCATCATGCCTTCCAAACGATCGTCGTGTGCGTCCCGAAGCATCTCGTCTTGACGTCCTTCGTCCTCTGCTTGTTCGTGCTTGAATAATCGAATCTGCTCAAGATCGGGGCCGTCTTTGAATTTGACTCGAAGGTGACGCCTACTTTCTTTTCTCTCTCGGCGAGCCTTTTCTTCCGGTGTTTCAGGGGCTCGAGGAGGTGCGACAGGTGCTTTAGGAGGCTCGGGAGGCTTCGCAATACTGGCAAGGAGGGCACCAAGTTTGGACTCGGTGGGAGGAGAGACGTCTCTCTTCTTCGGAATGGGCTTTGTGATGGGTTTTGAGGCGATGCCTAGCAAGTTGGTGCCTGATCGCTTGATGGGAGTAGGCTTTGTGGATGGATTGAAGCTGGAAGTGGTGTCCAAAGCAAACTTCTTATTCGCCTTGCTGGCGTTGCTATCACCTTCGAGAGGTCTCTTTGTGGAAATAATGGTTGAGGTAGTGGGCTCTGAGCTTCGTTGTTTGGTCTGGTCGACCTTTTCACGTAGTTTCTTCTCTTTGTCGCTTTGCTCAGCATCTTTTTTGGCTTTCGCAGCTCTTTCCTTGGCATCGATTGTATTGGCAAGAATGTCAACAATGACTTGTTTAGTCTCCTCGGAACCTTTCTTGATCCAGCGCTTTTGAATACTATCAAACTTCAATTTCTTCAGGAAATCATCCGACATATTCTGGAACCTTGCAAGCAACGCGAACACGGCAGTTGGAAGTTTGCCTTTGTAATCATCGACCTTAGTGCACTCGATCAGAGTTGTGGTTAGTCCGTTTACCATCTTATGATGACTGCCCAGGTTCTCTACAATGGGACCATATCCAAGCTGGTTGGCCGCATCAATTATCTGGTACAGTGATTCCAAGAGGACTACACGTTCATTTTTCAGTTTCTGAGCCTCTGCAGGGCGCGCAGCAGCTTCTTCGATCTTGGTCGAATTTGTTTTGATCTGAGCACGAAGAGCACTTAAGAAGTTGCCATACTCCTGAATGGCCTCAGACACAATTTCACTGCTTGGCTTTGAGTTAGGGTCTTTCCAGACAATGCCAACTGCGTCCCAACGCGCAGCTTCTGGAGTGGAAGTAGGCCGTACGGGGCCGCGAATCTGAACATGTTAGCTGGAGCTCGAGAGTTTTCAATGAGGCCCTTTGAGCCATTGATCGCGAAGTAATCGCCATATCTTAGGCACCAAGCCCAAAATGGCTCGTGTAAATTGGAAAAAAAAATTACTAGGTTGCTTACCGTGGCAATATCAATCAAGGGTATGTCGTCCTCCTCCTCGTATTCTGACTCGTCAGAGTCGCTATCTTCAGAGGAGCTCTCAGTTACTGTAGAAGGCGATCTGGCGTCCTGACCACCATCTTCACGAATTTTGTTAACAGACGTAGCTTGTGCGCCTTGGCTGGTTCCCTTGTATTGGCTCACAGGTGCCTTAATCTTTGGCGGTCGGCCTCTCTTCGCGGATGTGGCAGCTGGTTTTAGTGCAACTGACCGAAGCGTTAGTGTCAATTTTGAAGGAAAATTAGATGGCAGAGCTGTGATTAGGCAACTATACGTATACTTACTTGACAGATCTAGGCCTGGTACAATCTCTTTTCCGCTCCTTGCTTTTCTTGGATGATACTTTGGAAGAGCAGCTGCAAGGATTACAAAGTCAATAAAACAATACTTTCATAGAAGGGTTCTTGGAAAATTACATACTCTTCAAGCCATTTGGTACGTGAATAGGTTCGTCATCCCAGGCCAAAAATGGTGCATGGGGGAGACGAGTCTTGTTCTCATCATCCGTTGCAGGGTATACGACTCTCAGAGGATTCGGTGGTGGAGCAGGTCTAGTCTGTTGAGGGCGAGGTGCAGCAATTGGCACATTTTGGTAAGGCTGCTCATCGATTTTCTTCGTAATCTGTCTTGGTTCTGGAGCGGTCTCATGGGGTAGAGTAGGGTACCGGACACTGCTGTTCTGGGTTGGCTGAAAGTTACCAGTCTGGGCAGTTTGGTAGTACGCGGGAATTGCATCTTGAGTTCTTTGGCTGTAGTTGTTTACGAGTCCATTCTGCTGGCGTTGAAGGGTAGAGGAGGACATTGTACGATTCAGGGTCTGGGAGGGAGTTATGGGTGCGTATTGGAGGTTTTGAGGTGCGATTGTTGCAGATGTCGACTCCATACTACTAGGCGCAAAGGAGAAGGAGCTATCGTGACCATGGAATCCGGTTGAGCCGTGTAAGGAAGCCTCGGTGAATGGCGTTGCCGGGCCAAACACATCAGAAGGCCTCGCATTCTGATATTGCGATGTATATGGTGAGTTTGAATATGAGACAGATGGATACTGTGGCTGTTGGGAGAGATCAAATTGATTGTAGCTTTGCGGATTATATTGACCATAGGCTGGAGCAGGTTGTTGCTGGAAGTGAAACTGCTGCTGATCGTTGGGCGCCGACCATCCATTATTTGTCATCAGATCATCATAGGACATATCCTCAGCGATATATCCATGGCCAGTATGGCCCTCCATCTTGACTATTGGTTTCGGAGATTGTATGTATGTTCAGGGTGGTGTTGATGTTGACCTCAAAACCACTTGTGAGATACCTAGGTATGGAGAAGCGAGTTGAAGAGGAGGATTTGATTGGACGATTTATGGGGAGTGGGGCTGAGCTGGAGCTGGAGCTGGAGCTGTGTGGCTTGCTGGTGGACGGTGTGTGTGGAGTGGACTGCACGAGAAGCGATGATTAGCAGAGTTCCTCTCAGGCAGTTCACCCATACAGGGCCTGGCCTTGTCTTTGCCACCCGCCCGTCTTCTGACTCGATCGCAAACAACTTGTGATGTGATGTGATGTGACGTGATGTGATGTGATGTGAACAAAGGAAAACAACAATAATGGTGATGACGTGCAATGCAACAGCGGCTTTGCTTGAAATTCAATTCAATACAATAGCGCGCTGTGACAATATGTTCGCTTTTCTGATGCACACTCTGACTCTGTCTCTGACTCTGGCACCGACACTGACACTGAGGATTTGGTAAGCTTGTCCAGGCCGGATGCGCTCCAAACCCAAAAATGCCCGCCCCGCCCACCGTACAGCACAGCACAGCACAATTGGAACACAGCTCAGCACCACCGTTTCTCGCCCAGCCAGGCAGGCCGACCAGCACACGGCGAACCCCAGACCGTACTGCCTATGGGACGTGATCTTGTTTTGCAGCGCACCGCAGTGCCATGCAAAGAACGATCTTCAGTCCACAGGTGTAATAGAGCAGGGGGCTTTTCAATCGCGATGCTGGCTCTGCACCGGTCCTTCTGTAATATATTTGAATTGTACTGGCTGTTCTGCTCGTGGCGACCTTCGACTCCTACAGTAGCAGAGGCAAAAGCGCGAGCTCGTGTCTAGGCAGTTTGAGGAGTTTGAGGGGTTTTCGGGACAACACAGCACACAGCTGGGAACTTGAATCTGGGCGGGCGGGCGATGCGATGCCTTTCGCCTCCAGGGGATGGATATAGGTAGGATGTGGAAGACTTGTAGATTGTTAAGGTGTCACCATACCCTGTTCTTGCTTTGCTTTGCTTTGCTTCGCTCTGCGTTGCTCTGCTTGTCTAAATGCGAGCCGCTCTTCCACGAAGCGCGCGCACGCAACCCTTGTTCTATCGGTCACTTGTGCAGTTCAATAAGTACGATCATTTGTATCTGTTAAGAGTCGTGGCCATGATGACCGAAGAGATGTCGGAATTTGGCCTGGCAATTGATTTGATGGGCGAAGATGAGTCGTGAAAGAGAGAGACGATGGGGCGATGTTGGATGTTGGAGAGGAGAGCGCTGAGGTTGAAAGAAAAGGTCGGAGCTGGCACCTGGCGGCAGATTTAGCACTAGTCCGAGTTGTCTTAGTCACCCACCGGAAGCCGACACTTCGAATTCATGGTGCGCGAGTAAACAGAACATGTTGCCTTCTGTACCTGCCCTGCGATCTGTCCTGAAATCAACACCACATAAACTACATATTCCGAACCTCATTTAAGCTGCAGAAGATTGCATGACACTTCTCTCCAAAACTGGCTGATTTCCAGCCATCAGATCACAACTAACCATGGCTTCAAGCCACAACTCCCTGCGGGACCGCCAGATCAGTAAGTAGATGCGAGAGCTTCTGAAAGCATGCATTTTATTAATGGACAACTATAGGATCGATCGAGCGCATGCTAAATCTGAACCATGACTCCGAGGAATCTTCTGGCGACCACGATCTTACGAGCAATGGCGCAACTGTGTCTGCGCCAATCCTAAATTCCGACGGAGATCCTATCTGGAAGGTACTCGTTTTTGACGACCTTGGAAGGGATGTCATTAGCAGTGTCCTACGAGTTAGTGATCTGCGGACATGGGGAGTAACAATGCACATGTATGTGTGGAAGTAGGGAATGCTATAGAGAAATGCTAATCCGATCAGGCACATATCATCTTCCCGCCATCCAATACCAGATGTACCAGTTCTTTATCTTGTTGAACCTACAGCTTCAAATCTCACATCAATCACTTCCGACCTCTCACGTGGACTGTACTCTCCAGCATACATCAATTTCCTCTCCTCGATACCTCGACCCCTCCTCGAAGACTTCGCCAGACAAACGGCGGAATCTGGAACATCTGAAAGCATTGCACAGTTTTACGACCAATACCTCAACTTCATTGTTGGGGAGCCAGATTTGTTCAGTTTGGGAATGCGGAAAGATAATACATATTGGACCTTGAATAGTGCGCGGACCAAGGACGAAGAGCTAGATAATGTTATAGACAGGATTGTGAGCGGTTTGTTCAGTGTGATGGCTACAATGGGTACGGATTAGTCCTAGGACAGTGATACGATGAAGCTAATTTGAAGCAGGTGTCATGCCGATTATACGCTGCCCTAGAGATGCAGCAGCAGAAATGATTGCAGCGAAGCTCGATCGAAAGTTGCGAGACCACATTCTGAATTCGAAAGACAATCTGTTTTCGTCTCAAGGGAATCGTCCCTCGACAGCTTCGGGTACCTCCTCTTCGCGACCGGTACTCATTATTCTCGATCGAAATGTAGACCTAATTCCTATGCTCTCACATTCTTGGACATACCAATCACTGGTGCATGATGTCTTAAAGATGAAGCTCAACAGGATTACGGTTGAGACACCAGTAGACGAAAACAACCCAGCCAAAGGTTCGACGAAAAAGGCATATGACCTGACATCGAATGACTTCTTCTGGAGCAAAAATGCCAGCATGCCTTTTCCACAAGTTGCAGAAGATATTGATGCAGAATTGAGCAGATACAAGGATGATGCAACGGAAATAACGAAGAAGACTGGAGCTTCATCAATAGAAGATCTTCAAAACGACACAAGTGCTTCTGCACAGCACCTGAAAGCTGCTATCACCTTGTTGCCTGAGCTCCGGGAGCGTAAAGCTACGCTTGATATGCACATGAATATTCTGGCTGGACTACTAAATGGTATTAAGAATCGACAGCTGGACAACTTCTTCCAAATGGAGGAGAATGTCACAAAGCTGAACAAGCAACAAATTCAAGAAGTATTAGAAGGTGCAGATCGAGGAACTGAGCCAACAGACAAGTTGAGGTTGTTCATCATATGGTTTCTCAGCACGGAACAAGACGTCTCAAGGGCTGAGATGGAGAAGTATGAGGAGCTGTTGAAGACAGCTGGAGCAGATACCTCCTCTCTAGCTTATGTCAAACAGTAAGTCATTTTGCATCGTCCACCGAATAATCTAACATTATTCAGAGTCCGCGCAACAACCCGCATGACAATGATGACCTCTGCACCCTCACAGTCCACGCCACAAACCTCCAACTCTGGAAGTCTCTTTGGTGGTTTCGGAAGCAGACTTGGTGGCCTTTCTAGCATAACATCCAAAATCCAAGAATCCGGCATCGGAGGAAACCTCGGTGCTAACTTCAGCGCCAATTTCGAAAACTTGATCTCGGGTGTCAAAAATCTGATGCCTGTCAACCGCGACTTAACAGTAACCAAAATCACAGAATCGATTATGGATCCTGCAGGTGCCAGCAGCAGCGCTATTGCCAAGACGGAAAACTACCTCTATTTCGACCCTCGGAGCGCAAATGCTAGAGGCACCATGCCTCCGCCTAGCGCAGCGAGGAAAGGAGATCAGATGCCAGGAGGTATGGGACCTGGTATGAGCGCGACGTTCGGACAGAGGAGGCAGGGTTTCAGTGAAGCCATTGTTTTCACTGTCGGGGGCGGAAGCATGGACGAGTATGGAAATTTGCAAGAGTGGGCGAAAAGAACCGGTGCGGGTGGTAGCGGTGCTTCTCAGGGCGCTGGTAAGAGGAGAGTTGTGTACGGAAGTTCGGAGATCATCAACGCTGAAGAATTTCTGAAGCTGGAGTTGGAAAGGTTGGGACGTGAAGCTGCTTAGTTAGCTTGATAGTCCCAGATAATAGACGTGTTAGAATATCAAAGATGTGATATTCCGAAGTCCTTGCTTCTGACTTCTGTACTATCTTAACAGCGAGAGTGATGTGGCCTGCCCAGGTCGGCGGTAATGATTGGAGTCTTAACGGCATATGCTGCGGTGGTTTTTGGCCCCCTCCCAGTCTGATCGCCCAGCCCATCGATCAGAGAGGTACACTTGCTGTTCTTCCAGACTAACGCAATGTATAAGGCAACAGGCCATTCAAAACATGCAATCTGAGAAGTTGGTCTTCTCATTGGAGGTAGGTAGATCGTAAGGTATAGGCCGCGAGACATTCTACCAGTAATGTACGGGAAGACATTTGACATTTCAAACCTAGACGAGCTGAAGCGGCTCGATCCGAGCCGGTCGATCACCATTCACACCTCAATTGCACCCACCACAACATCTTTCATTGCATACTTCCAAGATCTTCACATCTCACCTATTGATTGATTCTCGTCTAATACAACTCCACATTAATTGATCTCAGATAACCACAAACGCTGGCACCACAAAGGGAACATCCTTCAAAATGCCATCCTCTTCCTCCTCCACTTCCTTAACGCACACTCACACCCATCCAACCCACTTAATAATAGTCTGCTGCCACGCAATCTATACCGGGTCTTCAACCCCAGCACCACTTTCATCTTCTTCATCTCAATCCTCATCCAGCACCGACCCCTCTCACCCCTCAAACTGGCTCCTAGCACCCTTTCAAACCGACGAAGTCCCCACCTTCATAGAGCACATCCAAGCAGGTCTAAAGCTTCTCGCTTCATCCTCATCCTCATATTCATCAACAACGTCAGATGAGCTCCAAAGCTCAGCTTCAGAGCCAGCACCAGACTCTCTCCTCATCTTCTCCGGCTCCAAGACCCGTCCCGAAATAAACAAATCCGAAGCACGTTCCTACCTAGATTACTGTCTCGCCAACTCATTCTGGGGGATCTTACCACCCGAAACCCAAACAACTCATCATAACAACGAGTCCACACGTGAGGATTTAAATGATAGGATTCTAATAGATGAACAAGCCCTCGACTCTTATCACAACATCCTCTTCTCGCTCCTTCTATTCTTTAAACGCACTCGCACTTGGCCCTTGAATATGACTATCATAAGCCACGAGTTCAAACGCGCGAGATTTATGGATTTACATATCCCTGCTTTGCGCTTCCCGCTTCATAGGGTGCAGTATGTGGGGATTGATCCGGGGTATATGCAAGTTGAACGGCGGCAGAAGTATGATGCGGTGAGGGCGGAGGATGTAAGGAGGGGTGAGAAGGAGAGGGGATTTGGTGTTTGGGTGGGTGATGGGATGGGGTGTGGGGATTTGCTGAAGGGGAAGAGGGCGGGGAGGTGGTGTTGGGGGGTTAAGCAGGGGTGGTTTGAGGATGGGGAGGAGGGTGAGAGGGTGAGGAGGGAGAGTGGAGTGGGGAGTAGGAGGGTTGAGTGGGTTGGGGTGGATGGGATGGGGAAGGAGAGGAGGTTTGTGGAGGAGGTATTGGGGAGTGGGAGGCAGCCTTGGGAAGAGGGTTAGTAGAGTGGACGGGATGGAGAAGGGCTGGAAATGTGGATGAGAACTTTTGGAGAGAGGTTCAAGCTAATCTGAAAAAGAGGGCTGGCAGGTGATAAGCTTCATATACTTAATGACGGAAAGACGAGTTGTAGACGGCATACTTGACACAAAGTCCCAGGGAAAGAGTGCACATTCAGTGGGAATAGTAGCGTTCTATGAGAGCAATGCGAACCAGTGGTATCATTCTCTCGCTTCTTTATCAGACTGCAGATTCTTCTAAGCAAGGAGCCTCCAGCTTACCATCTCCTTAAGCGAGTAACAACCACGCCCTCCCTCTCAGACCTCCTCACACCACCACACCTCACCACCCTTAATGAATATGCCCTAGATGATGCTTCTTCTCCACCAAATCCAGTAACATCCCAAAATTAGGTGTTCCCAATCCAGTCACAGGATCCCACCCCTTCGTCGCATTCCAACCCGCGTAAGGAACATACGGCGCAGGCAGATGAGAGTACTGATCAACTCCCGTACAGCCTGTGGAACCACCGTCTACAATATCCGTGAGGCCTTTCTTACCGATGGAGTAGAGCCAGGGGTTGAGGAAACCAAGGGGCCTGGATCCTGCGGAGAGGCGTGCGTTGTTCAGGAGGGAGACTATGCCTGCAAAAGATGGGGCCGACGCACTTAATGACAGTGTCAGTCCATGTGTAAAGTTAAAGCAGTGAGCAGTGGTAATGTGGGAGGAGGAAATAGATAGGTACCTAGTGCCACCGACAAGTCTATCAGTCAAGACACCCGATTTATTCTGATTGATAATCTGGATTCGAAGCGCCTGGGCCGCCACATCCGGGAATCCTCTACCCTTAGGATTATATAACCCTTTCCACCTATTCCCAAGAATACGAAGGTACCCAGTTACCGCCGCATCTTGCCATCTTGGCCGTGCCCAAAGATCGCTGAACCCGCCCGAGGAAAACGAGGCCGCGATTTCAGGCTGCACGTGATATGTTCCTCCGACGGACGTCACGTATGGGCAAGATGCAGGGAATTTAGGCATGAAGCGGGTAGTGTTTTTGCCATCGTTGGTCTGACAAGCTGAACCAGGTCCAGAGTCGCCGCTGGAGAAGAGTATTGAAACGCCTCTAAGGCCGAGTTGGCCGAAATTATCGCATACCGTTCGGGCATAGCCTTCTGTGACGCTCTGCTCGTCTTCGCCGTAAGAGGTGGTGATTGTTTGAGGCAAGTCACGGTCGGGTAGGGCGAGTATATAGCTCAGGAATTCGAGATATGGCTCGTTTGCATTGTCTGCTTGGGTTGGCTGGTCGAGATCTGGAACCAGAGGACCACGACCGCCTGTTGAGAAGTAGGTGATGTTTGTTTCGAAGCCGAGGGCTGCGGCGTATTGAATGTCAAGGTTCGCTTCAAGATCGCTGGTGACTGTGTCGTTTTGGGTCGCTAAATCACCGTTCACAAGAGCATAGCTGAAATTCTGGGTTACAGCATATGGTGCGTATTTTCTGAGGAATGCATCAGAGCGTTGTACTTGGCCCATCGGTTATTATATCCGCAGACACCGAGTTGCGAGCTCACAGCAGGATCCGCCTTGTAGTCTCCAATGTTGTAAAGTGCTCTTAGACAAGCTGGAGTAATGATTGCATTGCAAGCCGTGACGTTGAGGGAAGGGTTAGGAATGCGAGGCGCCTCTGGGATGCTGTCGAGATTTGCGTAGTACTCTGTGGTGAAGGTTGCGATGCGCTGAGCTTTGAGCTGTCCAAATCGTGTGATGGGATGTACCATTGCAATGTGTGGAGCAAGAGTCTCTGGGACGGAATATTTTAACGCTCGGATCTGCTTCTTATGGCGTTTATCCGCATTTAGGGAGAAGTAGTAGAAGGTCGCTCCCATCATGGCCTCGGCCTTGCTGACAGAGGCTCTGAAGTTGACCCATTCTCCTTGGTCTTTGATGTCAGTTTCCGGAATTCCAGATGCTTTCAACCAGGCAAGCACTGCTTGGGTCGAAGCGTCTCTTGGCTGCACTAAAGCCCGTACTTCTTCGTGGGTGAGATGTTGCCCATAGCTTGGATGATCTGGTGTTGATACGTCGTACAGGGTCTTTTCGAAGAGATCGTGATCAGGCATGTGGACTGCGATTCGGAGATGGAGCAGTGTTTCCGGGTCTGGTCGATGTAATTGAGTCCATCCTTGAGGTGTTCGATGCAGCGACTCGAAGACTACAAGAGGAGCAATTGCTAGAGTAGTGCTCGCGCAGGCCTAACTTTGTTAATGGCTTGATTATGTATGAAAAGGCTCTCCAAGCCCCAGGACGAGCATGGACCTGACTGCTCAAGTCTACAGAACTTCTAACTAGGAGATGATTTGCAAGTTTTCGACCTCACCAAAGTTCTTGAAGGCTTTTCGTCTCAGAAGGATATCAATTGAGCCATCAAGAGTCACACTGTGAAGCAAGTATGGGTCTGCACAGGCTTAAGAGGTTCCTGCTAAGAGAAGTAACAAGGACGAGCCCTTACTTACCAAGACGGCCAGAAGAGAAACGCAACGCATATCGGGCAACACTTCCCTAGACTCAATTTTCATACACAACAGCGCAACCAAGAAACAAGCGTAGAAACGAGAAGAGCGACTCCAGGACAAGGTGGGGTGCCATGATATAATAAGCAAATCTATGAGCTTAGCTACACATGCCAAGTTGCGTATCCTTCTTTGGTGATAACGGACACATCATGTGGCACACAGGCACAAAAGCATGTGTTGTACCTTGCCAAACTTTAGACACCATGTTCGAGCGATTGCCCATAAACGATAGCGAAGGTGTAGACATTCATCCAAAGGTGCCCGGAAAGCTACTACAAGGCTCTGCAGCTTTTCAGGAAGGTGGCAGAACTCCCGAACTTTATGTTGATGCAAGCAATATCCACCTGCTGTTTTAGTTTAGCATGTCGATATGTTACTGGAACAGGGAGGGATTATGGCAGCAATACCTTATCTTCGCAGCTTCAGCCGACCGAAGTATATCGATCAGGCTGTGGATCCTGGAGAGTGACGTTAGGGAACTGGGTGACAGAAGTCCAGGCTGACTCGCTTCTGTAAGGAGCACTACCAGTTCGGTCGAATTACTTTTTTCGAAGGCCTTTCAATACAACAAAGGCACTTATATATGAGATGCGTCTCGTAATACAGAGAGATAAGGCTGTAGATGGTAGATTCGTCAATGAAGTTAATTGAATTTAGACTTCGTTGGTTTTAAGCCTGTCGAGCACGGACTTATGTCACCCAGTTCGTAAGTGATTCGATTACCAAGAGATTGGTACAAGATCCAGGAGCATAAGAATCCCTCGAATCCTCGCTGTCCAGTTGTGATGCTTCACTGTCACCGTTTAATTTGAGGGGTGAAGAGATCAACAACAGAAAAGGATGATCAATTCTTCCCCATCTTCCCCTCCGTGACTGCAGCCAATGATGCCCATTGGTGCTGGAAGCTAAAACGTCGCTTACGGTAGATGCAATGTAACTTCCCGCAACTTGTTCCTGTCGATCAAGAGCCAATCTTCGAGCAGATTAAGAAATTTGACACCCAAATACCAGCCTCACATCAACCAACCAAACCTCACCGTCATGACTTCCACTACAGAGCCCATCTCGGTTCTATTCGTGTGCTTGGGCAACATATGTCGTTCGACGATGGCCGAAGGAATATTCAGGTCTATCGTCTCAAAGCCGCCTTATCAGGCTTTGGTATCTGTTGTGGATAGCTGTGGAACTGGTGCATATCATACAGGAAGCAGCCCTGACTCCAGGACTATGTCAACGCTTGACTATAATGGTATCACGGACTATGAACATGCAGCTCGCAAGGTGGGTTGCCCAAGTCCTGACATATTGCCATGCTGGTTAACACTTTGCAGATCCACGTCTCAGACTTCCAAAATTTTGACTACATCTTCGCGATGGATAGGGACAACCTTCGTGATCTTCAACGTATCCATCAACGTGGTGGCGGCAAGGCTAAGGTCATGCTCTTTGGAGAGTTCGCTGGGAAGAAGAGGGCTGAGGAGGTTGACGACCCGTATTATGGGGCCCGTGATGGATTTGAAATAGCTTATGAGCAGTGCATGAGGTTCTCCAAGAATTTTCTGAAGGACACCTTCCCGGATGTGAAGGCTTGATGGTTCTGAGCCTTGTCTTGGTGAGGCTGGAGCTATTGGCTTTGAAGACGATTTGTGGAGGCTCGTCCTCGTTCTCACAAGATACCCGGTGCGAAGAGATTCAGATATTCAGATGTTCGAACAGCCTGCTTGACGAGCCAAGAACCTTGCCGTTATCCACAAAGGCAACGGCTTGAACGGCTCTGTTTCCTGATGTCGTAGAGAACGAACAGACCAATCTTGTGACCAGTGTCTCAGCATCATTGCGGGGGAGAAAGAGTCTTGTGTGGCGTCACAATGCCTTGCCTTATCTTCCCGAAGACAAGGCGCAGCGAAGTCAGTCACTTAGATCTGTGAGGCAGGAAGGGCATGAGGCGAAACAGCGAAATACTAAGCAATAAACGGTCTCGCAGCTCTGCCCAAAAAGTAAAGAGTCGATGTCCCCACGATGGTTTGATACTCAGCATAGCCTCGGTCGATGCAAAACTGACACAGTCATTGGCCAGCGTGCTGCTGTGGCTCGAGAGTAGTGGCTTCGGCGGTGGACTTTGACGCGGCCCTTTCTATTTTCAGCTCTCACCACTGCACCAGCCCGCCGCAAGCATCCAGCCTGCCAGCCCTGCTGCCCTGTTGTTGCCGGGCTCGAGCCGGCCGGGGTAGAATCGAAGACTGGCTGTTCGCATGACCCTTGTCAGAAATCGTGAAAAAGACGTGCATCTCCTCAGAACCTGTACTGCATCCATCCTCTTGTTAAAACACTACTACTGTCAGTGTCACATATCTTCAGTCGCACTCGGTGCGCTTCTCCATCCCAAGTGCGGACGTCATTTCGTAGCTTAACTTAAATTGGACCCTATCTGCCTATCCTATCCGATCAGCTCTGAAACGCAGGCCCCCGTCTTGGCCAAGTAAACAAACCCCTGCCTCTGCAACCCTTCCCTCCCTCGCTCTTCTCCCGAAACTCACCATTCCTGACCTTCCCACTCGCTCCTCCGAATCACATCGCACGTCGCCCTGCCATCGCCACGTTCTTCCACACTCAGAGTTTACACTGCCAGCGCTCAGAGAAGAAGAAGAAAAAAATAAGGGGCTCCATTCTTTCGAGTCCATCATTTCTGCGCGCAGATTGAGCCCGGTGCCATTCCTCTCCCACCCCCTCCGAGAATCTTCCTACAAAGAAGAACCCCGCCGCATACTGGGGGCATCACTCAACCATGTCGTATAATCGTTTAGGTATGTCCCTAAATTCCACAGAGAGTTGGATGTTCCCAGTCACCCTTTCCTTGCCATTGTGGAGGATAGACGCCGTGAATAATACGGCCGGCACCTCGTCTATACCACCTCCCCTTCTCCATTCACTCCTTGATCTTCCCCTATGCGCATCTTCGTAGTGCCGCGCACAGAGTCTCTGAAGTGCATCATCGAGAACCCTCAGACGCTCAGCCTTCCTGCGTAGTACAGGAGCAGCATCTAGTCTCGAGGACCGATCTTGCGACTTCATTACCGCAAACGATAAAGCTTCTGACATCTCTCAACTCTAGATCACGCTGGTCAAGGCCAGCAGGACGACTACTACAATATGAACAACCTCCCAAATTCAGGCCGGACGCCTTCACCTGGTCATCCACTGCATCAAGGGTATCAACTCGAAGATGCGTCGCCATATGGCAGACCTAGCGGATCACCAGCTCCTGGCAGACACAATCTAGAGATTCCTATGGGTCCTGGACGCCAAACCCCTAGCGACCGGTTGCAGGCACAACCCACGGTATGCTCTTATAATGTAGATCGAGATTGGCTGTGCCGCTGACTGGAGGATTTAGTATTCGGTTGAGAACATCGACAACTCGTATGGTCACAATGAGGAATACGAACAAAGTTACCCCCTCGATCCAAACCATAACTACAGACAAGACTACTCGCTCAACCCCCAACAACACCACGATGCCTATTACCAACCCCCATACCAGCCTTCCCCACACGAAGAGCATCCTCTGACAAATTATCCTTCAAACCCCGACCCTTATTACGATGATCACGATGACAACCGTCCAATACTCCAGGCACACGATACTGGCTTTGGACCAGATCCTCACAGTGCTCCAGGCTACAAAGACTACGATGGTGCCCCAGTATCCCCTTCAGCAACTCCCCAGCCAACAACTCTTAAGAGATACAAGACAGTGAAAGAGGTACAACTTTTTAATGGCAATCTCGTTCTTGACTGTCCTATCCCACCCAAGCTCTTGAACCAGGTTCCCCATGCTCAGCCACCTGAGCGAGATGAGTTTACCCATATGCGATATACGGCAGCGACATGCGACCCCAGCGATTTCTACGAAGAGCGCTTTACACTGAGACAGAGATTGTTCGCAAAGCCCAGACATACCGAGCTGTTTATTGTCGTAACCATGTACAACGAGGATGACGTACTGTTTGCCCGAACGATGAGCGGAGTTTTCAAGAATATTGAATACATGTGCTCACGGAAGGACAGTAAAACTTGGGGAAAGGATGCTTGGAAGAAGATCGTGGTCTGTGTCGTAAGCGATGGTCGTGCCAAGATCAACCCTCGAACGAGAGCTGTGTTGGCTGGTATGGGAGTCTACCAAGACGGAATTGCCAAGCAGCAAGTCAATGGAAAGGACGTGACGGCCCATATCTACGAGTACACAACGCAAGTCAGCATTTCTGCCAAGAAAGACTTGGTTGAGCTCCGACCAAAGCAACAACCTGTGCAGATGCTCTTCTGTCTAAAGGAGAAGAATCAGAAGAAGATCAACTCGCATAGATGGTTCTTTCAAGCATTTGGGCGTGTTCTGGATCCTAACATTTGCGTCCTTATCGATGCGGGTACCAAGCCTGGCAAGGATTCAATCTACCAGCTTTGGAAAGCTTTCGACCTGGAGCCAATGTGTGGAGGGGCTTGTGGAGAGATCAAGGCTATGTTGGGACCTGGAGGAAAGAATCTGCTTAACCCCCTGGTTGCCACGCAAAATTTCGAGTACAAGATGAGTAACATCTTGGACAAGCCACTTGAATCTGCCTTTGGATTCATTTCAGTCTTGCCTGGTGCCTTTTCAGCATACCGTTATGTTGCTTTACAGAACGACAAGGCTGGAAATGGACCTCTGGAAAAGTACTTCGCTGGTGAGAAGATGCACGGTGCCAATGCTGGTATTTTCACCGCCAATATGTACCTTGCCGAGGATCGTATTCTGTGCTTCGAGCTGGTTTCGAAACGAAATTGCCACTGGATTCTTCAATATGTCAAGTCAGCCACAGGAGAAACCGATGTTCCAGATACTATGGCCGAATTTATCCTACAAAGACGTAGATGGTTGAACGGAAGTTTCTTCGCCGCTGTCTACTCTTTGGTGCACTTCTATCAACTGTTCAGAAGCGATCACAGCTTCTTACGGAAGATTGCGTTCTTGATCGAGTTCACATACACGACTATCAGCATGCTGTTTGCTTGGTTCGCTATTGGAAATTTCTACCTGGTTTTCCACATCTTGACTACGTCTCTGGGAGCAGACAACTTGTTAGGAAATGTTGGAAAGGTCCTTGGTGTTGTATTTGAGTGGCTATACCTCTTCACTCTGCTAACCTGCTTTATTTTGGCACTTGGCAATCGACCACAAGGATCTAACAAGGCATATATGTCCATGGTCATTTTCTGGGGCTTCATCATGGCGTAAATAATCCATTCTACCGTCATGCTGCGTTATGAGCTAATCATCTACAGTTACCTAATGTTTGCTTCTGTGTTCATCACCGTCAAGTCCATCCAAACCGAGCTCGCGGATGGCCAGTTCAGTGTCGCGGATATCTTCAAGAACCAAATATTCTACACTTTAATCGTCTCTCTCGCTTCGACATACCTCCTGTGGTTCGTGGTGTCATTCCTTTTCTTCGACCCATGGCACATGTTCACCTCTTTCATCCAATACCTTATGCTCACACCAACTTACATCAACATTCTCAACGTCTACGCCTTCTGCAACACTCACGACATCACTTGGGGTACCAAAGGTGATGACAAGGCCGAAAAGCTGCCATCTGCAACTCTCAAGCCTGGTGGAAAGGTCGACGTCAACATCCCCACGGATGATGGCGATCTCAATGCACAATACGAAGCAGAAATGCGCGCATTCGCCTCGAAAGCCCCCGAAGAGAAGCGTGAGATGTCCGCCAGCGAGCGCCAGGAAGATTACTACAAAGGATTCCGTTCTCAAGTCGTCCTTTTCTGGCTCATGTGCAATTTCGGACTCGTCGCAGTTGTTCTCAGCACCGCAGGCCTCGACCGTATTGATACAACCAAAGATTCGGCAGACAAGAGAAGTGCCATTTACCTGGCCGTCGTTCTGTGGTCCGTGGCTGGTCTCTCAGCGTTCAAATTCATTGGTGCAATGTGGTTCTTAGTCGTCCGAATGTTCAGAGGCGTTTAAGGGACGATATTGGGTACGATTAGATACGATATGATACCTCACTTTAACTAAGGAATGAACCGGCGTGTTGGACACTGTTCGATTACATTGGCTCATCATATTCACCATATGGGCGTTGAACCTTTTTCTTTATCGCACGATACTCTGGATGACAACCTTTCTAAGAAGATCGTCTACCTCTTGTTTGAGTACCTACCTACCTACCTCCTTGGGTGTATCATCGGTGTTTGACTACAAGCGATTTTCTTTTCTCTATTCCGTCCATTTCGTCTCTTCAAACGATATCAAAGGCAAGATAGGACAGCAGTTCAGAGATCCACTTGATTGGATGAGATGGAAACGACTGGACTTTGACATGCCGTGCTGAAGGCGTACGTAACCGCGAGGCTGAGGCGGTGGTGTATGTAGATGCCTGGGATGAATGAATATACCCTTATTAAAAATGAACTTGTCGGAATCGTTTCTCATTGGCAATGATCGTTTTACCCCCATTCCGCAACATCGGCGGCATTGCTAAGAGAGCATCTCGTAAGTTTCCTCTTTCGAACATGCATCTCTTTCTGTTTCTATTCCCAGCCACGAGTTGAAACCGGTTATCGTTTCTTCATTCACATTACAATGACTAAGGATTGTACAAAGGGCTGCGGCGACCGAGATTACGCGTCCCGGAAAAGATCTAGGTCTGGCTCATTGTCCAAAATCCGGACAGAACTTGTCTTGGCCTACGATCTGATCCGCTCTGGTAGAGTGATTGGGTGGATCTCAAGTCCAGATTCGGGTGTTTGCGTCAAATTCATTGCATTTTGTATTCAGTTTACCCTTTATGCCTACTTTTCTCATCGGTCGAGAGCCGCTCGCTTATGTGGAGCCGATTGTTTACTGTACGTACATCGAAGCAGCCACACCCGCCCTCCCTCTCAAGATCTCTCATCCCGCATCCCATGTCATCTATTCTTCTCCAATTTTCTTTTACCAACGCTCACCTAACCAGGATACGCGGCCCCATCACCTCTCGGATCACTTCCCCCGGAATAAACCACAACCCCATCCTCAACATGGGCTCTAATCAACTGCCCCCTCCCAAACAGCGATCTTGCAAACCCCTTGACAACTTTAACCTCATGTCCCATCCCCCTCAACCTCTCCGCCACGTCCTCACTAATACCTTCCTCCAAGAACACCGTCCTCCCATTCCCGTCCCCCGGCATCTCCTCCGCACCAATCAAGAATCTCGGAGCATCAAGCGCAGCCTGCGGGTTATGCTTGAACGCTAGCATGTTAAGCAGGACCTGAATGTGTCCTTGAGGCTGCATGAAACCGCCCATGACGCCGTAGACGGAATGGAGAGAGCCATCATGAGCGTTTGTCAGGAGTGCGGGGATGATGGTGTGGTAGGGACGTTTGGAGGGGGCGAGGGAGTTGGGGTGGTTTGGAGTGAGGCGGAAGCCGCCTCCACGATTTTGGATTGTGAAGCCGGAATTTTGGGGGATGATGCCTGAGCCGAAGGAGTGGAAGGTGGAATTGATGAAGGAGATGCCATTTCCGTGTTTGTCGGTTACGGCGAAGTAGACGGTGTCGCTGGGGTTGTGAGCTGGGCTGCCGTGGTCGTGGATTTTGTCTGATCGGTGGGTGTTAGGATTTGTTCGCTTTTTTGGGAGAAGGGAGCTTAGTTGCACTGACCTGATGCTTTCAGGGGATTGAACAGCTTTGCTCGTTCGGCGAGGTAGGCCTTTGACACTAAGTCTGCAGAGGGAACTTTGGAATGCGCGGGGTCTGAGATGAACCAAGCCGCGTCGCCAAAAGCAATGCGCAGAGACTCAATAACAGCATGTAAGTACTCAGTAGAATTGTGATCTTCTGGTTTAAAAACTGGGATCTTCCCGCTCTCTTCGAGAGCTTCAAAAATGCCGAGAGCCATAAGAGCGACAATACCTTGTCCGTTAGGTGGATGTTCCCAGATTTCGACACCATGGTCATCTTCTTTTGTGCCTTGGCCTGAGGTTTCATCTACAAAATCGGTGTGAGTTTTGCTGTAATTCTGGCCTTTGAAGACGTAGGAGATTGGTTCTACTGGCTCGGTGCCTGCCTTGAGATGTGCTTCTAGATCGGCAAGGGTCAGGAAGCCACCTCGGTCTTGTGTAGCTTTGATGATGGATTCAGCCATTCGCCCTGTATAGAAACCTTTCTTGCCTTCTTTGGCGAGTGTGCGAAACGTTTGAGCGAGGTTGGGATTCTTAATAAGTTCTCCTGGAAGAGGCCCTCTGTATCCATTGGGAGCCGATGGGTCAGCTTTGAGTAGTTCGGCGTAATTTGGTGAGGCCTTTTGAAGGATTTTTGCTCCTGCTGTCCACTGTTTCATGTGAGTAGTAGTACAATAGGCATCGAGGGGTAAATACCAGTCGTGACGAGACTTCCGACACTGGATATCCTCTCTCAGCAAGTTCGATAGCAGGAGTCAAGATCTGCTCCATGGAAAGCTTTCCACTGCCAAATCTTTCCACTGTATCTACCCATCCTGCAGCTGCACCTGGAATAGTGACAGCGTGGACACTGTCCAAAGGTATCTCACCATTATCACCATCTTTGATACCAAGGTCTTTGCGTGTAGCTTCAAGAGTACATTTTGCTCCTGAACGGCCAGAGCCATTCATAGCTGAGATCTTCTTGGTCTTGGCATCATAAAAAAGACAGAACATGTCCCCGCCGATTCCAGTCGAGGTAGGTTCGGTTACATTCAAGCCAGCAGCTTCAATATCGTCAGCTGGTTTCAGTACATATGGAGTCAAAACAAACCAACTGCAACCGCGGCATCCTACTCAATATGAGACTCTAAACTTGAAAGTGGGGGGGCTTCAACTTACAGCAGCGTTGCCACCCATATCTAATATTTTGAGCCCGCATCTTGCTGCTAGAGGTTGTGTACAGGCTATCATGCCCTCTGTACTATGCACTACACTTCTTCTACTGGGAAAATGTTGGAATTGAGGCTCTGAGGCCGGATATATGGATTTGACATTGAGAGGCATGGCTGTAAGTGGCGAGCTTGGAACTGCCGTCGGATATGTAAATAAGTGCAGTTGAGGGCCATCATGAGTTGTACTTGCCTCAAAGACTCTGGGATAGGTCGAGAGTGAACAAGAAATTTAAAGTTGGAATTTACGCAACGATCAATTGAGATAAAGATTATATAATTAAAGATGTTATTAGAAGGCCTCGGCGAACCTGACTCGGCTATGATGCGAGCGACAGTCATTGTTGATGTCACTGCCAAGCGAACCCCCTGGTTGGCAGAATCGCCAGGAACTTCACCGCCTTCAAACAATTTCCAGGACAGCATGAACATTCTAGAGGAGCTTGCAGGATAACGATCGAGTATGTCTGGAGCCCCTTGGATCTGTCATCGATGTATAAACACATGCCTGAAGCCTGGTAGACGGAGACTGCTACGATTCTCCAGCGCCAGTCAGTACACATCTCTCATCAATATTCCAGCATTGGCTAACAGCAAGTACAGAAAGCCATGCCTCCTTTTCCCCAGCGTTGCTCGCGCGAGCGCGCAATATGGCCAGTGAGCACGAGCGATTGAGTACGGAAAGCCCAGAGACATTTGATGCGAAGATCGCGAAAAGGGTTGGCGAATTGAAAGGTGTGGCGGAGGCTCTAAAAGAATGGGAGAGCGCTCGCAGTACGCAGGATGAGCTACAGAAGCTTCTCAATGATCCCACGACGGAAGCAGAACTTCGCGAATTCGCAATAGAAGACTTGGCTGTGACGGGTGAGGAATTGGATGGCCTGTCACGAAGACTGTCGACTGCTCTTACGCCGAAACACCCTTTCGAGGACATGCCATGTTTGATTGAGATACGGCCGGGTGTTGGAGGTGGTGAAGCAGCTTTGTTTGCGGGCGATTTGCTGCGGATGTATAAAGCATACTGCTCGCGGAAGGGTATGCGGTCATCGTTGTTAAAATACGAAACTGCGGATGGAGACTCAGATGCCAGCGGCGAATCTCCTCTTGCGGAAGCTATTCTCGAAATTGACAGCCCTGGCGCATATGGAAAGCTACGTAGTGAGGCTGGTGTGCATCGAGTGCAGCGTGTGCCGGCTACAGAGAGTAAGGGGAGGACACACACAAGTGCTGTTGGTGTCCTTGTCTTACCTAGTCTGCCTACGACAGGTAGTGAGGGTCAAGAGATGTGGGAGGCGGATTTGAATGATCCGAATAGTGACTATTATGTCAATTCCACGGATGTCAGGACGGATGTTATGAGAGCGAGAGGTGCAGGTGGCCAGCATGTCAACACGACAGATTCTGCTATCCGCTTGACGCATATACCAACGAACACCGTGGTTAGTATGCAGGATTCTAGGTCACAGCATAAAAATCGAGAGAGAGCATGGCAGTTGCTTAGATCAAAGCTTGCTCAAGCCAGGCGAGAGGCAAGAGAAGAAGAAGTAATCAAGCTGCGAAGAGGTGTCATTGGCGTTGCAAAGATGGGCAGAGGAGACAAAGTCCGGACATATAATTGGGGACAGCAGAGAGTTACAGATCATCGGAGTGGACTTAGTGTTCATAATCTCGACGATGTGATGGAGGGAGGAGACGAACTGGATAAGATCATAGACAGTGTCAAGACCTGGTTTGGAGATCGTGAAATCGAAGGCATGCTAGCAGAGGATGAGGCAGCCAGCATTACAAAGTAATCTAAACTTTGCTTGTAATTTTATCTTCACAACTGACCTGTCACTAAGTCGCTTGGTGTGCTGAATGGTGGATGTGCGTATTTTGCTGTACACGTGCTCCAGGGAAAGCCGGTTCAGGCTGTTGTGGATAAATGAAGGCATCCATGCCCTCACAAATGGAGACGCATTTAAAAGATGCCGAGCCGGATTAGCTTTACGCCAATACCATACTAGAGGCAGGTAATGACATCTTACACTTTTGTGTCTTGATTTGAAGTTTTCGTTGTCAAATGCGTCCGTGGAGGTGTCTCGCAATGCCCATGGAACAATACACAGCCGTACCGCTTGACGAGCACGCCTCGAATCCCCATGCTTCTCGCAAAGATGGCCTTGGAAGCAGTACACTAATGGCTGTATTTGGATTGGTGGCAAGTGCGGTGATTTGCTTTGTCCTTGGGTTCGCCGTTGGACAGAGTTGGGACGGAGGGAAGCGTGTGTTAGGCATGGATTGGTCTCCATCAGAAGCTGGACTTCTCCCACCACAAGCCTTTCTTCCTGACAGTAAGAAGAAGTTAGGCTGCAACTTTTATCTGCAGGTTCTGATTGTGAGACTAGTTCCGATGAAGGAAATGAAGTTTGACTTTCCAACCAAGTATGAAGATAACGGACCTGAGGGTGATGAGTTGTGGAATGATATGATGCCGAGTAAGTTGTTTAGTTATTGTTTATATGTACATGTCTTGATAACCTTACTAACGGTGGATTACAGTTGGCTCAGGATTCATACGTGTACCTTATCCGAGGAGGTTCGATATGCCGCAGAGCAAAGCCATTGAATCTGATCCTGAAGAAGGCGAAATCTATTCTTTGTCAATCATGCATCAGCTTCACTGCTTGGTATGAAGTCTAGAGATGTCTCTTAGACTATTCCAACATTGTTAACAATTATCCAGGCAGTTATTAGACACGTAATAATGAAGTACGAGAAGAGAGACAAATCGCGGTTCGCCGGCGATGGGCATGAGTATCATTGCATTGACTACAGTGAGCTACATCCCAATCAATATCTGATAAGATCGCTTACTGTTGCGCAGTAAGGCAAGCTATCATCTGTGCAGGCGATACTACGCTTGATTATGCGGAAGCTGTTACGGGTTCTGATGGTATTGAGCGCCGCTTGGGATTTACTGGGGCCAATTCCACACATCAGTGTCGAGACTGGGATGCTATTCGCGAATGGGCTATTGAGAATAGATCAGGTGATAAAGCTGGAATTCTGCTTTGAACCTGCTGTATATCTTGAACATACACATGAATACTTTTGATCATTATACTGAATCCTGGCATGTCGAAGGGGTAAGCTCTTCCCCCATTGCATTAATACAGCATATCTCTTTGATGTTTTTCGTGATGAAGGAAGAATAATCCTGATTTTTAGAGTACCCAGACCTGAATACAGATTGTGGCTCCTAGTAATTGCGCCAGCAACGCCTTCGGGGCTTTGGGTGCTCTCAGTGGCTCGAAAACAACTACAGTAGAAGCTATGACTTTATTCTACCCTCACATAAGACTAATGTGTATCGAGTATCCTTTGTAAACCATTAAATCCAATACCAATCCCTCAGAAGGGCTACTTTTGAGCCGTGATCGAATGCCGTCCTGCGAATCCGGATAAGGCATGACATGAGAGGCTAAGATTTTCACCCAAAAGAAGGAATAATACTACTCGAGAGTTCTTAGGAACGTGCCGAAAACTTCATTAATCGCAATACTCCGTTGTAAACAATGACAAGCAAAGTGCATACTCAACTCACCGACGCATCTGTACAGGTGGATGCAACGAAACCCAAGGATACCGGACCTGGTGTATTCCTGATCGTTAGTACATGGACGAAACCAAGTTGAACGCTCTTGAGCCGTGAGAATTCTTAGAGTATGGTTGAAACAAAGGCCGGTGTCGCTGAAGAGTCTCATTGATTCCATTTCCTGGCTAGAACTCGGACGGTTTGGCCAGGCTCTTCCCGTGAGGGCTCATTTGAGTCCCTGCCATCAATTCAAGATTCCTGGGAATATTTTACAAGGGCACATGGCTTCAAATCTCACAGTCCGACGGCCGGAAAGGGGCTCATTGGTCTTTCACCAGAAGAACAATACTAGTGGCGAGATAATACCAACAGGCTCGCTTAGGAGAACAATATCAAGCCTCCCCTATGAAAATCACCAACTTCTTCTTTACAGGATCTAGAACGCCAGCATGATCTTCAAAGAGAAACAATATTGCTTTATTGGATAGCCTTAATCAAACGGAGTCCTGGTCCGAACAAGACGGAAAGGAGGCTAGTAAATGCCTTGAGGATATTAGAAAACGCCCCAAAACGTTGAGATTTGCCGGTGTGATTGCCCAAATGCGTAACTCATTGTTCAGAGGCTCTGAGCTCTCCTCAGACTTTATGTTTCTCTTTATAGTCATGGACTGGTGGCTTTTGAAGAACAGTCCCCCGTATTTCTATTAAGTCTCCCCGCTCAGCTCGCAGAATAACCTCTCTTGTTCAATCAAACACAACATACAATTCCAAACACACAAACTCTCAAACACACTATCCACACCAATTAGTCTTTCAGACCAACCAAATCAATCATCATGTCTCCAAGCATCTTTCAGAAGCGCGGAGGATCTTTCTGCACAGTCCAGAGACTCGGCGGATCCTTTTGCACCGTTCAACGCGCGGGCGGATCTTTCTGCACCGTCCAACGCGCCGGCGGATCTTTTTGCACAGTACAACGCGCAGGCGGGTCCTTCTGCACAGTCCAGCGCTGCTAGATACCTCACTCCAGCCCGCCTCCGGTACTTCTAGCGAGCCAGCAACAAGACACTAGCTATGCCACCACATCGTCAACAGTTCGGAGGTTCCAGGGCAGGAAAGAATGACGGGGATAATGGAGGCAAGAAGGCCTCCTAGCTGCAATACAGCAACTTTCAATTCGATGCTGGACGTTTGATGAACACTAGGCAGACGACATGGATAAGGTCCCTGCTCGGACTGCACTTTTTTCCTCCTTTACGACCTGGATACGACCTAGGACTTTTCGAATTCGACTCTTGTGCACGAGAGGAAGAGATGGAAGGTTACTTTAATGCTTTTGACACTCAGCAGACATACAAAAATAAATGCGTGTTGTTGTCTTCATATGATTCGTTCTAGTGATTTGAACCTTGCCACGTGAGACCAGTCAAAGCTACCAACGAATGGACACGGAGCGCGTGAGATTCATTAAGCAGTAATACTGAGGGACTTGATTGAACTCGAAGAAGTGCTACTAGGTTGGACCCCTGCTTGGAGCGTTGCCACCATTCTCGGTGGTATGTGGTGGAGACATGTATTTCAGCCAACCCAAAGCTGTTGAACTAGTACTCTGAAGGGTACCGTGGCTCACCACAGACCGTTACAAGATTAAATATAAATACGGACAAAGAAAGACTCCATAGATATTATGATGGTCCATGTGCTATCATTTTGAGATGGATGAAGTCATGTAAATAGAGCTAAAGAACAAGATGACAGGCATGACTGGAAGATTCGTGACGGAGGTCACTCCCTTGAAACGACATGTCACAGCAACTTGCAGCCCAGTGTTCCTTGTAAATAGCAAGCTGACAAGCATTAATTGATGGATTTAAAGGCAAGAAGAGCAATACACAAGCAACCTGGAGGTCCAAGCTAGTCAGTCGCGAATTATTTTTCGACTTCGCAACCGGCTGAGGCCAACGATTTCCCACTAATATCTCTGCAAAATAATTGTGCTCAAGACAAATAATGATTCGGTGATTTTGAAATGTCGAACCAGGAGATGTTTGTTCGTGTTTGTATTCGTGTTTGTATTCGTGTTTGTATTCGTGTTTGTGATTGTGATTGTGTTTCTGGATCGACACCAAGCGAGCTCAGATCAAGTTTGAATCTTTTCGGCTAGCGTGGTCCTGGATCAGGCTTGGAGGCGAATCAGCAGCCGCCTGCCGAGCTGGGTGAGCCAACCCAGCGCTGAGCTTGGATCGCGGAACTTTTTCGAAGCAGACGTAGAGGCAAGAGAGCTGTTTGTGCCATCGTCACCGGATCTACTAACTCCTGCCACCGACCAATCCAGTCATTGTCGTTTCTTTCTTCTTGTTGCTCTCTATCTTCTCTTAATAATCCATTTGTTTCCACATGGCTGCCCCAGGCCCAATTCCTACTGGGAAGCCTTTCCCAGATTTCGCGTCATCGACACCTCCATCATCAGTATGGGACCGAATAACGACGTGGGCGTCAGAGAATAAGGCCGTCGTCTACACAATTGCTGGGGTAGCAGTCGTTGTTTCGGGAGCTGGTGTTGCATATTACTTGACTGATTCAGTATGTTGACAATGATGCGCCCCTGGATGACGACAGCATCACTAACATTGAGCGTCTGCAGAAAACTAACACAATCGGACGAGAATCGCCCAAGAAGTCGAAGAAGGAGAAGAGAAGGAAGAAGGACGAAGAGAAGAAGACAGCAGATCTCGAGAAGGGCACAGTCGAACCTAAGCCAAAGACTCCAACTGTCGAATCAGTAGACGAACTTCCCGAGGTGGACGAGACAACTGTTGGAGAACTTTCCGAGCAGGAACGAAAAGATTATGCTGCGAAGTTGAAGGCTGCCGGAAACACCGCATATGGAGCCAAGGACTACACTAAAGCCATTGACTTATATGGCAAAGCTATCATTTGCAAGCCCGACCCAATTTTCTACTCCAACCGTGCTGCATGCTTCAATGCTCTTGGTCAATGGGAGAAGGTCATTGAGGATACCACAGCCGCTATCAACCTCGACAACGAATACGTGAAGGCGCTGAACAGACGGGCAAATGCATATGAACATCTGGAAAAGTTCAGCGAAGCCCTCCTTGATTTTACCGCCAGCTGCATTATCGACGGATTCCGCAACGAAACCAGCGCTCAAGCTGTTGAACGTCTGCTAAAGAAGGTCGCTGAGTCCAAGGGCAAGGTGATCCTTGCAAGCAAGGAGAAGCGTCTGCCTAGTCCAACCTTTGTCACGAACTACCTCCAAAGTTTCCGTGCTCGACCTCCGCCAGCTGGATTGGAATTGGATGCCGAAATCGAAGAAGGTACCGGAATGGGACAATTGCAACACGGTCTACAAGCAATGGAGAAGAAGACTGGAGATGGATATGAGGAAGCCGCAGCAGCTTTTGACAAAGCATTGGAGCTCGGTGAGCTTGGTGACCACGAGGCCTTCGCGTACAACATGCGCGGCACATTCAGATATCTTCGTGGAGAGAACCGCGAGGCTCTTGCTGATTTGACCAAGAGTGTTGATCTGCAACCTGCCCTCACACAAAGTTTTATCAAGCGTGCTAGCATGCACCTGGAGCTAGGTATGAAGAAAGGCTGTTTGAATTGACTTTGACTAACAAATTTACAGGCGAGAAGGATCTTGCTGCTGAGGACTTCGAGAAAGCCATGGAACAAAACAACGATGATCCCGATATCTACTACCACCGTGCCCAATTGCACTTTATTCTTGGAGAATTTGGGGATGCCGCGAAAGATTACCAAAAGTCCATCGATCTTGACAGAGACTTCATCTTCTCCCACATTCAACTTGGTGTTACGCAATATAAGATGGGATCTATCGCCTCGTCGATGGCTACTTTCCGCCGGTGCATCAAGAATTTCGATAAGGTTCCAGATGTATACAACTACTATGGAGAGTTGTTGCTGGATCAGCAAAAGTACCAAGAAGCCATTGAGAAGTTCGACACTGCAGTGGAAATGGAGAAGCAAACCAAACCTCTGGGCATGAATGTTCTACCTCTCATCAACAAGGCCCTCGCACTATTCCAATGGAAGCAGGATTTCGCCGAGGCCGAGAAGCTTTGCCAAAAGGCGCTCATCAGTAAGTCAATATCGCTTACAATAATAAACAAGCGCTAACCATGCTTTAGTCGACCCCGAGTGCGACATTGCCGTTGCAACCATGGCACAACTCTTGCTTCAACAAGGCAAGGTCACAGAAGCGCTGAAATATTTTGAGCGAGCCGCCGAACTTTCAAGAACCGAGGGCGAGATTGTCAATGCCCTGTCATACGCAGAGGCTACACGAACACAGCTCGAGGTACAAGAAAAGTACCCAAGACTCGCCAACAAGCTGCAAGGCATGGGGGGTGGTCTGGGAGCACCACCTGTCCGCTAAAAAACTTGACAGTGGAGGTTTTGTAAGGATTTTGATTCCCGTTTGGGGATAGAGGGAGGAATAGGTGCATTTTGATTATGCGCGGTACGATTAGGAAGGAAGGAGCTGAGCTGGGCGGTTGTGGATAACCGATACAACCTTTTGTTCGTTCATATGTAACTAATACTCCACTCGAGGTAAGAGTGTGTAGAGTAAAGACGAATGACGCACTTTTCCCACTGTACTTCAGGTTTACCCATGCTGATTCAAAGTTGTGAATGCCTTGTGAGTCGCACTTTCTTCCAAGCTGGCCATATGGTCGCTGTCCCGGCCGGCCTAGTACTTACCAAGCCTTGTTGCTAGCCCAGATCCTCAACCTGCAGCAAGTAGGTGCGGCCTCCCATCCACATCTCGATGGCGGTCAAAATCAAGGTCAACTTTACATTTTGGCCTCGAGCGGCCTTTTCTTCAGACATGAGCCACGCCATGCAATGCAGCGACTGTGCCTTTCAATTTAAACTGCGTGGCAGAATCAGCACATGACGCTATCCTGTCCCAGCAACCATACAAATCCATTCCTAAGTCTTCTCGCCGCACCCAAGCATCGGCAAAGCGGCAAACCAACATTTCTACCAACAAAAAGCCAGATTTCTACCAGATTGAGCCATGCTCTTCCGCCTTTGCCGCACAGTAGCATCGGTAAGGCGTTAAAAGGCGTTGACGCCCAACAGAGACCGCCATCAGCTAGACACTTGACGATGGAACGGAGGAGCGACCCGACGGGACGAATAGGATATTGGACTTTCCTACCTGTTGGCTGCAGTTTTGCAGACTCCGAACTTGCTTTGCCGTGCGGTGGCAGCGGCTAGACGGGCATTCGAGGTTTACACATAAGGTTCATACGTATGTGTTGTTGGTTGAGAGAAACCAACAATGATATGTCACTCCAAAAGCTCATCTGATCTTTTCCGTTTGATTTCGCCGCTTACTTGCTTCACCGCCGATGGTATTAGCAGGAGACAAAGGACTTTTCTTGCGATTGGATCGCAAGTTCTTCCACCAACAGATGCTTGTTTGAGCCGGTGGACCCTACCTTCGTGGAGCAGACTCGCACTTTGCCTCCCACGGACATACTCAGTCAGGTCTCCAAGCAGGCGACCAAATTGCGCACCGCAGTCCGAAATCGAAACTTCAACTAACAAAATTACTAAGTACAAATGAAAGAAAGAGAAAGCCAGCCAGGCGTCTACAAGCGCTTGGCCGCGCCTGACTAGAAAGGTAAACGTCCTGTCAAGCCTTCATTGGCCATCCTAGAGTTGCGATTTGGCCAATGGGCATTTGAGGATGCGATATACGATCTGACCGTCATGATGAATAGACGCTGCCGCTGAATCCTTGGACGACCGTTGAAAGAATGACTGCGTCTATCATACCTTTCATTGTTTTTTTAATTTGCTATCTGCCTTGAGCAATTGCCGTGCATGAAAAGCGATCCTCGAATGGTCAGAGCAATGAGGTCGAAGTTGATCACATCGACCCCGCCAAAAAGCAGCCGGCTCCCGGCATCCGCAAACGCACCATCCCGCGTGGTTCACAGCACTACTGCACCATTCTGGATCATTACTACAGTACCTACTCTCCGTCAGTCAAGGAAAAGAACCATAATTAACAGACAAAAATAGAAGCTGTACTACCTACCTTCGGCACATTCGCGGAGGAAAAGGAAAAAGGTCTTATCCACAGCTATATCGGGAACAATTAGTTCTCAATTTCCACTTTCTGCATGCACACCATAACGTTTTTGGTCGGCAAGCTGACTAGCCGGCATTCTTGCGTGCGGGAGCTAATTTTTCCCTCTTTGGAGATGACGGCGGCTGCCGCGAGAAGAGTGCGAGATGGGATGGTTGCATGCGCTTATTTCTCATTTTGCTTCTTCTTCTTTGGTCGAGAATTGGGTTTAGGCTTCGAGTGGTCTGGAGATTTTTAGTAATGGAAGGACAGGCAGACAGGCAGACGGACATGGATAAGTTATGTTGAGGTAGGTAGTAGCTCGGAGACGACGAAATCCGACATACGGTATGCACTTGATTCTGATTTGGATTTGATTTCAGGATGGTCCTTTTGACTTTCGACGCATGATCTTGTGTTCGAGAAGGATGTTTGAGAGTGGCACAGTTGAGTTTGTTTCTCCCATGCTCTTCTCTCGGGAGAATAATGTGGACGTCAAATGCTACCATCCGTACACCACGGGACCAGAGAAGTTGGTCGAGGGACCGTGGTGCCATGGGTTTGGAACATCAGGATGAGATTTTAGGGATCATTATCTCAGAACTGGGATGAACAAGGTCGAGGTATCTCAGTCGTGCCCCCTGGGGCCCCCCTTCGCTTGAATGTTTTGACCATGCCTCCCCTCACTACTACTACACATCGCATGGCTTCCGGGGATTGGAATCCTTCCCACAACGCCGCACACATATGGAGGCTTAAGTGTCGCAAGGAAACTTTCCGAGCGAGCCAACATGCCTTGCACCGTTGGCTGCAGTCAAACATGTCTGCTTTTGATATCTGCCATTATTTTGTATTTTGTAGAGCTGTCAATGAAGAATTTAAAGTGTAAAAGCTTGGCTAATCTAATCTAAGCCCTGCCTATATTGATTTCCCTGATAAGCTTCGCTGATAGATTAATGTGCGCTGCCGCGGTCACGACTCTGTGTCTCGGTAGAGTGGTCACTGGCGGCTAGGAAGTATTGGGTGCGTATGACAGATGCGCCCTCGAGGGAAATGGTGTAAGCGAAGTCTTTGCACGGAGCTGATTGAGAATGAGGGAATTCTGTTGGAGTTTGACAGAAATGTGACTCTAGATGCAATGGCACAGGAGGAGGTTGGCTGGCTTGAAAACAAAAAAAGAAAACTTTGTTTACAGGGGCTGTTCTGCACTGTTCGTCTGATCTTTCGAACCGAACGAGGGCAGGCACGGCTGAAAACATGTCAAAGCAGAATACGGATTTGATTGATCCGATCTGCTCGGGTCTACTGTCGAGTCCTAAGTCCGGATCGGAGGAGATTGAAAGGCAGAGAACTGTTTCAATTCCAGTTGTTCTGGCCTTTGTTGATGTTTGGGAAGGGTTGGACGTCCAGCATCATCGTGGGACTTTGCTTTGGTGGTCATCCTGAACTCTGTCTGAAGTTCCCAACTGTTAAAGCATCCCACGCCTTCCAGAACCTTACGGACTTTCTAGCGTTCTGCCAGAGAAATTGACTTTGAAAAGTAGCTTTGTGAACACAATTCAGAAACCTCCATTTCAGGACCCTGTACATAATTTATTCCCCTTTCGGCTCCGTCTGGTCTGTTACTGTCTGAGCCCCTGGGGCTCGAAACAAGAAACAAACGGTGATCTCCAACTCCACTCTTCGAACTTTATCAACAGAGCCGGATAATCCTCCGCCAGAGATCAAACACGAAGTCAAGGTTGGGGAGGCGGCGGAAACTCTCGAAAGTCGATCAGGAGGATCCGACGTGGGGCGAGCAGTAAGCAATGAATGTTACGCGTGCTGGATGCGATGAACTGTTGCAGCAGCACAGATGGTCTTCGTCTGATGTTAAGTTGTTCTGTTGTTTTGGATCTCGAATAATGAAACGAAACGGGGGCACGCTGGCTGACTGCACAGAGCTGGGAGAATTGTAGACTGGGAATTCGGTAGCGATGCCAGCTACCACAAGGAGGAAGGAAGGGGAAGGTGGCGGTTCCACCACATCAAAGCTCAAGCATTTCACAGGGTAGGTAGTATTTCCTCAATCAAGCTAGCACATCATTGAGTTATCCCGGGACGTGCGTAATTGATTCTCTCTGTTCTCACCCATACTTTTCTCGATAAGCAGAGCAGAGATGGGATGGGTGGGCCGAGGCCATGGCGACCTGTCAACCTGACTGCCCATCTGGGGGATTATTATTTTATTGATGTTTTGCCGCCGGCCGGCTAAATCTGGACTCATGAGTGGATGGATGTGGATATCAGAAATGGATGTGGTGCGGAAGGCGGCCGAGATGGCGGAGTAGGGCATAGGCAAGGTAAGTTACGTGATGCCGGGCAAAGACTCAAAGCGACAGCCATGCCTGTCAGAATTTCGTTCCATTGATTCTTCAATGGCATCGCATCGCATCTTGCAATGTGAGTACAGGGGTGCAAACCAACAAGGAGAATTGGTGTCGGAGATGCGATCTTGATAGAGAGCAACAAGACAACACAAGACAAGGCAATGCATGGGACAGACAGGATGGGTAAAATGGACGACTGGGACGCTCTGGGACTGGACAGCGGCACGGTCCATCCCTGGGCTTTCCTGATGATTTGCCTTGACCTTCGATTCCACTTGAGCTCCACAAGGGATTTTTGAGGGGTAGGATACAGATTACAGGATACCTAGCTAGAGCGCGGAGTGCTAATACTGTAGCATGAGCCTTGACGAACGGCGAACTGCGAACTGCGAACTGCTTCGCCCCATCTGGGTACATGCTACAGCTCCCAGGTCCCTAGCCATGTCTAAAGTCTGACTTCACCCGTACTCAAGTACTGTAGTAGTCTAGCATGATCTCCAGCAGTCCGTCGGGGAAGTTGGCGGGTTCACAGACGCAGAAGAGAAACACTGAGTGACTGAACAGACGCACCCGAGGAGCTAAATTGCGTACGAAGACGGCACAGCGACCTGGAGGCTGCGGGCATTATTATTCCTGTCAGCACGCTGGACTTGACCTGAATAATAATGGGCCGGGATCGAAGCCTGCAGGGCGTCTGCGAAACCAACTTTAGCGCGATTGGAACGGCGCTGCAATCAAGGCTAGGCTACCTAAGCTTCGACTGCAGGCCCCAGGCCCCAGGCCCCCCCGTGAGGGAAAAAGGGAAAATAATGCAATTTTAGCAACCACCCACCGCCGGCCAAGGCCAAGGCCAAGGCCAAAGCTCAAGCAGCACAACGGTCGAGGCGAGCAGACGCTGCTGCAGAGGACGAGGCACGAGGCACGAGGCACGGGGACCGACAGCATGACCGGAGGTGGCTAGACTCGACGGAGGAGATTGAGGACAGAGCAAGGGTTGCTATGCAGGTGGCAGCAAGGGTGGGAGCACTGCAGGAGCAGGTAGGGGAGGGGAAGGGGAGGAGGAGGGTAGGGCAAAGGAACTGGGGGAGGCGAGGCAGGCAAGCCAGGCAACTTACAGTAGCAAGCCAGGGTAAGGTTGAAGGTTAGAAGTACCCACGGCAGGAGTACCTAGGACACATGCAGGTCGCGGTAGGGGTACATGCATTTCAAGCCGCTCTCATCTACTTTCAACAGTCGTCCGTAAAAAAAGTATAAGACTCTCCCAGTCCGTCCTTTGTTGAATAGAGAATCATTCACTATCTATCGTCTACTATCTGTTTGTCTTGCCAGTCTTCCATTATCTTTTCGATCTCGTCTCGTCTCATCTCTCGACTTCACCTACTCGTCTCGACTTTCAACTCACCTTTCTCATTCTCTTCAGCTAGTTCTGAAAGATAGGATCTTGATCAACCGGTTGATTCACTATCCAAGAATCACTTCACCCTCTTCGCATCCTACACAAGGAATTTCAGTTCTTGGTTATTCTACTCTCGGCTATTTCAGCATCAATTCTCGCTCACAACAAACCAAAATAACGCCAACCTTCAATCCCAGATATCAGCACAAAGACCTCAGATCTCTCCACATCAATCCAAATTCAAGATGCCTTCTCTACGTGCCATTTGCGTGGGACTCCTCCTCACACCTCTTCTCCAACTTTCGTCTGGTGCTCCAGCCGCTCCAGCTCCGGATTGTCCTCTGCCAGGTCAAGCACCAGCTCTTCCCTCCACTGGTAGTGAGTACCCGAATTCTTTAACAATATTCTCAAACCAGTACCACCCTCTTATGTCCCCTCACCTTCATAAGAACTCCTCAATTTTCCCTCTCTCTTACCTCACTCAATCTCAAACCCAGTATCACATTCCTCCAAAAGCCAACGACCAGACACTAACGACCGATCTTACAGACGCAGTCGAACTCCCAGCTCCAACTCTCGCCCTCAAATACGTAGCCATCGGCCGCGGTGTTCAAAACTACACATGCGCAAGAGCCACTTCGCCCCCTGTTGCCATTGGAGCCATCGCAACGCTCTATGATGCCACCTTCCTCGCCTACAGCTCCACCACGGCCTTGCACGCCATCCCTCCCATGGCCGTCATGATTCCTCAGCCAAAAGGCAGCGCCTCCATCAAAGTCGCCAACAGCGTCCTCGAGCCACTTGGAAACCACTACTTCGATGCCTCCGGCACGCCTGTCTTCGACCTCACCGCCGTCAAGAAGAGCTTGTTTGCTGCCAAGGCTGCGAACACCACTGCGCCGGCTAATGCCAGCAAGGGACCTGGTGGACAGGGTGCCGTCGACTGGCTGTATCTGACTTCCAAGAAGGGATACACTAGTGTTGGATTGGGCGCTGTGTACAGAGTCGTTACTGCTGGTGGAAAGGCCGTTTGCACTCAACCAGGCCCACAGAGTGTGCAGTATGCCGCTGAGTACTGGTTCTACGGTTAAGTCGTCAACTACCTGTGGATTAATGTGAGGAGTAGAATGTGGGAGGAAGCAAATAAGGAGCAACAATATGTCCAGAAATATCAAGATCTCAGGGTGCCTTGGACGGACGGAACAGTATCAACATGATATACACGACAAAAAGGTTCTTTCGTGTCAGCACGATTATGGGAGAAAAATGGAGGGGAAAAAAAAACAAGAGTTGTTTAAGGACGAGAGAGTTGATTCATGTACATACTTCAGAGCCTGAGCTTCATTTGCTTGCTTGCTCGTGCGCTGCGCGATGATCTGCCTTTTGCAATTGTATTGCGAAATATACCAATGTTTTTCCGTTGCGTGGAATGCAGGCCGGTGATTATATAGAGAGGATTGCAAAGCAAAATATCATGCGTACTTTTTTCAAAGCTAAAGCAGCTGAGAATGTTCTGAGTGAGTGACAGACATTGAAAGCCGTACAGAGAACACTGATGTTGCGATAAGCCTCGGCGCACTGACTCTGGCTCGGTAAAGACTGCGAGACTGTAAACAAACCACCCAACTCGCGCGATAGAGTTTCATGGCTTGACTCGCGCAGACACTCAGCTATTCCTCAACAAGTGTCTTCTATTTCTATAAAGCAATCCTCTGCTGTATTTGGCGTCTACCTGAATCCATCCTCATCCTCATCCCCTGGACCTCTCCCGCGTGTCCCTGTTTCCCAATACTGCCCCTCGCTTCTTCAACGAGGATCTCGTAGTTATCGCTTGCGCTCGAGGGATCACTGCCCCTTGTCACATATCATTTTTATGGTCATGAGGAAGGGAGATCTAAGACCATTTGAGGTATACGGGAATGAAAGCATGAGATAGGAACTCAGGATATAAAGGCTTTGCATTGCAGTGCGAGAAGACGAGCGAGGAAGGAAGGGGACAGAGGAAGAGGAACAGTGCACATGCTCGCGCCGGGGACTTTTCGCGGCTGCTTTTTCATTCCTGCCGGATTCGACTGTTGTGCTCTTATCAATCATCAGCTCGGCATGAGTGCTTGATGTTAGGATCCTTCGTGGGGGGACCGAAACAAAGTACAGAGATCCTGTATAAGTCGAGAAAAAGAAAGTCGAAGAAACATAATAGAATCGACTGTACTGTACCCCTGCTTCCGGTATCGAGATAGAAATCTCGCTCTGCTCTCCCAGCAGTTGTGAGTAGTTTTGCTGATTTCTGACTGGCTTGCGTTTTTGGACCAGTGCGTTGATTTGAGACTGACAACGGCCGGGGGATAGTAGGGCAGTAAACGTTGATGCAAAGCGGGACTCAGAAGATACGCCAGTGTTGAGTTGTAATGTAAATACTAGTTACATCACCAATGATGAGACAATATGTAGCGCTTGCGATAACTGACAGCGCCGGGAGCTACGCTCTAGTCAGTGGACCCCTTGTCTCGGGCGAGGAACTCCAATCGATCGCTCGTGACAAGGGATCACTAGTTAGAGGATCCTCAGGAACATTTTTGCAAGAGATTCAGGTATAAAACTTTCGAGAGACTGACGAAAAGAAAGAAAAGGTTGCGAAATCGTCAAATTCATTATTAAGATCTTTTGTCCTCTCACTCGTTCACTCATCGCGAATCCCCTTTCTTTCCAGTGGTCTCTTGTATTCGTCGTGCGCAAATTCCAGATTCATCCGCTTGTTTGTCTGTGTATCATGTCCAGCAATCTATGCGCGCATAGCATCCAATCCACCCTGCAAGTCCTGCTCAAGACCAGTGGCATTCTGGCCATACTCTTGAGGACGAGGATCTTCATTGCTCCATCCACCTCCACCTTGGGGAATCGGCACTGCGGGACCTTGGCTGGCTCCTTGTTGACCGGGTTGGATACGGACATGCTGTCTGAAGCGAGCGACCTCGTCCAAGATCATCTTGCGCATCTCGCCGACATCCTCTACGACTTCGAAGTCGAAATTGAACGTTGTTGGGCACCCGGGTTCGTCAGAGGCATCGTGCCAGATGTGAAGGTATGGGTGTTCGAGAGCCTCCTCGACAGAGATTCGCGATGATGGATCGAAAGCCAGCATATGATCCAAAAGGTTCAATGCGTCGGGATTGGCATTTGGAAACAAGGTTGGGAATGGTCGCTTGGCCATGTGTGGGAGGTTGCGGACGTATTCTTGAGCTCGGGGAGATCCAATACGGCAGAGGGTCTCCTCATTGGGTGTTCCGAGGATATGAAGGATCTGGTTGAGTTGATCAACGTAATCTCTACCCTTGAAGAACGGGCGCCCTCCGAGCAATTCGGCAAGGATGCATCCAACGGACCAGACATCGACTTTGAATTGTTACCAGATTGTCTGCAAGCAGCGTAGAACAGTACTTACTAGCTTTTGTGTAGCTCTGGAAGCTCAACATAATTTCAGGAGCACGGTACCATCTCGTCGCCACATACTCGGTCATATAACCCGCATTCTCCTCCGGATCAACAGAGAAACCTCTAGCCAAACCGAAATCGCAAATCTTCAGCTCGCAGTCAGCGTTGACCAGCAGATTACCAGGCTTCAAATCCCGATGAAGGACATTTGCAGAGTGAATGTATTTAAGACCACAGAGGATTTGGTAGATGAAAGATTGGAAATGGGCGTCGGTGAGGGGTTGGCCGGATCGAATAATGGCAGCGAGATCACACTCCATGAGCTCTGGCTTTCGTCAGCATGTTTTCTGCAGACACAAATGAAATGTAAATACCCTCGTAGAGATAGGTCTCGTTGAAGTTGTCCGGGCGAGGAATGTCCATATCATACAGACAAGTGATCTACTGGCATCAGCTCCAAATCCAACCAGGTCCAGCGTATGTGTTGACCTACGTTTCGGTGACCTCTGAAGTGTTGTAGCAGCTTTATTTCTCGCAGCGCACGCTTTGCGAGAATCTTCTTCGAGAACACATTCGTAACCTTCTTGATGGCAACACCTTCTTGAGTTTGAGAGTTGGTGGCAGCACTGTATCAATCATCAGCGAGTGCCATCTACGCTGGCAGATACCGTGCGTACCAGACAATACCATAAGCACCTTGTCCCAACTCCTTGGTCACAGTGTATCTCTCGTCGACAATGAAGTCCTGGTTGAAGACCTTGAACACCTTTCTTCCCTGGAGGTCCGACATGATGGCGGGGTAGATGTAACCGTGGGGATTTGCTCAGTCCGATTTGTGAGTTTGAAATCGACGTGCGTCTCGAGGCGATCGATGAATATAAGCAAGAGCTCGACTCTTAGCTGTAATATCCCGGCGTGCGATATGTATTCACGTCGTAGCCGCGCGCAAAGAGTTGGGTAGAGGATTCGTGAGAGCGCAAGTGCTCGAAATGGCGGGGCAGCAGGAACGAGAGCGAGAACGACGACAGCGCAAGTCAAAGAATTAAGTTGGCGATGCGATGCAATACAGCTTTTATCAGCAGAGCGAATGCAGGTGGGTACGTTCGTTCGGAACGGTAGGGCTGAAAAGAGGTCGAAGCTGGCCTCTTGTATGGCCGGAGTGGGAGTGAGGATGTAAGCCCTTAATGTAACATCTCAGCATCAGCTCAAGAACAGGACTTGCCCGTTGTGCTGGAAGGGGAGAGGGGAGGGAGGGGAGAGCAGGGGAAGATCTAAGCGGGGTTGAATGCGCCAATGGCAGACCAGTCCTGGACTAAGACTCCACAAGGCTGAGCCGGGACGAGGACAACAACAACACTCCAATACTCCTCAACTTGTCTTTCGACACGCGATTTCTCACCAAAGCCACATCATAGAGTGTTTCATGTCCAGATTACCTTGTCAATCACCGCCGCATTGCAGCGTACACACATCTTTTCGCCGCTTGACCCGAAAGTATGGCTCTTCTTATTGGAGCTTTTGCACTTTGTGGCTGATTAACCGCGCCGTTCTTGTCACTGTCACAAGTGTCGGCGGCAAGAGACATTTGCATGCTTCACCACAAACGCTCGCGCTTGAGTGGCCTCGTCGCTCGCGGCATCGTTTGATTCTGGAAGCTCATTGAAAAAGAATTGCAATTATTGGTCAATTCATTCATTTCTGATGATAGCTTACAGCTCACCTAGTCCGGGAACCAGGTCCACAGCTCACCCTATCCCTTTTCATTATCACCACTGCCATCCATACCTATCGTCAGCTCCGCCCGACTTTGCTAACAATAAACGCATAAATCATGCAGGGCACAAGCCTTCGCCCCCACTTAGTCGTCGAACCAAAACAAACCATTTTGACAAAAATAGTCCTACTGCGTCATTTCTGTCCATCCTTGGTATCCAAAGTAGCCGAAAGGTTCAGTGCATACTTCACCAGTAACCGAATCCTGGGGCTGATCAAGTTTCGTTTCATTCGGTTTGTGGCTCGGCTCTTCTTCTTCTTCGGTGTCAACTTCCCTCCATGATGATGGTGCTTTCACTTCACTTAGGCGTTGAGCACCTATCGTTCGTCTCCATCGTCTCCGATCACCTCGCTGGACTTGACGTGGAAATGGTGGCACCCATGATGTCTCTGCAGTCCGACAAGAGAGATTGAAGTGACCTCCAAGTCTTTGAGTTGCAAGGTGAGGCACAGGACAAGATGAGAGGTTGCCAGATTGCTCGACGGAATCAAGTCTGGCTGGTCGTCCAAGTGGAGTCGATCCAGCTCTCCCTGAGTTCAAGTCAGCACTTTTCATTTGTATAAGTCTCAGTAACATCAACACAAAACTTACAATCGTCCTCCTTCCTCCACCTTATCTGCAACTCCAACTCCTCCTCGCCCATTACTACAAAGTCATCATCCTCCTCACCACCACGGTCCCGACCAATAATACTAGCATCTACACCTAATCCAGCATTCCTCACAATATCTCTCACAGCATCCTCATCCCACTCTCTGGCCAACCTCCAGGCCTCACTACCCCATTCCTCGCCTTTCTCATAGATATCCTGCAAATACTTCTCCAACCACTTCTGCAGTCCTTTCTCGGGTGTAGCTTCTCTAGGCGTCACTTTTGCCGATAAGCGAACCATGAGTGATGGCCGCGTTTGTAGCAGTAGAGAAGAGATGAGAGTGTAGGGAACTGGTGGCTGGCATCTTAAGCGGAGAAGGCAAGTGAGGACTTGGATGTCATGCTTCCAGGTGTGGGAACTGCGCTGGACTTTGTGTTTTGGCATCGTCTCTCAAGCTTGTTACGTTGAGATTTCAATATTTTGGAGGCTTGTGCTTGCATTTGAAGCTTGATTTGCGAGGCATTTGTAGGTAGATACAGTTACAAACCACACAAGTTGTGATTCAATTACTACATGAACTGTACTCAGTTGTGATTCAAGTCATTCTGTACACCGTGATTCATCGAGTCGACGATGAGGAGTGCTAGCCAGCACATTCACAAGGTCAAGACCTCGGAGCCAAAGCTTCTCATTAGCTATCTAGCTTGGGTATTCGCATCTCTACACAACAACGTCTAAGACTCATCATCATGACCCTCCCACAGCTTTTGCAGCTTTCTCTGCGGCCTTTGCCGCCTTCTTCTCATCTATCAACTTCTGCTTCGCTATCTTCTTCAACTGATTTTGTGTCAACTCGCCGGGGCCACTTGCTGCATCCGCACTAGCAGGTGCCTCGTTCTCTTTCTGGACGACCACAGATGGATTTGGGTTTCCCTTCCACTCCAGCTTCTTCAGGCTCATGAAGTCCGCCACAATCTCATCAGTGACTGCCGCTCTCCGCTCCTGGAAACCCTTCGTGTAAGTTTGCAGCTCTTCGATACACTTCGCCTTCAGCTCTCCAGTCAAGAGCTTTCCACTTGTGTAGTCTTTTCGGATCTGCTCTAGCTGGTCGTCGTCCTCCAAGAAAAATGTCAAGTACTGGAACGAGACATCCTTATCGGCATCTCCACCCTTTTCTCTCTGCTCTGCTTCAGTCTCACGTCCACCACTGAAAGCATATTTGTTAATCTTTGTCTTGATTTTCTTCGGGTCATCAGCCATGAAGATTGCAGACGTATCGATCGAAGCGCTCATTTTGGAACCAGGACCTTGGAGGGCGTCGAGGAAGCGCGCGTGGATGAGAGCTGGTTTAGCGAAGTGCAAACGAGCTGCTACGTCGCGGGTTACGCGGAAATAGGGGTCTTGATCAATCGCACAGGGAATCATGGCGGGTATCTGGTTGGTGACAGCTTCATCGGTGCCAAATATGTGAGGGAAGGAGGATGCGAAAGAAGTTGCGCCTTGAACTGCTCCAAAGTGAACCTTGCCAATGTTGGAACTGATTATAGTAAGTAAAAGCATCTTTACATTCTTGACCGCAACATACCTGCCGTCAAATCCAAAGACAGCCCTTGCAACATTGAGAGTAATATGCTTAGACATTCTTGTCACATTTCTGTAGAATGCTCCGCCCATATAATCGTAGTCGCTGAACATAAACGTTTTTTTAGGATCGAATCCAACGGCAATGATATCCTTCGCATTCCCCAGAGTATATCTTTGGACTTCCTCAATCGTGCGCTTCTCGGAAAAGATATACTTCTCATCGTCGGTCATCATGATAATGAGCGGCACATCGAACACATCTTGCAACCACCTGTGAGTCATTAGCAAATTGTAACTGTTGAAGAATTACCTTTCAAAGAGGACAGATTATTCGCACACGCTTCAGTCTTAAGACTCACTTCGTAAACTCGAAAGGAATAGTATGCCCAATGTGCATGCTATCACTGCTTGGTCCGCGCCCAGTATACAAGAAGAATGGTTCTCCCCTCTCATGACGATCCAAAATAAGGTTTAGATCCCTATGGCTGAAGACAATCCCTCTCCGCATAAATCGATGTGGTTTCTTTCCTGTCACCTTCTCGAATCTTGCCAGATCCTCGTCCAGAATCTTCTTGGTGCCAAATTCGTCGATCAAGGTAAGGTAATTGATGGCTTTCGCAACTCCGTCCGCACCAATTTCTCCGGCCACATTCCATGGATCCACGGTCTGCTTCGTCGTCGGCGCATCTGCAGCCAATTCTGCTTGAATCGTGGGTTCTGTGTCGGCCATATTGAAGACTGGTTGTGTTGTGAGGGTTTGTTGTTCTGACTCAAGTGGGATGAGGGACGGAATTTATTTAGACGAGGGGTAAATCGGTGGTCGGCCATTGTATGACTGGGAAGCTTCAATGTATTGAGGCAATAAAGTCGACTCACAACACAACACAATCTATGATTGAATAGCCTTCGGGAAGCTGGAGAAGGTTCCATCCATTGTACATACTCTCGTGATTAATCATTTGCACTCAAATTTTGGTGTCTCGTGCCAACCGCCATCCCGCCAATTAAGGTGTTCCCCAGATTCTCAGATTCTGTCCCTTTCTAGTTTAGCGCCAAATGCCATAACATGAGGATGGATGGCCTGACTTCAGAAGCGAACAAATCCAAACCGCATCATCATATCACGTACCACTTTCTTCTCCTCACCAAGCATCCTCCTGTACAAACACAAGCACAAATGCCTCTTACCCCACAAACCCATCCATAATGGTTAAGTTCTACGAGTCGACCTTCGCATACGACTACTCCTTTCCGGCCGTAACCCTCGCATACTTCCTGCGATACCCAAACCCATACAGCACGCATGTGCTTTCCACCGATGTGATCTCGCGGAGTATCGATGCCGCAGGCCGTCTCCATACTCTCCGTGTCCATCGGAAATCCTCGAGGCTGCCATCTGCGGTGCTGAAACTGCTGCCGCAGTCGGTGCTGGGAAACATCAGTGGCGGGAGATCAGAGAGCTACATACTGGAAACCAGCACCATTGATGTTAATGAGGGATGGATGCGAACTGAAAGCAAGAACCTGGATTGGACGGGCATATTGAGTGTGGTTGAGAAACAGGAATACCGAAGACATGTGCCTGTTGACGGGGGAGAAGACTTCAGCGTCGGAGCCGGAACAACTGGCGTGGTTACGACAGTTATGTTTAAGAGTCGACTAGGGGATAGGTTAAGGGCTAGGGCAACCAGGAAAGGTGAATCTGCTTCAGCTGAGGATGGGGAAGAGCTAAAGAAAGGGTTTCTGGCTAGCTGGAGCACGAGCGGTATCCAGCGAAGCATCGAAGCTATCGCCAGCCGGAAGACGGAGAACCAATTGGGAAAGAGTAAGGAAGGAATGAAGGTTGTTCTGGAGAGACTACGACATGGCGGGCTCGTGGGTGTCTTGGAGGGTATGAGGAAGGATCGGGAAATGGCATTCGGCCGGGAGGGCGTCTGGAAGAACGCCTGAAAAGAATAGTACGGTATTGGCAAATTCGATACACGAAACGAAGGAGGGGATTATCCGACTGCACAGTTCGATTGTGCATGTCGCTTGTTGTATCAATACACGAGTTTTGGGAGCGTGGAGTTTGGGTCGGGTATTCAGGCGTTTACCATCATTTGGTTCATTAGTCCGCTCTTACAATGTAAAATGTCAAAACATGTACAGCTGCATCATTATTCATGAGATTTCTATTTCTATACAACTGTTGTTCACAGTTCCTACCTTGCTCTAGTAATCCAACTCAATCCCTCTCGCGTTTCTCGTGGGTGGTGCTGTGCAATTTCCCATGGTTACGTTGGGTTGGGGAATACCCATAGTGGTGAATGAAGCGTTCGAGGAGAGGGACTCGACTCTTCCAAGAAGGAATTCAAGATGCCTATACGCTGCAGATGGAGCATATTGGGGAACCACTGGAAAATTCTTGTCAAATGAAATGTCTCCTGCTCGTACGAGAAGACTTACTGTGGCCTGAAAGATCAATGCTAACCCAAGTCAGACCGCGCTCGGTATGGGTCGTTCCCAACACGCCTGAAGCAGCTAATGTCGAAAGGCTTTGTTCATCGTGGTATGGGACGTAAAATGGATCAGAAGGCTTCTTCGTAAAGCCTTGAGCCCCATTCCTATCCAGCAGTCAGATAGGTCATCCTCAAAGTCATGAAAAGGTTAGGTGCGGAGCGTAACTCACCAAGTCATATTCTGGATCATCAGGAGGGTCCCGTTGGATATATAGATCATATCGAGGGCCTGGAATAGTTAGATTCTGTCGTATCAGACGCGCATATTTCAGGGAATAACCTACTCCGTGTCCAATAATGGTTCGCTTGCTTCTTTCAATAACACCAGGAAGAACACTCAAACCTGAAGGAGGACTATTATCAGTGTGCAAAACTCCGTCAGAGCACTCGTCCCAGTTTCCAATTGGCGCATTGATAGCCTTCTGAACATCCGTTCGGTTGAAGTATATAGTTGCGCCCTCGGGTAGATAAGTTTGCGAGCCGGGGAAACCCAGAACATCCCACAATTGTGGACATGTGGTAGCAACTTGGTAGATATCCCAGCACGGATTGAGCCAGAATATCTCATTGTAGATAGCATCAAATACGTCGCAGTCTTCTGTGGTTGTTCCGTTCTCGTCAGTGCCGGGTAACTCTACAGGGAATGGTCCAGGAGGAGGGAAAGTCAGATATTTCTTCAAATATGCGGTATAGCCGCAGGAATCGGACATATTGTGTAGAAATTCTCGGTAGCTATGGTTGAATGGATGGAGTCCGGCCCAGTAGTCAACAAACTGAACTGCAGGTATTTGTTGTTGTATGGCACCGGAGGATGTTGATGGGTCATATATCATAGTTGCTTCGACGTTAAAATACGTTTTATCATTCTTGTCGAGCATTGCAGATGCTATATAAGGCACGTAGTACCCGGCGTCAATTTGGTAGTTAGCAATCATTCTAATTTGAACAGTATGTAAAATTAAAACGGTCTTCCGATGGGGCGGCGCCGTTGTTGGGAGTTCGACTAAGCTGTGAACGAAATACGATTCAACTTACAACTTTCACCCGTGATGAACACTCTCCGCCCTTGCAGTGCAAAAGTATCCATGAAATTCTCCCAGAAGCCCATGAATTGAGCCGCAACTTCCGTCTCGTCCGTTGCAGTTGGGATTCCTTGCGAGAACCCAGTGCCGACTGGCTGTTCGACCCAGACCACATTTGTGAGGTTGACCCAGGTATATGGATTCTTAACAGGCTTGTAGGTTCCATATTGCCAGATGAATGGCCCATTTTCTTGCAAGAGACCCTCCAGCGAAGAACATCCAGGCTAAGTAAGATAACAGTTAGTAAAAGGTCATTGTCAAAGTGAAGTTGGACTTCGGAAATTGAAGCAGGGCGATTGTTGAGGAATGCAAAACCACACGTACTCCACCATTGAGCCAGATCAAAATCTCGTCGCTTGCAGCTGGATTATCTGAGGGAAAGTACCAAAAGTACAGTTGACTGGACTCATTTGCTGCCTTCGAAATTGGCATCAGGCCAGCATACGATTCTCCAATATCAAAATCCACCTCGGGTATCGCACTGCCATTTACGGCATACTCTTTGATATGATTAACGATTGGTGGTCCAGTGTTTCCTTGCGAAGAGGACTTACTAGTAGTGGAATCTGTCAAGTGCTGTGGCGCACCCCGACGGTCGTGAGTCTTGACCGGAGAAGCCCTCTGCTGCATCTTACGAGGTTTGTCTGCCTTGCCAACATGCTTCAAGCTTCGCCCAGAATGAAGGGCAGCAGAAGTTACACTTGCAGTAAGTGCTATAGCCGAAACAATACTTGACAAACGCATTTTGAGCTTCTGATAGAATCCAAATCGAGAACCGACAAGGTAAGAGTTGGATAAATAAAAATGATAAATCTTCAGGGTCTCGCCATATTATATAGACTGGCATGAAGAAGAACTTCAAGGGAAAATACAAACCCCACTCTATCCGATGTCGAGGGCAACACAGCCCGGGATGAAAGGTCCATGAAGATCCCATGGATGGACCAATCTTCGGCACTGCCGCCCTCGTACCTGTTCATCAAATCGGTAGATCCTTGCAAAGAATTTAGGTTGAATACAAACCTTTAGGACGAAAGCTTCACTGAGTCGATCTCAATCAAGTCAGAGTACACCAAAATCGAAGCGCGACTCCTGAACTCCTGAATGGCCATGGCTCAGTGACTTTTTGACAAGCGCTTGCAGTTGATTTCTAGCGTAGTAGAGGATGGTTGCGTCGCAAGCAGTCCCTTGAGTCGAACTTCGGACCTTCCTCATGAAGCTTGAGTTGGGAGCTAAGCGATGGCGACGAGCGGACGAATTGCTTTCCATGCAGCCTACGAAGCTCTGCGCAGGGTCAAGCCGACTATGATGCAAATGGCAGGAAAATAGAACCACCTCTGCTGCAATCATCTGTTCAGACTCTACCTACTCTGCTCTCCTCCGTATGGCTGTTGGTGTTGTTGTTCCATGAGATAACGATTACGTGGATCCATATTTACCCCTGTTCATCGCTCTGAACCTTCGGGACAAACTTTCCACCTCCCTGGCCAAGCTTAGGTATTGGAAGATCTTACGTCTTATGATAAAGGATTGGGGGCCATAATTATTGCCAGAACCGAAAACTTCGTTATAATGATGTGTGTAACATTTTGAGGATATTACGCGTGGTTGAAATGCAAATGGTTTTCCATGGGGTTCCCATGTCAGAATGCCTGGACGGTAAACTTCGTTCAAGAGCACCTTGAAGAGAGTCAGATCTTTGTCTGTTAGTAAAAGAGCTTTTCTTCAGGTTCTCATATCTTGCATTCCTCGGTTGCCTGGAAGATTCCGCCCCTCTTTATCGAAAGATATGGGAAACTCACATGACAGAATCTCTCGCGACGGGTATGCGGCGAAGCAGCGATTGCTGGTATCACTGTATCCATTTTTTCTGCAGTAGACATGGATTAAAAGATTTAATAGTCTGTCGTTGAGGTGGAGAAATGACAAAATTGATTCGGGTGTAAAATCATCTCGTAATATTGCAGTGGAGGACTCTCCCTTCAGGCCTGGTTTTTGCTCGCTGGAGGTGTCTTAAGTCCGGGTTTGAAGTCGATGCGACCTACGATTTTGTGAGTCTAAGGCTCACTTTGAAAGTACTTAATTCTTAGACTCATCGAGGCACATAGAGACGTATTCGTAGGTTTTGGAGTATGCCTGATTGGTGCCTCGCTTAACCCAACGTCAATATAAATAAAAAACTCAATTCAATGTGCCGGGTCTTCAAGGGACTCGCATACTTTCCGAGTTCATGCACATGATCACTCTAACTGCGAGATTATCCTTTAACTATGCAAGAATAATACCCGGGAATTGTCGTTTTGCATCAATAGCAACACTAATGCCAGTAGCCATTGCGGGCAAGACCGGATCTTGTCGCCTATAATGGTTGATTACACAAAGCCCGAGAAACTCTGCCTACCTGGGTTACCGGCCATCTTGAGCTATTAATAATCTCTTCTTACCATTTTCCTAGTAGCCACTGCTGTGCTACTTAGCTCTCGCTTGATTGAAAATGGTGGAGGCTTCGCAAATGCCACGACTGTCATTTTTATTCCTTTGTTCCGATGTGCATTGAAGTTTGTTTGGAAGGCATGTCCCGCAAGTTTATTACCAAATCATTGCGGTACAACACCTTAATTATGCAAATCAGCTTCGTCAAAATTGCTAAATTTGCGCTTCAAAGTCTTGTAATCGTTGCGCTGGATGTTGTGAGATATATCACTTGTCCGGATGCCTAGAATTAAACATCGGAGCGGAGATAGTTTCGCAAGTATGCATACAACATAAGCTGCTTGGTGTGACCTACTCTTGGGCGAAGTCTCACGAAGTTTCCCAATACCAGCCGCAAACCCACCGACAAGCGCATAAAAGGCATGAGTCAATGTGAGTCTCTCATCGGGAAGCTCTGCCAAAGCCTGTGAACCTCCGCTCGAGCCTCCATGTATTAGCTATAAGCAAAAAGAGCCCCAATCTCTGGCGCGAGAAGCATAAGCCTCATCCATTTATTTTTCTTCAACTACTCCTTGACAATCAACCATTCAAGCCGATACAAAATGCCTCATCTCTTGGGCATCTTCCAGCCTGCCCTATTCTCCTCAAAGCTCGAGATATTCAAATGCAAGCATTTGTATGTACAGACGAGCAAGACGGACGCACAGCTCCAGACAATATCCATGGTACTTCATCCATCGGGCGACGATTTCCAGCAGATATGCTCGCTAGGAGTGTTCAGTCGCAGTGCTATTTATCATTGTACTGAGAGGTTGTGCCATTGCTATGTTGAGACATAGAAATATGGCATTGAGGATGATGGTCAATTTGAGGTCATGGTCAGGGACGAGAGATAGATATGTGAGAGGGCCATCTGGAGAGTGTACATATTATATTTGGAGGTTGCAACGCTGCCTGGGTATATTGGCTGCATTAGGTGGTCAGTCTTGTGGAGTTTGCGAGCTGAGCTTAGAGGGCCAAGCTGCAGCAAAGGTTTTCTGGACGTAGGAGTCGATGCGTGGCAGGGGCCGAACCATAAGCGTGGATACCAAAGCGCTGGAAAGACTTTAATTTGTCAAGTTCTTTGATGAAAAGATAGATCACAGCTAGACCAGGAACATACACATTTTGTTCCAACATGTATGATATTTCATATGCTGACATGTCAAAGTTCGGCCCAGAATGCCATATCATCTCCAAGCTCGCTTCATCATTCGTAAAATTCCATATTTTGAACGCCTTTCAATGTGCCTTAATCAGGCTGGACAATGCCCAGTCCAAGGAGAGTCAATGTAGCAATGTTCATGAATGCAATAATGACCCAGATGATCCCTCCAGCAATAGCAGTAGGCCAGTTGTTAGCCATGCTGACCTTCGGCGTCTCAGGCCTAACTCTCTCAACATCGCCTTCGCCTATCGTCTCAAAGGTCTCTGCACTAGCTCCACTCTCCGTCTCAACCATCATATACTTATTGAAATTGGTGTACCAGATGAGTGGGAATGTCAGGAAGATCAGTGCGACTGACAGCACAACATTTGCCCCATTCAAAGCGGCTGCTACACCATCTCGCCCAAGTACAGCTGCGATGATGATACCAGGTATGAGAGCGACAACTCGAGTTATGAGACGTCGGTAAAAGGGTCGGATAGTCCAGTTGAAAGCTCCCTCGAAGACCATCTGACCCGCCATTGTAGCTACAATTCCTGCGCTGATACCAGAGAACAACAAGGACAATGCGAAGATAGTACCGGCAGCTTTAGAAATGGTCTCTTGGAACAGATCATACATACCCCATAGATCTGCTTCCCCTGCTTCCTCGGTTAAAGATGCAGCGGCGATGATGAGTATCGACGAGTTGACAAAGACCGAGATTATGAAGAGGGTAATAATGAGTTCGGCAATGGAGTAGTTCATACAGGCTTTGATGGCTGAAAGAGATGGTTTATAGAGCTTGAGAGCCGTAGGTCTGGAGCTGTTGAAAGCTTCTTTGTATGTGTCGTTTCTGACGTCAAACTGGCGAAGGCGGGGTTGAGCGAGCCCAGTTCCCAAGTAAATTGTGTGAGGCATGAGAGTACCTCCAAGAATGGCACACGATTGGTAAAGTCTGATTGACATTAGCTTTTTGAACGAATAATGGGTCACAAGGACGACACTGACCCTTCTCCTTGGAAAACTGCCTTGGACGGCAAGAATCCCTTGAAAACATGTCCAACCGGGGTATCTGTGATGTACGAGAGTTCGATACAGAAACAGATGAAGATTGCAATCACAAAAGTCCCAACGAAGAGTTCAAAGAGTCGGAGGCCTCTCATTGATCCGTCAGGTCGGTAAAAGTAGAGGATGAAAAGGGTGTCCACAATCGATAGAGCACAACCAGCCGTCAATGGGATTTTCGGGACGAGAATGTTGATGGCAATGGCAGTTCCAATGACTTGTCCAATATCAGTGGCGATGATTGATGCTTCCGCAATAAACCATAGCCCAATATTGAGCCATTTTGGGAGGTGAGCCTTGTTCATCTGCGCCAGATCCATTCCTGTGACTGAGCCAAGCTTGACTGACAGAGACTATAACTACTAATCAGTACATGGAAATCCATCATAGTGAGAGCCAGTACCTGGAGGAAAATTGCGATCAAGTTCGAAATCAACACCATGAACAGAAGCTTGAATTTGAATTGAACACCGGAAGAGATGGATGTCTGGAAATTGTCGGGATCAATGTATGCGACACTGATGATTCCCGCAGGACCAACAAACTTGCCAAATTTCACAAGAACAGCAGCATACTTGCGGACGCTCTGCTTGGAAAAGGCATCCCGGAATGCGTGCAGGTAGTCTCCGGCGTGAGGACGTTGCCGGCTCGTCTCTTGAAGCTCAACAGCAACACTGGGGAATCCCGTCTTCTCGTCACACATGGCTTTAGGGTCCTCCTTCACAGCGTCCGAAGGAACTTCTGAATTGACGACATGCTCAACTCTGTCATGACTTGAAGTCATTTTGTTGTGGAGGAGAGAGCCGTAGGGGATGGTCGAAACAATGTGGCAGCTGCGACTGGGAGAGCAGAGAGGAGCTGCTACTTGGGGACATCAACACTTCATATCGCCCTGTCCAAGGCGAAAAGAGCTGCCTGCAACAAGGGTTTCAAACCAAAGCTCGGCGAGACAAAAGATTAGATAGTAGAAGCAACGTGATGGGGATTCAGGCCACTCATATCGTATATCTAGTGCCGCCCATGCATGAGACCCCTACCATGGGATTTTTGCAATACCCAACCGCGAGATATTGCTTTTCGATAGACCGCCCTAGACCGGCACCAGCCATGGTCTACGCCAACGGCACAGAACTCGACGGGACACTAGTCTGCATGGAGGGGAAATAATGCACGCAGTTGCACGAAAAGACTAGGAGACTGGAGGAATTATTGCGACGCACAGCAGCACGAGAATAATAATCAGGGGCCAAGAGTGATCGGGGAGCTCAGAGCCTTGAGCCTTGAGCCTTGAGCCTTGAGCCTTTCTCGGTTCCAGCATTTCTTCTTCCACAAAGGTTGAAGTGGCTTGCCGGCGCTCAAGCTGGAAATGGCCAGGGCCAGGGCCAGGGCCAGGAACATGCCCTTTCAGGACGGCCTAGCGACGCCACATGGAGTCGACGGGGAGCTGCCAGCTGGCCTGTCCGAATAAATCAAAGAGGGCTGCGAAGCCATGTTTGCTGTGGATGTGGATGTGGATGTGGATGTGGATGTGGATGTGGATGTGGAACGGCAGCTGAGCTATCATCTTCCTCGTCTGGTTCCGGCAGGACAGCCTGTGAGATATCCGACGCAGAAGTCTCAAAACGTAGAAGAATAAAAACTTCTCAAAAGTGCAAGCCCAGTTCGTTGGGGCCAGGGTTTACGGTCAACAGGAAATCGAAGTAAGGAGGCGGACTTTCTAAAATATCCATCTAGCCCATAAGATCGTAAATCTAAGGTAAGAGGAAGAGGAGTACAGCACAGTACCTAAGGTGGTCCAGGCTTGTTCGAGCAAGGTACAGGTAGGGAGGGAGATGGAGATATAATAAAGCAAGGCTTCCTGCTTCCCGCTTGCCGAGTGAGCTAAAAACGGGCAAGAGGCCAGAGGCCAGAGGCAAGCTTATGCTTATTTCATCTATCTGCGCACGCTATCAATTTGCCTTCCACCTTGAACGCGCAGACACGCTTCGACGAATTGATGAAAGTCGCGTCCAAGAGCGGCAGAGTATCCTTGGAGCTACAGGAGTGTCCAATATCGATATTCCTTGGATTTCTGTTATCGCTACAAGAAGGCTGCGGCTGAAGGGATAAGAAGAAAATCCCACCTGTTCTGTACGGGCGATAGCTGGCCCGCCAATCTGGTCACCCGCGTTCCCTAGGCAATTCTCCTCAGTTCTCATCTTCTGCGAAGCCGCATTATATCGTATTTCACAGCTCGTCAGTTTCCTTCCTTTTGTCTCTCTTGTGGTGGTGACCTATTCCAGGTCAATGTCTCAAGGTCAATAAAGTACCACGCTTGTGTTGTACTATGGAGTATTGTTCCTGACCCGTACACCCACCACCCCTATTTGCCACTTGCCAGCTGGAGGGGGCTTTTAATACAACCTTAACCCCTCCTCCCGACCCAACCCTCATCGGTCCATCGACAACACTCGTTCACGATGGTCAGTTCCGACAATGTTGCGTTCAACATCGCGGCCTTCATCGGCGGGCTGTTCGTTCTTGAGTTTGGCGCAGACAAGTTCATCGATCATACAGCCAAGATAGCCTCGCGCACGGGAATACCACCGACTCTGGTTGCTCTCTTGACAGCTGGAGCAGAATGGGAAGAGGTATGACCACATCAATCTGACAAAACCTGTGATCAAGTTGTTGACTCCTCCTCAGCTGGTTGTGGTTGTCGCAGCTATCTCCCAGAAGCAATCGCCTCTCGCCTTGGGTAATATACTCGGAAGCAGCATCTCGAATATATTAGGCGCCTTCTCCCTGGGCTTAATATTCTCTCCATCTGCGATAACTTTCGATCGCTCCGCGAAGATCTACACGGGGGTCCTGCTTGGCTTGACGACATTCTTCACAATATTCATTCTCTTCTTCGAATCTCTTGGTAGAATTGGGGGTGGATTACTGCTTGTTACATTCGTGCTATACTTCATATCTATCGCATGGGCAATTTATAAAGGCATTGTGTCACCACCAGTGGATTCGGACAGCGACTCGGACAGCGACTCGTCTGATTCGGACTCGGAATCAGACTCAGATGATGAGAATGGCTCCATACCATTGAAAACCAAGCCAGCCCACAAGCACACACATTTCCACGTCCGCAGCAATTCCAACTCAAGCAGCACAACGACATTACACGATCTCGAAAGCGGACAGCACACAGGCGTTCCACCATCGCCCGCAAATCCACAAGATCACCATGAAGGGCTACACAAGGACATCTTTGACGACGTCAACCTCTCACCCTTGCAGACCGTCAAGCGCGGAGGCCACAGCACGCTTCACCACCTCACGCACCTCATAATAGGCTTCCTGGCTCTTTCTCTAAGCGGCTATATCCTCTCGCATAGCGTTACTACCCTCTCGGCCGAGTTCTCGCTCTCCTCGACTCTCCTCGGAATAACGCTCCTTTCCTTTGCGACCACCCTTCCAGAGAAGGTCGTCTCAATATTCTCCGCCAAACGTGGCGAATCGGGAATAGTAGTGGCTAATACCGCTGGTTCGAACATTTTCCTTGTCACGCTCTGTGCAGGTGTTTTATATCTTACGGGCGACATAGCCAGCCCAAAGGGCAGCGTGACGCTCTTCGAGATAGGGTGCATGTGGGCAAGTAGTGCGGTACTGTTTGGTATCGTAATGTTTGGTGGTAGGAGGTGGATGGGATGGGCTTTATTCGCTGCATATATTGGGTTCATCGTGTGCGAGTTTACCATGGACCGGGGTATTGACACTTGATGTTCAATGAGACTGGAGATATAGACATAAGTAGACATAATGAATGCACACGCATGCCACCTATCATGTCCATGTCGTGTCCGAATTCTGCACCTCCAGTAAGGAGTCGTTTATTCTGTTTCGCTCGTAATACCTAGCCCGCTGGCTATCTACTTCTGGCTACCAGAGTCTAATGTAGATTTGCCGAGTGGGAGTATTGCTCTATGAAGCAAGCCTCTGCATCAGGGACCACGAAATATTTCTTGTTGGCTGATTCCCATCTCTTTAATTTCCATCTTAGACTCGTTCCTTGCGCAGGCAGGACAGCAACAATTTTATCATTCAGCAAGAGAAATTCAGATGAGATCAAGTGCCAAGAACAATATTGATTGTTATGATAATATTGAGGTTAAGCGAAGCACAATACAATTTAGTCCCTGCAATCCATCCCATCATGTACCTTGTAATCCAAACGTACCATGCCGAAGTCATTTAGTCTGTCATTGTCAATGCAACAGCATTCTGTCCCTTTAGGGGGCAGGCGTGATGTTCTGGTACTTCTCTGGTCGTTGAACAGCGCCGAATCGTTTGTTTCCTTGGTCGAAGATCTGGACCTGTTAAGCGAAGCTAAGAAAGACAAGGAAGAGGTCTAAAACTTACTGCGTAGATACCCTTCAAGACAGTGTCACCGAGAATATCAAAGTCCATGTCACCTCTGCTCTGAATACCACCGTACACTGTACCGTTACCAGCATCTGCAAATCCAAGATCTTCCTTTTGGACGATAAATTGCTTGTCGCCAATGGCAATCGAAACATCAGGAAGTTGATCGATTGTGGTAGTGGATGGGTATACCCACCCCTGGTTTTGCTGATCATATTTTGCGCCTTCAATAGCACCATAGACCGCCTCACATACAGCGTCAGAGACAAGAGCAAGAGTAGTTCCGGTGTCCATGATCGCCGTGTTCCCGCTTTGGGAAATAGTTTTGCCATTCACAATTGTAGAAGCAGACTCGATTGTCCAGAAGCCTTGCGAGCTGTCAACAGGAGCGTACGAAATCTCTTGCCCAGAAGCAGTAACAGTAGCTTTGTCGATATAACCAAAGGTATAGAAACCTTGTCCCTTATCGGGCTCATTTGCATCACGCCATGAGCCAAGCTTTGCAGTGAAGAGCTCAGCAGATTCGGGGATATCTTGTTGGGCGATCACTTCATACAAATCAGCATCATGTTCACAATCACAAATGGAGTGGCAAGATTATCCTAAACAATCGTTGGGTATACATACTGTTCTCAACAGGGGTCTTGACAGCCTTCGGTTTTACGGTATTCTTCTCATGACGTTAGCCCTGGAAACCACTAAACCTGGAGGCATCTGTCTCCAGACAGGTTTACACCTAAGATCCTAAATCATAGATGTATGAAGGTGAGGAAGGTTACATACGATCGCACCAAACGCAAGACCTAGGAGTCCATCGCCAACGCCCGAAGCGAATTGAGCAGAAATCTTCTTGGCGAGCTCAATGGATTGTCCCTTGACCTCCAAACCACCGAGAATGATATTGTCTGTACCGACTGTTCCAGAAGCGGAGGAGCTATCGCCGTAGGAGATTTTCCAGCTGGATCCAGAAGTAGGCTTGAAGGTGGATGATTTTGTGTTATCAAAGATAACATGACCAGCCTTCTTGCCAGCAGTCTGGGTAGTTGCTGGCAGTTGGGTAGACCAAACCTGTGGAAACATTAGCCTATGCTAGTTTTTGGAAGCCAGGATCCAGGATCCACAACGGTACTTACCCACAGATCTGCAGAACCTGTGTCAAAGTCAAGCATAAGAGTCTGAGCTGGGCTACCGATCTTGACTGGGCAGAGGTAGAGAGCATCGTTCTGCTGGTCGTCTGCCGGGACCTCGCCAGTCTGAGTGGAAGAGGGATCGGGCTTCTTTGCCAAGGTACGAGGAGTTGCAGACTTCCCGAGTATGCTGAGAAGTCCTTGGTGACCGGATTCGGAAGCCTTGTTCAGCTGAACAAATGGTCCTGGCTGGGTTGGTTGGAAACCCCATTTTTGTAGGAGGTAGACATAAGATTTAAGACCATTCTTCTGGTATTGCTTGTTGGTAACGATCTTGATCTTCTGCAAGCCTTGGAGGGTAGACATAGTGGGTGGGTGGTATGAAATATGACTGTCTTGTTTGTTTTGAGGAGCTTTGAATATCAATGAAGTAGGTCGTCGGGAGTGATGATGCCGTGAGTGATGAGTAGTAGAGAAGAGAAGACAGAAGAATGAGAGGGCCAACTACCTACTTAAGTATCTTGCCCTGCGTTAGCTCTGGTAAGAGCATGTCTGGCTGGAGAGCACACAAGGAAGGAGGTGCACACAACAGCCTCGAGACTTGCTCTTGCCAGACAAAGCTTGATCGTTGCTCAAACACAAGCGGAAGGGCGACGACGGCGTCATAGTAGTATCCTTGTACAAGAGTAGCTTAAAAGCTTGTGTGTTCAGCTGGCAGCACCTATCTCCATGCATAGCTAGGTTCGGACGGGAGGTGCCTCGCGGGACACATCGCTCTCCCCGGCGCTTGACTTGTTCTGTTGTCACTGGCTACCCCCAAAGAAATGCTGGGGATATCAAGCTTTTGCGCCACGATTCGATGACACAAGGGCCACATGGTGAATAGTAAAGTGCATGTGTTTCTCGATGAGCAACAGCGCTAGGATGTGAGACAGAAACCTGAATGCTACTCAAAGACGGCCGGAAAGAAGCAAATATACAAGGGGGGTGAGGGCATAGAGTGGATTTGTGAGACAGAGGCTATATCTACAGTACTGCACTTCGTGTGGCAACTGATAAAGGTGCAGAAACTTGTGCTGGGATAGAGATTGGTAGGAACGTATTCGGTCTCCACGTGCTCCAGTAACCTCGTCCAATATCACACATCGTACTCGCATGGACTTTGAGTTCTCACAGGCACAAGGGCTGCCTCCTCTGTCAGATGTCTTCATGCATGGTCTCTCGAAATCGACGTCATCTTAAGGTGGTTGCGGGTGGCTGTCCTGATCAGCCGGCATGCGCACATCACCGTCCCAGATCCAGCGCCCCCTGTCTCAGAGGGGGAGGACTCGTAAGCTTTTCCAAGCTTCTCGCCTATGCAAGGAAAGCTTCTCTTAGCAGTACAAGTACAGTAACTGGAAACAGAACGCATTGAAACAGAACGTGGATCAATCAGATGGCTCAGGAGGTTGTCAGGGTTCAGCATCACCGGGCAAGTGCCCCGCAGGAGCCGGCAGGGCGGGGGCTGTTAGTCTCGACTTCCAAGATTTGAGCTAGCCAAAGAACAAAACAGGACTTTAGCATATTCTGGTTCGAGATCTTATTGCCTCCTACAGTAAGATGCCGCCCGGCGGCGGCCTTGCGCAAATAGCATCTGCTGGTCTCGTCGCAAGAACAAGCTTTCCAAGACTTTCCCCATCAGCCCCCTCCTTAGTCGACGTTGTCTCCCTGGACTATTGCAGATGGTGTTCTACTTGACTGGACCGACATTTCCACTGGTCCTAATCCACACAACCGTCCACAGAAATTTGAGGTCCAAGGTATAAGTGGTGGTTTCTACAGTAGTAAGTTACAGACTGGCCTGTGAATTTGGTAACAAAGCCCACACGTGAACGGTCTCCAGGGGTCGTGTATACTTTACGTCAACCTTTTCTACAGATGCCCTGTCTGGAATATGTCTCGTCATGTGGTAGATCTGATTGATAAGATAATTCTTTGTAGGAACAGCTATTGTAATGTCGTTTGTGGGGTTCCGACATGTCCAGACTGAACAAATCTCAAAGCTCCAAGAACTGATATTCAAGAACCAACCACGATCCTTGAAAATAACAGTACTTATCGGCTGTCTCTAAGCTTTCTTGAGCTTTTGCTAGTTTCTGTACATGGTACTGCAACCCGGCTACTTCTTCAGATTGAGCAATTCTGTAACATACACTGAGCCTGGAAAACGCGAAAGGTTTGTACTACCGATGAGAAAGAAAACATGTTCTTGAGAATATCGGACCAATCTCAGATTTGCTAGGTAGTGTGCTTCAAGACAAGCAAAACAAAAAAAAACGTAGAAATCGCTAGCAATGTGTACTGCGATCTGTGACTATGTGTAACTGAGGTATATGTGAATTAAAGTCAGAACTCTCCAGACTGGTACATAATGATTTTGGTCCTATCTAGGCACATGCATTGTTCTACTGTTACTCATGATTGTTACACCGGCTTTGGATAGTGCATTCAACACTCTGTGTCACGTTACACCTTACTTGAAGCTATGGCAATGAGCTACTTGTGCTTTCATTCAACAGCATTAAACGCAATGAGAATTGAGTAAATTGTAGTAGGTATTAATGAACTGCTCTCAAAGTATGCTTGTGTACTTCGAAGTCTCTTCGGTGTGGCAAGTCTCCTGGAGCCTTGGCGACATTTCGAGCTTCCTGGTCACATCGAGAAGAAATCTTCCATAATCTTCTCCTAACGTTACCTATCGAATGTTCATTTGTGTCAAAGCATACCTCTAGTAACGGAATGCATTGTCTCCTTGGGTTATATGTGAAGTCTAGCAGAAATTTTGTTTACTTACTAGCATGTACTTAGCCGAGCGAACCTTAAAATGATACCTAGCTAGGAGGGGGTATGCAAACAATGCGGTGTCGTTTCTGCTCCTCTTACAGTTACACGCAAGTGAACATTTACAATTCAATAATTCTTTCTATACGATAAAGATCACAGGAAAATTCCATAACAATGGCAGCTCCATATGAACCCTACAAGCCCGCTTGCCCACCTCATCCCTAGCCCTGTATCTCCTCAGGCATTACGTTCCCAAAGGCATGTGCACAACACATCGGCAACATATTCCGCTCTTCAAAATTTACATCATCGTTTTACTGTCAATCAGCAAGACAGATACTTGGACTCGCTTGCAACAAGTACTTGAAAAGGAGATCCTAGTGTGAGCCAAGGCATCAAGCCTCGTGCCCGGTGGGATGATGTTGTGGATCTCGTGAAAGATGTCGGGGAGAAAAGCGCTGATTTATTGGTCACGCTTGGCGCAAGATTTCTGATCAATTGAACTAACATGATTACTTTTGTATGTCCCAGCTATCTTTTAATACTTCCGGCAATGAACGCAGTGGTGGTGCTGGTCTCAACTTCGGCAGGCACTTGCCAACAACATTGTCTGACCTGTCCAAAATAACGGTAGAATCCGAACCTCAAAATCCAAGGCCATACCTTATCCCAGTAATTGATATCCCACACCACTCTTGGGAGGAAGTACCTCGCTCTAGCAGGAGGAATTGACACACGCACTCACCACAAAGTCCGCTTCACGCACCTGTCCATGCTAGCCCACCTCATGATACTAGATCCAGCTCAGTATCCGACTGCAGAAAGCATCTGGCTATCCACTGCTATCAGAGCCGTGGATCTTTAGGTTGAATGAATCTGCTCGCTATACAATAAAGCTGGGATTGAGCTAGACCAAGTGTTGTCAGCAGGGTTGACAGTTGCTTCCTCCTAGTCTGTTGCTGACGGAGAGAAATTGGGAAGATGTGAAAGCAGTGTTGGATTCGATCTTAGGTGTCGTCGAGAGCATGAAGGGTGTTACCTCAGGGTTACCTATGGGAGGAAGTCATGGCAGTGGCCATCAACTTGGGTCGTTAGGTGTTGGACATGGAGAGACGAGGTGTATCATGTTGCCTGCTGTGTTGAATTATAACTTCTATCACGGAGATGACAAGGCTTTAAAACAGCAGCACAAAGTTTTGGATTATTTCTTTAGGACCAAGACATGATTGTAGATGTGTTAAGAGCGCAAGGTTTGAAGGAGAGCGCTGATGCAGGAGACGTTTTTGGTGCTTTCATTACGGAACTTGGAATTCTCAGGGCGCTGAAGAATGTAGGGGTTGCAGGGGAGAAATTTGATGTTCTGGTGGTCAATCACCTGGAAGATTCGGGGCTCAAGACGATTCCTGTACCGCTACTGGAAAGGAAGCAGGGGCTGGAAATACTCGGAACAGTCGTGGGCAATGGGAAGAGCCACTTGTGAGCTACTTATCAGTGCTCAATAGAATATACCTGGTGGCTCTTCCTGATATACTTTTTGTAATACAGTAAGTGAATGTATCTGTCTGTTGAACTGTCTCTGACTCCTGATTGGATGGTGGTGTGCTCTGTTCTCCAATTGGGGGAGTGGGTCTTGAACCTCGTTACCCCTGGGGATCAGGCAACTAGACCACGCAAATGATATTAAGAATGCATCCATTTGTTCAAGAATATCATGGAAAAATATGATACCGCGTTGCTCTTACCAAATGGAAAGTTTATTCGACATTATGAACAAACTCATGCTTCCTTCCTCTTCGCTTAGCTCTTTGAGCTCTTATCCGTAGTCGGATATCATGATCATCGAGGTATCGGATGGGGATAGATGAAGCTTGATACTTTGTCATCTTATCCGGGATCAGATACTTAATTTCGGATCGAGCGAGCAGTGACTAGCTTGGTCCTCCATTGGATTCGGAGAGCTTCACGTCCGCCCACGGCAAAGGTAAGTTCGTGAATCATACAGGCGCAACCGAAGGGCAACAGGCAGCCTAACTTAAGTGGCATTTCATTTCCTCGCAATTCTATAAGTATCCATCGATTGCTCTCTACTCAAGATGACGATATTTGAAGCCTAGAGGAAACCCTTCCATCCTCGTGCCCACCCAAACACCAATCCTCTTCATCGATTATGGGACAGCATCCCAATTGCCCACCACGGACTATCAAAGCCGCCCTTCTCAAGTTTTGAAAACAAACATCATAATCCACGCCCAAGGGCATCGTCCAGTTCTCAGGCACAATGCCTAGCCTTGCCGAACTCGACTCGGCTGCCCATGTTGTCGCACAGGGCTCGGAAGCCACAGCTCTAGGCAACACCCCCTTCGCGTGAGTCACTTGCAAGAGATTCATTTCCCTGCCTCTCCACACTCCTCAAAATACAATACTAACATCCAAATTAAGCTCCGAAACCAGGAACACCAAGCCAGATCCTCGGTCCTTGCAAAGCCTTACCCCAAAATTGAAAGCCCTGTTTCACTCCCTGCCCGACGAAATCCACCTTAACATCCTCGCACAGCTCTGGCGAGACCCAGTTTCTCAGATCTGCTTCGGGCTCACAGCTCGCCGCTTTTATGCACTCTTTCACGACGTGCTAGACAAAGGCTTGCTGTACGATGGCGCTGGTAAGGTGTATGAGATTAAGCGATACCCGTTCGATCTCCGTATGCGAGCTGCAATTGATGAGAGTCATGTGCTCTATGGTTGGTACGAGTATGGATATATGCTAGGAGCTACCTGTGTCGAGTGGCAGAGATCGCTTGGTGAGTTATTGTGGGACGAGGAATGGCTTTGGACTGGGCTGAGGTGCTGTTTTGAGTGCATGAAGTATAAACCTGAAGAGGCATTTGGTGGATTTGAGCTTGAGAAGAAACTCGAGAAGGAGGATTCGATGGCTTGGAGGATGTCCCAGGAGAGGGAGGCGAGCTCGTACCGTAAGTGTTGTAGGAGGTGTAGAGCAAAGAGTTTGCTGGTTAACCTTGGGGGACGAGAGGAGGTTGTCGAGGTCCAAGGTAATGCATTTGAGGAGAGGGCCAGCCTGGGATTGATCAGATGTGGTGAGGAGAGAAGATCGAGAGAACTGTGGACGAAGATGAACTGCTACTATTATGAGGATGGGGATATTTTGGAGACGTGGGATGAGGTATTTGCCAAGATGGGTCTTTGAGTGGTTGGTTGGAGACTTCGTTGATAGGAATGGTCGTATTTGGCCACTTGGAGTGCGCAGAGGGTATGCTCAGACTGGCCCTTTTTGGGCAGACTTCTGTCTTGGTGAGCGAATATTTGGGCGTCTGTAGAGCGAAAGAGTTTAGTTTGGGCGGGATACAATATAACTCCATCATTTCAATAGTGTTCGCGGAAATGCCAGGATAGCAACCTGGACTGATGCATCTGACTTGTCTTAGAAGAGTCAGACGGTAGCCTGATAAAAATCACCAAAATCTAATGTAGAGGCAACTGTGTAGGCTTTGGGAAGTCACTCAGAGACTCAATGACATTATATTGTAGCAAAAAGAAACTCTTGGGCGCTTTCCACCACTTTGCGGAAATGCACAAGTCATATTCGAGAGACATTATTGGATGCAGCAGCTTTGATCAACAGCATTTAATACTAGAAAGCGCTACAAATGGGCACATTCAACAACGTAAAGTAAAGGACAAGACCAGAAAAAATAATGAACGCAAATTATTGTTGAGTTTTCGTTGGTCTCATAGTATCTCTATCGTCTTCGTAGTCTGTGGAATGACGCACCGTAAGTTTGGTACTTCAAGTGTTCTCATAGACCGCATCGTAAAATTCTCAAATCCCGGAAACTCCAGCCATTTCCATATCGATTCATAATCCTTCGAGAGACCGGTCCACGAAAGCAAATATGTTCGAAAACGCCTCCCTATCCATGCCAGTCGATCGCAAGACTGTAGAAGACACACCTGTCACCATTCATCCACAGCGATGTCGCAAAAACAACCGGAAAAACGAAAATACCGAAAAGGATTCCAGAAAACGCCACCGCTAATTTGGAAGAAACGAAAAGTTCTGTAATTTACATGCGACGTAGCCGTTATTTTATGCATCGGCAGTCATTATCAACCTCTAATGCACGTCGCTCCGGGTCCGGTTCTTCGCTAATGCCGCAAGATCTATCCGTGAAAGTCTATCGCGTTCGAGGGCCCAATTTCAATGCGCGCTAAAATCAACCGTTCAAAAAATCATCAAGGCTCCGATATTGCATGCTGTAAAAGCTCGCTGATGTCAATTCAGTGGGGAAGGCTGAATGAAGCATCGTCTTGGTGAACGGAGGTGGTTCTCAGAGGGTGGCGACCACATCGATGCGGCTTGCTGGGCTTGCCTCGATAGCATGATTGATGGGTAGCGTTATCCTTGGCGCGCACGCCGAAGTTTCTCTTCATCGAGCAGTACTCCAGATCCTTGGGCATCCAGGTCTTGATGTGCTCGTGGAGCTCGCACCGGTACATCTTGCATTGCTTGCACTCTTGCTTGCCGACAACCTCCCAGGCAGACTCTAGGGAGTTCGGGCCGACACGGCGAGTGTTCAAAGGGATCTTGGTACCGTGAATTGCTCGGTGAACAACATAGAGGTTTGGTGATGTGAGGCCGAGGCATGTAGAATCAATCAAATCGAGGTAGCTGAAGATCTCAAGCTTGAGCTCGGTGGGCATACCCTCGATGTTGGCGGCGGATTGGCGGACTGGAAGCAGTGAAAGGCGGCGGATCATTTCTGGGGTGACTTCGAACTCCCAATCATCCTCCTCTGGAGATGAGGTTGCATCGGTGTCGGTGCTGGCGAGCGGATCGTAGTCGGCGGCGACGGAGCTTAAATGAGAAGCGGTTGGAGAGACGGTAGGAGCCCAGGTAACGGTGTTGGTTGTGGAGGCAAACCCCGTGACAGCGACTGGTCTCAAGGAAGAACGAGGACTGTAGCCATGTTGACCCAGCTGGTAGAATCTCCTGGAAGTCATAGCAAGTTTCGCGGTGCTGGCGTCGTCCAAGAGACGGACGATACCCCCCAAAATATCCAGTGAAAGTGTTCTAAATATGTCAGTACCAGGCTGATTACAGAAGATGCAGCGGTCAGAGGTCTGGCTTACGAGAGGGACATGATAGGGGATTGCCGGTGTTGTCAAGAGCGCGAAAGGCAGCCGTCAACGTCTCAAATATGTGTAGTTGAACGTGAGGTTCAGGTACCCAGGGTAGAGGGCGGAGTTCTTGTCGAGTGAGATTTATTTCCAATTTGTAGATCTGTGCAGGCGAGAGAGCATATGATGGATGATTCGCGATTGCTTGTTGAGTAGGTGGGTAGGCGGGCAGGTAGAGTCGAGTGTAGGTAGGGCACAACAAGGCACGAGTAATGGAATAGTTTCAGAACTTTCGAAGAACTCAGGTTCCGGTTCAGGTTCAGGGTCGCGTCTTCTTCTTCTAGCTCCCGTAACAGCAGTGCGGTGGGTCACCTCACCCCAGGCGGTGAATGAGCCCACCCACCACCCACCTCACCTCACCTCACCTCACCTCACCTCACCTCGCCTTTCGAATCAAATCAATCGACGCGAGTGCCGTAGGTGATATCCGAAGTATTCCCACCATTTTTTCCGGAGGCGGAGGGGCCAGCCCAGCCAAGGTTGTCTTGCCTGTCTGTGTGAGGTGAGGTGGCCACCACCACCGAAGCCGACGATAACACGAGGACACGAGGACACGAGGACGGCCATCAGGACGGGAGACGAAAGCGCGCTGGGAGTCAAGTTTTTCTGAGTGTCACTTGATGCTCGTGGCGTTCGGCGGGCATACAGTATCTCCGATTTGCGCTGCGCTGTGTTTTTGACCTTGCTCTTCATGCAAGGCTATTAGCGCTTTGTCACGGATTGGCCAAAGGACAGAGACCGTCCGGTCCAGTCAACACGGTAGCGAGATAAATTTACCTAGGCTCCATTAGATACGAGCAGCTCTCCCCGTTCATCGGCGGCACATCATTCACAGCGAGCGGCCCTCCGCTATTTCCACCTCCACGTCGGCAAGCCACCGATATCTTTGTCCAGTCCAGGTGAATGATGGCTTCAGAATGCAGATGAGAGACAACAAGGACGACAGTGCAACGACGTGTACCCACCCAGCTTTGCGACCTCAGACACAGGAAGGCTAAAGTCAATCAATGTAAACACTGGTGCTGTGGTACTCTGACAGCAAGATCATTGGACACGCAATATGGACATTTGTCAAGAATTCGTGCGCCCCGAGATGCTGTTTGGGAAAATGCCATGGCCTGGTTCCCTGCATTACAATGCTACCCCGCATTGTGAAACGCCTGTGACTCCTCCCGAGATACTGTGCTTCGTACATAGTCCTGCTCATATCGCGAGATCCTATATCGAGATCCAGATCACGCTAATCACAACATCAAGGCCTTTGTTCTCTCCTCCCTCATATTTGAAGCTCCACATCCCATCGGTCTTCTCGTTCCAGTATGCTCCAGTTGCGCTATGCATTCCTCTTCTTCCTACGTGGGGTTTTCCATCAGTTCCTGTAGCTCCAGTCTTCGCATCGCTCGTTGAGATTGTAGCCTCATCATCCGCCTTGGGTACAGCACTTTCTTGGGTTGCCTTGGCACGGTTGAGGGATGAGGTAGGAACGAGGTGTTGAATGATTGTGCTATTGACAGCATATTTGAAGGAAGGGGTTCCTCCAGCAGGAGATGACTCAGATATGAGAGACCGCAGGATGGAGTTCTGCCACGTTATTAGCAGGTAGCTAGTTGCTAAGTAAGGGGTAAACAAACGATGATAGTTGTGTTCCAAGCCTCTGTTTTTGCATGCTCGTAGAACTCTGCACTACCTAGGGCACTTTGGCAAGCCTGATGGAGTCTCAGTATGGCACTTTTGTTCTGCTATATTCAAAGTAGACCTACATCATTGGCAATCTGCTTAAGGCGAGTGTATGAGATGGGCTGAGGCAGAGTTAGTAAACAACAATTGAATGCGCCGGAGTCTGGGGATGACCTACAGGAGTGGCAGATGAGGAAGCCATATTTGAGGTCTTCTCTGATGGTATTTGAAGTCGTAAGAGGTCAGCAGAACACGGAAGAGGGGTTTATGTGAATTGTTGCTCTTAGAGGCCGCCTTTCATGCAGCTCAGAGTCTGGGGTTGTACAGCTCACAGGACAGGGTCGGGAAGGAAAAAAGTAAGACCGTGCCGTCTCTTCCCAGTCACCTGATTCGGGGCACCGAGTCAAAAACTTCGAAGCATCCTGGTCGGGACGAGTTCTGCTCGAAGTTCCCAACCTATCACAGCACTTCAAGCCAGCACGTTCCCAGCCCCGCCAACACTCTTCTCTTCTCATCTCAAGCTTCCCTGAGCCGCCTTGGTCTGGCAGATCTGAATCTGAATACAGAAGCTTCAATTTTGTACTGTTCAAGCTTCCCCTCCACGAGACTTTCTCCGACGACTCGTGCGACGCAACTCCCCAGCTCCCGAGACGCTCAATCCATCACGACGTGAACAGCCTCGCACCTCGACGACGAAGCACCGGCCAATCACAACAAGAGGTTGCACAAGCACTCCTGGCACCTTGTCACTTGAACCCGGCTATCCGTCACAATGTCAAGCCAACCTCTCCTCCAGACAGCGCCTGGTATGCTCGCACACTTGAACGCACATTCAATTATACATCTGGACTGTATGCTAATCGATCCCCAGGCAAGCGAATTGCTCTCCCAACCCGAGTCGAACCCAAGGTTTTCTTCGCCAATGAACGAACCTTCCTGTCATGGCTGAACTTCACTGTTATCCTCGGTGCGCTCGCAGTCGGCATGCTGAACTTCGGTGACAAGACTGCTTTCTGGTCAGCTATTGCCTTCACATTGGTCGCTATGTGTACGATGATCTATGCGCTGTGGACCTACCACTGGAGGGCGAAGTCTATTAGACAGAGGGGACAGGCTGGGTTCGACGATAAGGTTGGACCGACAATGCTTGCTATTGCTCTGCTTGTCGCTGTGTCTGTCAATTTTATCCTCCGGGTTGTCAACTATGATAAGATTGGCCAGAAGCTTTAAGGAGGGGCTATGCCAAGGGCAAGATAGTTGGTAGGAGAAGGGCATTTCGGTGCACTGTGCATGAAGCTGGTGATGCACATGAGAAGAACAACTTTGGCTCAGGGAAGATAGGAGCATTTACACACATAGGAGGAGACATAAGCATTGGGCGTCGTGGCGCTAACGGTGGCTGTAAATATACTTGGAGAATTACTGGTCGGATTGCAACAGTGTGAGCAATTACAGTATGGCTTTGTATCTTGAACAAACATAATCAAAGAATTGCCTATTTTGAGCTGTCCATCGCCTGAAAATTGCCATTTGTGGGGTATCTTAAGAACTCTTTTTTCAAGGAGACTTCCTAACGCCAATGCGTGCACTGCATGACCCATCTTATTCTACATCCTGAGCATTTGTCTGTTCACTATTTGATGTTAGTGGGTGTTTTTCGTAAAGGCAATGGGTTGAAACATACCCATATTTCATCCTTAACGTCTCAATCCTAATCCTCGACAAGTACAAGCTCAAGACCGGCATAGCCCTAACCTTTGGCTTCCCCTCTACTTCCAAGGCTCTCTCAAATGGTGTCTTCATAACCTCAAAAGCCTCCTCTTCGTCCTCCTCCCCCTCCTGCCCCTCATCTTCATTGCTATTCTCAGCGAGTTCCTCCTTTCCGCTCGCTCTCGTCGCCTTATCCGTCCTTATCACCTTCTCCTTCGCCCTTTCCTTCCTCTCACCCATCACCTCCTGCACCACACAATAACTAAACCACTTGCCTCCCTCCCTGGCAATCTCCCTCTTCACAATCTCCGCCACGCTCACAACTTTACTCACAACCGGCGCTTTCGCATACAGCATAACCACAGCATGTTTCTTCCCCTCCCCTCCCGAAGGCTTCTCAGACAAAAGCTCCAATATCCGCGAGACCTTCTTATTGATGTTCGAAGACGAGATGATACTCATCGTTGTGACCGTATGCGTGGTTTCCAGGCCGGGGAAGATAGGCACTAGAAGTGACGCTTCGGGGGCAGATTTCGGCCGCGGGTCGCTGGGTGCGTCGTCTGTATCTTGAGCTGCAGAGACTCCATCTCCCGCCGCAACAAGCAAGCTCTCCTCAACCACATCGTCATCGCCAGACCCTTTCCTCCTCTTTGCCGTATTTTCCGGAGCAGATTCTGCCTGTCCCTTTCGATCCATCCCCGCACCATCGCGTTCCCGATTCCTCTTCCTCTTTCCATTCCCACTCCCACTTACATTCCCATTCCCAATTCCAGAGATTGCGGATCCAGATCCGTGTTCGGCAGCTTTCTTCTCCTCCGCATTTTCGCGGAATGCGTGCCCGTCTGGTCCACGTCGGGCTTTGGCTTTTGTGCGTGCCATTGAGTTGAGGTGATGCCGTCGTTGATAAGTGGAGGAGGAGGGTGAGAGATAGGACGAGGTTTGAGTTTATGATTTGGCGAGGCGGGAGAAGTTTGGAAGCTATTCAGCCTTATCGACGAGGCTGAGGAGGGAATTCTAGTTGAAATTCATGGAATGCACGGCTTTTGCAGGATTTGCTGAAAATAAAGTCATGGTTTTGAGAGGATATTGCGAACCAAGGAAACGGATGCTATGGTCTGTCATGGCCATGATTAGTTCTGTCTGTCCGAAACTACTGATGTTTCTTGCGACTTGCGAGGCGTTAGTTTGCGAGGCTGTAAGCACGCAGGGTACAATTACAACGCATTCTTGGTGATGCTTTCTTTTCTGATTCAACGAAAGTTGTGTACCGTCGCCTATAATATATGCGTACCTGCCTAGTTCTTGACTTTGTGCTCATTTTATTTTTACCGATCCTCTCCTCATTACCATGAATAAATCCATGCCAGGCTAGCTATCTACTTGTCTTCTCCACATGAACAAAGAGGTGGGCTGCTGGTCGTCAAAAGTCAGGTAACTTCCCAGTTGAAATTAGGACATTCTTTCTAAATTAACCCAGACTGAAACCGTGCATTTCGGTGAGTGGTGTGACCCTGATAGGCGTAATCATTATGGCCATTCTCCTGATGGGAAACACTTGAAGACCTGAAGTGAAGGCACAAAATGAGAAGAGATGATTCCTGCCTGGCCTTTTCATGACAGAAAGCTTGCTGAGCTCGGTCTGAAACAGAGGGATACTCCCTGGATAGCGAGATCTTGAATGCGCGAGATATTTCAAATAAAACTCTGCTTGTCACCCAAGCTCCAAACCTTAACCCAACTCACGACATGTTTCCAAGTCCGTGTGGGATATACAAGGAACATCTCACATGCCATCTACACTACACTGGCCTGATGTTGGGAAGGCTGTGATACTTCTAGTAGTACGGATTAGGTAACTGTGGAAGAGGGAACGATGAGAAGTAAACACAAGGCAGGAAAACAAATACTGGGGAGAGACAGGGGAGCTGCGACCCCTCATGCAGGTGGGGTTGATTTGAGTCGGGTCCAGGTCCTCGTGGCAGCTTGCCAACCAGATTGTGGTTTCATACATGCCCGCTGAAGCCTCGAACTCGTACAGGCCATCAGAAACAAAGAAACAGCCAAGCTTAGGAAAAGACCCTCTGCATGGATTCATGCATTTTGAGGAGACTGCCGTTGAAGTCTCGGAAACCTCATGTGTCTGGAGGTTAATAGGAAAGTACCTAGGTAACACTGTTCCTTGGGGAGCAAAGAGAAGGCTGCCTCTAAGACTAGCCAGGAATGAATAGACCTAATTGCGCAAACAAGGTAAATATATAATAAATATTCCGGCGCAGCAGATGACTGGTTGCACACCCAGCCGAAGCCTGCTCAGTCACCACCGATCTAGCGTGAGGGTACGATTACAAGGGTACCTGTCACCACTGTGGACCGGGCCTGCATGACCGGGGCGGCAGGTCTCAGATCCTCGACCGTTGACTGGAGCCTCTTCTTACCCAAAGAAGGATCCAACGAGGAGACCGAGTTTGTACAGTAGCGAACGAACAGATGCGCAAGATACCATGGATAGATACAATCGATCTATGATATGGTTGCGTGAGAGGACGAGGGAGTTCTTCCTCTCGGAAAGGAGGGGGCTTAGCTCATCTCGAGCCCACGCGGCCTCTTCTGCATCGTTGTGGAGTTTTGCTTTTCTCCCATATTATCTATCTATCAGAACAATGAGACAGGATGGGATGTGGTGTTGAGGCCGATTGGAAGGATAGAATCTTTTTCCCCTCGATGATGGGATAAGATGAGATGATCAAATGCAACAGCCAGTGCTGAGTTATCTTGGGCAATGTCCTATCGGAGGTCCGAGCGAGTATCCAAGGTGTGTCTCTTAGTGCCGCGAAGGTATGAGATACTCCCGTATGTTGATGGGATGGATATGAGGGAATATCAGGACGAGTGATTCTGAATCCTCGCACACACCTTCCTCGGGTATGCATCGCGATCGCATGCGATGCCATGCGATGCACCTTGATAAGCGTCCCATACATACCTACCTACTGTAGGTACTTGTCCCCATGAGGATTGGGAAAATCGAAGCAGGCAGACGACGGTAGGAATCCACACACCACCCGCACCTGCACAATAATGGAAGAGTACCTACCTATGAGCTCTATTGTTTGACAATATTATTCTTCCCCTTACTGTATTGCCCTTCATGCCATGCGGGCCCACGCAAATCATCGAACTGCAGCTTGTCCCCACTGGCATTCACCCATACCTAAATTTACCTAGTTACAGCCGCGGATGGCAGCCGTTGACCAATCAGGACCGATATCTGCACTGGCGAGAGTTTCCCCAAACCCCTTCCAGCACTTTGTCATCCTTGTCCCGGGTAATTACACCCCCCCCCCACCCCAAAAACGACACTCCCCCCTGTGGGTCCTCTAAGCCTTTTCAAGATGAGTACTCGCGAACCTCAAAGATGTTCAATTCAACTCGAATTTATCAAGCAAGGGCGCTATGCCCGAGCCCCGGAGCTTACGAAGGGCTGTGAGAGAGTAAGTCCCTTGCGCGGTAGACACGAATCTCACAAAAATATAGCTAGAGTTTTAGATGCCGAGCGCAGCGGATATTTACAAACAGAGTATTTTTGGTGTTGTTCGAGGTCACATGGAAGAAGGATAATCCGCTAGTGGGAGGGCTTGAGGATATAACTGGTTGAAGCTGCCCCACAGGGGGGGGGCGTATCGTTTTTGGGGGAGGGTGTATCAGTACCCCTTGTCCCATCCTTGCCTCCCTTGCCACGGCCCCCGGCTGCGTCAATACCTTAGCTGACCCTCTCTCGCCTCTCCCATCCATGGCCCATGGCCGGCCATTCCGCCAAGGGAAATCTACGCTAATTTCGTGCCTCCAGTATCCCAGCAGCCAGCCCAGCCCAGCCCAGCCCCAGGCGTCCTTTCCTTGCCTTCCACTCTTACTCTTACTGCCTTGCTCTTGCTCTGCCCACGCCCACGCCCATCGCCATCGCCCGCACCGCCCGCCAAACCGAAAGCGCCATCCCCCAAATCTTTCCATCCCCTTCCTTCCAGACAGACCATCTCAACCCAACACATCACTGCAACAGCCGTCAACCCAACTTCTTTCCTGCTCCACCACTGCACAACTGCACCTTCAGACTTTCCGTATTAATACCTTACACTTCTTACTTCTATTATTTACGCCCTTCACGACTCTCTTCCTATCTTCCTTGTAATACCACCCGCCCGCCCGCCCGCCTTCCCTCCGGCTCCGGGTCTCCTTATCTTTGTTGTTCCTTTCAGCGCAACAGATTTGTCTCGTCATTAAATCACTGCTTCGCGCCATTCCCGGTCGCAAAACAACCACAACCACAACCACAACCACATCCACCTCACTCACCCACGCCACAACGGCTAACATTCGATTCTCTGTGCCTCTATTTGTGCTCGCCACTCCTCGACGCGACCTGTAATTGATTCTCTTCCTGTACGAATTATCGCGGCGCCCGCTCGTCCGCTCGCTGCTGTACGATTGTTGTTGGGGTGAGCTGATTTGAGTGAGCATTTAAAGGGGCTCGCATCGACGTCAGCGAAACTCCCCGAACGCTAGTGCATCGCCGCCCGTCAGATTGACACCTGGCGATCAACAACAATAGCAACATCATCGTCGCATCACTTCAGCACAACCCATGTATGGGTTATAGTTGCAGCGCAGACTTTGCAACCACATCAACATCTTCTCCAGCGCCGGGTCGCGCCACTGTTGCGATCGGACTTGGGCCGGAACTGCATGCGAATGTTTAGACTCAGTTCTTGGATTTCCGAATCCAGGGGTTGCGACAAGGTGGTAAATGGACCGCAAGACTTGAAAATGGCTAACGCCACTCGCCCTGTGGTTGAGATAACTTCGAACGGCCTCGGGAAACGCAGGAGGAGTAGTCTCGACGAGGGCAAATCCGGGATAGAGCAAGGTGATGATGCGCCTGACGCCAAAAGGAGGAAATCGAGTCCGACGACTGAAGTCGTGCTAGATGTCTCGGGACAGGAAGCAGTAAATGAGAGTTTGCAGCCCCTCGATCCCAAGAGTCGGATACGTGATGCTATCGAATCTCAGTTCAGCCTCGAGATCTTATTGAAGCATAAGGAACTGCGCCTGATCAACCAAGAGCTTGCCAAATGCCAGGCTGCTTTGGAGCAACTGCGTCGCTGTCATTTGATTCCCTTTCCACCGTCTGTGGCAAATCCTTTGTCGCTGGAAGATGTTAGTAACGGTACTGGTCCGGCTGTATGGCCAAGAGACCGTGTTCCGAAGTGGGCTCCCCCATTCGGAGTCACGGATGGTCCATACTCAAGACACTACACCAAGTGGCTCATTCCAGATCCCAGCTTTGATGGCGTGGAAGCTGAAAGCTCAGAAGGCTCACGCGCTGGGAAGTCTATACATGACGGTCGTTATACCAGGAACAGTTTCGCTGAGGGTAGTACACCTGCAAGCAAATCCCGATCTCAGAGAGGGACTGCTAGTCAGAAGCTTCAGGCACTCCCTAATGGCTATCCCCCAGTCAAAGAGAAGGCCGGACCGTGTGTCCTCAAACGTGGAGACGGTCAATGGGTCAAGCTTATTTGTATTGACTGTCAACGGCACGACTTTTCTAGTACTCAGGGCTTCATCAATCATTGCCGTATCTCTCATCGTCGCGATTTCAAGAGCCACGAAGAGGCTGCTGTGGCCTGTGGACACCCAGCTGAATTTGATGAAGCTGGTCGCCTTCTCGGCGAGGAGAAGACCCCAACAGTTGCACCTGGTGTACATCCTATGATCAGAAGCGCTCCGTATGACAAGGCGGCATATTCTGCACTTCTGTCACGTATCCAGGCGTCTTTGGATATGTACAATCAAGGCAGCCTTCCTGGGGTCACTTCAATACCTTCTGCCACTCTTCAAACGCCACGCAACGTTCCTGCGACACCCAACGCAAACTTTGTTCCTTCTTCTACTACACCACACCTCTCAGAACTCATGCGTAACAGAGGCTTTGCCGGTAATCTCAACGAGATTGTTGGTGAAGCTAAGACACAGGTTGACTTTGATGACTACGAGGAGTCTGAACTTAGTGATGAAGATCAAGCCAGCGATGGTAAACGGCCTTTGGGTAGCGATGGTTCAAACTCTCCACTCCCTGTTATGCGTGTACCTGCTCGTGCTGGTGTATCACCAGCACCATTTGTACGGCCAAGCAGCAGCAAGGGCCTTGAAGGTAGAAGACAACCGGCAATGAGTGTTATTTCGCCGAGAATGTTCCACGCAACGCCAATCATCAACACCGCGAATCACGGTAGACCTGAAAGCCGTCTTCAAAACAACGCCTCTGGGCATCAAGACTTGGATGTTGACATGGAGATGATGGATGGACCTTCAATAATCGACCTCAGCCCGAATACTGTTGCCAGCAACAACGCACCCAGTTTGGTCAGTGATGATGGAGAGTACGACGAAGGAGATGATGCTCCTAGCGCCAGCTCAGCAGATGAGGATGAGGATAGCGACGTTGCCGAGATCAACATTGACGACGACAACATGGAAAAGGTCATTCCGAGAACCGTACTGAGGAATCGGGCGGGGAGCGTGATGAGGAAAGAGGACAAACACGTCTCATTCGTCAGTCCAGTGAAGGAGACCGGACGGGACAGACGGGCACGGAAAGCTTGAGAAATCCCATCACTTGTATGTGGGAAAGGACCGGAAACGATATGTGGGACAGCACAGGAAACGATGAGAGACAACAGGCACGATGTCTATTCTGCGCTCTACTCTGTGAAGCGAGCGAGCGTTGATTATTTATGTGGGGATGGACGGACCCGAAACAAAAGCTTAGAAACACTACCTACCATTCTCTTCGTTAGACATTACTGTATGATAGACGGCATTACATTTACTGCAGCATGAGTGCTTGCCGGCTCATGCAGGCAGCATGTGTATCTTAGCCAACCACTCAATTGGATGTATTATCTGCAAGTACTTGACGATCGCTTGATGTCGCTTGAAGTAAACAATGCAGCGTCCCAACTTGAAACTGGTGCACCACTTGGTTCATTTGGCTCTATTAATATACGATTATTGCCCTTGCACATTACTAAAGCTTTTGAGGGCTTAGACTAATCTAGAGAAACTGTATTGAGATGACGCTAGAGAAATGAACCGAGACGTGAATCTAAAATATGATCTGCTTCACCAATCTGATGACGCAGAAACAACATTATATTATTGTACCAACTGACTCTCAACCGCCTCCACTGCCCCATCCACATCGCCATACTCACTCCCCTTCCCTATACTCCTCCTCAATCTCCCAACTACTCCTTTTAACCGCCTATTCTCCTTCTCCAACTCACTGATCCTTATCTCTAACCCATCCATCTGCTCCTGCGCACCCACACTAAACTCCTCTATAATCTTGAAGAACCGCTATAAGCGCAGTACGACGACAAGGGAGGCTACTTCTTCGAGGGTGCCATGCAGGAGGAAGTCGGCAAAGAAGCCGGTGATGATTACGAGCGCATCGAAGGCACGGAAGCGGGAGGAGAAATATCTGTGAGGACGATGTGAGCGAGGTGGAAATTGGGAGGAGAGAAATATGGAGAATGGTTGGGAATCAGAACGACAATTACTTTAACTCTGGGGAAGTACAGAACGTAAGAACTTGCTTTCTACGTCCCCGAGCCATGAGCCCAAGGGCTTTTTTCGCTCGAAGTCCCCATGCACACTTCTAAACCAACACAAAGAGCGTAGCAAACAAGGTAGGAGAACGGCAGGACGAGTGCGACTCGCACACACACACACGCACACACACACAAGCAGATAAAAGCAGAAAACAAAAGGCCGAGGCAGAATAGAACAAAACAGGAACTCGCCGCCACCCAAAGACCCATACGTTTAGCAGCAATTCTAGCATAAACAGACACGAGAAGAGCAATCCTGCAATCCCCAAGCCGTTCGTAACATTACTTCATTTTGGTGAAGCGTCTGGGAAGTCGCATTGGTAGAGTTCAATTAGGATCTCAGCGAAAATGCCAAGCAGGTCGCAGGCGACGAGGCTGAGGACTAGGCAGTGCTGATAGCGGGAGGAGAGGAAGGATTTTGTTTTGCAGTGGCAGGTGAGGTAGACAGATTTGTAGGCTGGTGGATTACGGGAGGGGAAGGGGGAGGTGGAGGAGTTACTCGTAGAGCTGGGGGTGGAATGGGTGCAGAGGAGTGGTTGAGAGCTTGAGGACATCGTGGCGGGGTGGGGAGTTGGAATTTGGGGGGATGTTGAGATAGGCTTTTGGCGTGTACTGATTGTCAATGATGTCTTGAATATCTGCTCTCCTCTTCCGTCCAGGTGGGGATCATCTACCACGGTGTATTGCAGATGATTTCGCAGACGCCAATGTATGTGAGAGCCCCAGGCAAAATTTCCGTGCTTTCGTAATGGCGCATTGCTCTTATCGGCTCGATTGAGACGGGTTTGGTCCCGTTGCTGATACTTATATAATCCAACAGTCTTGCCAGTGGAGACTACCTTGTAGCAGTAATCTAAGCTTTTCTGTGTAGCAGAGATAGTCAGTATGTTATCAAAGCAGATTTTTCTGTTGCTGAAGAGAGTTTGATATTGACCAGAGTGGAGGATCCAAGCCCTGTTGACCCTCGATGCTTGGCATTCTGTGCCGGAATGACGAAAATGTGCTGCACCTCATCTGCAACAGCCTCGCGTGCCGTCGCCAAGCTTCGACCACCTGCGGTTTCTGTCTGCAGTATTGTCCAGTCAACATTTCTTTGGAACAAGACTTTAGCTGGTACGTATTTGTTTCTCATTTGGACTCTTCTGCCGCCATTTGATTATTCTCCTTTGTTCGACCGTCCGCCGAGGCTGCATGCAGCAAGGGTTTGCGTTTATACAATAGCTTTCGATTTACAACTTGGGATTCACCTTTTGAGTCAATTCAACCTCTGACTCCTCAGCAGCAAATAGAAGACTCTCGCTAATATCTGCTTAACTAGAACTGACAGTGTCCTCCTGTCTTTCAAATCCAGGCATCCTTTCAGTCTGCAAGCAAACTTTCCAAAGCATTGCCTCTTGAACACGATTCAAGATGGCAGATACAGAGCCCAAGGTCCAAGACGAAATTATGGCCCACGATGAGGAGGGTAATGATGAGGTACAGCTCTATCCCCTCGAGACATCTTCCACAAAAGCTTTTCTGACGTGTTCCTGACAGGAGGAGATCTCAGCGATGAAGAAGCGTGTAGCAGAGATGGAAGAGGAGGCAGCTAAACTTCGAGAGATGCAGGCGACGTTGGATCAGCAGAGCCATGATCTGTCAGAGGACAAGGAGGACATCGACTCGAGAAGTATATTCGTTGGCAACGTCGACTACGCCGCCTCGCCGGAGGAGATTCAAGCCCATTTCCAAAGCTGTGGCTCCATCAATCGGGTTACCATCCTGTTGGACAAGTTCACTGGCCATCCCAAGGGGTTCGTTCCTCCGCCACCTTTCCGATTCTCGAGCACTTGAATACATGGCTACCTACATACTTATGCCACGCCATGTGCACATTGCCTGCTGCTCACCTTTGACTTGGAAGAAAAATACGAGCAAGAAACGCTGCCTGGCAAGAGATGGATGCTAATCAGGATATGCAGGTATGCGTACGTGGAGTTCACAGAGCCAAGTCTCGTTGCCCAAGCGCTTGTTCTCAACGAGAGCGTCTTCAGAGGACGTAACTTGAAGGTTGGACAAGCTTCCCTCTGTTCTTCCCTCCAACCTCACTGATATTCGTTGCAGGTCGTTCCCAAGCGTACCAATGTCCCAGGTATGACACGCGGTGGTGGTCGGGGTGGTCGAGGAGGTCCAGGTCGCGGTCGTGGTCGAGGCCGTGGCTTTGATACGGGCTATGCTCCAAGAGGAGGTGGTGGTGGGTACCGCGGCGGTTACAGAGGTAACCGTGGACGTGGTTTTGCTCCATATTAATTGTGCCGAGGAGGTTTCTTCTCAATGATTTCCAGTTTAATGGAATTGGAGGGCGAGGGTTGGAAAGCGTACGATAGGTCTCTGGCTGAAATGGCATGAACTTACATGGAGCAGCTTCGACAAGGGTCGCTAAGTATCCTCCAACACTGAGTGACGGATTCATTGGGATTTCGATTTGATTTTCAAATGAAGTGTCGTATTTCCACTCTTGAGATACCTAGATACAGAATGGCGTCTATTTGAGGAGCGGACGGAGGTTCTTCTTTACTGCTTAATGAAAATGGCGGAATGGATACTCTTGATGATTGACTTTGATAGAGACTGGAACATGCTCGCTCTATTTGATTATCAATAAATCGTGCTTGCTTTGGTAACGGACTTACTGCGACTTAGAGTATTGCTGAGAAGATTCTAAGTTAGCTTGATACTCGACTAGCAAAATAGACGCTTACGTCAAAAGATGTATGGTAAGGAGAAAGCGCAGCGCTGCCGCCATGATTTCTGGCACCTTCGTCGTCGCTTACCAGCTGGTTGGAAGACACGCAAAGAATGCCATGGTTCTTGACGGCATCTCCGTCATCATGGTGCGAGACATTGCTATTGAAGATTCCTTTGTTGAGCTGACATTTGTGATAGGTTCCCTTTTCTTCTTGCGAAGCTTCTCAATTATTCCATGGCAGGGTAAAAAAAAAGAAGAAAAAAGTTGTTTTAATTTCTAAGTTTTCTTACCCAGCTAGCTGTTCGTCATCATTAAAAATCACCACAACTCGCCTCCCTCGTTGTTCGGAGCAATCAAGGACGAAGCTGTTGGGTAAACAGCTTCCCAAAGACTTCAAGCATTCTTTTGAAGACACTGCCAGCGACCCAGGTTTTTAAGGATTTATCTAGTCAAGCTGAATGCCCACTACGTAGGCACCTCCATGACACTCCCAGAATCCATCTGTCCGCGAGTGAGGGCTTCCAAAGGCGTATCTAAGGTGACTATAGGCATAGTTATTGGCAAGCCAGCACTATATACCTATCCATTTTGACTCGTCCAGATCTTTGGTGCCCAAAGAGTTGATCCACACTGCTGCAACGGAACATGAATTATTCTATCGTAGTGTTTTGTCAACAAACGGTGCACATCTCGTGGAATTGACGATAGAACGGTGCGAAGATGTTCCTGTTTTAGATCGCCTCGCTATTTTTACGAAACAACCCTTGGTCGACTTCTCTCGCTTGTCTACATCATCTTGTCTCTCCCTCGCCCGCTCCTCTTCCTCTTGCTCACCCAGTTCTGACCTCAGGCATCTTAGCTTAGCGGCGGGGTGGTGTCTCGCCTCGCCTCATCAACGACGGGCCCTTCGTCCCTGCCTCTGCCTCTACCCTCACTGCTCTTTCGACAAGACGAAATCCCATTCCTATTGATGCGAGACCACATACCGTGAATCCAGGACTCTTTGTCCAATGTTGCGAATATCACGACTTGACAAATATTGACCAACGCTTCGTCAGACCTTGTGCTTGCGGTTGGCAGCGCCGCCTCTGTCACCTGCACAGCCCCATTCACAGCGACTTGCTTGCACCTACTCCATCGAACTGACGACTACATCTGCAAAGACCTTTGAAATCGATCTGAATCGTCTGTGAACACATTCGCAGATTCATACTCGAAACCCAGTCGACAGTGCCAGCTTCATCTAGCTCTCCCCGACCATGGCGAGTAGTAGTAGGATAGATTCGAGCTTGCCAGCGTACGTCTAACCCCATCGACCAGCCTGATACCACAACTGACATCCTTCTAGGCAACCCAACTTGCGATTAACTAGTACGACCCCTCTCAATCCGCGGAACTTGCTCTAACCTTACGTAGTCATTGCGGCGGATGGACTTTACAAGCGCGATGTATTTAGTACGTCACAGCAAAACGATGTCTTGATTGAAGCATACTGATAGCCCTGATCAGGATTTCCGGATCCCTTCGCTGTGGCGACCCTTGGCGGCGAACAGACCAAAACGACGACAGTGATTAAGAGAACCCTCAATCCATACTGGAACGAGAGCTTCGACCTGTAAGCAGAGGATTGGACATGAAAGTGGACAAGAACTAAAACTATACTAGACGTGCCAATGAAGACAGTATCCTAGCAGTTCAAATATTTGACCAGAAGAAGTTCAAGAAGAAGGACCAAGGATTTCTTGGTGTTATCAATGTTCGAGTGGGAGACGTCGTTGACTTTTCTACGACACAGGATCGTGAGTAATACTCGTCGTCAATGCGACAGCTTCATATTGACTGAAATATTCACAGAGATGCTCACTCGTGATCTCAAGAAATCTACTGATAACTTGGTCGTGCATGGGAAGCTCATCATCAATCTCTCTACGAACTTAGACTCCCCGCCTCGAGGCAACCAAGCAGCTGGCGCGGGACCTTCCAACACAAGCCGACCTTCTTTGGCTACTCCCCAAGGATCCACTCTCCAAGGCGCCTCTACCTCTGCTCTCACTCCTCAACCGTCTAACGTGGTCATGGCGAATGGATCCACAGTCACAGGGCCAACTCCAGGCCATGCACCCGCTGCCGGCAGCGCCGGCACATCAGCAAATGCAAATGGTGCAGGTCCAGCTAGACAGGCTGGGACTTTTAGTTCATTCGAGGATGCACAAGGGAGATTACCGGCTGGGTGGGAACGACGAGAAGATAACTTGGGCAGGACATATTACGTTGATCATAATACCCGGTCTACAAGCTGGAATCGCCCATCGGCTACCGGGACCGCAGAGACCCAGAGGAACGAACGTGATGCTAACACCCAGGTCGAACGTCAACGACATCAGAATCGTACTCTGCCAGAGGACCGAACTGGTGCTAACTCTCCAAGCAACCAGGCACAAGCTCCACCAGCATCGAGTACCCCCAACTCAGCAACAATGATGGCAACCGGGGCCACCACAGCTGGTACAGGTGAGCTTCCACCGTTATGGGAGCAAAGACATACTCCCGAAGGACGTGCGTATTTTGTGGATCATAACACCCGGACGACCACTTGGGTCGATCCAAGACGGCAACAGTACATTCGCATGTATGGAGGCCAGAATGCGAACAACACTATCCAGCAACAGCCCGTCTCCCAACTGGGACCATTGCCAAGTGGCTGGGAAATGCGCCTGACAAATACTGCACGAGTATACTTTGTCGACCACAACACTAAAACCACCACTTGGGACGATCCTCGGCTCCCATCTTCTCTCGACCAGAATGTTCCTCAATACAAGCGAGATTTCCGACGTAAGCTCATCTACTTCCGATCTCAGCCAGCGCTTCGTATTTTATCAGGGCAATGTCATGTCAAGGTTCGAAGGTCTCATATCTTCGAAGACTCATATGCTGAGATTATGCGTCAATCTGCAACGGACTTGAAGAAACGGCTTATGATCAAGTTTGACGGAGAAGATGGTCTCGATTATGGTGGACTTTCCAGAGAGTTCTTCTTCCTATTGTCCCACGAAATGTTCAACCCTTTCTACTGCCTGTTCGAGTACTCCGCCCACGATAATTACACCCTCCAGATCAATCCTCACTCCGGTATCAATCCAGAGCATCTCAACTACTTCAAGTTTATCGGTCGTGTAGTCGGTCTTGCTATATTCCATCGTCGTTTCCTTGATGCATTTTTCATTGGCGCTCTGTACAAGATGATGCTCAATAAAGCTGTGGCACTCTCCGATATGGAGGGAGTTGATGCCGACTTCCACCGCAGTCTTCAATGGATGCTTGATAACTCTATCGAGGGTGTTTTAGAGCAGACTTTCTCGACCGAAGACGAGAGATTCGGTGTCACTAATGTGGAGGACTTGAAGCCAGGTGGACGTGATATTGAGGTCACAGACGAAAACAAAAAGGAGTACGTTGACCTCATGGTCAAGTGGAGAATCCAGAAGCGTATCGACGAGCAATTCCAGGCTTTCATCACTGGCTTCCACGAGCTCATTCCTGCCGAGCTTGTCAATGTCTTCGATGAGCGAGAGTTGGAGTTACTGATTGGCGGTATTGCCGAAATCGATGTTGAGGATTGGAAGAAGCACACCGACTACAGAGGATATACTGAGTCGGATGAGGTCATCAAATTCTTCTGGCAGACAATTCGCAGCTGGGATGGGGAACAGAAATCCCGGCTTCTGCAATTCGCAACTGGAACATCTCGAATTCCTGTTAACGGATTCAAAGATCTTCAAGGAAGTGACGGTCCTAGGAGGTTCACTATTGAGAAGGCGGGAGAATTTAACAATCTCCCCAAGTCACACACCTGGTAAGCGGTCATGAGTTCCTGTTATCGGACTAACTGCTGACTTAACCTAGCTTCAACCGACTCGACCTTCCCCCGTATAAATCCCTAGAAGCACTACAAACGAAATTGACGATGGCAGTAGAAGAGACTATGGGCTTTGGGCAGGAGTGATTGGGTATAATCTGTCTTTCTTTTATATCACGATGTTCTTTTATTGCGCAGCTGGAAGTCCGGTGGAGACTTGGCCTCATGGAGCTTAGGTGGTACCGAACATACGCGCATAATTGAATGATCGGTTTTGAATCGAGGATTCATCTGTATTTAGACCTTTCTCGCCAAAAGGAAAGATTGGTGACCCTGCATGTCTAGTGGGAACGCGGTTTCGTTTGAATGGCATAAATGTATCCTTCCTGCATTGTCTCAATCAAGTAAAGCCTGAAGAAGAATTTGTCTACCTCCGTGGTTCTTCAACATAATCTCGGCCCGCGCCATCGCTCCTTTGTGGCAAGCACTTGGGCGAATTAGTACAGTAATCTACAAACAGGTGGCAGTCTGTCGCACTCTGATCGCCCAGATGCTTTACCATCTCGAGCAAGGTCGTGACGGGTGAACTCGTGCGCGGGATGTCATGGTCAGGGCCCAGGGGCATCAATTTAAGCATTGCGCGCTAATCTTGAGGGCGTTCAAGATCCCGGACGGCTGATAATCCAGACATGCAGTATTCGTGGTGCCTGCCGAGCCTGAGCCTGAGCCTGAGCCTGAGCCTGAGCCTGGGTGATGGAAGGCTCCAGGCATCGTGTCTGCTCTTGAGAATCCGCCGAGTACAGGGCTGCACATTGTCCCTTCTCGTCCAGTATCATGCCATGCCTTCCTCGCTTCATGGCATTGGCATGGGCATGGGCATGGGCATCCTCAGACTGTTCAGTCCCGATGTCCGCGTCTGGAGTTTCTGGACACTGAGATGAACATCGACCTTAATCCTCCTACTCGTACTCTTCGAGTACTCCCCCACAATGACAAGGATGGACGTGGACATGGACATGGACATGGATGGCTCGGCGGTTGCTAATGTAGTACTGTAGTGACCTGCAGTTGCCGCTCTGCGATACCCAGTCACGGCAGATCACCCAATCACAGACCCCATTTCCTCAACCACTGCTTTCTTGTGCCTCGTAGCGAGTACGGGCCCATCCCCATCTGAGGTCCTAGCCCCGTGGCTTCATCAAGGAGGAAATTATTGTCCGAGCAACAAAGGTAAATTTAATTTGTTGTATGGAGCCTGGCTTGGTATCCTGTTGTAAATTTATCTTCTCGTACCCTTGCGACCTTTCTCCTCCTTGACTTCCTCTTCTTGTTGATTTCTTTTCCATTTCTGTATATTCTTCAGATATCTGCATCTCCACACAGTACCTTCGAGTACCTACTTACTCCCGAATACCCCTATATATCTAGCTCTCTGCTTTGCCTCGTCTCGAAGCTTCAGTCACACAGAATCAACTTTCCCAAAAATCAAAATGCAATTCTCTCTTCTCCCAATCTCGACCCTCATTTCCCTCGCCGCAGCTCAAACAATCACTTTCTCTGCAAACCCAGCTACGTCCACAACATGTGCAGGCCAGCCAGTACTTGATCTGTGCTTAGCATCAACAAAACTCATCGTCGCTCAATGTGGATCAACAGATTGGGGTTGTCTCTGTCAAAAATGGAATGATGTCCTGACGTACGTCCTTCTTGCCAGCTCTTCGATTACTACACTCTTTCACTCTCAACTTTGACCTTTTAAGAAAGTCAGAGAGACACTATGTGAATCTAACTAACATTCAAACCAGGTGCTATACAGCATCTGGCTGCTCCGAAGACGCGGGTATTGCTACTGCTCAAAATAGTAAAGACACCTACTGTGCCCAAGCATCTATCTACACATCCACCACATCCAGTGCCATTAGCCGCGACATCCCAACAACCACCACAGCTACCACGGCTACGGGAACGGACTCCAGCTCTGCGCAGACTACCGGGAACAATGGCGATGTGAGAGTTGAGAGTACGTCCAGCGGAACTGCCACTGGTGCTTCAGCCACGCAGTCGGGCAATGCTGCGAGCAAGGATTTGGTTGTCGGGGCTGGGAGTATGATGATGGGTCTTGCCGGCTTGGTTGGTGCGTTCTTGTAGATCTGCATCTATGCAAAGGACAAAGGAGGATATTAGAGATGGGACGTCGAGGGAAAGGTGAAGGATCGGGAGAGATCTGTTGATCTGCTGGTGGGGCTTTTCAACTCCTTGTTTTTAGCGTTTGAGCACGGCGCTCTGATTTTTGGGCTGTACGGTGGAAGGGAACTTAGGGAAGGGCGACACATCATTGCTCTCTGGTCTGCTTAGGGGCATTTTATAGTACTAATTTTAGTGTTAATTGGTGATTGAATAAAGAATTCTATCCACTAGAACTTCTGTCTGTTGCCCACAGCCGAAAAATTCATGTACAAGTAACTGAGGAGCTATTTTGCCTTGACTTGGATTGTTGACCTGTCCTCGGGCACTCACGTCGTCATTTCCCGTCTCCCCATTTATGTAGCATTGCGCAGGTCTATAGTGAAGCTAAAAGCATCATACAGGACTTTCGACCCTGCCATCTTGTCTTGTAGATTAGCACTAGCACAGCGAGAGAGATAATGTCCAGAGGGAATAAACATCTGGATTAATGAACCCGTACAAGGCACTCATTCACTCATATGTTGCGGTCAGCTTTTCGCTCTAGATAAATCACAAACTTGAGATTTCATGGCTAGATACGTCATGATTTTGTTTTTTCATATTCTCTAAAGACTAATGAACTCCGGTGCAACCAGATTATTTGCATCTGAAACTTTGTACAGTAAAGAAACATGCTCCACTATCCTTGCATCCCGTCCCATTACCTTCTACTTTCTGTACCACATTCGGGTACTTTATCGATATCAGTGAGCTGATCTGTACGGGAAATTGGACGAACTTACATCTTTGTGTGCCTCATCTTCTTCTGAAGCTGGAAAATGCCATACATCAAAGCCTCCGAAGTAGGTGGGCACCCAGGCACATAAATATCAACCGGCACAATGCGATCGCAACCTCTCGTAACACTGTAGCTGTAATGGTAATACCCGCCACCATTAGCACAGCTACCCATCGAAATAACCCATCTCGGTTCAGGCATCTGATCGTAAACTTGTCTGAGAGCTGGAGCCATCTTATTCGTGAGTGTACCTGCAACAATCATAACATCCGACTGGCGAGGAGATGCTCTGAAAATAATACCGAGGCGATCTTGATCGTAACGAGGGGTGGAGAGATGCATCATTTCGACGGCACAGCAGGCGAGACCGAAGGACATGGGCCACAGAGAACTTTGGCGCGCCCAGTTTGCTATTTGATCGAGTGTTGTTCTGGGAGGGATATCAGCTCCAATTCAATCTTCCCCTGTAAAACCCGGGAAGTGCACATACAGTGCGTATTGCATAGCACCCTTCTTGCCCTCCTGGCTAGGCAATGGCACTTCTCTCCTGGGCTTGCCTGTAATGCTCATCATTGGGGGTGGTGTCTGAGGGACATTGTGGGGTGTCAGTCCAGGACTCGCAGGCTTCGAAGAGGAGGATGTGATAGCTGCGATTGATCGGTAAGGGATCAAGGAGGCTGCTGGCTTGGCTGTAAAGGTAATGTTTAGCTTTTGGGATCTGTGGCGAGGTTGAAGAAAGAAGCTTCAGGGGAGGAAGAGTCTACCTCGCAGCGCCAGCGCAGCTGCTGATCTCGTTGAAGGCAGCATCTTGCCGGTCAATTAATGGTGATAAGAGAGAAAGAGGAAGAAGTTGGTAGTAAGGCTGAGCGGAGCGGAGAGACGGAGAGACGGAGAGTCTTCGTCGGGTCAAGAGCTTTGAAAGACGTCGATGATTTAGAATGATTGAAGTGATGATCAACAGCCCCACCCTGATTGGTTGTCAGTCGGGAGTCTGATCACGTAATCCGCCTGCACCGCAACAGCACCACCAACAGCAACAAGGAATAATAGTACTGGTTTCATCATTTTCCTATACGTGGCTGACGGGATGAGGAAGCCCGCATGTGCCCGAGACCGTAGATGAAGTGAGACTCTCGGGCACTGATGAAGTGAGAGGTATTACAGTTTATAGTAGCTGGACAACCGGATTGCCAACCACATACTTCGAGAAGTCATGGTTGACATCGAGGACTCTACACAGGATTCGGTTCACCAACTCACTTCAGGTCAACGCTGGGAGAAGGGTATGGGTATCAGAACTAGTTTTAGGTATCAATTGGCGCTCTTCGGTACAAATGCAGCAGCTGTTTGCCTTAATTCTAGAGACCTTTCCTTCCACTTCCGAAATATAATGCAATAGAAAACGAGAACCCAGAAGAAGACATAAACACTCGCTGCGTGACGGAAATCGTAATTTCAGGGAACAAAAGTAGAACGAGAGGCGCCGCCGTGTAGGTTCCGAATGGTTGCAATGCATGCTGTGCTTCGATGACCTTCCTTCCAGGTCCTTGTGCCATCAATCAGCCCATTCATAAACCCTGGGAACAGAAGTCCTGTGTGAAGCTATAACCATGCCTCGCCATATTCTCACAAACACATCGCTGCAGCAATCCAGGCTATGATGCAGGGTAGACAAGTGTCCAGAAACACCACTTCCCAGAATCTCATACTGCATAACTCGCCGGCTAAGCTCTTCGGGTTGAAGATCCAGAATGACAAGAGATCCAAAGTACTTTCGATTACATTTCTTTGGACTCGGACTTCTCTTCCGTCTTCGAGTCATCGTCAAGGACAGCCTTGTACTTTGGCTCGGAACTTCCGGTGCTCTCTATTGCCTGCCCCTTTGAGACTTGGCTGGCCAGATCGCGGTCTTCCTCGCTGCGATCGAACATCTCGGTGTCATCTGAGTCAGTTAGGACCTCCGTGCCATCTCCAAGAAGAATTATCCGACCTCGTTGGTTGCCACCGAACGACTTTGACTTTGAGTCCATATTGACATCGTAACCGCTGTCGCTATCGTCAAAGTTGTGGTGTACGCCAGGACCTCGGAACTCGGCTGTCCAGAAATTAGTGCTGTTATCGAAAGAAACCCGAATTACTTGCCATATTCAGGGGGTGCGCAAGGTCCATCGCCATTGGCAACCCTCTTCGCGATCTCCTCATACCAATCGTCCTTGGACTTGCCGTGCAGCAGCCCAATGATTATGATGGTCATGTTGTCACAGCCAACGCCACCCGTCTCGGAATTCGAAGCAAGGCAGTTGTCCATCATGTTCTCGCAAATTTTCGAGAGCTCCTGTTTGGCGGCAATTCCGCGTCTAACAAATTCAACAACAGCTTGGGAGGACTGGCAATCCCAGATACCTACAGAAATCTGTTAGAAACTCCAATGGAGTAGCTAGTTGAATGCAGACTCACCATCACATGCCACTACCAAGAACTCATCGTCGTCCGAAATGTCATGAACAGTTACATCCGGGTAGGCTGTGACGATCTGTTGCTCAGGAGCCAGCTCAGCACTCTTCTTGAATTCAAAATCTCCAATGGCCCGTGACAGAGCGAGGTTGCCATTGACACGTCCGAAATCAACGAAACCTCCCGCAGCAGTGATTCTTGCCTTCTCACCTGTTTAACATCAGTAATATAACTCATAATCTTAGCTACTAGCAAGACGTACCTTCGTTCTGGGGCTTGTGGTCGAAAGACAATGGCTTAGCCCTCCCCTTCACACCCAGAACACTTCTAGAATCGCCCGCATTTCCCTATGCTTGTCAGATGCGTATCCCTCTGTACCAAGCTGCAAACAACATACCACAAAGATTTTTGTTGCCGAGACAATCGCAACAGAAGCCGTGCATCCAGAAACCTCTTCCTCGTACCGTGGGTCTAAAAAAGCACGAGTCAGTCGCCCATGCCCTTTCCTGAATGTTTGCAAGCTAACCATTGAGGATCGCTCTGTCTGTGGCCAGGAAACCATCCTTCAGCGCCTGCTCCAAATCACCCTTCTTGAAGGCTTCCTGTTTTGCGATTATTGGATGGATGTTCTCGCCAGCGAACAGAGCCACTTTATCCCCTCCATGTCCGTCATATACTCCAAAGAACGAGAGTCTTGAATCAATCCCTGCAGGCTTTGAATCCTTTCCATCTTCGGCGACAGATTGTAGGTCTAAAACAGCAGCATGCGCATCTTCCATGCTGATTCTCCATCCTTGCATGGACGAGACACCAAAGATCAAGCGATCATCGCCACCGTTTTCAGAAGTCTGGCAAAGATGGTATGTCAGCAACCTTGCACAATTAACCTCAGTGGACGCCCACTAGCATAGAGGCGCGCCATCATACAGCTCCACCCAAATCACCATCTTTCAAGGTGTAGTCAATCTTGAAGCTGGATATCTGGTCGGCGCCCTTTCCTAGCGGACTGCGAGGTGTAATCGACAAGGACACTAGCACAACCTGACAATGCCCGAGCAGGCTGCATGAAAGGAAAGGAAGATTTTGTACCTTATCCACTACCGGCTCCGATAGAGTCTGACCCATGTTGACAGAGATCGAGCTTCCTGAGCGCGTTGGCCAGGGGGGAATTTCTGGACGAGCTTTTTGACTTGCGGAAGACGGTGGGAGGGAAAAGAGGTGGTAATGTGCGGGGTCGAGTCGCGGTTGGGAAGCTTGAAAGGCGGAGTGTAGGCTATCTGCTGCTCTGCATCAGGGATGGAGGTAGCTGTACTAGGTCGTCGAGGAGTTTTGTCAGGTTGTTGGGATGTCGCGTGTTGCTGAAAAGGAAGATCCAGGACCGAAAATGATGATGGAGGGAGGTGCTGAGGATGAGAGTCGCCGCCGAAATCAAGCGAGGTGCTAGCGGCCGATCAGATCAGATACCTTACCTGAGGTATCATATACCACCTCGACCACACTCCTCAAACAAAACAAGGACGGGAACGGGAACGGGAACCACTATGGGGTAGGTCAGAGGCCAGGGCAGAGAGAGGGATGTTGACTGTGACTTTCGTTGAGTATGGTCGGGTAGAAAGTATACGAGCCAGCATTACATGCATACCATACCATACCATGCCATACCTACCTGCCAGCGACCAGCGACCAGCGACCAGCGAGCGACCAGAAGCCAGAAGCCAGAAGCCAGAAGCCAGAAGCCAGGCTTGCCAAGATGGGATTGGAGGGGTGGTGGCGGGGAGGGATGCACAGAGTGGAAGCTGGCCGAGGCGTTCTCGGGGGCAACAGGAAACCGGGGCAGGGCTGCGCAGGGCAGGCAGGATATCGTCAGTGCTCGTCAAACAGTACAGTACACGAGGCGGGGGAAATTCGTCTCCGGTGAAGCGTTGCCAGGTAAGCTAGCTGCTATCTGTGCGCGACTAAACAACCCCCTTATTTTGTATGACAACCTTAGTAACTCTACGATAACATAGTAAATATAGACGAAACTTTACTTCGCACACCTTCTCCTAAGCCTCCTACGACTCCACGACCTCCTCTGAAGCTCAAACGCTTAACTAATCGCACTGAATAGGATACACCTACACGTAAGGAATTTAACGATAGACGCTTTCGAAAGCCGTGTTAATCGGTCGGTGAGATCTCGTAGTTTATAGATATTCCTTAATAAACTGTCTCTCATATTTATTAATAAGACGAAGACCTCCTCCGAACTGCGCGCCCTAATTAAGTAAATCCTTATAAAGTTCCTCGCGAGAAGGTTTTAGAGATCGAGGAAGATATAGACAGGTAGTAGGGAATTAGATCGATAATAACTAAAGAGCTCGTTGAATATTACGAGTTAGATTACTGCGAAAAGACTCTTTTAAACTCCTTTCGACGTGAAGGGATTAGATATTTTTAAGCTGCGGAATCGAAGTTCCTTACGAAAGGGAATATAAAGGTTCGGGAGGATTTTTATTGTACTTTAAGAGACGAATAATAATAGAAAACGCCTTAATATAAGAAGGTATTATATTCCGACGCTTTGTTACGAACCCCTTAGCGCTACGGTTCAGTTGGCACCTATATGCTAATAGTACTATCAGTGGTACTATGGGGGCAGTAGTACTAACGAAGGAGCGGTGCTATCAATAGGGTAGTACTAACCAGGGAATAATATAGGACAGCGAGTAGTACCGCTGTATACTTACGCTCAGTAGTAATAGTTACCTAGATCACAGTAGACGATAGGTCACGTGATAGATCCCTAGATCCCTAGATCCTTATATAAGGGAACGGATCTAAGGATCTAAGGATCTAGTATCTTAAGGGATCTAAGAAGAACGAAGGTTCTATATAAGACTAGTATATCTACTATTAGATAAGAGCTTCATACTTAACTTCAAATAGTATTCTAATACTTAGTAACTATCTTCTATCTATATAATATACTTACCTCTTAATTATTAGAGATTAACTATAGCCTTCTGTATTTACAGCGAGTAAATACCGGACTATTACACTTTAAGTATTATCTCGTTAGAGGTACTAACTCATAAAGATAATATATCTTCTATTAAAAGATCAGCGAACAACTACTTAGCTCCTACTAAGGTTTTCGACCTAAAGAATATACCTAAGATCGCTGCCCCGGATCTCTACTATAAAGACTGATCTAAGCTTAGAGTATACCTTACTTAGGTTAAGCTTTATACAGGCTTTAACAGTCACTAGTTTACTATAGAAACTAATAAAGTCCTTTAGGCTTCGTCTTTCCTCTAAGGATCTGCTTTTAACTAGATCGAGACCTTCCTCTCAGACTATATTTAGAACCGGACTAAGGATAAGAGAGTCTCTATAGTAATAACTAAGGAATCCTAGAAGATCTTTATAACCTTCGAGGGTTTTAAGTATAAGATTAATCGCGTCTTTAGTAATATCGATTAGAACTATACTACTAAACGGAATATCTAGAACCTAAAGTAGGTTAGGTTAGTAACTATATATATTACCGCCTTCTAGTAATTCGCGAATCAGACTAGCTAGAATAACAACGCCCTTTAAGTATAGTACTATAAAGGGTTAAAAGATAGAGTAAAAGATAAGATAGTAAGATCAGACGCGCTTACTAACTTATAAGAACTTATTAAAATAGCTATTAAGATTAATAACTAAAACTATAAGAGGGCACTTAAGAAGAAAGGCTAATACTACTCTAGAACATATATATACTAAGGAAAAGGAGGTAATAATAAGAAACTATTCTACTCTCAGGAAATAGAACTTAATACAACGTTCCGGAAGCTAAGTTATTAAGGAAAGTTATATAGTAGCGGGCTATTTAAGAAAGTTATAAGCGAGCGACAAGAGAAGAAGCTATACTTTAAGTATAACTTTCCTAGTTATATAGCTAGCTCTTATTAATAAAAGAAGTCGTAGATAAATAAGAAATATACTAATATAATAGGACGTAGCTCTTATAATAAACTAATATAATAACTCGCCGCGATATATTATTAATATATAACTATAGATAAGCTTAAGGAGAATTATATCTATACCTAGTTAGGCGATTCTAACGATAATAAGCGAGATTCCGTAAGTATTATAGATCAGCTTAAGTAAACTATTATTAGCACGCCCCTTAAGGACTATATATATCGAGATAATAATAGCTCTAAGCTAGATAATAATATAGAGCTAATACTAAGTAATAGTAAGAAAGAGGCCTAGGAACTTAAGTAGACTCTAGAACTAGAGCTACTTTAACCTAAACTCTTAGGACTAAGAGTAAGTGAAACTTAGGAAGTTACCTAAAGAGAAAAGAGCTTATATCAAGTTAGCTATAACACTCGCTACTAGACTAATATAACTACCGGGGTTACTTATTAAGAACTAGGCCTTATTAGCTTAGGGGGTCTACTATAAGAAGTAAGGTATAAAGTAGTCTACCGGGACTATAAGTGTATCAGATAGAGAATAGCTAGCAGCTAGGAAGGACTAACGACCTTTATATAGTACTTACTACTCTAGAATACCGTTATTCTTAATACTAGCGCGCTACTAGAGGTAGGCGAGAAATAGGAAATTATAGCTAAGAACTAATATAATAGGATATAGGTCTATATTAATAATAACAGCCGGTACTATTACGAGATATATAATCTAGTAATATACACTGAACTCGGAATAGGGCTTATATATAAGGTTAGCCTAAGTTATAGTAATCGAAAGGTATAGGAAAGTATTCTTAACTATAGTATATATTAGGAATATTTCTGTATATAGTAACTTACTACTATTAGAGATAAATATCTTATATTAGAGGTTAAAATTAAGGGAGTTAAGCTTTAGGCGATAGTAAACTCTAAGGTATAAGGGAACTTTATATCTCCTACTGTTATACTTAAGTACTACTTATTAACCGAAGTAAAAGATAAGAGATACTATCTAGTACTAGCGGATAGTAAGGTCGCCTCTAATAGACTAATCGAGGTCTAGACTACTTTAGTCTATATAAGTATTACCGGATACTTTAAAATAATCTAATTTAATATCATTAGGATTAGAAGGTATAATATTATCTTAGAGCTACTATAGATAGAAAAGTATAATCCTATTATTAATTAGCAGATAGGAAAACTTAAGTTTAGTTATTACTAAGACTGCTATTATTTACCGGGAACAGAAGTAATAAGTATTCGAGAGGTTAGCGCTACCTCTAAGGAAAAGCTCGGATACTAAGATAAGGGTCTACTAATAAAGGATATACTATTAGTATATAAGAAGTTTATAGCACTATTTAAGAAGGAATAAGGTATTAAGGCCTTACTAAAACACTAGGACTACAATTATCGGATCGAGTTAGAACTAAGTACTAAACTAATATTCTAACTACTTAGGGAATATTTAGCGATAGACTTAATAATAATTAAGTAATATATTAATAAAAACCTAGCGAAGGGATTTATCTAAGAGTCTAAATCTCCGTAGGGAAGTAATATCTTATTCGTAGAAAAAAAAGATAGTAGATAACGAATATATATCGACTACTATCGATTAAATAACGCTATAAAAAAGGATTATTATATACTACTATTAGCTAAGGAGCTATAAGATAAACTTATTAGAGCTAAGATTTTCACTTAGCTTAACTTACGAGAAGTATATAACTTCGTTAGAATAGCTAAGAGAGAAGAAGAAAAAACAGTATTTCGTACTTGTTTTAGTTACTATGAGTACACGATTATACCCTTCAGCTTAACTAACACACTAGCTATATTTCAGTGTCTAATTAATAATATTTTACGGCCTTACTTAGATATAATATATATATACTATTTAGATAATATACTAGTCTACTCTAAATTAGAGAAGTAATATATAAAGGACGTTATAGCTATTCTCTAGAAGCTAGAGAACGCCTACTTATTACTTAAACTAGAGAAGTATAACTTCCACGTAGACGAGGTTATTTTTCTAAGCTATATAGTTACTACCGTAGGATTAGCTATAGATCCTAAAAAGATTAAAGTAATTATTAAGTAGATAGGGCCTACGAATATTAAGGAAGTATAATTATTCCTCGGGTTTACTAACTTCTATAGGCGATTTATTAAGGACTACTTAAAAATCGCCGGGCTACTTACGGAGTTAACTTATAAGGATAAGGAATTCCACTAGTCCGATAATACACGAAAAGCGTTTAAGGCACTTAAAGCGACTTTTATCGTAGAACTAATACTTACTTCCTTTACCCTTAATAAAGAAATATATATAGAGATAGATTCTTTGGATTACGCTATTAGAGCTATACTTAGCTAGCTAGGCAAGGATAGAAGATAATAACTAATCGCTTACTATTCGCAGAAACTATCACTAGTAGAACTCAACTATAATATATATAATAAAGAGTTACTAGTAATTATAGACGTAGTACACGAATAGAAGGTCTACCTTAAGGGCGCCGCCTACGAAGTACAGATCCTAACGGACTATAAGAATCTTATTTACTTTATAACTACTAAAGAATTAAACTAACGCTAAGTTTAATAGTATAAAATACTCTCTACTATAAAACTTCGAATTTCTTATATTAAGGGAACGGAAAACGCTAAGGCTAATGCCCTAAGTAGGAAACTAGAATATCTTGTAAATAAAACTTATAAATCCTATACTATACTATAAAGGGATAGTGATTCACTAATAGTTAATCACTAATAGCTAGCCTTAATAGGCTAAGTCGCTAAGAAAATCTGGAAGGACTATACTAATAACCTAGTTATAGCTAAATAGAAGAAGCAGCTAAGCGAAGGATTCTCTTTCACCTTAGATAGTACGCTTCTATACTAAGGACGAATCTATATACTTACTAGAGATAAGATTAAATTCGTTACGCACTAGTATAGGCTACCTGCTTATAGATACTAAGGAGTAGCTAAGACGCTATCTAAGCTATCTAGGGAATACTACTTCCTAAGAATAAGGAAGGTAGTTAAAGATATAATAGTGTTATATAATATATATATCCGGAATAAGGTATTATACTATACTTTATATAGGCTCATGAAGTTACTAATAATACTACCTCGCCTATAGAAATTAATTACTTTAGATTTTATAGTCGAGCTACTACCCTCGAAAGACTTAGTTATAGGAATCGTATATAACTCGATCTATATAATAACAGATAAGTTTATAAAGTACGCATATATAGTATTAGTACTTAAAACATAGGACGCGCTTATAATAGCGCAAGTATTCCTTAGAATAATCTTTATAAGCTACAGAATACTAGATAAGATTATCTTAGATAGAGATAAGCTCTTTACCTTAAAGTTCTAGAAAACTCTTATCACGCTCTTAAGAATAAAGTAGAAAATATTAATCGTATTCTATCCTTAGACTAATATATAAACAGAATAAATTAACTAGATAATAGAGACTTATTTTCAGTGTTATATAAACTATAAGCAGGATAACTAGGTGTAACTACTCCCACTTACCTAGTTTATATATAATAGCGCGGATCAAGAGACTATTAGAGTATCACTGTTTTACGCGAATTATAAGTATAATCCCATAGTATATAACCTACTAATAGCTAGTTAGGGTACTATATAAGAAGCTATACTATAGGTAAATGAGCTTAAACAGCTCTATAAAGAATTATTAGCTAATATTCTCTTTATCGCGTAAAGATCTACGATCTACTATAATAGAAAGCGTAGCATAGGATTAACGCTTAAGAAGGGGGATAAAGTCTACTTACTTAGAAAGAATATCGTAACTAAACGATTAAGTTATAAATTAGATTATAAGAAGCTAAGACTATTTAGGATTACTAAAGTTAAGGGACTAGTTAATTATTAACTAGCTCTACTAAAGATAATAAATATCTACTTAGTATTCTATATATCTCTCCTTAAACTAGTATCACTAGGAGTACCGCCGGCTCTTATTATTAAAATATAACTAATTAATCTAAACGCTAAATACGAAGTAGAAGCTATTCTCAACTATTAGTATTTCTATAGTAAAATAAAATATTTAATTAAATAGAAAGGGTACCTATAATTAGAAAACACTTAAGAATCTAAATCTAACCTTTACTACTTTAAGCTTCTACGGGAATTCTATTAAAGAAATCCAGGTTTACCTAGAAGGAAGGGGACCTAAGGTTAAAGACTAGGCCCTTAGAAAAGGACACTAGGTTGACGTTAGGTTCGAAGGCAGGGAACTAAGAAGTAGGATTATCCTTGATAAGCTTAGAGGGAGGCGTTAAAAAGCGAGTAAGAGTCACGGTTTTTCTTATTTTAAACTAGTATATAGGTCGTTTAGGAGTGAACTTCTTAATATACCCCGAGGTATTATAATCGTAACACTTTAAGTAAATATACTCGAAGTATCGTTTTAAAATAGATAAATCTAGGAAGCAGGTATAAGAAAAGCTATAGCAGAAGGAATAAGGCTTTACGAGTTACATAGCACGCTTAATATAGAGTATAAGCTAGATACTCTGTTTTTTCTTTATCTAAGTAATACTCAATTTCTTTATAACACTAGATATAATAGATAAGGAAGATAGTTGTTAGTAACTATCAACGTCCCTTAAGGTTATACTTAAGCATAGGGACTACGCTAAGCTAAGAGGGAGATAGTATTACGAACCCCTTAGCGCTATAGTTCAGTTAGCACCTATATACTAATAGTACTATTAGTAGTACTATAGGGGCAGTAGTACTAATAAAGGAGCGGTACTATTAATAAGGTAGTACTAACTAGGGAATAATATAGGATAGCGAGTAATATTACTATATACTCACGCTTAGTAGTAATAATTACCTAGATCATAGTAGACGATAAGTCACGTGATAGATCCTTAGATCCCTAGATCCTTATATAAGAGAACAGATCTAAGGATCTAAGGATCTAGTATCTTAAGGGATCTAAGAAGAATAAAAGTTCTATATAAGACTAATATATCTACTATTAGATAGGAGCTTCGTGCTTAACTTTAAATAGTATTCTAATACTTAGTAACTATCTTCTGTCTATATAATATACCTACCTCTTGATTATTAGAGATTAACTATAGCTTTCTATATTTACAGCGAGTAAATACCGGACTGTTACACGCTTCTCACTTCGCAGTTAATCAACGGAAAAAGGTTAAGACCTTTCGTCGATAAGGACGTGATCCCGAGACCGGAAAACTTCACTGAAATCGCCTTAATAAGACTTATAAACACCTACCGGTTCAAAAGGTTTCTATTACAATTGCTACTATAATTAGATAGAACTATAAATCGAAGCTCGCTTTTCTCCCTTGTTATATCGATAGCGACGATTACGTGGATTACTTCTTAGAGCTAATTATGAAGCTATTCTTTAATATTCAGCGAAAGAAAGGGGTTTTTAAGTGGATTTTCTAAGAGGATAACAAAGGGGCTCACGGTATAAGCTCTGAGTTAAACGCTCCGAATAATTATAAGAACGAGTATTGAATTCGATAATTGAAGCCTCGTTACCCTACTAACTCTCCTAATCTTAATCCAATTGAAGGAGTATAGCGAATAATTAAACAACAAATAAAGGAACGGAAGGTAAAGAACGAGAGAGAGTTATAAGAGTTTATTAAAGAGGAATAGGAAAAGTTGACGATTCAGGAGATAAACGCTTTAATTATTATAATAGAAGAGCGAATCGATTAATATATTAAGCGTAGAGGAGATGTAACTGAGTTTTAATGTAATATGCCTTCTTAGTTGTTCCGTGCATTTTGTTTTAGTGAGATTTCCATAGTAAACTTAGTGTACGGGGCAACCGGCCCTTCACCGGAGACGAAATTCCCCGGCCTCGACAGCACAGTACAGTCCAGTCCAGTCCAGTCCAGTCCAGTGTCGCTGTCCACGTCTACTGAGATCCATTGTCTGGCCTGGAGGACAGGGTTTTGTCACCTGAGGGCAAGAGGTGTGCATTCCATTACCAGCGTCTGCAGGTAGGCAGGTAGGCAGGTAATTCAGGTAGCATCACCTTAGTGGACCCCTTGAAAGGTGGTGCCCACCCGCCTCCGTGCCCTCCGTGCTGGGGAGAGGCTGGGCTGCGCTGTGTTGGGGCGAAATGTGTTTTGTTTCTACATTTTGCCATCCTTCAGACTCTCAGTGGAAAGTGCAGGTATCATATCTCGGCTGCCCATTTGTTTTTGCTTAAGGTATGCGTCCATTCCATTCCATTCCATTCACTTCTTTCCTCCCCTCGCGGTGGTGTTTTCAACAGCTGGATTCAGGCCATGTTTGGCTGGCCCACCTGGCCAGATTAAGGGGTCAAAAGAGGTCAAGGGCCGTCGTCATCCTTACGGCTTGTGGTCTTTTCCTGTCCACGTCCAAGTAAACATAGAACGCTCGCCTGTACGGCCTGCTGTCGGACTGGATCATGGTACAATTTAAATATTGCGTGAAAACGTGTGCTTCACGCGCTGTCAAGTTACGGCACGTACCTTAGCTCGTTTTCTCTCAAGTATGAAAACACCCGTGATATTATTGTAACAAACCACAAAGTTGGTTTTGTATCGGGCAAATCACAAGTACCTTTTATGCTCGTCTGTAAGCTGCATAGGTCCCATCTGCTGGAAGAGTAACAGGCCACCTTCAACAAAGCTTCTTGTTCATTCTCCTTCCAGCTCTCTCTACTTAGACCCAAAACAGTCCAGCATCTTCGGCGAAGTCACAAGCGAGCGATAGAGACGTGAAAATAGCCTCGTATTATCTTCAATCGTTCCATATCGGTGAAACTTGGCAGTGTCGCCTTCAATTATCTCGTACTTAATCACGTATAGGCATGATGACACCCTTCTCCCTTACACCAAGTGGAAAAGAGCACACTCAGATATAAGCCGTATGATCCATCTCGCCCCTCTGTGTGTGCACTCTCTTCACTCCTCTCGCATCGACACTCATAGGCCTCCTTCCGGCTCCATTGACAATCCTCGCTGCTCTGCCTATCTCTGGAGTAGCTGGAGTCGATTTCGAGTTCCCATATCCATGTTCGGGACTTTGCAAACCATCGCCATCTGTCACTACGCTACCCTCATCGTCCCTCGCACTCCTCTGCGTTTCCCAGCTCCCGTCCGAAAAACCGTCTGGAGTATAGTCTTCGTAGAACTCATCGCCTCTTGGTGGCTCCCCGTGGGGGCTTCTCTCCGTGTGCGATATCGAGCCTGTCGCGGACTCGAACCGACTATCCCTCGACTCGTATGAGCGTATGCTAGTTCTCGTCCTTGTTCGTCCTCCGAGATGACTCTGGATGTAAGATCTGAGCTGCCTAGTCTCTTCTCTTGCCATACCATATGAGATGCCAAAAGAATCGCGATGATCTAGTTCATCACTCATATCGCGCAGGCCTTGCGCGATAGTCGCCTCGAGAGTATCCATGATAGCTTCTTCTGGGACGGTAGGAGAGTCTGCGTAGGACGTTCGGCGAGGCTTCTTGCTTATCTTCCCGGAAGTTCTAATTGATGAGCCTCCAAAGAAGGGGGATGAGCCAACCCTTCTACTAACTGGACGAGAGAGGCGGGAGTTCCCGCTACTTTCTGAGAGAACCATGGATTGGGGTGGTATCGATGGACTTTTGGTGACTTGTCTTATGGTTTTTCTTGGGGAGACCGAGGCTCTTTTGGGTGACTCAAAGGGCGATGATGTGCCGGCATTACTTCTTCGCTTCTCGTTCCCAGGTAAGTTAGCTGTATTAAACAAGTTCCTTGGATCCCTATCCAAGCCCCGGCCATCTGACCAGTCTTGTCCATGACCGATGCTTCGTCTCTTCGCAGGAATTCCAGAGAAGGATAAGATGGACTCTTGTCGGCCATGACCGATCCCTCTGGACCTATCCGTGGTTGTAATGAACCGGGATTGTCGTTTTGCAGATTTCGGGGGGATTGGAACTTCTGTGGATGGTAGGACGGATGGCAAGGCTGCGTTCGTGTCTGTAAGAACACTTCCTTTCTCTAGCGCAGAGAAGCTTTCAAGTGGCGTAAGCGAAAAGTTACTATCTCTGAGATTGAGAATCGTGCTCTCGCGAGGTTGAATAGGAGGATTGCTATGCGTAGTAGGGTGAACTTGATTCGCGGAGAGAAACATAGTTGGCCGTCGAGAGTGGCCTTTGCGAGAGTAGTTGGAATAGTTTCGGTTTAAGTTATGCGTCTGGGAAGAACTTGTTCCAGATGATCTCATTGTTAGATATTCGCTGTTCTGGGTGTATCTCCAGCTATCGTCAGACAGGGCGTTGTCGGATTTAGACCGAGCCCTATTTCCAAATCCAGAATGGTGTGATTGACTCAGATGAGAGACCTGCGAGCCTGGAGCAGTTGACATGGTCAGTGATCGCCTCAGGGGATTGTTTGCGACGCCACTTGGATGCCTCCTGCCTTCTGCAGTCTCCGCCCCTGAGATCGGTCCCAAGACAGTCCCAGGTCTCGCATCATTCTGAATACCGAATCCAGACATATCCAGCTGGAGAGGGGGTGGGGGTGGAATTGTGGATACTGATTCGATCGTTTGGAAGCTTTCTGCAATACTTGGTGTTGCTTCCAGAGGGGATGATATGGAACGTTTCTCGACTTTGCCAGTTTCTTTCAGCTTCTTCGCCGCATGCCGTCGTGGATAGTAACAGCAGAGTATCAATAACATGGCTAGGAACAGTATCCCAAGAGGTATTACTATGGCTAGAATAATATCATTGCCAAGGCGTTTAGGCGAATTCGCCGCGATGGAGCTTGTCTCCACTGTTCTCGAACTGGTCGGAACTTGGGATGTTCGGGAAGTAAGTGTGGTTGAATGATGTGGCGCGGTTGATGTTAGGGTCTGATTGTTCGCGAATATTAACAAATCGAAAGCCTGGGACTTTGTAGTTTGGCGTGACTTCGATGTTGCCGACAATGTGATCAAAATCGTTGATGGTTGTGTGGAAGGCGGTATTTGCCCTGCAATAATTAACGTCTGCGGGTTGAAAGAGATCCATGCTTGCGGAGGGAGTATTTGCGCCATCATCTCCGTGTCAGATCTATTGGTGAGGTAGATGCCTAGGTCATATGAAAAGGTTGAGCCTGTAGTTGCGTTCAGACTTCCAATGGATTTGCTGAATAGAGAAACTGGGATTATGATCTGAATAAAAGCCTCGGCTGTATCGCCATAGATGTCTGTCACCTGGACCGTGATATTGAAAGAGGCGGCATCAACTGGCACAGTGCCAGTGAGTGCGAGACTTGAGTTATTGAAGGTCATCCATGATGGTATTTGAGCAGACGTTGCAACTATATCCGATGAATTCGGAGCCTGGCCGTCCAGTTCCAGATCTTGAAACAGCCCATCTAAGCGGAGAGTCTCTCCTACTGTTCCATTGATCACCATCTCGGTGTTCTTGAAGGCCAGTAGGTGAACGCCAACTTCAATATCAAAGTATAATGAGGCACCCCCGAAACCCTCAATATCCGTCGCTATGAGCTGTATTCCAAATGTCTGCGGAGGTTGTATAAGCGACTGATAGTCTGGACTCTGTCCAGTGAACGAGATCGTACTGTCGTCGAAATGAATCCAGGAGGGCAGTGGCGTGTTGGTAGAAGTTACTGCATAGTAGATGAATGTTGAGCTGCCATCACTTCTCGTGAATGTTGCGGGTTGAAAGCTGAAATTGAACGGCGTTGAAGGGTGGTAACGCAGTGTTGATGGAGCTGAAAATTTGCCTGAGGAGGCCAATTGGGTTGCTGGTACTTGCACTGAAGGTGCTGGGTTCTTAGAAACCACCAGTGTTGCATTCAATGTAATTGAGCCAGTGGAATCGCTGGCTGTCAAGCCAATGGGAACACCAGTAACTGTATCGGTGCCCACATCTTCGGTCGAAGGTGTTCCAGAGAGTATCCGAGAGTCGCTATCTAATGAGAGCCACTTAGGACCGCTTGACAGAGTGTATGTCATAGGAAGAGTGGATGAAAATGTCGAAGTGGAAAAGGCATAGGAGAAAGGAGTCGAGATTCGTGCTGCAGGCGGGACCTGAGAGTTCAATGGGTAGGCAATTGTCGGAATGGCATCTATGACAGACGAAAAGATTGCAAAGACCAAGACCAGACCCCGCAGACTCATCTTCCTAAATTGCCAGCGGGTTTTGAAACTTCGCTGGTTGAGAAGTGGTAAAGCAACCAGTATATCGCAAAGAGTGTGATGATACAGAATCGAGATGAACAGAAGAATATGCAGACCGACAGGAAAGGTCAAGAACATAGGATACCGACATGGTGCTGGTTGTCATCGAAGGTTAATTTTGGAGGCGCAGTGTAGGGAGATCGTCTTATCGGTATCGCCTTGCTTGGAATTCAACTGACAGAAGTGAAGAATGACAAACACTGCAAGGGATGGCGAAATTCCGCCCCCAACCCTTCCATAATATTCAGGAAACACCAATGTATAAAGTCTAAGGTCCCAGAATAATACAAGTTGGATGGCTTGGAGACACGTGCCTCGTCCCCGGAGGCTGAAGATACTTCGTTCCAACCACCGCAGGTCTCAGGTACTTCGATGTAGCTGCTACTGCCGCAGCATTTGTTGACACCGCGCCACCCATAGAGAGAACAGTTCTGAGCATCGTGCTGCCATTTGACTCCATCTATATTGGGACTTCTGGATTCCTCCTCAGTCTCGCAAGAGTGGCGAAGAGAGTGACGAGGGATAATTGGGAGCAAGATGTGCCCGGCCAATTTGGGTCATCTATGCGTACAGGACAAGCCGAATACAGCAAAGTAGGGGCGCAGTTGTGCTTTATCGATTCAGCACCAGCGCAGGAGGTTTCCCTTGCTGGCTTACGATGAAGAATGCAATCAAGGAGGGGTGTTGAAGCGAAGAAAGGGAAGCGAGCCGAGGAGAGTGGAAGCGGCGGGATAGGACCAGGACTGAGGTCAAAGTCAAAATCCTGGCTTTCGCGAACGCGCCGTGCCGATATTTAGCCGGTCGTTTCGTGACCCTCTTTGCCTCTTACGACTTCGGGTTCCGTTTACTTGCAATAACACGCTTGGAATGGCATCTCGTTCGGAGTCCCCAGAATTCTCTCCTCTGGCGTTTGGAGAAGAGCTTACAGCAGTGCCCGCTTACAAAGCGGCCTCCACGACCTCGATCAACTTCTCCAGTCTTCTGGAGCCCTCACTTGAGCTCCACGAAGACCTCAAATCAGGGTGCGGAGGTCAATTATGGCCAGCTGGTGTGGTGCTTGCTCAACAGATGCTACGTTATCATAGAGATGCACTGAAAGATGCCCGAATGTAAGTGTCTGATGGTTCTGCGACGAGTTTTCAGAATTGCTGATATGATTCCAAAGTCTCGAACTTGGAGCTGGGGGCGGCCTCGTTGGACTTGGCGTGGCGATTGGGTGCAAACTCCACCATACTCTCTACATCACGGATCAAGAGAACATGATGGGGCTCATGCACAAGAACATCGAGCTGAACAGGCTGGAATTACGTGTAAAGGAACTCGTTTTGAATTGGTAAGCGGCTCTGAAGCGTGTTTGATATGCTCTCTGATCAATCCTCCAGGGGTGATCCTTTACCAGAGGAAGTAATTAGAGAGAAGCCGAATCTCATTTTGGCCGCAGACGTAAGTGAATTTCCCGAAAAAGACACAAAATATCTCTGCTATGTGGTTAACCTTGAGATCTTACGTCTCATATCAAAGGTTCGAAGCATGTACTAATTCGGCGCGCATCTAGTGCGTCTACTTTGAACCAGCTTTCCCGTTGCTTCTTACTACCCTCGAGGATCTTCTTGAGCTTTGCAACGAAGCTGTCATCTACTTTTGTTTCAAGAAGCGGCGGAGAGCAGACATGCAGTTCATGAAGAATGCCCGTAAAAGATTCGAGGTCGAGGAAGTCGAGGACCAAGACAGGAAAGTGTTCTCCAGAGAGGGATTATTCTTGTACTCCTTCAAACGGAAACCATGAGTATCATGAAACGCAGCTTCAGTCCCGCATCTCATGCTTCTATTGAGCTCCTGGATGACTACCTATGTCTATGTCAGGAGCATTGACTCATCTGGCAATAATGAGTCTTGTGTATTGATGCGATCAAAACAGGTTGGACAAGCTATTGGTAAGTCGCAGCTGTGGACCCGTACACGAGGGGTTACTGCGCTGCAGCATCACTGCTTTGACGGGTTTGGGAAGCACATTTTTTCATCGCTTGCTCCCATATTGACACCAAGCAGGAATGCCGGCTCGTCAATGTTGTGATGTTCGTACGACAATACTCCAATGGCGCCAGGTTCTAACATCATAGGCAGAGTCATACTGAGTTCAAAGCCGATCCACCGTTTGGCAAAAGCTCTCAGTATGTGCCCGTGACCAATCAAAATAACATCCGCAGCTTTCTCTCCATGCATATACGGCCCATGTATCTCCTTGATTCTGGCGATTATCCGATCAAGACGTGCTGCCACTTCAGCAGCTGATTCTCCTCCCTCACAGCCATCCACCCATATATTCCATGGCCTGTCTTTGTCTAACCCCCGCTCCTTGCGACCTAGTCTAATCTGCGCGGTCAAAAGCCCTTCATACAATCCATACTCCCATTCTCGGATATCTTCTGTAGTCTCATAGGATCCAATGAGGTCTGTTCGCGAAGACTCGTCGAAGAGCAGCTCGTATGTTCGTTGTGCTCGAGTACGAGGACTCACGAACACGTGGGCAACTCTTGATGGATCGACAATCTTGCCTGGACCAACTATCACATTGGCCGACAAAGAAACCTGCTGTTCACCTTTGGCAGTCAACGGAATATCGCTTCGACCTGTGTAACGACCAGAAATCGTCCATTCAGTCTCCCCTGTCAAAAAGTCAGTGCTGCCATCGGATTCAACCAGAAAATAATTCGCAAAAAGGACAGCTGGCAGATTGGGTGCATTTGAGGAATATGCATACCGTGCCGCACGAGAAATACTCGGGGGGTTCCAGCGTCTTTGTCCGGCATAATGAAGGGTGAGGTCTTGGATGTGGAATGGCGGTGTTCACAACCGCCGCCACTATCTTTTTTTATGACGTCCGGCTGCCAAGGCGCTGTGCCTCGTTGTAAATCACCAGGACCCTCGAAAGTCTCGTCGGCAAAGTAGCCAATCACGGATGTGCAATACGAAAATACAACAACAGATGTAAATTTTTGCTCATTGATGATGTTAACTGATCATAGACTCCCATAGTTATCTAAATAAGAAGAATATATAAGCAGAAATATCGAGAACTGAACTGGGATCTTGTATCGCACGCTTGAACATCCTCCTTCAGATGATTACTAACACCAATCGAAATGCTATACGGCGGAATATCTTTGCAACCATCAACTCCACAAAGTCGCTTCTCAGGAAGCAATCTTTCTCCATTATCCCAGAGCTCGTCTAACTTTCAGAAGCGGTACACTTAGCAATATTTGACATTGTTAGTTGTTAACGAGGAGCCTTGGTGGGCTCAGCCGCTTGCGCTGTGGCATCTCCATCAGCAGGAATTGCCTTAGGTCCATCTGACTTAGTTGGCGTCAAGCAGGTTGGCGTGACAGCATTCAAATCGGCAGGTCCATTTCCGGCAGATGTCATTGTTTTGGAGGGCTTCATCCCGGTACTGGAAATTGAACTCGTTCTAAATTTGGTCGCCGTGGTACTTCCAGTGTTGGAATTATTCGCTCCACCAGTAGAAGTACCGTTGTTGCAAAGTGGAACGTTGATCACATCCCCTACGTTGAGAACATCCGGATTTTTTATCTGTGCGTTTGCAGCCAACAACGCTGGCAGCGTTATGCCTAGCTTTTCCTTAGCGATAATGATCAAAGTGTCTCCGGAGACGACAGTGATTGTCTTTGCCGTTCCGTTGGAGCAAGTAGCTGTGGGCTCGGCCAGTGGCTTCGCTGCAGGTGCAACGCATTTCGTGTTGGGGATCTTGATTATGTCGCCTACGTTGATCGATCTTGGGTTGGTGATTTGAGTGTTGACAAATTGAATTTGGTCGAGCGTCACATTGGCAGTTTTGGCGATCGCTGCTAGAGTATCTCCGGCTTTGACTGTCTGATTTGCAACGACATTACAGTTCGCGCCAATCTGTGCCAGGGCCGTGGCAAAGCACAACGCCATCAGTGAGAGGATTGAGGAGCGCATGATCATTGGGAGTGTTGAAAGTGGCAAAATAATGAAAGTGGAGGCAGTCTACGAAGGCTGCCAGAGCCGAGAAGAAGTTAGGATGGAAAGGGAAAGGAACTTGAATAAGATGATCAACGTCTACTTATAACGAAGAGTGGCTTGTTGTTCGGCATACTACTCAGATCTAAAGATTATGCATGAACCTAAGTGATTCTGAGCCGCAAGTATTCATGTCCAAGCACCATTTTTAACTTTGGGCAGGAGCTTTTGGGGAATCTTTCGGGCTCAAACTTGGCCAAACCAATGACAGCTGACTCGTTACCCTGTTCCAGAGTCAAGTTCAGATGGCTCTGCCTAATTTCGTGATAAACGTGGCTTGGTGTGGAATAGAGTTCACGATAAAACAGCCTCCGTCAGAGTCCAACGTTTAGGAAAATCCCAGCATCATCTCATGATACAACTGTATTCATGTAATCCACACTTGGAGAACGGACGGGACCTAATATTCAAGAGTGGCCCAATTGTTGTGCTTCTGTGGGCTACATATCGAGACTGTATTGGATCGCTTCCGAATGGTCCCAATTGACCTCGAAGTTGTCATTGACTAATGCTCGCCTGTTTCTATCAGCATCAGTAGGGCCATATGCCTACTCTGAATACTTATCTCGGCCTTTGCGAAGGTATTTAGTAGTCCTCACGGCCGCTACTTCGCAGTTGAGGAGATATGTCATGGCCTGCATGGGATGGGTGGTATGACAAGGATTTATTCGCCCAGCTTCCTTACCTAACGACTCTTCGACAACGTGCCATCTCTGTTTACTGTGAGATGAGGTCGATGATAGGTCGGCTGTCAGGCAGTCATCAGTCATGCCCATTTTATTACCCACCTTGGCACTGCAATGATGCGGCTAACGCCACGCTCGTCTTGTGGTAACTGATTGGTGGAACCACCAGTATTATTATATGGCATCCTGTCGCTGGCAGCTGTCACTCAGACGACGGCAACGACAACGCCAACGACTCGAGATCGCAGCGCAATACAAATGAGACCACAGGATACTCTATGCTGTGCGACATTGGTGGACTCATCTTCTTGCTTGGTTTAATTCTTTAGGTAAGCTAAGTTTCATGACGCTCGTCATTTATATTTCCATGTGAGTTGTCGCTCTTTCAGGTGAAGGTTTTAACTATTGAACCGATTCTCTTCTTCTTTTCACCGTCACTCGCAACTATCCTATGTCAGCACCGAATCTTCGGTTTCATGCCTTAAGGCACCCCGAATCGATACGTACCTTAATGGATTCGCTGTTTGATCACCAGGCTTCCACATCCCCATCGTTGCCGGCTTGTTTGCTGTCACCTCTGCGAGATTGACAGCTGGCCTCGGCCTGCTCTGCTTCCATCACATGTCGACAACTAGCAGTCTAATTCACCAGAGGACCGAATCTCTCCATCCATATGCCGAATAGTAGAAGTTGCTGAGATGCCGAATCATAACTCTACGGAGTCACTGTTCATGAAATAATGTCTCCTACCGCTTCACAACCAGTACCACCAGAATCACATTACATCGAGCCAATCTCAAAGTTCCAGTGCATCACTTACTAATTTTATGCATGATGCCAGCTAAAAGGTATTCATACAGTACACATACAGTCATTTAGCTCATCACCCCAATCCCCAACATTATTATCGTAGTCCTCGATCTCAAACGTCGAGCAGGAGCTACTAACGGGCCCAACTCCCGCCATTCCTGGTGCCTAATCGGGCTATTACAGGCTAGGTGACACTACACAGCATTCAAACAGCCCGAATCAATATCGCCTACGGAAACTACTACCGCGTACTACAGAATCAACCCGACACTACCATGAGTCACAAGCATTCAGGCAGTTATGATCAACGTTTTCTTCTTTCTCTTCAGCGTTGCTAATTTTCTTGAGCATGGCTTGGATATCTTTACCTTTCAATTAGCTTCAATTCTTTGATCTGCCACGGAACGGGTCAGAAACAACGGAGGAGCCGTTCTTTCTGTCAAACTCCAAAACGTTAAAGTATATGTTGACGAAGGGGGGCGCGAAAGGCCAACGCAATGTGAATGCCGACAGGTTTATAAACACACGTCTATGGCACAGGTGTAACATGGCATACACTAATTACATTTAGTGTCCATATCATAATTGTACATGGGTATCTTTGATCTTCACAAATATTGGCAATGGTACAGTAAAATAAGTTAGATTATAGATTCAACACATGCTAGTCAAACAAGCTGGTAATTTACCACCATTCCTCCTCTTCCTCCTCACCGAATCCCACTGCCCACACCTTTTCAAGTCCCCCACCTGCATCGGGTTCATCCTGTCCTTCTTCATCCAGAACTACCTCCAAGTCTCCCCCCAAGCCGTCCAAGAATTGGCTATCCACCCCTGCAAGCTGAGTTTCCGTCCTCCTCATAGCGTCAATGAGGGCTCTGCGGCGCTTGATCAAACCAAGAGCACTCATAGTGAAAGGATCAGCTGATAAGCCAGTAGCCTCCAACCGGCGCAGCACGTCAACGGTCATAGCAGTATCTTGCATACGAGCATAACCCACGGCGAGTTTGTTCCATGTGACTTGGCTTGGTGTGATTTGTCGTTCGCTCATCATTTTGAGGACCTTCTCTGCAGCGCGGGGCTGGTGGTGGTCCATGAAGATCTTGAGCAGGATGGACCATGTGTAAACGTCTGGTTTAGGAGGTGTGACGCCGATAGGCTCAGGCACTTCTGTTCCAGCAAGTGGTTCGGACGACGAGTCAGAAACGGAGTCAAAATTCTCATCCTCCACGGTAAGTGGCTCATGAACGACATCTTCCAGCTTGAACAGCATTTGTGGCTCGGCACGTACGCGTTCTCCCGAATTGAGTGGCTCCACGTTAATCGCTTCTGGGCTGAGCGGTAGCTGTAAGTCAGTGTTGATGGTGTGGTCTTGCTTCTTCGTGGTGCTTTCGTCCGACACCGATGACTGAGACGATGTAGAAGACTGGTCTGACCCAGACAGCATATCTCCGACAAGATTTGAGCAGTCTGCTAGTCGTTCGGAGAATCTGCCTATTACCATCAAGACGAGGTTCCAGACATGCGTTGTCATTGTCAGTGGCACGACAACTGGGTCATTCCGGATAATCAAGCGACGAAAATTCTCATAAAATTCCATCGCAGTATGTGGTGTGTCCGCATTGTCAAGATAGCCTGTAACCATGACGACCAGGGTTGGGCGAGGTGGGTCGTGCAAATGATCGTGTGGACGATGAATGAATTGACTTAGACCTGGATATTTTTCTAATAAGTTGGGGATGATCTGAGCCAATGGCCCAAGATGAAAGTGGTTACAATATACATGAAGCATTCGATCGAAGGCTGGCTTGTCCTGCTGTACTGAACTTCCATCTTCTTTGGATGATTGCCGTTCTTGTTTATGAAGAAGTAGAATTGCATGTAGGACATCTGTGATAATCCAGTCGTTTCTGATGCTGTTCTGCCGGACATGATCCATGACAGCCCTGATAGCAGACGCGTCCATCCTCAGTTTTGCGTCATTCAAGAGGATGGAATAGGTGTAAGCATCTGGTTTTAGACCTGTTTCTGTCATTGTTTCAAAGATCTTCCAACCCATCTCGTGGTTTCCGGTATCCAATGAGCTTTTCATCAAGATGTTGTAAATGTTTGGGTTGGATTCAGCGCCTGCCTCCAGTACGAATCGGAACATATCAATCGCTGGTACCAGCGGCACACCGTCCTTGACCGACATTTTCCGATGTGCCTGTTGAAGTAAAGTGGAACACAGGCTCAGCATCTTTGGCGAGTTGAAGGCAGATCCTTCATCTCTAAGTCTTTGTAGGATCCTGCAAGCAGTTTTGATATCCCCATTCTTTGCAAGTCCACTCGCAAATTGAAGGAGGGTATTCTCATGCATGGGGTGGCCGACTTTAGCCAGAGATCGATAGATGTTCTTCGCTGTCCATGCCCTCCGCTGCAACTTCAGTAATTTTCCAGACGTGCACCTCAACCCTCCTGTGTCGAGACAGATCATGTGCAATAAGCGAAACAGAGTTCGCTGAGAAAGGTGGACATGGTCCGCTGGACCTTTTTCAAGAATAAAACGGATTGTTTTCGATAAGGCTACAAGAAATTCTGCCCCGTAGCCATCTCTATTCTCGTTGTAATGGGAAATAATGAAGTCGAGGCTATCAGAAACTGCAAAGCCAGGTGGATACGGCGGCATGAATGTCGCCTTAAGGAATCCAAGAGCCTCACTCGGATAGTATGCCAACGTGGTCAGCATAATCTCTTGCCATGTGTGCCCTCTCTGAACTAAAGGTATCTCCATCCATCTCTGCCGAATGAATGCTGAAGATTTCTTCTCAACGAATTTCCGGATGAAAGGCTCAGCAACCCGAGAATAACGAGGCATAGCCATGTTTGGCTTGAAACTGTCTTTCAAAGTCCCATCACGCCAAGCACAGAGCATCGCGAAGCGCCAATTCCACCAGGAAGAGTACTTGAAGCAGCCAAATTTTCCTTCCGGCGTGACTCTGACATACTTCAGTCGTAATTTCGGCAAACCTCTGGCATGATGTAGGATTTTGAACCTGCGAATGATTCGTTTCTGACCCATCCAATGCTCCCTTTGCTTGGATATTCTGTTCAACTTGGACTTCCGAAACCATGCTTTTCGGGGTTCGACGATTCGCTCCAATTCAATCTGGCGTGAGAATTCCGTCGGGATGCTCGAAAATTTGAGACGTAGCTGGGATTCTTGTCCTTGACAAGTATCCATCACTCTTGTGACAAGAGCGACTGGGCTTTCAGGGGGGCGCCTTCTCATCAATCCACCCCATATCTCTTCGTACTTTGTCTTTAAGTCATCCTGGTCTCCAGGGAGCTCGGAAGGCTCCCAAGACCCCCCCTTATTTTCTACCGGGTTCCTTAGAGTATCTCCCACTCCTCCTTGCAGAACCTTGGACTGTGGCAGATCATGCTTCTGTCCTTCTTTGCGATTGTCTTTACTACCACGGCTCGAATTTCTTGGTGCCACGTCACAAGTCGTTTGGGGTAGAACATTACTGTCCTCCCAAGAATAACGAGACGTCTCGGAATATACTGTAGCTGGTGACCCTGAATGGTAGCTTCGAAGGCTGTGCGGCCAAGGCGCGAAGACTCGGGGAGCGAGGAATGGGAGGATGGGCAAATCGAACGTCAACCGGCGTTTCGTCAGCAGATCCAGTCGTGGAGGCATCAGCTACAGGTGCAAAGGTTCAGTGTTCCATTGCATTTGGGAAGCACCATGGAGATGAAATCAGTCGAGCTGCCGAGTCGAACGTCGAATAAACCAGACTGCACTACTTGTACTTGGGAGGCTGGAAAGTTCCAAAAAAAACAAAATAAGGTTATCAGGCTAGCCGACATGATCAGGCTGACAGAAGTTTGGTTCCTGAACTAAAGTACCTACCAAGGCGAGCAAGGTAAACGCTAAACATGACCAGCCTCTAGCCCCGCGAAACCTCATCTACCAAGAGCCCTTCGAACCGAGAAAATAGGTACATGGCACGACTCCCGTCAATCACATTCCACATTAGAGAACATGTCCTCGACACATGCAACTTTGGGTGCGGCTGCAGATGAGCGCAAGGCGCGCCTGGCCAAGCTCAAAAATCTCAAGCGCAAACAACCCGGCGACGAAATTGTAGCACCTGAATCAACACGCTCGGCCTCACCACCTAACGAACCTGATATTACAAAGATACACCTCTCAGGAAGGAACTATGATCCTGAAACAAAGGGACCAAAGCTTGGCTTTGAAGCGCCACCAACGTTAGCCGTCGAGAAAACCTTGGAACAACAGGCAAAGGAGGTCGAGGATGAGATCCGGAAAAGGGCTGAGGAAGAGGAGCACGATGACAAAGGCGTGGATCTGTTCAAGCTGCAACCAAAAAAGCCGAATTGGGACTTGAAGCGGGACTTGGACCGGAAGTTGGTGGTTTTGAACGTGAAGACGGAGAATGCAATTGCGAGAATGGTGCGGGAAAGAATCGAGGGAGCTCAGGAAGCTGCAAAGTCGAAATCAGGAAGATGGGCAGTTACAGCAAGTGAGGGAGGGGAGGAAATGGGTATGGAGGGTATTGCTCTGGTTGAAGGTGTAAAGTTGAGGGAAAGGGAGGAGGAAGAAGAAGAGAGGAGGGAAAAAGAAGATACCGAAATGGTGTAAAAGTTTAGTGGCTGGGATCATCACGGCGTTAGAGGCACAGAGAGGACATCAGATTGGAGTCTGGCGTTCTCAAATCACAAAGGCATATGGCTTAGCCAGGGTAATCTTATTATCCTACACTTACCATCACTCATCGTAGAATTTGGCAAAAGGCATGTACAGTGAACTCTGTGATGAGTCTCTGATCCAGCCTTCTTTTAAACACGATATCATATTTTAGGATTCATTGCTTGAGTTAAAGCGAGTCGCTTACTGAACGGACTCAGGCTTCTCTCTCTAGGGGGTGCTCTGTTCTCGACAGCACCGAGCCCATTCCTAGGCCTAGGATCCAGGCGGTCATTTGACAGTCCCCGTCGTTTCCAATGCGGGCTTCTGCTCTCGGTAGCTCTTCCTCTGGCCGGTGGGCTTTCTTCTTTATACCGTCTTCTGGTGCTTCGACTCTCAACTCGCTCTCTCGACATATTTCCCTCGTCTGAGCTATATACGTCCACTGAGGAAACGGATTCCCGCCTCCGCTTCTTTTCAGAGTCTGTAAGGTGTCTAGGAGGGATCAAAGACATAGAACGGGACCTTCGACGAGGTGGCGAAGCGCTTCGTGATGCAATCTTGCGCGAGTTGTCCTTTCCGAAGTCTCGTGGAGACGAAAGTGAACGTGAAACTCCTGTAGATATCGTTGAAACGGAGACTGACGACGCTGACCTCATTCTCTTTGATGTACCAGGAATGGCAGGGTCTTCGCCTTCTCTTTCACGCTTCCTGCCCCTCTCTTGATCGGATTTAGCTAGCAACTCATCTGCCACCCCTTCCCTGTTTACATCTTATCAGCTCAGGCTCAGAGAAGAGGAGTAGTTTTGTATCGTACTTTCTGAGTAGAGCTTGTGGGACATCACTTGTTAACTTGGGTTGAAGCTTCGGATTCAGCAGCTGTTGTGTCCGAGACGGGCGAGAAACATAAGGCCGTTCTTGGACCACAGCTTTACACTCGTAACTATAATGGCGTAAGCCCCAGTTAGTCTTCAGAAGTTCTGCATTCGAGGATGTACTTATCTCTTTTCAGGCACTTCTGGCATAACGTTGTAGCTGATGCCTTCGAAGGTCCTCCCAAAGTTGGACCTCTAGTGTATTGATTCATTGTAGGCTTCGCAGACATCGCAGAGAGGAGGTTGAATTGGGCTTTCCCTATCGCCGCACGTATGTGCCGAGGACCGGATACTGTGGTGAATGCGCAACAATATCCTCAAATGTCCTCTCTCTGCGAAAAACTACTGGCGGCGTAGAAGTGGCAGGTTGGTCGCAAAGACTGAGCGGCCATATATCAAGCCAGTAAATAGTCCCTGGCGAGTTTCTAGTCTCAGCTTCTGTTCTGTGCCATTAGCCAATGAAATTGCCTGAAATGATTTATCATATGCCATTCAGGTCTCTGTACTTGCTATAATTAACCCAGCAGCTACAGTCGATCTGTGCAGTTGGGTTGGCACCGACACTTTGACGCTCTGACGACTTGATGATAATCTGGCAATGTATTCTTTTGGCACAGCTTTATTTCATTTCGTGGATGGAAGAGGCGCTACTAGCTAAGCTCGGTAGATGCACCTGAGGTGCACTTGAGCGAGGCAGGGAGGGCAAGCCAGACGATAACTTAAGCGCACGCAGCCTTCTTCTGGAGCGACCACTTCAAGCTCTGCTCCATTCCGCCTGCCCTGCCTGTCCTGCCTTGCGTGCCCTGCCTTGAGTGCCCTGCCTTGCCTGCCTTGCCTTGCCTGCCCTGTCGCTCACTCCCACCCACTGCCTCTGCCTCTGCCTGCCTCTGCCTGCCTCTGCCTCTGCTCGAAACTCCGAGCTGAAGGTATGCTCTAAATTCTGCACCAACGTCAATATCGAGATCCCACTCTTCCATTCTGTCTCTGTGCAGACACTGATCTGATCTGATCTGATCTGATCTGTAGCAGAACGCTCGAGTGGAGTTGCGTTGTGGTTTTGAACGCGGTTGTGGTCGTGGTATTGCAGCCTCGAAACGGTTCCATCATTGTCGTACGCCGAACGGGAAGGCATCAAACAGACATCAGAACTTTGTCAACTTTCCAGCTTGATCGTCCATCACCGACTTACCGACTCACCCACCTGCCCACCGACTGTTTGTCCGCGACGACAATGACCAGATGTCTTTTCTCTTCAACTGGCGCACTTGTTAACTTTCTCCCTTAGTTTTATTCAAAAGCTTTCGTTCTCTCAGGCTTGTCGCCTGGCTGCGATTCACCTTTGTCCAGTTCGGACTCCTACGCTCTTTTGCTGCAGCCAGATTCAGATCTGGTTAAACACACTTCTTCAAATATGGCGACCGCACCAATGGCCGCAGACCGATCCCGGCTTTCCTTCGCAAAGGTACACCATTTTCCACCTTCCATAATTACACCCGCCCGGTTTGATATATCCCATGAATGCTCGACTGACTTCATTCACTTTGTACAGGTAGCTGCGTCTGCAGGAAAGGATACTATGTCCTCGTATGCCAACGCTAAAGTGGCAGCTGGGAATCCAATCCGAGACCGAGATCGAGATCCGCGAAAGGAGAACATACCAGCACCAGTTCAGGAGGGGATGGAAGATGACGTCGGTCAACTCGGTATATCTACATATAGGAAGTCCTCTGCCAGTGAAATTGCACCAATTCATCTTGGGGGTGGCTCCTTCAGTGAGGCAGAAAATGTGCAAGAGCAGCCCGATGCGTCAGTCAAAGGAGCTCATGTCCCAGCCGGTCTTCGCCCGGAGCCTAGTATTACTGAGGCGAAATTGGTCGACGCTGTCAAGGCGTTGCAGGTCAGTTCTCCAATGCCCAGTCTGGTGGTGAACGGATCAGGTGTTGGCAGCACCAAAGCCAAACCTGATGGCATGGAACCATTTTCCGAGGACCTCTTTCAACGAACGGATTCTGGATCAGAGTTGGGAACAAAACCTCCGAGTCTGGATGGAAAGAGCATCACTTCGGGAACAACTTTTGCGTTGGATGAGAAGGAATCGTTGCGTCCCGATGACAGTGCAAGCGTGAAAGCTGCTGAGGACGATGACACATTCTCAGGACGAGGTTCCATTGTTGCTGGTGGAAGTCGAATCGGCTCGGAGGCGTCTCGTGCATACCGAGCCCAGTTTTATGAAGCTCCTGAGCGACGAAGCATGCAGCCAATGCAGGAACGCCAAAGTCAAGGAGTACACACGCCCCAAAGTGGTTCGTCCTCGCAGCAAACTACGGACGACGGAAAGTCCAAACCCCTTCTGGTTGGCCCTACAGGTGCACCAGATGGTTTTAGTCTATTTTACCGTCAGACTCCGGATGAAAAGTTACTGGAGGCTTTAGAATCGCCCAAGGACCGAATTTTCCTTTTGAGACTGGAACAGGATGTGATTGAGTTCGTGAAAGACTCCAAGTACGTTCCTACCCACCTATATTCTACTTGACCGATAGGATCATAAGATCCGCCCTCCGAGCTGAGTATCTGTTCTGAAGACAGACTAATTGAGAATAGGGAGCCGTTCATCGATCTTCCACCATGCAATTCATTCTGCCGAATGCTCACCCACAAGCTGGCCGACTACTACCATATGACCCACCAGGTCGATGCAATTGCAGGCGCCGTACGTATCTTTCGAACTCCCTTCTGTCGACTACCACCCTCGTTGACCAGCATCTCAAACCCTCCTACTACGGGAAACACACCTCCACCAACTATACCTACGATGAAGATCATGCGTCGAGGAGGTGATGGAGACACTGGACCAAGTCCTTCCAAGGCCACTTCAGAGACCGGCAGTGATGGTAAAGACAAGAATCTTTCTGCGAAAGAGAAGTAAACATTTCTAAACAAGCATCAGTTACAAGTTTTGCTAACTTGACCTCAACAGGCTATCTCGAGAAGAACGAGAGGCTGCGTATAACAAGGCTAGGGAACGCATATTTGGCAAGGAGGAAAATACTGGTGATGCTATTCCAGGTAAACGCGAGTGATTTCATTTATTTTATCAGCGCACTGACCATATTCAAGATACTGAAGACGTGAATGAGATGTCCCGCTCAAGTTCCGTCTCAACCAAAGACAGAGCTCCTCAGAATAAGAGACCGAAGGTGCCGAAGCAGCGTCGGGACGATTCGGAGAGCTTTGACAGACGCTCACAATATACACCGTTCTTTCCTCAGCCTCCGGTACCAACTTGGGTGCCACAACCTCAATATCCCACTGTACCCACTCAGCCATTCAATGGAACTGTCCAGAACAACTATCAAGCTGTAATCCCACCCTTTGTTCAGCCTGTTCAGCAATACAGCCAGAACATGATGAGCAATGGTAATATGCAGCAGTACAATAGCATGGCACAGGTGAATAGAGGGACATCTTGTTTGTGTACTTGGCTAAGTGTTTTATAGCAGTATCCTCAGCGGTATCAGCATCATAGTGCACCAATCACTACGTACGGTACCCCGGTTCAGTCGCCGCAGATTCCAGTCCAACAGTGGCAACAACAGCAGCAGCCTCTTTACCAGAACCAAACTCCTTACCAACCACAAGCACCCGTGAGAGGGCCTCCAAGCTCGATCCCGTACGCCTTTGGCCAACTGCCTAGCACCATAAATCCAGCTGATCCAAAGAGTCAGCATCCGATTCCTGGAAGTTTTAATCGACATGCTTTCAACCCAAAGACCCAGTCTTTTGTACCCAACAATCCTGGTCTTCCAATTCCTCAGCCCATGTCACACCACGGTTCTCCTCACCAAGGTTCTCCGCACCATGGCTCTCCTCACTTACCCTATACTGGCTATGCTCCACCGCAACCACAATATGGTAATGGAATGGGCTACAATATGGCTCGACAGGGCTCTAACAACTCTTTGCCATCCTATCATGCATCTCCCCACATGGCTCATCGTCCCATGATGCAACAGAATGTTTCACAAGGTCTTCCTTCAGGACTGCCACACGGAACTCAAGGTCTGCATCAAAGCCTGCCACAAGGGATGCACATAATTCAAGGCGGTCAAGTCGGTACCCACCTTCCCCATTATGGTAACCCTTCTACTCTTCCTCCAAAACCCAAATCTGGAGTTTAAGAAGACTCATGTGATAACATTCGGTGGCGTATGGCGATTGCGGGCAGAAAATGAAACTTTAGTACCAGGTTTACAACATTGAGCTGATAGACAATACAATCAGAATCACAGATAATAAAGCATTCATCGAGTATGGTAATTCTATATGAGGCACCAAAGCATTGCCCGCCGTAAACGCCTTACTTTTTCCATTTCTGTACAAGCTGCAGTGAAATGCATGGAATTTGGAAATGTTTCATGATCACAAATCTGATCTACTCGTTAGGCTCTCTTGTCTCTCGTCCACCTCGTCCACCCCCACGAGATTTGCCGCCTCGTCCTCCGCGTTGACTCTTCTCTCCACTACCACTCTCCCCTCCAGTTGCTGCCACAGCGTCCGACCCTCCCATAGTGAGAGTAGCCGTAGCCAGTCTTTGAGAGAGCTCGATTTGGGTACGAATAGTGTTTGCCAAGTAAGAAACGACCAAGACGTCCTGGATATGGTTGTTGAAATCCCGCTCTATGTCTTGTGGGTCAACTTTTGGTGACAGGGACAAGGCGTTCATGAGGAACTGTCCCAGAGCATTCGAAGGTTCCCTTTCTTCGTCCAGAACCGAATTGACGTAATCTGATACGCGCTCAAGGAGGTCAACTGTCTGGTCCACAGCACGTTCCAAACCCTCAATATCCGACACAACAGGCGCAGCTCGGCTCTCGCTATCCTTGGCTCCTGAGATTAATTCAAGACCACTCTTGTCAGCCTCGCCATATCGGATTTCGTATGGCACTGGGATGAAGAGACAGCTCTCGGCGGCGCGCTCAGCGTTGACTCCAACTGGTGCACTAATGTATGCCTTTGCCTCAATATCCTTTCCAGCCTCGGTCGAGATAGTGAGATGAACAGCTGGGTGGGGAAAGGTTCCAGTCTCGGGGCTCGCGAAGAAGTTCTGGATTAGAGCGCTGAAGTTGTTGAGTGCAAGGCTCGTTGTGTACCATCCAAGTAAGACTTCTCTGGGATTCGCTTTCAGTTGCAGAGCAAGCATGTTCTTCTGGTATTCAACATCGACTTCGACCTGGTCTTCGTTCTCGGTGTGAGGGATTGCAAAGCAGTTTCTGACCTCCTGAACACCTAATCAGTATGGGAACTGAAGCAGGGCGACTTTGTACGAACCACCTCCATGCCATCCTCCGATCTGACTCCCAGAAGTGCTCCGATCACCCTGGTAGCTTGAGTCTGCGAATCATCGCGGCGAATAGAGTGGTCTAGGATAGAGAATACGGCCTACGACATGTGAGTAGCTGTTCGCGGGAATTGTGAAGAGATCCATCAGCGTACACTTGGCTGGATGACAACATTCAAGGGCGCGGTAGAGGTAGTGACTCCGAGAGAGGCTGGCGCAAGAGGACGCGCAAGATGCAAGAAGTTCTCCGGGCTGACCGCCATGCTGGGCAGATGTGTGAAGTCGAGGTTGCTGGAGATTAGGTTTTTGCTCCTTTCCCCCTCAATGGTTTTCGCGTTGTGGGCTCAAAGCAACCTAAGTTAGGCTGCGTAGCCGATAACGCTAAGATAAGGAATTTACATTGTTTGGACTCATGTTCAAAATCTTTTCTAGGAAGATTTTCGGACTATCGTCAAGAATACTCGTCACATTCAAACAACGAAAATGGCATTTCAAGGTCCTAGGGGTAGTTCCGGAGGTCGAGGAGCAAATTCTGTTAGCTCGAGAGGTGGCCGTGGTGGAGCAGGGGGAAGGCTTGGTGGCGGATTCAGAGGTCGAGGAGGAGGGGCATCAAGGTCCAGAGGCTCTGCTCCTCGAGGGCGGGGTGGTTTTCGAGGTAGAGGCAAACCTTTATTTGACAGTCAGAGATTGGCGCAGCAGAAGGAAGCGTAAGATACTTAGCCCAACTTCTAAAAACGTTACTGACGATAGCTAGAGAGGATGCTGAAGATTCAGGACCAGAAGGATCTTCCGAGGAAGAGGAAGCCAGTGATTTTGATACAAGTGACGAAGAAGAAGTGCCAGCTCCAGCTGCTCAATCTTATGCATCTTTGATGCGGAGTTTTGTGGCGGAAGCTACTCCTCAGGCAAAGAGGAGGAAACTTGATCACGTTCCTGTGCTGGTGCAGCTTGACGTGGAGGAAAATTCATACGCCAAAATCGACGATGCCGAACAAGTTGAGGAGCTAGAGGAAGACCCCGAAACCGCGATTGAAGGCATCCTTGGAGATGAGGATGAACCAGAGGATTTTTCAGACCCTTTTGAGGTACACTTCGCTTCACCAGACGACAACGTTCTTGCGGGGAGGCTCAAGGCACTCGAGCTAAAGCAATGGACATCGCAGAAACTTGCATTTCCGAAATCTGGCAAAGCCTTAATTAGCGTTCCAGAGAAGGAGATGTCGAAGATCGCTCTACCGGTACCAATTTCTGGTCCTGGCGACTTGAAGCTAAAGCAAAAATTGGCCGATGCCATGACGGCTCAGAAGCCGATATTTGATCCTCTTGAGAATTCAATTGGGCCACTTATTTTTGGCTACCAAGACGTGTTCTACTGTGATCGTAATGCGACCAACTCGGAGAGCTTACGAAGATTGACTTGCTTACATGCCATTAATCATATTTCCAAGTAAGTGAAACCAAATATCATGAAGAGGTGTCGCTAACAGAAGACTAGAACTCGAGATCGGGTGATCAAAAACAATACACGCCTTTCCAAGGAGAACAATAGTGATGATCTCGAACTTCGGGATCAAGGCTTCACTCGGCCCAAGGTACTCATGATTCTGCCTACCCGACAGTCCTGTGTACGAATGATAAGCATGATATCGACTTTATGTGAGCCAGAGCAACAGGAGAATCGAAAACGCTTCGATGACTCATATGTGATCAAGGACGAGAAATTCCTTTCTGACAGACCAGAAGACTTTCTGGAACTTTTTGATGGCAACGATGACGATATGTTCCGACTGGGTCTGAAATTTACTCGAAAGACTATCAAATACTTCTCACAGTTTTATAACTCGGACATCATATTCGCTAGTCCACTGGGATTGCGCATGGCATTGGAGGGAAAGGACGACAAGAAGGGAGATCATGACTTCTTGAGTTCTATCGAGATGGTCATAGTGGATCAAGCCGATGCTCTCCTAATGCAGAATTGGGAACATGTTGAGTATATCTTTGAGCATTTAAATCTGCAACCAAGAGAAGCACATGGGTGTGATTTTAGTCGAGTACGGAGCTGGTATTTAGACGGCAAGGCCGCCAACTTTCGACAAACGATTGCTCTGGCTTCTTTCAACACTCCTGACCTCAATACTTTGTTCTTCAACCGGTCCAAGAACTGGGCAGGTAAGGCCAAGATTAGCGGTACTTATACAGGGGCGATTCAAGAGTTAGGATTCAGGGCGAAACAGACATTCTGTCGCGTTGAGTCGCCATCTTTTGTCACAGATCCGGATGTTCGTTTCACTTACTTCACCACGGCCATCATTCCCTCGCTTATCCGCCGTATGAAGGATGCCGCTGGCACCGTCGTATTCATCCCATCGTACCTTGATTTTGTACGTGTCAGGAATCACTTCGCTACCTCACCTGCCACTAGCACATTATCTTTTGGCAACATTTCTGAATATACGTCAGTCAAAGATGTTGCCCGAGCACGATCTCATTTCTTAAATGGAAGGCACAGCATTTTACTTTACACAGAAAGAGCTCATCACTTCCGCCGGTATCAACTCCGGGGTGTGAAGAAAGTCATCATGTATGGGCTGCCTGACAATCCAATATTCTACAAGGAAATTGTTGGCGGTTACCTTGGAAGAAGCGTACAGGAGGGAAGGTCAGAACCGGGCGAGGGATCAGTAAGAGTACTATTCTCGAAATGGGATGTACTGAAGCTTGAGAGAACAGTTGGCACAGAGAGAGTCAGAAAAATGATTCATGACAGAGGCGATACCTTTGACTTTTTGTAGAACAGTGATAGCAAACTTCTCATCCCAAAACACTCTATAGCTGAGAGGCCCCAGGCCGACCAATGATGTTTATCTGTGGTTTATAATATTACAACATCCATCTTATACATCCATCCTACACAGTGCCGCCCCATCTGGCTTCCTCATTTGCGGAATCATTCCTCTCCTTCACCTTCAACCCGCCCATTCTATCCACCATGGTCTCTAAATCTTTGGCTCCCTCGGGCCTGTACCGTGTAACTTTCTGGACATTCCTTGCTGTCATCTCACTCTGTTCTAGGCCCTCCGCCCTCTGTCTTGCTAGCGTCCTCGCAGTCATTGCAAATCTCATATCCTTGGGCCCATCTACAAGCTCTAGAATTGCGGACGGGGCATGGTCTGGCTTCAATGGCTCGATTCGCAGCACTCGTGTATAGCCGCCTGGTCTCTGCGCATATCGTTCTCGAAGCGGTCCAAAGAGCTTTGGGAGGAGTTGATGTGGTGTCTAGACCAGTCAGAATTTTTGAGAACACGAAATTTCAGCATTGAAGTTGTGTCGTAGGTGAGAGGCATACGTAGAAGATGCTCAAAGCCCTCCTTCTGCTAGCTTCTGTATTTTTTTTCCCCAGCGTAATGAGCTTGTCTGCCAGCCGTTGCGCCTCCTTGGCTTTCGGATATGTCGTCGATATACTCTCATGCGTGAATAAACTGGTAACCAGGTTCCGCAGCAGGGCCTGTCTGTGCGAAGATTTACGGCCCAAATGGCGATATTTCTGTACAGCAAGGTAAGGACGAATTCCTCCACAGAGCAGCTTCAAGTTTGCTCCCAGGATCAACTTACCATATGCCCACCAGCCATACTGTATGATTACGTCCCGCAGATTCGAGTGACTCGTCGTAAGTATCGACGTGGTTGAGAAAATTCCGAGGCGCCTCTGAGGAAGACGTTTGTTGTCTGATTTGATGCGAGGTTGCAGATCTCCCGCGATCAAAATTCGCGAGGTGGCTCAACCGAGCGACCACTCCTTTCACCAACAATCCTGGCGGCTCTTACTCTGCAAGCTCTGGGAGCTTCTACCATCCCCACAGGAGTCGTGTTGCTCCTACAGATCAACGACCTATTCTACGAGTTCCAGCGCTGCGAGCGCGACCTGGACAGGCCACTATGGGTTTCACAGCTGGATTCGTAAGTTCTTGGAGACTCCCCCTTGCGCAAGGCCGAAGCTCACAGATAAAAGACTGGAGGGGTGACCTTGACATTGGGAATAGCGTACCTCACAGTCCTTGCTCATGAACGAAATCGACGAGCACAGAGCGAGACTCTCCGATCTCACGCCTTCATGCTTGACAGGCTCCTCCATCCGACGCCTCTACCATCCCCACAAAGCCGTGCAGAATTCGCACGCGAAGAACGAAGCACATTAGTTGAGACCGCAAAGGACAGGTGGAATGCTGAAGTTGAGAATGCAGTGCGTTGGGTGCAACGGACGGATTGGAACGATATGAGGGAGAGCATCGAAGGAAGTGCGGCACGGCTACTGGGAGGAGGGCTACAAAAGTCAAGGGATGTCGTTGAGGAGGCAGAAAAAGCAGCTGCGCCAAAGTTCAAAGAAGCCATTGGTAGGAGCAAAGCAGCTGCGCAGAAAAGCGCAGACCGAGCTGCTATTGAAATCGACCATGCAGCTGCGAAGATGATCCGAGGAGCTGAGAGGGCTGGCGTTGAGGCAAAGGAGGAAGCAGGTAAGATTGCTGCTGCTGCGAAAAACAAGCTTTCTCAAGCTGGAGTAAAAGCTGATGAGGCTCGAGATGCGGTGACTGTGAAGACAGAGCGATTCGGCGCCAGCGCCAAAGCTGGAGGTCATGACGCTACAGAAGCAGTCAAGCACAGTGGTGGTACCATTGATGCGGCGCGTGGAGCTGTGAGGGATGCCGTAAGCAAGGGCATTGAGAAAGGGAAAGAAGCCATTGGAAAGGCACAGGCGATTGTTGGGCTTGCCAGCGAGACAATCGAGTCCAGAGGACAATCCGCTGGATTGAGCCATTCTTCGGTTGTGGAGAGGGCTCTTCATGAAAGGTATCAACAACCTACCTTTCATGAGAAGTCTGTAGAGGAAACTCTTGCGGAGCGTTATACTGAAATCGATTCGAGAGACAACACTCGACTCCGTGGTGTGTAAGCTATGTACTGGAATAATACTTTTTTGGTGTTATGTTTTACTTGCCATGGTTGCAGTTTCTGTGCTGAAGTCCGTTATACGAGCCTTGTTGAGCAGATTACCAAGTGGTGGCTTAAAGCAACTTTTCCTGCCCTCTACATGCTCTTGACTCAACTTGCCTCGGGTATTATCACTTAACGTAGATTATGTGTCCCTGTTTGTCTTGATTGCATGTCTTCGACAAAGGCCCTCTAATTCAGGATCCGGGATGACAGATGTTCAGATTCAGTGACATCCTCTAAACTCAAGCTTAGACAGGGACTTCGTCCAGCACAAATATGCATTTTTGCCATTAACTGCTAAAAACATCCATCGGTACTACTGAGCACCCGTCCGTACACAATTTTCATCCGTTGGTGAAACATGTCTACTGGAGAATTAGGATGACGCAGCTTCGTACTGCTCTCTCAGCAGCTTTTTAGTCTCCAACTTCTAAAATGTGCTCCGGTGAGATCAAGGCTGCAAACATTCGCTCCACTGTTAGGGGTTTCAGTGCTGAAGGGCTAGGATTGTCGGAAAGTAGCAGTGCATTCAAGTCCTAGAAGAAAATGGTAGATATGCTAGATCTGTGAACCAATTTGGCCCTTTTCAACTGACACCCGTTGAACTTAAAACGAAGTCGCATTTCGTAAGAGCGTCCAAGTGATGCTCTTCTCTCTCGATCCACCCCATCTCTCCAAGTGCGCATCCACAGATCCAATATCTTTGAAACCATTCTTCCTAAACATGTTTACCGAAGTCGGCCTCGCTGGCACCCCCGTCCTATCACCGCTTCCGTCGGAGATGGCATTGCAGTGCTTAGTGAGCTCCGTACCAAATCCCCTTTTCTGATAGTCCGGGTGGACCATTGTGCCCTTTCGATCTAAAACACTGTCAGATAGACCTGTCTTGTAGCTGGTAGGAGAGTTGTGTCACGGTAATCTTCCTCGGGGTTCCACCCATGGTTCTTCGAGTCTGTTAGGCTGATGAAAAATGCTAACAAGGCTTCCATATTCATGCCTTCGAGAGCTGGTGGCAACTCTTCGCTCAAAGCATGGCCCTTGAGATCATCATCCATCTCTGGGACGTACTTCCACGGGTACTCTAGTGCTGTCCAGGCCGCGATTTTCCTATTCTTTAGATTGATATTGGACGGTGCAGGTGAATTAGTGTGTGGAATAATAACATACTTGGTAGAAATATCAGTCACTTTGAATGTCTTGATATCTGGCATTGTCCACCGTCCATTGAGGTTTGCCATGATCCATGGGTGAATATCTTCCTGCTTGCAATTCTTGAAAACTTGATGCCAGACTTCATCGCCAGCATATGCTGCAAGGAGGACCTGCAAATGTGAATTGTGTGTACTAAGGCCCAGAGCCGAGACGCCTATTGGAATATTTGATGTCTCCAATATCTCAATGGCCCTGCTCTGAAATCACCGGCTTGGAAATAAAGAAAACACAATCTAACCTGGAACACTTCATCCATGTCCTCTTTGGATGCCTCAGCAATCTCAAAGCCCAAAGCAATGGTCATAATGAATGGAGCGAAACAAAAGATGTGAGATGATACGACTATGAGTATGCCAGACACTCGATGTTGCAAGACGTGCTCCTGGCTTCGTATGTAGGAATTCTCGCAGAGACGGCGTCTGGCTCAAAAGCAAGTTAGGACATTTTAGCGACGGTTGGCCTGCGAGGCACAGCAAGTAAGGACGGCCAGTTAGATGCTTGTATCAGGTATTCTGCTACTGAATGTACGTGTACTTAGGTTCGTAAGGTATGTAGTGTAGAGTACGGGGCAGCTTCCCATTTCTGGCTAAGTAGTAAGCTGACCAGCAATATCTAAGGGTCAGAAAGTGTCAACGTATCTGTATCCGTGAATCGCTGTTTCCTTGCCGGAGGCTAACCAAGTGGATCTGCAGCACAGCGAAGTAACGATGAGCTGATCGAGACGAGCTACAGGCCGAACTTTACGCTGTGCCCTGTTTCTGTACACTCTCGTAAAGAAAGGAGAGTTGTCGTAACACTGGCCAGTATGGCTTTCTGAAGTTCTGGATCTCTTAATAAGCTGATGGATGCCATTGGTGAGTGCAGCTACACGGCACACCCACTATATGGGTTCTTCGCTCCATACTCCGTCGCTCGTTAGTAAAGAGTTCTATATAAGCATCAAATGAAGGACAGGTACACTGATTATTCGTGATAAGAGCGAAGCTTTATAAACGCCATAGTATATAACCATCCAAGAAGATGAATGATTCGGGGCATGGCGATTGCGGCAATGCTAATGATTGTATCTTGTCTAAGGCAGCGATCATGAAAAACTGGAACACCACATCGTCATTGAGTCATGAGCCTGGGTTAATCCAGCTGGGCCCGAACGTCATCTTCGTACCCAACCACATTATCAACAATAGTAGCGAAGCTAGTATTGTGGCCACCCCATGCTTTGTCTTCCTTCTTACATGCTTTTGCAATCGCCTCCGCAAGATTCCTAAGTAGTGTAAGCAATGGTTGATACTGTGAATTTACCACGTGTTCCACACAATCTACCAGAATCGACAGGAAATTGGACCCACCGTGTGTCAGCTTTCGTAGCATATCCTTGTGCTTCCAATTCAGCAGCCAGTTCTTCTTGATGGTTATCCAAAAGAGATGTGTTTGGCACTACAACTAATGGAACAGCCAATCTCATGGCATCTAGAACTGTTCCAGCCCCTGATCGAAATAGTCTCAACAATGGCTCTCAGGTAAGAATAGCACAAGTAGCTTACCAGCGTGGCATATTACAAGGCCCCTCATGGAAACGTTTTTCTTCTCCTGACAGGCTCGCATCTCCTTGGCGAGACCATCTTTGTTGAAATCGAATCCTAGGATGTCCAGTCCCTGAGTATCTGAAGGTTTCAGCTGCTCGAAAGCTGACATAGAGTGCCCACACTGGAATCTAAGATGTGTGAAGCCATTGTCCACGAACGTCTGGAGACATTCCGGGGAGAGAGCAGCTTGAATGAGTTCAGTGAATTTCGCTGTTGCACCGGTGGTAATGAAACATTCCTTGATCATCTTTCCATTGTCTGTGATTCCTAAATATGATGATTGTTTGTAAAGGGAAGACGGCAACTATGATTTTGTCGTGTTGTATCTTCTCGGGGCGCGGAACCCAGTTTAAGAACGCCACGTCCGGGAGAAGGAAGTCTTCCAGTGGTACTATTCGCCAATAGCTAGCTGTGAAGGGGTTCTTTAAATGCTGAAGTTGCTGAACAAAAGGCCAAAGGATCCGGCGCTTATCGATAGTGTCAACAGCGAGCACGGATGCTCCCTGGTCACCGGGGCTTGGAATTATCCGCGACCGACGATCGGATTTTATTCAAGTGGCAATTTGCACCAGGAGAACGACTATGAGACCACAGATCATGGCAGCGGCTCTGCAAAGCGTTCGCTCAACGGCATGGAGCTGTCTGTCGAGTCAAAACCCGTTTCGGTTTGCAGCAAGCTCAATTGGGCCTGTGAGGACTTTCTCAAACAGTCTCCTACGACCGAAAAGGACCAACCGTGTCAAGACAGGTCTCATGAAAGCAAAGAAGAGCGCCGGCGATGAAGCAGCAGGGCTGTTACAGATAGAGTCGGAGCTGCAACGGGTGATTGAGACAAGCTCCAATGGAGACGAGTGGGATGCCGTCAAGCAGAAAATCGACTCCCAGAATAGGCCATACGAACTCGCAAATAATCGACGGAAAAGGCTAAAGGAGACTTTCATGAACATGGGCGAAGCCGAGCCCTGGGAGGATGAGCATACTATGGAAGACGACGACGATGATATCAACTCTCTTGCTCATGGAGAACTGGAGCAGCACCGAGAGCTGAGACATTATGCCCGATTAGTTGCGTGGGAGATGCCTCTGCTATCTAGTATGTTTAGCTTCGTTCAGGATGTAATTTCAGGTCGGTACGAAATCTTGCTGACAGTGCGATAGAGCTGGCAAAGCCGTTCCAACCCCCAACTCGGGATATGCCTTTGCGATACAGATACACGACCTATATGGGGGAACAACATCCAGCGGAGAAGAAAGTTGTTCTAGAGTTCTCTCCGGCTGATATGTCACATCTCACGAAAGTTCAAACGGACAAGCTCAGAAAGCTGGCGGGAGTGAGATATAATCCAGAAAAAGACATCATCAAAATGAGCTGTGAGATGTTTGAGACTCAAGCTCAAAATAAGCGGTATCTGGGAGATGTTGTCCAGACAATGCTGAGGGAAGCAATAGTAAGCGGCTCTCTTTCTGATCAGGAGACCAGGTCTAAATTTTTATAGGATCCAAGTGACACATTCGAGGACATACCGTTGGACACACGACATCATCACTTCAAAACGAAGCCACAGTTTCCAAAGGAGTGGGCACTGACAGAAGCACGAAAGCAAGAGTTACATCAATATCGACAAGTCATGATGCTGAATGGTCAACAAAAGGAGGTAACCGGGCAGTTGATCGATGGAATCAAGCTGATTGAGGAGGGGCTGAAGCAGGCGATATCATTAGATAATGCTCTTCCTGAACCTGTGATGATGGGGAAAGGAAGGGGTAAGAAAGTCGCAGTGAGGCGGTGAGTGAGGATAATCTAGGAAAGGGTATAGGAGGGAAAGAAGACCAAGATGACACTGTACGATTATGCCATTGTACAGTACAAATATGTCGAATTAAATAAGAGTCGGGACTTGACGAAGTTGCTTTCCCTTCGACAGTCTCGGTTGAAGCGCCACGAGAATTTTGCCTGGTTGCTGTTGCTGCTTGAACCACCCACCTCTCACCCCTCGACCTAAATTACCAATTGTCCATCAATGGAAAGAATTAGCATGAGCATGAGCATGATCATAGCACGAGCCCAAGCACGAGCACGAGCACGAGCACAGGCACAGGCACAGGCACGAATTCCCGTCTTCACTACTGTGGCGTTGGGCTTGCTACAATAGCTGCCCCGCAGTCACAGCCAGGAGAACGTCAACGTCCGTCCAGTGAATGGAAAGCTCCCGTCTCGTGCTCCTGGTGCCAATCCCACCCCATCCCCCTACTTACCCTCCGTAGGTAGGTAGTACCTAAACTCTCTAAAGTAGGCAAATCTACCTAGGTACCGTACCTAAGCTGTGACGCCTCTGCGCCTGACGAGTTGACAACACGGCCGGCAATGTTTGGGAACGCCAAGCCAAGCCGGCCAGGGACCGAACCAGCGAACCTCGGCACGCCATGTCCTCGAACCCGTCAGCCCGTGTACAATACTGTAGGTAAATTTACTGGAGAACAAGAACGAGAACGCTTACCTACCTTAGGTAGCAATGGAAGGCATGGTCTGGCATGGCATGGCATGGCACGGTAGGATAGGATAGGATAGGATAGGATAATTTACCTACCCTACCTTACCTAGGTAGGTAATAAGGTAACGAAGGAAGGTAAGGTTGCTCCTCTCGCTCGCTCGAGCCTCCCGTTCCATTTCTGCCACCTCGCCTTCCAATCGCCCCGCCCAGTCGTGCTGCCTTCCCTTCCCTACCTAAGGTAGGTAGGTACCTACTTGTACCTAGGTTCACTTCCCTCTCACCCCTCGCATCTAACAACTCTCGACATACAACCACTCACATCTTCTTTCTTGTCCTGTGCTGGACAACAACGCGAGAGGCAGCGAATCCAATACCCGCAACCATCTTGAAACAGCCTATCGTACGTTTTACACTTTCTTTGGAGAGATCGACTCCGTATCTTCGAGTTGCACCCCCTCAACTTGAGAGGTTTAAATTGCTGTGTCTCCACGCATTTGCAATTTGGTTAGACACAGGCACATGCAAGAGTGGAACGTTTGGCAACATCGCACCTCGAGCTGCATATGACAAACCCATACTACGCATTTCTCCTTCAATTGTCTACACTTGCAGCTTCACGAACGCTCCCTCTAACAGCATTTCGTTTTTCAGCCGTGATAAAATATGGCGTCAGTCAAGATCGCTCCGTTTGAAGCCACGTCCATTGAAGCTATCCCAAGCACAGTCAGCTTGTGCCAAACAACTTTTCGGTCACAAAGGACGAAGCCGGTATCGTATCGCTTAGTCCAATTGCGAAAGCTCTACTGGGGTATCGTGGATTACTCTGATGCTTTGGTTGAAGCTTGTAAGCTGGATCTCGGCAAGCCAGTTTTCGAGACGTTCCTTTCTGAGATTGACTGGTGCAAAAATGATATTATGTTTGTCACCAAAAATCTTGAGAAATGGATGAAGGATGAAGCAGCACCAGATATTCCACTCACAAACAGCCTATTGAATCCAAGGATCAGAAAGGAGCCCCTTGGAACTGTTCTGGTCATCGGCGCATACAATTTCCCCGTCCAATTGTCATTTGGCCCTTTGATTGGAGCTATTTCCGCCGGTTGCACTGCCGTTTTGAAGCCATCAGAAGTATCTCCAAATGCAGCAATGGTTTTGAAGAAGATTGTCGAAGAGTACCTGGACCCAGATGCCTACGCTGTCGTCAACGGCGCTATTCCCGAGACCACTGCTCTTCTCAACGAGAAATGGGACAAGATATTCTACACAGGGAACTCTCAGGTCGGAACTATCATTGCGAAGAAGGCTGCCGAGACCCTGACCCCCGTTTGTCTCGAGCTTGGCGGCCGCAATCCAGCTATCGTTACCAAGAACGCTGATCCTCGTTTGGCAGCCCGCCGGCTTGTATGGGGCAAGCTTCACAATGCTGGTCAGGTGTGCATCAGTCAAAACTATATTATGGTTGAGAAAGAAATCCTTCCTGCCTTCATCGAGCAGCTGAAAATCGCACTGAAGGAATTCTATCCTGGAGGCCAGAAGGCAAGCCCTGACTATGCCAGAATTGTCAACAACAGGCATTTTCACCGGATCAAGAAGATGGTTGATGAATCTCGTGGCAAGATTTTGATTGGAGGAGAAATGGATGAGTCTGACAACTTCATCGAGATCACTGTTGTTCAAGTTGACGATATCAATGACTCTATGATTGTGGACGAGTCGTTCGGTCCTTTGATGCCTCTCTTGGCAGTTGACAGTGTGGATGAGGCTATCCGTATTGCAAATACTGTCCACTCAACTCCACTAGGACTGTATCCTTTTGGTACTACCAGCGAGACAAATAAGAGTACGTTCGTGACTACCACTCCCTTAGACCATTCAATAACGTCTCCTAGTTCTCAGCGAGGTCACCTCGGGAGGAGCCTCTGTGAATGACGCCTTTTTCCACGGCTCGATCCCAACACTCGCTTTTGGTGGTGTTGGTGATTCGGGACAGGGTGCCTACAGAGGAAAGGCTTCATTCGATACCTTCACCCATCGGCGATCCGTAACAACAACCCCCGGCTGGATGGAGAAGCTGCTCGACATTCGCTACCCTCCATATGCCGGGAAGCTCGCCAAATTTAGACAGATGAGTGAGGTCAAGCCAAATTTCGATCGAAACGGTCAAGAAATCAAGGGTTTGGGATATTGGGTCGGCTTTGTGGCTGGGCTAGGCGGTTCTAGTGCCAAGGGTGCGTTGCTGCGCTGGGCGGTCGTCCTTCTCATTGCTGCTGGAGCTAAGAAGTGGCAGTTTAACAATAATGGGTTGCCTTCGTTTTTGCGATGAACTCGACGCAGCGTAGGGGCAAGGTGAAGCAGTCATTAGCAGCGAGTGTGTATAGGCTTCTCAAAGCGAAGCAGGCGAGTTGTACGCTGGGGATGCCCATTTCGGTGCTTTACTCTACGTGGCATGCGTAAGTAGCTGGGCGTCTTCTCAGGTAAAGAGAATCTTCATGTCAATGTCAGGGGTCCATTGGTACAGCATCATTTTACGCCGTTTCTGCGTGAGTCCTTCAACAGTGTTACTGAGCTCCATTGTTCCAACAGCATCAAAGCCCCGTTAATGCTGTCTATCATTTATCCTCTCTGAAAATCTCTCCGTTTGATTGCAATCATGTAAGGCTCAGCAAAGTAGTCGACGGCGACGATGTTCCCAACATTGAGAGAATACAATTTCCGTGCAGTATTTAAAGTACCTTCCATACCCGTTCCTACATTCTAGTTCCTGAACTTCCTAACATCCCGAAGCATGGTTGTCGTTCTTTGCCCATCGCACTTGAAAATCATGTTCTGAGAGAGCAACTTCGGTGCCGTCGTGTTACTAATTCGAGTTTCCCATATCTGACCTATTTCATGCTCGTCTTCTCCTCCCGCTTCGTGCCTTGGACATAGACAACAAATGCTAGCTATTAATTATCTGGCAATTCGGTGGTAGGTTGCCTCTTCTTATCCTCGAAGCATTCCACAACAAATCATAACGTCACAGGAGCAGCACAGAGCACTTGAAGACTTTCCTTATCAGGAACGGAAAGAGGCGGAACATGTGACTGAAGGAATTTGCGCCTACCTAGATTATGTTTATTTTTGTCCTCTGCAAGTAAAATTCACGAATCGAATATTGGTTACATTGGAACCCCTTCAATCCATATCTGCACTTCTGATCCCCACCAATGCTACATTGCCAAGCCAAAGCACCTATGGCGCAACCAAAACTCCACGATATCTCATCTTGCCCTCATCCAGCTTTTTCATGCACGCCTCTATGCCCTCCACATCCATAGTAAATATCTCGATAACCGGTCTTATCTGATGTTGAGCAGCAAAAGCAAACATTTCGATATGTACTGCTCTGGCAGCAACAAGACTCCCTTGGATCTTTAATTCCCCCTCAATAATCGGCATGTAAGGGATCGTCAAGTCATCTTGCGAGACAGTCAGGGGATATAGAGTGCCGCCCGGAGCCATGACAGGCAAGAACTGCTTCCAGTCTGGCTGGAATGAGCTGCAGATGAGAAGGTGATCGATCTTTCCGGAGACCTGGAGCTTTTTGACACCTTTAGTCGCAACAAACTCGCTAGCGCCGAGTTGCATAGCCTCGTCTCGCTTGCTGTTGGTGCTGGAGAAGACGGTAACGTGGCATCCCATCTTCGACGCGAATTGGATAGCAAGATGGCCGAGGCCACCAATTCCAATTATGCCCACGCGATCGGTGGGCTTGGTACCGAAGGAGCGTAGGGCGTTGTATACCGTCGCACCACCGCATTGCTAATATTGGTTAGGCTCAAGTTCAAGAGAGACGGTGTTGATTTTCCATGTGAGGAGTGAATGGAACGTACAAGTGGTGCAGCGAATTCCCTTGGAATAGAATCTGGAATCTTAAAAATGTAATCTGCCTTCCAGATAGCGTAGTATGCGAATGAACCCTGGTCATGATCGTGATATCCATACATTGCTCTTTCTGGGCACAAAGTCTCATGGCCGGTAAGACACTGCTTGCAGTGGTTGCAGGAATCGTGCTGGTATCCCCATCCAACAGAATCTCCCTTTGTATACGTTCTCACTGCTGCTCCGATTTCCTAACCTCCAGTTAATGACTTGATATTGAAATTGTAGTAAGTTGACATACTTCAACAACGCCTGCACCTTCATGTCCAAGCACCATATCGACATGCTTGAAATGCTCGTCTGTTCCGCAAAGTCCAGAATGTGTAACTTTGATCAAAACCTCATCCGGTTTAATGTCCTTCTTTGTACTCGACTGAACGATCTTTCCTTCCTTGGAGCCTTTAAACACCGTGAACTCGACCATTTTGACCATGGTTGCGGTTGGTGGTAGAATAAATACTAATTGTGAACGAGGTAATTTGAAAACCGTTTGATGGGAAGAGACAGTAGAATGAGAATGATGTGAAATATGCCAGAGCCCCAGAGAGATCTTTGCTATTTGTATGAAATACTCAGCGACTTAGCTCCGAAGAAAAGCTTCACTCGCTTCGGTCGAGAAGCAGCCTCATAATCGATCTTGCTACAGTGGATCAAATATGTAGCCGCTAGTAAAGGTAATAAAGACTCGGTCCATGACATAGTCCAAGATAGAAGAGAAAAGATGGACATCTACGTGCCGATTCGTGAGAATATGTTTGTTCTTCGGATGCTAAAAGATTGACCAGTAGAAACCCACGCTATGGATCCGAAACAAGACTTGCAGCATGCGGGTAGTGCATCGGTTTGAGTGTCAACAAGGGCTCCACATGAGTAGTGTGCATATCTGTGGAGATTTGTGCTCGTGGCGGAAGCAGAGAAAAGCCCACCTTAAGTGACGTCTCGATTTCGTCTACTCCACTTGCAGCCTTTATAGTTGGAAGTGACAGGGATCTGTCTGTACCTTCTGCGAAAGCTCGAACCTACCTTTAAGAGCGGATTTAGCGAAGAAAAAGTTTTCATTGTTATCGCCGAAATAGTTACTACAGGTCTTGAATAGTGCTTACGATTTCAACTCGGGACTTCAAGAATCGGTGTATTGAAAGTCGGGAAGCTCGGTTTGAAATTTGCCCTCTGAGTCTCTGATCTGTATTTAATCAGCCACCCGCACTGAAATAGCAAACGTCGCCAGACATCTCAAACAAGGATACTCCTCTGTACAATCTTTGTGCTCAACAAAATCGAAATTTGTTAGCCTCTTTGTTTTCGCAGCTAGGCATTATGACGTCTTCTTGCTCTTGTCCATACCTCGGCTGATCCGTGTTTCACAATTGAGTTGGCACTTGACGGAGCGCGGAAGACCCGCTGATTTCATACAGTAAGTCCAAATCCAAACCGCTTCAACAGCCTCGTAGATCAGGCCCCATACCTGACTTCCGGGATCTCATGAGTCGGTTACATGTCGGTTTTGCCTCAGCTAAGTCTGGCTCATCAACAAGAGGACCTTCTCGCGCGTTTCCCCCCCCAGAAATCCACTGTTTACTCTATCCTCACTTTCAACCAAAACAGCTGCCTCGTAGCCCTTCATGACCATATCCTCATCAACTCGTATGCCTTCCTCCACCAGCAAGTTGATCACACCTCGGATCCGCGAAATCTCCCTGCGAGTCTCCAGGCTGATCTCGTCGTTTTGGCTAGAGTAGACTGTGCTGCTTACAACTTCTTCCATCCTCGTCACTGCAGTATCACTACCAGCAACTTCCACATGTTTACTGATCCAGATGTACCCGTTGACTCCTAGGATTATATCAACCTTGCCCCCACCCGACACAGTCTCGATGGTCCAGACTTGTCTCCTAGATCTGACCACACCCCCTCCCCCACCCGTGCCAGTGACACTCATGAACACACCATTCCTCAGCTTGCCGTACTTCAAGCTTCTAGTATGCAATGAAGCACTTCCATCCTGATACAGACTCTGTACCTCTGCGACTAAAAGATCGCCCTCCGAGAAGAAAGTTCGTATCTGTAGCTCGTCCGTGTCTGTTCTTTTCCGCAAGATGCCACCGGGAAGGTTGATGGCTGAGAGAGGCAGACCAGCTAGAACGGGTGCTCCAACATCTACCCGCCATCGCTTGGCTTGTACTTCCACAATCCTACCAATGACCAAATCTCCAATCTCGGGGTTGTATCGTGCTCGAAGAGGTCGGACGGAGACGAGCTTGTTAGTTTTCTGTATTGTGCCCGCCACCGTTGCTGTTATATCGGTGCTGGAAGTCGCTACATATGTGCCATGACCTCTGGACTCTGTTAGCTAGACACTCGATGGTCATCTGAATAAATACTTGATGCTCACCTCATCCACTGGGGGTCTTCAGTCACAGTCTCTCCTGGTGTAACGAGATCTTTCGCGGAAATTCGTGCGCGTTTGGCCGGGCGCATTGTCAGGTCTCCCACCAGATTCGCACCGCCATCGTCCGAGTCATCGTCGGATTCATTTGTACGTTGAATCTGCACTGCGGGCGCAGGGGCGAGTATGGTAATGGCCATGTTGATATGAGCTGTTGTTAGTCGCGGCAAGGCTGAGGCACAATAAGCAGCAAAATTAAGGTGGGCGGCTACGGCAGAACTATTTTCCAGAGGAGTAGGTTTACCTCGCCTAGACAGGACTGGGGAATAATCGTCAGCGTAGCCCCCCCACCTACCCTACCAACCCACCCAGACCGAAGGCAGCCAAAGTGACAAGGCTACGATTAAGGTATCTTGGGACATTTCTTGTAGTGTGACTTTGAGCAGCTTTCTTCCGAACTGCTCTGCGAGTTTTATTCTCACTGAAGTTTTGGCTTTCTTTTAGTTTTGACACGTCTCATGTCGTGCGATCAACGCAGCGAAGAACCTAGGTATTAAACAGCTCTACTCATAGGTAGTTGCCCACCAGTCCTAAGCCGCCTCGCTTCACATTGTACCTAGGTATCGAGATGTTTTGCTTCACTGGAACATTTCTACGCTGCTGACGAGTCAATCCAAGGTGGCAAGTGAATTGTTTATGGCTTCTTACTTCGACATCCGAGCCGTTTGGGAAGCTTTCTCTGGAGCTTCAAGCAACCACAATATACGCGGGATTCTTGCTCTCTTTACCAGATCGACGCCTCGTGATCGATATACCTTGAAGATTTCAATACATTTTTCCGCCATGCTTTCGTTCCCCCTGACAGGCCATATCCCGACCCTCGCACATCAGAGCTCAATCAGGTAACAGCATTCCACAGCAAGGAAGATGAATAATGAATTGGCCTGTTCTGCCACTGTCTTCCTTGTTTTAGTATCGACCACCATACAACGTTTATCGACGTGGTGCCTAGTGACTTGTGACTTGTGACTTGTGACTGGGACTTTAATTATCAGAGGAGCGTTCTGGCTGCTTTCGATACCTCCCTAGACGAGGGAACTGCTGTAGAGGAAGAGCGAACAGAGAAAAGATGCATTAATTTGAGACTGACAATAAATATTAGGGCAACGCCAAGGGTAGAAATTTTTGCCGAGCCTCCTCATTTCAACGTCCATCTAAATCGCAAGATCCATACGGCAGTGTGCTAATTGACTAGTCGCCAGAAACCCATGCCCGCGAGTACAAGAGCAGATCCAGTGATACCCGCCTGTCGACTCCTCATGCCGAACATACTCTTGCTTTGGAGAATTTTGGCTTGCTGTGCTTTTAGCTGAGAATGTCCAGAGAAGTAGCTATAGGCGCCCAAGCCCATAAAAGCAGCAGCTCCTGTAAATGAGATATGAGCACGGGATGAAGGTATAGCAAAGGGGCGAAAACCAACCTGTGACTCGGCAGGGCGTGCAATCGTCAACATTGTCATGCTTGAGAACATCTTGAAGTCGCTCGGGTCTATGAAGTGCATCTAGCTGGGGGCTTCCTGATCCCATCGAATCTGCAAGGGGATATGGGGTCTCGGTGTCTCGTTTTGAAGGGCGTTTGAGAAAATGAGTCGAGTGGTGCAGCTAGCGACGGATTGTCAGTGACCGCGACTGTCCATGTACAGGCTCCACTAAATTTCCAAGACAATACCTACCTTATATGTAGAACCTGCACCTCGTAGGCAGGTCGGCGAATGCGGCCGCTGCATCTTTATGACAACCCCGCCCTCGTGAGCACTGTGAGGGTAGAACAACAACCCAAAGCCTCTATTGCGCTCTCGACGCAATTCAATTGATGCTGCCAGTGCTTCATAGCGGCCATGACGGGAGCCATAGAGGCGTTATACATCTACGATGAACACAAGTAGGCAGGCTAGAGCGAACGATGCTTTCCCAGCTAACTTAAAATGCAGTCGCCCAATCCTCACTCACACATACACATCAAGGCCGCTCTCTGCCTCTCAACTCCTTCCGCTTTACCAAGGCCATCCAATTCCTCGACCAAATTTCATATATCTCCCGAATACGGCACCTGCGACTCTTGTTTTCAGTGTCATTCATTCTAATCTCCTCTTCCTTCTGACCTCGTCGACCGAAATCGAACCTCTCCTCGCCCTGGAGTTCCTACATCGAGTCATAGACATTCTAGAAGAATTCATCGGACCGCCGTTAGTAACACAGAAGATCGAAAGCAATTATGATGTGGTGGCCCAGCTGCTGAATGAGATGTGCGATGCTGGCGCCATATGCACGACAGAGCCAAATGCCCTGAGAGACTTGGTGGAGGTGGAGGGCTGGATTGGGAAATTATTGGGAGGCATCAATATTCCTGGGTCAGACAGAAAGCTGTACTTTGTATAGCGCGGACTAATCTTTGTCTCTAGGAAGCCTGGCTATCCAACCTCGTCCAGCTCCAATCTGTCTGCTATATCCTCCACAGGACCGTTAGCTGCCAACACACCTTCCTTGCCCTGGCGTAGAGTCAATGTACGGCACACATCTAATGAGCTCTACGTAGATCTGGTCGAGACTCTTACAGTAACCCTCGCACCCTCAGGTCGACCTTTAGCGGCATTTGCGAATGGAACCATTGCATTTACCTCCAAAATATCTGGAGTTCCTGACCTGCTCCTGAACCTCACAACTCCATCGGGAAAGCAGAATCTCAACAGTGTGATGGATCTTCCTGTTTTCCACCCTTGTGTAAGGCTGGCGAGATGGCGAGAAAAGCCTGGAGAGCTAAGCTTTATTCCGCCTGATGGGAGGTTCGTTTTAGCCGGATACGAAGTCGACTTGTTGCCGGTTCAAAACGGCAAGCCTGGCACGGGAACATCATCGAATCTGAAACTGCCTGTCAGCATTGAGCTTAAGACGTGCCTTGGGCCGCAGGGATCTGATTTTGAGGTCCGATTGCTCATGACGAAAGTTTCTGGGCAGGGGAATTCGTCAATATCTGGTTCAGCCTCAAGAAGCAGCAGTCGCGTTGGCAACCGTGGCACTGGTGGTTTTGTAGCCGGTCTTGGCAGTCAGGCTGGCACTTCCTCCATCCCTACTCTAGAGGATCTAACAGTCACGATACCTCTACCTGCAGATGTGAGAAATCTGTCGGAAATTCGAGCTAGCAGGGGTGATACGACATACAATCCAGGAGAAAAGAGCTTGGAATGGCATATACCTGCAAAGGATGCTGTTTCTGGAGGAGCCACGCTTCGATGTACTGTTGTTGGGCCCCTTTCATATGATGATGACTTCGAAAGCAATGGATTCAAACTTGGAGGGAGCTACGATTACGAAGAAAATATATACCAGAACTCGACTGCAAAAGTTAGCCAGCCTGAAACGGCAGATGACCAAGGAGATGCGAAGATGGTATCACATAATAGAATTCTAATGCCAAGCTCTGCGACAGTCAGTTTTTCGGTCAAAGGATGGTTGGCTTCTGGTATCAAGGTGGAGAGTCTTGTCATCGATGCAAAGAAGAGCCGCGGCATTGGTGATGGTGTGAAACCTTACAAGGGAGTAAAGTACCTGACCGTAAGCAGTGGTGGTGTTGAGGTCAGATGTTGAGTGATGAGCGGAAGCACAGATATTATGGGGGGGATCAACGGAGCTAAACATGATGCTATGCTTCAAGAGCCGGCCACACTACCGTAAAATATTAGGAGCTATCTCCTGGTCGCCCCTGCCTGGATTTGCTAGAAAACTACTGCCTGATCGAGAGCCCCAATACTCAAGTAATTCGCTAGCTATGTGGATAGTAGTTCGTATTTCTGATTGCCAAAAGCCTGCAGTGTTAGATTGAGAGTTTAAGAAACGACTTTGCTGAGGTTCTCTCACTGTTCACTGGCGTACGGAAGGGGGAGGACAGTAGGTCTCGTCCACCCTTACCGGGCGGTGAGGCTACATGGAATTCCGTAGAACCTATATTACTTTCACTGATTTAATGAAGATTCCTATGTGATCTATATAGAGTAGATATCGTGAAAATACCTTAGATATATAATACTCTAACTTAAGTACGATTTAAAATCCTCTTTAGCGAAAGCTATTCCTAATATACTATAGCACGAAAGCTTAGAATTCTACGTTCTTTAGTATAATATTTCCTTAATATACCTAATTAATTAGTAAAACCTCCTAGAGCTCCTTTAAGTATCTCTAAGAAACAGATTTAAGAGATAATTACTTAGTTTATAAGTTACTTCAATCGACGTTAACTAAGCCTTATAGAGATTTATAAATAATTCAACTTTAGCTATTATAATCGAACGCTACTTCGAGCTTTTATAAGGTATAGTTATTATTATTATATCCCTAATTATAAACCCTTTATCTCGAAGAAGAATAAATTAAAACGTTAGAGCTTTATAATTAAGAATTAAGATTAATCTAAAGAATATTAGAGGAAGAGATGATTTATAGATAAAATAATTATACGAATAGATCTCTTACGCTAAAAGAAAATACTATAGAAACGAGGAGAATATTAATAATTAGACTATATCTAATTTACTTTCTATTTAAGTTATAAATCAGTTATAGCGTAAGTAGTAATTAGATATAGATTTAAATTAAAGCTGATTTTCGTATCTTACGAAAGAGAAGGAAAAGGCTTTATATAAAAGAAGTATATAAATCAAATCTTAAGAGGACTATTAAAAGAGATATTCAAATAACTAAGAGACTTCTTTTATATTAAAAATAATAGTAATATTTATAGGAAAGTCGATACTCCTTAGAATTATAGTTTTTATAACGCTATTCGAGTTAAGTGTTATATTCGTTCGATTTAATAGCCTCCTTATTCTTTTAATCTTAATCTAATTGAAAATATCTAGAGAATACTGAAGTAAAAGCTTCGGAATAGAAATCTATATAAAAGTTAGAAGCTTAAGGACTTAAAAAGAGCTATATAAGATATCTGAGAGAACGAGATAACAATTGATATAATAAATAAGTTTATTAATACAATACTAGAGCGAATTAGGAAGGTTCGACTACAGAAAGAGGGACCTTTAGGATAGTAGATAGTTTCTAAATTAAGCGTAGAATACCGGTAGAATCAGGGGGGTGGACGAGACCCACTGTCCTCCCCCTTCCGTACCTGTAGGTACCGGCACTTTTCCACTGCGACTGGACTTACTCTACTTTCGAATTTCCACAACGGTTATCGACTCCGGGATTTTGATACCATCCCTTCGAGAACGGTTCTGGTACCGCTATCGTTAGTTATTTTGCCTCATGGTTGTACAGTATCGCTGGTGGGAAGGCTTCTCAAGAACACAGGATCCTCCCGCTTGCACATACCTCATGTTGTCTCCGGGTCCCCTATTGAACCGCGTTCTCAATAACTCATCTTGCAGTCGCCTTTCCTCTCCCTCCAATGCTTCCCTTGCTTCTTGCTTCAATTCTTCGGAGGTCATGGGTACCATTCCTTCCAGGTTAGTTCTACGTCCCCATCAGCTTTGATAGCAAGTAATTCAGAATGTTGGAAATCATGCCTCTTCATATTCCCCAATTCCCTGTTGAATTCCGTTTGCATCAACTTAGCTTGCCTAGCCACCTCCTCGGCTTCTAGCTGCTGCCTCTTTCGCGATTTCCAGTTTTTTTCTTCTGCCCTAAGGTCTTCTGAGGTCATTGGCGTCATTCCCTCGAGGTTTGTCCTAACGAATGTTATTCTGTTGTACATAAACAATATGGTGTTCGAAAAGTGCGCGACTATTATATTATTGCAGCACATACCTCATGTTGTCTCCCGCTCCCCTGTTGAATTGAGTCACAAGCAATTTTCCTTGTTCCCCCCTCTCTGCCTCCTCCAGTGCCTCTCTTGCGGCATCCATTCGCTTCTTATCCTCTTCTACAATTTCAGAAGGCGTCATAGGAACTAATCCTTCAATAACAGTCCTGTATTGCATGTCAGCATCTTCACGAACAGTATTTGTCTCCCTGCGACCAACCTCCAATTGTCGCCTGGGCCTCTGTCAAGTTCCGTGTCTACTGCGAACGCCGATGCAGCCTCAACTACGAATTGATCACTGGCATTTTTGAGATTTGTTTCGGCCAATGCAGCAAGTGTGGCTCGATATGTCCGGGCCAGTTCACTTTCCTTCTCGAGCCGAGATTTTGGTTCCTGATCTCCGCTCTCACCAGCCTTGGTGCTTCGAGCAGTCTGTAGCCGCTGACCTGAGTTCGGTGTTCTGGTCGCTGCTTCGGATCCTTCATTTAACCTGCTTTGTCCCTCCCTGGCAACCCGTGTTTGTCCGAGAGCTGGTCTCCTGTAGGAGATCGGCTCAACTTCATTGGAATTTCTGCCCTGTCGTGGTTGGCTGGGTTGTAATATTTGCTGTATCGTGCCTCGTCCGCCAACAGCACGGGCTGGTAACTGCGCACCACTCCCACCGCTTGATTCCCTCGTAGAAGCTGGTACACCACTGTACGCACCAGGTTGACTTCTCTGTTGCGTGCTTGCCGGTGCTTCTGAATGCGCAGGGCGGCCAGGTGCTGTCCTGACCTCTATATCTTGGTACGGTCGACAAGATCCAACTCTCTCCAACATGGATATGACAGCAATATTCGGGTCAGTATTGCCTCGGGGATTTTGAGAAGGACGTTGGGGCGCAGCACTCTTTGTTTTGGGTGGGAGAGCAGACACTGGAATAGTGCTACGCTTACATGACTGCGGACGACTTTGGCTGTCGCCATATTCCTTGACCTGTCTAGAAGAGCTAAGCGCTTTTTTAGCTTGTCCAGATCCAGCAGTTTGGTGTGGACTGTTATCTGTGTTTGAACCTTCCAGCTTGTAGTCTGTATGATCAAGTGATAGATCTTCGTCAGAAATAGGCGCTTCTTTGGCTCCTTCTGACTTTGTAGCGCGTTTAACAACCTTGGGAGAATATTTAGGAGCAAGTTCTTGTCCTCCTTGCCTTCTTTTGAGCCGTTCAAGCCTCCTTTTTGCGTTCGCAGCTTCTCTAACCTTCTCCTCTGCCTCCTCGTTGGCCCGTTCAACTTTCCTCGTCTGCCGAGTAATGTCCTTCTCAAGAATCCACGCTTTCACTCTCTTTTGATTTTTCATGTAGTCTCTTGTCTCCTTGGCTTGCTGTTCTGGACTCAGGTCGTTCCATTGTTTCTTCTTCATCTTTTCAAAATTACGGCGAACCTCTGCTTCGTGCTCAGTACGAGGTTCACCCTTCCTCTCACCTCGAATTGCATTGATAACGCCTTGCCATTTAGGAGGCATCGCAGGCACAGGTGGTGGGTTGGAAGTGTCCACCTTGTTATTCAAAGACTCCTGAAGAGATCGTTGTTGACCACTACCACAACGGTGCCTGGTCGGAGGTACACGGATTATGTTACGCCCATAACCTGGGGGTGAGTTTGCTAATAAGTGAACCTGTCTGCCTCTGTTATGAGTTAGGGCTGGGGAGCTCCTGGTCCCACTTCGCTTTCTGGAGTTTAACAGGGACTGTGGCGAGGCTGTCCGGCTTGTAGACGATGGGAGATGGAGACTTCGTCCTCGACCCTCGTCACGCTGTTCGGGCTTGACGACAAGATCTATAACTTTTTGAAAGGTCCTGGTTACGGTTGATACTGGTCCCATAATGATCTCAGGCCGGGTTTGAGTTGAGATTTATATGTTCGTTTGTGGCCAGTGTATATTCCGTGAGTGTTTATTGCCCTTCTAGATGATGATCATTAGTCGGATTCAATATGACCAGTCTTCTTCTATGAGGCCGTGAATCATCCCCTGGGGAGCCCTCTCTGAAGATTTAGTCAGTCTCAAAACTGTGGGACACTGCACCTCGCCAAGTACCTAGAGGCTCCCGAATGTCCACTTAACGAGCTGCCTCTTAGGCTTGAAAGTACTGAAGCCATTTACCACATGTCGATTAGGTCCCAATTACTATAATTACAAAGTTGAGTGGATAGATGTGCCAGAGTCAATAGCAATAACAGACACTCGCTAAGTCGGTCTCATTTACTGAACGGTTGGCACGAATATGAATTTATACTGACGTAGCACTCGCGACCTCATTGGGAAGTCACCTTGAGACCAAAGCCAGGTAGTTCTCGCATTGACTGAGTAAAGTACGTTACATCTAGGCGCCTCACCCAAAAGACATATCGTACGTGTCATAGATGCGTGGACTATGAACCACCCTTATTCTGACCATTCTTGACACCATTCTGACGATTTCTGCGACTTGACTTCGCCAGTTCCTGCTCACGCCTCTCTTCATCGCTGAATTCCGCTCCTAGTTCCGATGGTGTCTTTGGAACCAACCCTTCAAGATAGGTTCTTTGCATATTACCTACCTGAGCCTTCGAGGTTGCAATACTCATACTCCATACAGATGGCGCTATTGGGGGTGCATTGTTTCTTTCCTCGGCTCTCAATTCCGATGGAGCTTTTGGCACCATTCCCTCGAGGTGGGTTATTTGCATATTTTTCTTTCGGGCTTTTGCAAGGCTCCTACTGTACACGGACGGCTCGTTCGAAGCCTCAGATGAGCCCGATGAGCGTGTCTGCGATCTCAAATTGGACGACTCCCTCGATTGCTGTTCCCACTTGTGATTTCTCGAAGTAGCCGGTGCCGAATTAGATTCATTCAAAGGTGGTATCGACGGTGGAGCATAGTTGTAATACCTGGATCGAGTTGACTGGCGACTGTTTTCTCTGTTGAATGCTTGGGAGCTTGCATGAAGATGCAAAGATGATTGCTGGCTGGATGAATGGATCTGGCTAGGTGGAGAGACATATGTTCCCGAAACGTCTGGAAGAGAATGAGTAGAGTGCATATGTGATCTTGACAGTGGTCTGTTCATACCTTGGATGGGTTCTAGTACACCGTTACCACGGTTGGGGTGTAGAAAATTCGAGGCAGAGACTCTGCTCTGGTAGGGTTGTGGTGGATGGAAGGAAGATTGCCGATTCGGCGATGCTGGCATAGTGACAATTTCCAGAGGATTATTTTGAGTGTGTGACAGGCCACTACTTCCAATACAGGTTTGTGGATGACTTGCTGCGAGGTCAGATTGTGTGCCAGGGTTCTGTAGCTGCCGAGACTGTGCTTGGGCTACAGCATGAGACTGTCTATAATCTGCTCTTGAACCGTGGCCAGATATTTGACTAGACTGTATGGCCACCGCCGATCCAGCCTTTGGTTGTGCTAGCGATGCCCGTTGAAGCCGTGGACCAGGCGCTACGAGCATGCCGTGGGGATCATACTTCGATAGAGGTAAAAAGTGTATAGCTCCACGTCCAAATGCAATGTCCTGGTTCTCTCTTTTGGCCTTATCTTGCAACTTTGCCCATTTTCTGACTTCTGCTTTGTCTTGGTCCATCCAATCTCCTCCAAATATTTTGTCGAGCCAACCGTGTATTGGGTTATGTTGCTTAGCCTTGTATTTGGATGGTGACATTTCAGATAGTTCCTAAAGTCAGTCTGCTTTGATGATTTTTAGTGTTGTAGACGTTTCTGTTCGCGCTGGAGTATAAGAACTGGTTTCATACTATATAGGGTCGTTAGCAGCATCTTTCTTCTTCTTTTTAGATCACCTGTGTAAGCGCTCGTGTGTGACTGATGCTCTACTTTCTGAGACATGTCAAAGATTCATTTCTTACATGAATGATTCCTGAACGGCTGAAAGCCGGACATGGCGTTATTCAACGCGTTTGTGAGACACATCAAGCCAAAATTTGGACCCTCCTTGAGCCTTCAAGTACCTACCTTGTGCCGACTAGCCAAATTCTGGAGGCAAATGACAGGAATAGAAAAGATACGGTATCAAAACTTCGAAGTGGATGCCAATATAACAATATCATACCAGGCGTATCTATTCAGGTAGCCTTACTAATAATTAGGTAGGCTGGTACTGTATGTATGCGAGAGCCGTTGAATGAGCTCGCTTCGCTTGAACACCTCGTGGATGTTAGCAACGCAGGCTTCCATATTTTAACGTGGTATAATATAGTATGACATTGATTCGAGTGTAGTCTGACTCGTAGATGCCATTTACATCACCATCCATTAATTCGCTTGCCGAAGCAAGTAAGGCTGAGCAAGTAGCATGGTTCTATACTCAGCAATTAGCAACCGCAACCGCAGCCGTATTCACGGCAAGCTGGAGCGGATCAAACTTGCCCTAGCAGCAGTAACTCTCTTCCATCTATCCTTCCAGCCTCTACCATTCAGATGAGTGGCCATGCAAAGAAATCCAGAAAACTAGCTGTAGTCTCAGTATGCTTCTCACCACCAGCATTTTGGCCACTCTATCAAGCCCTCCCACTTCTCGGCGAGGACTGAAATCCATCCCAGTATCTAATGGAGACTCTACGATTATGTTGAAAACAACCCTAGTGAATAGACAGCAGGCGAATGCAAAGCTTGGCATTTGGTGGTATTTTCACTTAGTGAACACTGCAACCCCTTTCAGGTAGGTGATGGAGGCCGGATAGTCTGGGGGGACCGGAAAGGTGCTTTCAGCAACGTCTCTATGTCCTCGCATTCTTGGAAATCATCCTACTTTCTTACGTATATGACAAACACAATGCAGGCGTCGGGGCTCCTCCAATAGCACCGGGAGATGTCCGGAATGCTCAAAGGTAATCAATCACAATTGAGATCGACGCAGGTATTAATATTGAACACGCAAGACGGCAAAATAAGCAGCCGTTACGGATTGTTACATACTTCGCAAGATTGGCACGTGTTTTACGCCTGGGTCCTACAGAGAACTGCAATGGCACACTGGCTATGAATGGTTCCTCGTCTTGAAAGGGGTCGTTCGACAATCTGCGGTCAATGAAAAAGGGCGACGGGTCTATTGGAAATGTCGATACTGGGCATTTGTGGTGTACTACTAGAGTACCCAATAGTGATCAAGACCAAGACGGAGACGAACAAGTACCTGGTGTCTTTTAAGATAGCAGTTGCTCGGAAGACATGATTTACGAGCCCCCAAAAGTACTCCCAAAGAAGTCAGAAGCCCTAATCTCCGCATCCTATCGAGTTCCTAAGGACGAGCTGTATCCACTCGATAGTACGCTAGCACCAGCTAATAACTCTGCTCGGAGCCCAGACGGATCGAGCAGGTATTTTGACATGCCGTGAGAGCTATGCTATGTATGACCCTGGTCTTAACAGAAGCTGTTGTGAATGTTAGATCTGCTAAGACTATCAATGCTACGACTTTCCAATACGGAAGGATTCTGATCCAGCGTTGGTAATACTCAAGCTTGAGCAATGAGAGACAGACGAGCAGAAACAATGTCCTTTTTTGCCATTTGATCTAATCTGGCTCTATAGTGAAAGCATTTACGCAGAAGATCATTTTCCTCTCGAAGTTTTTTTGAGGCAGTCATTTTTCAGTAAAATCAGTGTTGCACAGGTTACGATACCAAGAGAGTTCACTTACTGATGATGTTCAATTGCAGTGGTTGTGTACGTAAGAGTCTCTATCGCAACTCTGCTAACAACATGCATACATATGTAAAGAAGGGTAGCAGGAGCATGAAAGAATTGGCAGATAATCCTCACTGTACTGCTACTTGCGAGCGATCGAATCAGACTCGCCCTATTGAGACGAGAGCATCAAATGAAGACGCGTGAATCATAGCTGCAAGATTGCGTGGTGGACCAGGGTGGAGACAGGAGCGAAATATATGTTGTCGAGAGGCTTTAAGAATCGGTACAGAACGCTTGGATGATGAGTTGTAATTTATTTGTGTGACAAGTAGCAGTAATCAGTAAATGGTCAAGCGTATGCAGCCATCACATCATCTGGCAGGATTGCCTAGGGCAGCTAAATAAGCCCGGGGAATAAAGGCGCTTCTGACTTGCGTATATGCGAACAGCCCTGACTGGCACTTATCGAGAAGAGAATGGAGATTGAGCAGATTCAACTCATAAAAGACCAATTCTCGTCATCCAACCGTCTTGTCTATGCCAAGGTACAGAGACTGATACTTTGCTCGAGGTCTGCCGCCGCCACAACGCCAGAATCAGCACACCCACTCTATCATACCCGTTCACCCAGAAAGAATGTCTTCCACACCGGTCCACAGGCCCCTGGATCTCTCCTCCCAATACCCTTCCTTCCCGCCCTTCAACTTCCACACCTCTTCACCCTCATCGCCACCTTCAATTCTGGTGAACCATCTAGGTTTATGAACGCCCCCTCTCTGTTCCATTTCCTTCCTCCTGGTCCGTTGATTTTCTTCCAGCTTGGCCTTAAGATGCTCCGCCGAATCTAAATCGCCACTCTCAGCTGCTCTCTGGTCAGGTCGCAGCCTGCAGTCAGTGATTGGTAGCTTTCCCTTCTCTAGCTCCGTCACCTCGTTCAAGCCGGCGGCGAATGTTGTGAATCCATATTTCTGCGGCGCGTTCTCAACCAAGTCTCCAACATGCCAGATCTCGGGGCCCTTTGCCTTGCCGCCGTCTGATAGCTGTAGGCTTGTGGTCCAGTTGCCTATCAATCCAAGCCCGGTCGGCGCTCCATCTGGTCCATATGTATCGACATGTACTTCTTCACTGCGGCCTCCAAACATCCCTTTCTGCTTGAACTCAACTGTTGCCTTACTACTGCTAGTCTCGTTTGTCACAGTCATTGTGCCAACAGGTTCAACATATTTCTCACCAACAACCACGTTGCGTAAGAACACAGTTGCAATGTTCCAGCTGTAAAATTCATCGCTTCCATCGGGCAGGTGTAGTACAAGTCGAACCCGGCCTTCTGTGATGAGTTCTGCACTCTTCCCCCAAAACTTCTGCATAGGGGCAGGAGACTGGCTGAACGACCAATTTACCGAATCAGCCTGACAAGCCATGCGGACGGGACGGTGTGAAACTTTCTCAACGAGCAATCTGAACCCGCCAGGTACATCTGTCTCTGATCTCACTAGCTCATACGTTTCGCCTAGCATGGGATTGAACGGTTTCCGAATAGCACGTTCTTTGGCGCGATTTGTACTGAATTGAGACACGGCAAAAGCAGTGACATGCAAGAGGCGCTGTATTGGCACCTTCTGAAAGGCAGCAGTGTCTAGGATCTGAGCATACTCCAACTGTTCTGCGACGCGTTGGAGAAGAGAGAGTGGTTCATTCGCGCTGACGGGCATGCTGATTGTGCTCAGATCCTTGCCAACATTTTTGCGAAGAAATCCAATTAAACTTGGTGGCAGCGCCGTAGCTGCAGGTACGGTTCTCCTGTGTTTGATTTCTGTTGAAATGGGAAGAGGTTCCAGTGATTTGGGCTTGACTGGGAACAACGCGGTCTTACCATCAAGGTGGGTAGAGGAATATTCGTCCTCTGCAGAAGAAATTGACGAGGCATCTGTAACGAATTCATCCTCTGCCTCGGATGGCTGTGTATCCTCTTCGCTCCGGCGATCGATTATTAGCAACTGCGAGCCAACTTCACCTGGCTCTGCATCAAAGAATTCGCCTGTTGATGCAGAGTCTATGCTGTTTCTTGATACAGATGACAGGGGGGCCGGCATTCGCCGTTTCTTACTGTTCGACAGCAATGTTTGAAAGTCATTAAGAACGGTGTCCAGATCATTCAAAAGAGCTGAGCAGTGATCATGCATACTCTCCTCAGGTGACATAGATCGCTTGCTCCTCCGAGAAGAAGGTGTCTGAGATCCGTTTGCAGAGACTGTAGTCATTGTTGCTGGAGCCGGAACCGCGAGCTGCGAGGAGAGGGCTTGCTGGAACGTTCGGGGGGTGGAGGGTGCGCTGGATTTTCGTTTCCAGAATGGCCTTTTCTCTGGAGCAGATGCCGAACCGAAGTAATCAGTATTTTCATCGACGTTAGGACTCATCGAAGCCAGGCCCAAGCCTTGCAAGACATTTCTTGTTGGAGCCCCAGGTGCAGTATCTTTGCAAAGGCGCCGTACAGCATCGCGAGTTCCGACTATCCGGCTCACAAGAGCTTCCACCTGTTCCCATTCCCGCTCTTCGTCTTGACTTGATGCGCCGGTTTGTAACCCAGATGTTCGAACTTTCAATCGCTCAAGGGACGGTATTGATTCAGGCTCGACCCCCCGAGCAGTATTACTTGCAGTTTCAAGAGCCTTTGTCCAATCCTGGAAATCCTTTGCAGTCCCAGCTTTGAGGTGCCAAATTTCCGCCCCTGAATCGATACTAATCTCTCTTCTTCTCTCATCGGCCGCAATAGCTGCTAAGCTCAAAGGAATTGCTCCTCGAAGCGCGGAGGAATTACGGTTGTAGTAATACGACAAAGTGCAAGATGCGAAGTCCAAAGAAAAAAATCTCCTTGCATAGCCCTGTCCTCGTTTTCGGCGTCTCTTTGATAGAACGCCTACATGATATGTTGGAGTTCCGTTATCACTTTCACGTCCGGCAACCGAATTCCCCCTGCTCACAGTAATCCCCACAGCTAGATGGCTTTGTAGGCTGTCCACAGAGTCTGAAGCCGAGGCACCAAGCTTTGGGCTTAAGTTCTTACCAATACTGCCGATGCTAGTTGCGCTCATGGATCCCGGAACTGGTTGCTGGTGATGTGTGGCATGTGGAGGAGCATGTGAAGGGTAGGTAAGCAAGACGAATGTGGCAGTCTTGGATATTTGCTTCGAGAAAGTATTGTCAAAAACTAGGCCATACATCCCACCGTTTCCTGGAAGAACTGCGTATGTCCCCATAGACACTTTATCTGCCTCGCATTTTCCATACCATTGAATGGAGATGAAGCCTTTCACTCGTAGCTGCTCCTGGGCAGTAGATGCATCATTTCGCGCACTCGAAGCTCGTCTCTGCTTATCCGAACCTGGATCCAGGCGGGAGAGGGACGCTGGCGGGTCCTCTGGAGTAGGTGTCAAAATCGGGGTTCCGGAATTGCTTGTGCCTGGGTGTTTGAAAATACCGAAGTTACTGGACCTGCTGTCAGTCTTCGACCACAACGTACGAAGCCAGATGCTAAGCGTTCTCACATAGACTTTTTGTGCGGTTGGACACTCCACGATATTGTATGGCCCTCATCAACCTTGACCCAGCGAACGATGTACGACTGCCTGCATTAGTTCCTGCTATTCGCGGCACCTGCTGCCACATTCGCAGACACGAATAGATCTCCGTGCGTACCTTGCTATGAATCTCCAGCTGCTCCAACCCGGCCATTGCGCAAGAACGTTGACCGCGAGCTGCAGGCAATGGGTGCACACCCTTCTCTTCTCGCTCCCCTTCTCTTCCCTTTCTCCTTCCGTTCTCCGCAGAGCAGAATGAGACTTGCTGGGGTATGGTAGTCGGATGGCCAGCGACAGTTGTATGAAGGAAGGGAAGGGTCTTTAGTCCAACCGAGCCGTGAATCTCGTAAGTCCTTTAAGAAGGGTTCTGGCAGTGGCGGACTGTTTGAGTAGGATATCCGACGTAACCTCAGGTGCTGAAATATACTGTATTATACTGTCTATGTGAGGAGGAATGGAACGGGAAATGAACGATAATCGGAGTAAGAAGGGCCGCAAAGGCGGGCGGCAAGGTGCAATTGCTCGTGGGTGCGCTGGATGTCTCGTCTTGTCTCGTCTCGTCTTGTCTCGTCTCGTCTTGTCTGGTCATGTCTGTTCTCGTAGTGATCTATTTTGACTGAATAGCTAAGCTCAACGCAGGGAAGGAATTGGCCGGAGTGTTCTGTTCTGTTATGTTTTGCCCTTCCTTGTTCACCTTGGATATTATACCTTGCTACATACAATACCTTGTCGTGCTGACGACAGACAGACACAGCGCAAAGCCTAGCGCAGGGTAGCGTGAACGAGCAGGAATTCCATTCCATTGGTGTCTCCCGTGGGGCCCGGCAGCCCGGAAGGTGCCCGGACAAGCTGCAACAACTGCCTGGGTGTCGTTCATCCAGGGAAGTCTTAAAGTCTTATAAGTACCTTACCAAGACCAAGGTCTTTGGAAAACCAACCGGACCCTGGACTTGATGGCCGTATCAGCAGTTCGTAGGTGGTCAGGTAGGGCAAGGTAATATAAAAACAAGAAAGAAAACCAAAACAACAGCAAAAAATATCTGCCTACGAAACCCGAGCACCGAGTTCAGTGCATGTGGTTGGGTTTGGCGCACTGAAATCCAGTGTCGTGGTTTCGAAGGCCTTTAGCAGCTTTCGGCGGTGACAAGCACAGCACAGCACAGCACAGGACAGTAGAATGACATGCTATGATACGATGTGATTTAATATGGCGGCTATGCATCAATAACAATAAAGTCAATCGAAATGGTCATATTAAGGCAGATTGTCTGGGCTGGCTCGAGTGTCGCCTCGCTCTTCTGAACCCATCAAAATACCTCATATCAATAGCCATCCTGTCCTCTCTCGTATTCGTTCTATACGACGATCCGCCGAACCTCAACCTGCGAACACGTCAGGCCTGTCCGCCCTCAGGCTTGTAAGACGCGGGTACATACCGTGATTGCTGTGTTGAGAATGTCATGCAAGCCCTCGCTTGCATTGAAGCGCTCGCCAAGTCAGACACGTCGTTGCCCTGGCGCTGGCGGCTGATGTACTTATACTGGAGCTGAAGGCATTGGGCAACATTGACATTCTGAACAGAAATATTACGGTGGTATCGTCACTCACGCAAGGATAGCACTTCTACCTGTGAAATAATTGCAATGGCTGTCTACTACAATGGACTTATTCGACTTGCTTTTATGCAAATGATCCTGGCTGGTATCACTTTTCTTGCCCTGAAATGTGACGCTGTCCCGCTGGCGTACTTAATGTAATGCCAACCTGAGAATGATCGCTGCCAGCCTAAATTCCCTCCCGATTCCATATGGTAACAGATCCCTTATGGTCTCTTGATCTGCTCACTCTGGTGTCTCAACTTGAACCCGTTGCATAGCGCTTTCATATCAGGGTACTGGCTTTTCATCAGTTCGAAAGCATTGGGTATAATACGAACTGGCCACGAATGGGGACGCCCTGCTTGCCCTGCTTTGAAGCACAGATGAAAATAGCCAGGATGTCTCTTATCCAGGCAAAAGGCGTAGACGGATCTCTTTGGGTTGGCTTCAGTATAAGTAGTCAACCATTTTTCTGACAGTTGTTAGTAATGGCTCTAACAGGAAAAGAATATGGTTTGACCATCTTACCAGTGTCAGCCAAGGTACCAGATTGGTACTTGTCATGGTCCATCATTTCTGCGACTTTTTTGGCCATGGCTTTGACATGATCCACAATGAGTTCATCAAGATCGGTGTAATTTCTAACCCCAATTCGAAGTGTGCGGCCCAAGGAAAACTCATTTTCTTTTTGCAACTCCAGAACGTCAATGTGCTGATAAACTCCATCGGCCACCTTCCAAGTTACTGCCAAATGGTCGTTTCCTTTCGACGACGGCCGAACGACAGCATCTCCAGGAGCCTGAGACCCAAGATATTCCTCGGCTTGCGTAGAGTTGAAAGGTTTGAAAAGTGGGTGGTTAACAACTCGTTGGGTGCGACCAGTTGCCTTGTCCTTCTCACGAAGCTCCTCTTTATCCTTGTCTTCTTGTAAAGAGTCCCAAGCCCCACGGTCGTGGTCGATGCGCTTGCGGAATGGAATACGGAGCATCTGCTCACGCAGGGAAAGCCTTGCAGAAAATCCGTGTCTATCCAGCTCCAAAAGTTTGGCTTGGGCAGTCTGACCGATGGAGAACAGTCGGTTCAGAGGAATGTCGGACAGGTCAGAGCCTTCCTGTTGCTCAACACGACCTTCAATCCCCGAATCGAGCTTGGCGATGATGAAGTCTTCCTTTGCCACGCGGATGTTGACTGATACGATCATTCCATCGCACAAGGAGTCTTGCGTTTCGCCTGTGAGCATTGTGAAGACCTCATTGTCTGACAACACCGAGAAGTTTCTTCGTAGTTCCTCATATGGCTGCTGGAGCTCTGCTCGAATCGTCTCCAGCGTGGCGCGCTTTCGCTGGTTGTAGTTTCGTTCGAGTTGTTCAGCATACTCTTCCAGGATCAAGTCATTGACCTTCTCTTGCTCATCGTCTTTGATGAGCTTGCGAACAATAGCTCCAGGCCCTCCTTCGTCAACTTCAGCCTTTACGTCCTCTTCGTCCAGCTCCAAAGCGTCCGCCGCCATCTTGCGGCCGAGCTCGTAGTCTTCCGGGTGGACTCGAGTATTGTCGAGGTAGTCTGATGTCTGGTTCGAGCTGTCATACTCAATGGACAAAAAACTTGCACAATTGTTCCAGACCCTCGGGCCCACAACTGGCAACTTGCCACTGTCTGGATCCCCGACCAACTCATCTCTAGTGTTTACAATGCCGCCATTGGCATTAATGGTCTTCAGGACTGCTGTGGCTTTTCGCGGGCCAAGACCACAAACGAATGGGAGCAGTGCTGCTGTGTACGAGTCTGCAATAGCTTCGTTGATGTCGACTCCACACAGGTTAACCATGTCGACCATGGCTGTTTCAAGCTGCTTTCGAAGCTTCTCCTCGGGTAGAAGTTGCTGGCAAGGATGGAATGATAGCGAGATAATGTCCTTTCCAAGAGCAGCATATTCCTTCATCGGGTTCTGCAGGTACTTGGCCAAGGCAACACAATATTTTGTCAGCGAGGAGAAAGTCGGGTGGTCGAGAGCAGCACGAGCGCTGTCCTTGTAGAGGCGAGCGACCTCATCGTTGACAACGACAATCTCGAGAGGTTCGCTGCGATCATCACCTGTCTCGGGGTCCTCGAACTCGGCGCCCTTCAAGCCTTTTTCCTCGATTAAATCTTTGAGACTGATTATCAGCTTATGGGTGTCGACAGAGAAGCCACTGATGCCCAAAACGTCCGGTTTTCGTCGCAGTACGAGTTCAACAAAGTCTTCCCGGGCTCTCTCATTCCGGGACAGGTTTTCAAACTTCCCATGTTCCAACACGCGTCCGTCTTCCTCCACCCACGCCCACCCAACAGGATCTCGAGCTGGGTCTCCATTGCCATTAGAGAGCGCGAGAACGCGAGGAATTGTGCCAAGAATCATACCCTTTGGCTTGTATGGGGCCTGGTCAAGCTTTTTCGAATATTCCTCTCGGCAAATCTTCAACACAGAATCTTGACATTCTGTTCTCATGCTCTCCTTCACGCCCTTGGTGATGACTCGCTCAAGCTTGGTAAATGCAAGATCTAAAACCTTTTGCCGCTCATCATTCCAAGCATCGGCAAGCTCGCTGAAATTGTCTGATGCAAACTCAGCAAAGAGTTGCTTCCGGAACTCTTGCTCATTTTGTAGCTTGACCTTTACCTCAATCAGCCCTTCCTCCTCAGCCTTCAACATCTTCAGGAATATCTCTGGTTTGTTAGCAATGTCGCTGAAGGTCTGGTTCTTGAGATATTTCAGCTCGTAATACGGATGCTGCTCGTCAATTTTCCGTAGGCCTTTCTCAGTTCTTCGGCAATTAACAACACCCATCATGTAGTAGTTCATACGGAAGTGCTTTCTCATCCGAGGGTTCATGAACAGCTCCTCAGCGAACATTTGACGAGCGGCTAGAAGTACCTGTTCGCCCGTACTGAATTCGCTGTCAAGAGTCAGGGTGTCGGCAAGGTCGATAGGAGTGAGAGACGAGTCTTCTGTATACTGCTTTCTGCCCTCTCTCAGAGCATTTTGAGCAACCTGGTCTGGCGTGATACCGTAAGCTCTAACAAGATTATAGGCTTTGCCCTTTCGAACGCGGTCGAAAATTGACGACTTTCCGCCTGGACGACGCTTCTCCTTAATATCGCCATTCGTAGCTGCCAGGTCCTTGATTTCCGAGGAGTACTGAAAGTATACAAAATCTTGGATATCCTGCAACTCCTCCATGGTTACTGCCACTGGTAGCATGGCCTCAACCATTGGATCGTCTACACCTCCAGCAAGCTTCAGATTATCATATGTTCTCTCCAAAACATTGCGCTTCTCGATAAGCGCACGGAACTTAAGATCAAGTTCAAGGACACGCCATAGGTCATCCTGATTCAGTAGTTTTTCGGCACTGACAACATACTCGTCTTGATCATTGCTGTCGCGAACTCGAGTTTTCTTGGCATGAATCAAGTAGTCCTTCCGATGTTGGAAGACATATGGAACTTCGACCTCATCCACCACGAAAAACTCCAGCACTTTTCCAATAGCTCTGGTGAAGGGTGCCTGTAAATCGCTATGCAACTGCTTCTTTGGCCAAATGAGACTAGTAATCCAACGAGCCTCCTCCTTGAATTGATCGTCAGTGATCTGTAGATTCTTGTATGGTAATCGGTCCAGCTGAAATCGCTCTGGTTCGTCTGCCCACCGAATCTGGTTGTCCTCGTCCGTGAGAAGTTTCTCCGCCAGCTGTGATGGCTCGAATACGTCCTTCAACTCTAAGTTATGATCTCCAGCTTCCCTAGCTTCTGCTTCATCCTCTAAGGCCAAAGCCCAATCGTAGTCCTCCCCATTTCCGAATATGGCCTCCATGTCATCAAGAGCGTCCTTGTCGAGACCAGAAGCTTCCGTGCCACCAACATATCCTCTTTCTCGTGGACGAGCCACCTCCATCTCCTCTTGATGTCTCTGCCGTTCGTCCTCATCCTCCAGATCATCTTCCTCGATGAAATCGGCAAATTCATCCACCCGGTGATGGTCTGATCGAGCAAAACCTCTATCCAAATCATGGCCTGCATCCACTTCCTCGTCGTCAGAGAATATCTCGTCTAATCCACGCTCTCGACGCTGGTCGGTATCCTCTCGATGACCACGCTTCAGTCGCTTGAGCTTTGGCTAAGATGAAATGTCAGCTAATTCACTCAAAGTCAACAAAGCACTGCATACTTGCGCAGCTGTCTTACGTTCCCACTCGGGAATAGCCTCGCCAATCAGGTCCAAATCCTCCTCGTCCAAGGCTGCCTCTTCCTGTTCTCGTTCGGCACGATTGCGCTTCTTGCGCCGGCGCCGGCGTTGTTCTGCCTCCTCATCCTCATCATCTTCAATGATGAAACCTTCTCGGACCTAGGACTCATTAGTATAGATACTCTTGATAAAATTATAGCCCGCAAATCTGGCTGTCGCGACGTACCGCCCGAGCTGCCTCTTCGTCGTCGTCGTCTTCCTCTTCGCTGGAGTCGTCAAGATCAGGATCCTGTTGTTTGCTTGGTCTAGCCTCTTCAGTATCCTCATCGAAAGACTCGTCATTCTCTTCTTCGTCCAGCTCTGCTTCCCCATTGATCAAATCTCGCATGCTCATCTTCGCGCTTTGTGTAGAGCTAATGTTTTCGCAGAAGTGGACTGGGACCACGGGCAGAAACTTTATTAAGGAGACGAGGTTGCCAAAGGCAAGTCAGTTGGACGGCGAACAATTGAATGAAATACTGCCACTCAGGACAAAGGCGAATTTAGGCAACGGGAGAGGCCCAGTTTGGTGAATTTAGGGCAGAGATGGCTGAGGTGATGGCTGTGGACTTCGCTCTAGCTGTGATGTATTCCTCTCGCGTACCACAACACCTAATTCACGTTCGCGCTGGACTGTTTGATCACGTGTTAATTGAAGCCAAGGTACCTACCTACCTTAGGGCCCGTTTAGCTCGGAAGTGACACTTAGGAAGTGACACTAAAGCTCGAAATAATAAAATCGTCACTTCTATTACTTCGAGAAATAATAAATAAGTAATAATTCTGTTTAGCTCGATTTTATTACTTCTAGAAATATCTATTATTTCTATTAACTTTAGTTATTTACTATAGTTCTTACTAAAAGTAGAAATCTTATAAAAAGTATTACTTTACTACCTTATATAGCTCTATAACTCTATAGCTCTATAGCTCTACCCTCTTTTACTACTACTACTACTACTACTACTACTACTACTACTACTACTACTACTACTACTATTACTACTACTATATACGCTATACTACTATTAATTACCTTATTAATATAGTACTAGTATAAGAACTAAAGAATCGCCTATTTTACTAATATTCTAGCTATATCTATAATATCTATTTACTATTAGAATAACTTTAAATAGTAATAATAATTATAATAGTATAACGAATATTTATTAGTAGCTATAATATAAAGTAGAAAAGATAGCGAGAGAAAGAGGTTCTTAAGAAGCCTTAAGAATAAATAAGAGAGATATAACTACTAGTGAACTAAGCTAGTCTTAGGTTTATTATATAACTCTAGCCTCGTAGCCTTACGAAGTTAGCCTTACTCACGTGACTCGCTTATTATAATTAGTCCATTATAATAATACGATTCTAAGCTCTTCGGGAAGGAATAGATAAAGAAGCTTTTAAAGAGCTACGACATTTATATTTAAGATAATTTAGGTATTTCTAAAGATAGCTTTTACTATATTAAAGACTTCCTGATTCGGAAAGATAGCTTATAGCGCATATAGTATATAGGGACTATAGAGTAACTAAGAATCTTCTTATATATAGTAGTTACAGATTTATTAATAAGAAAGCTTACGAAATAATTCTAATATAATACGAAGATAATTAATCGGACTTATTATAAGATTATATATTATTTTTATTATAAAGATATATTTAAATTAATAGTTCTATCGGTAACTAATATAACGCTTATTTCGTCTTAGATACTTTATAACTACTAATATAAAGATTATTTTAAGTATTATATAAGAGTAATTAATAGTATATATATTCCGATATCTTCTTTATCTAGTAAAAGAGCCTCTTTTAGAGATAGGTCTAGAAACTTTACTTAAAACGTACTCGCTATATATAACTTTAATATAAGGTATATTAATCTTTTAATTAGCTAGGAAAGTAGTATAGCAGATTTAGTACTATAGATTAAGATTTAATATAGTAATACTATAAAGATTCTAATAAGAAGATATACTCTTAGAGATACTATTTTCGTAAATTATAATTTAATATTAATACTATATTAAGCGGTTTAATATTACTTAAAGGAATAAGAGAGAGCGAATTATTATTCTTAAAATAAAGAAAAGCTCTTTAACCTACGCTATTTAGCCTTAAGGAACGTTATTAAATATACCTTTAGAGTACTTAAAGCTCGGTTTAAAATCCTTATAAGACTAAGAGCTTTTAAGGTTATAATATAAGTTTAAGTTATTACTATATTATATATATTATATAATATACTTTTAGATATTAAAGAGATTAAAGAGGTAGTCGAAGAAGAAACCTATAAGCCGGAATTATAAGTTAAGAGTTATAGTTTAGGATTAGGTTATTATATTACTAGAAAGGAAACTATAAGAGCTAACTAATTTAGAGATAATATTACTACTTAAATATAAGAAGATTATATATTATATATAACTAAGGACTAGAGATCTACTTTATCTAAGATAATTCCTAATTAATCTAATACTATTAAATTATATCTTCTAAACTACTAAAGCTTAACTGAATCTTATACTTTAGTTACTTAATATAAAGCTTATTTACTTTTAAAGTAAGATATATTTAAGTAGTATTTTTAATAGTCTTAAAAATAGTAATAAAATAAAATATTCCCTTCTTTATAAAGTATACTTCCTCTTATACTTTTATAATTACTTAACTAAGAATCGATAATTCTATTATCTCTTTTAGAATAGTATTCTTTATATTAAAGCTTAAAGATAACGCTATTACTCTAGTTATTTAAGTAATAGCCTCTTTTATTTTATTTATTATACTAAGTATTAGTCCGCAGACTTATACTATAGAAATATAAGAGGTAATTAAGAGGTATAAGTAATCTTAGTTAGGAAGTAAATCCCTTTTAGATATAAACCGGGGGTTATTTAAGAGGTAGTATATATTCTAACCTTTAGATACTTTTTATAATATATACTTTTAAATACCTTTAAACTAAACCTTAGATTTTAATATATATTAATATATACTTATTATTTATTTACTAGTATAATACTAATATTAATTAGTAGTTACTTTATACTATAAAGCAGATAAGTTAAATATAATAAAGTTAACTCTTAGAATATAATACTACTTTAATATTAGTAAGCTCTTATTAAAACTAAGTAAAGTAAGCCTTATAAAGTAACTAGAGAACTCTTATTAAAATTAAGTAAAGTAAGTTCTATACTACTAAAGAATAATAGCTACTTTTTAATAGTTATTAAGATATTTCTAAAGCTATTTAATTAGATATTTCTAAGATATAAAAAATATATTTAGAATACTTATAACTCGCTTTTAAAATAATAGTAACTCTAATAAGCTAAGTTATAGAATAACTTAAAGTAAGAGTTAGAAGTAGTAAGACTTTAATATAAGATAGAATATTAATACTTAGAGTACTTTTAGTAAGTCTTATAGAAACTAATATTAATAGTCTAGTTTAAGGATTTATAGATTATTCTATAAGGAAAAGTATTTATAAGAAGATATTATTTTAAGACTTTTAAAAGTATTTTCGTAATTAAATAGTAAATAATTTTAAGAAGATAATAAGTAAGTAATCATAAGAGCTCTAAGATTATTTCTTAAGGAATTAGGTTTATATTTAATATTAAAAAGAATTATAAATTTCTTAAGCTCTTATAGTAATAATTTAAGTGTAAGAGAATACTTAGCTTAATAAATAGAAAACTAAGCTACTACTAGACTTACTATTTAGATATTTCTTAGATAATATTTAGAATTATAATCTAAAAGAGAATTAAGTATAATAAATACTCTATTAGAACTCGCTTAATATATTATCTTTATTTATAAAGATTATAGCTCCTAATAATATAGAAATAAAGTATTATAATAACTAAAGAAAGATATAAATAAGTGATTCTTTAAAAAGCTAAGTTTTATTTTAGTATTTAAGCTCTTAAGGACTTTTATATATTAAACTCTTTATAAAAAGTAAGAGTCTTTATAGAGCCTCTTCTCTTATTAATATTAAAAGAAAGGAATTATTTCTAATAAAATTAAAAAGATAATATACTAATTAGCCTCTAGTATAAAGACTAAAGGATAATAGCTTACTAGATCTTACTTTAGCTCTTATAATATACTTAAAAGATAAGATATTACTTCTTTTTTAAGTACTTAGCTAAAATAGTTTATATTTAGAGCTTATTTAGCTAACTTAGTATATTATAGAACTAATCTCTTTAGAATAAGTAAAATCACTTATAAGCTTTAGTAAGATATATACTAAGAAGCTCTAATATAGTAAAGCTAGAAATTATCTTAATAAGAAGCTCTATATCTTTATTAATCTTTATTAATAAGTATTAGTAAAGTTTATATTATAGTATAAGGTATTTCTATCTATACTTTAAGATAAAGCCTTATTATACTACTACTAGTACTTTTAGAATAAGAGGTATTTATTTAATAAGCTAGTATAAGTTACTTATAATAATTATAAGATAAAGAAAAGAATTAATTAATACTTAAGTTAGTAGTTTAATATAACTTTTTCTATATTTTAAAATAAGCTACTTTAAAAAAGTAAATTAGCTTTAATATAATTAGAAAGCTTTATAATAGAATTATAAAGTATTTAATTAGGTCTTAAAGATAATAGTATATAGAATAATAAAATATTATATAATAAGCTAGTATAGGGAGTTTCAGGGAATCTCTTATTTAAGATAGCTCTATTTAAGCTACTTCTAATATTTCTTATATTAATAAATAGCTTTTATATAGCTATAAGTATAAAGATAATATAAGATTTCAGATCTAGATCTAAGAGATACTCTAAGAATAATCTAAATTAATCTTAAGTATATATTATAGATAATAATACTTATTACTTAAATTAAAAGATAAAGTTCTTCTTAGGAAATAAATATAAGAATAGATTTAAAGTACTCCTTAGCTATATAAGTTATATTATCTATAAGAAAATAGACTATTATAATAGCTATTATTCTAACTAAGAATAAGTAGTCTTAAAAGTAAGGTATTTTATAAAATAGAAAGCTAAAGGTATTAAGCTTATAGAAAAGTCTTATAAAGTATATATAATATACTTTAAAAAGAAGAAGTTAGATTTAAAGCTTAATTAGAACTAGTTTAAAGGACCTAGTAAAGATTATAAAAAAGATAATTCTAATACTTCTATAAAAGATAATAATAACTATTCTAATAATATTAAAGTAGATATAGAAGATAAAGATAAAGTAATATACTTTATTACTATATTCTATATATTAGAAATAAAGTATAATATAAAGTAAGTTCTCTAGTACCTTAAGGAATATAAGACTATTTATATCC